CTGCGGGGCCACTCACGTTATCCGACGTCAGAATGATGACAATTCCATCTGTACGTGGCCGTAAGGAGTTCGGAGTTTGGTTTGTGATCAAGTCGTCCTGCTTTCTTCGATTATGGAAACCAAAACCAAGCGTAAGCTCACAAAACGTTAATTCTTTAGGACGTGGACAATCAACGGCACCTTCGCGGCCACTGACGTTATCCGACGTCAGAATGATGACAATTCCATCTGTACCTGACCGTAAGGAGTTCGAAGTTTGGTTTGTGATCAAGTTGTTCTCCTTTCTTCGATTATGGAAATCAAAACCAAGCGTAAGTTCCTGTAGCACAACGTTTTCTCGAGGACAATCAACGGGACCTGCGGGGCCACTCACGTTATCCGACGTCAGAATGATGACAGTTCCATCTGTACGTGGCCGTAAGGAGTTCGGAGTTTGGTTTGTGATCAAGTCGTCCTGCTTTCTTCGATTATGGAAGCCAAAACCAAGCGTAAGCTCACAAAACGTTAATTCTTTAGGACGTGGACAATCAACGGCACCTTCGCGGCCACTTACGTTATCGGACGTCAGAATGATGACAATTCCATCCGTATCTGACCGTAAGAAGTTCGAAATTCCCTCGTAATCGCTTGAAGACTGTTCGTTTGGAAGTCAGATACTCGTAAATACTTGAACAACGCGCTACAACCGATAACATGGTGACACATGTTCTAAAAATTCTGCAGATGACATTCCAGTGGTATCTTAGCCCAACACCAGCTCAAACATGGCCATTTGGCCAAAAATTTCATTTACGGACATTGAAAAGTCATGTGGATTCTCACTGTCCGTAAATAAAAAAAAGAGTAGGGCAACACTGGGCGTAAAAGATCATGCATTTCTAAAAAAACTGTGTAGATGACGTTCCAGTAGCATGGAGATTCTACTGTCAGCAAGTAAAGGGTAAAAAACACTCCGGATTACAATGATCGATGTCAGTAGGACCAGCAGCACCCCGATGAAACAACCGCTCTACACTTCGTGTTTTCCTATGATCAACCGTTCTACGTGGCAAATTCGTTCCGACCGCGCGACTTCACTCCGGTCAGAGGATTTCATTCAGTCAATTCAATTCAATTTATTTCCGCTGATCATCTATCAAAAGTAGAGAAACGGGCCATGATTCGGGGCCAAGATGGGGATGCCACGTCGGTTCTCCAGTGTGCCAATCCTCAAGAAGGTCGTGCCACGGGTTGAGCTTCTGCCATCCTCCGGAGGGGTCATTCAGTCAATTGGACCGTTTCGATGGACGGTCGACTCTTTCGTCCTCCTCCGACTACCCGAGACTATCCACGTTGTTGTCGTATTGTGTGCTATTGTGACGTTTGCTGGATAAATACTCTTGCTATATCCCAGTTGGCTATTGTAGCGTCGATCCGGGCCCTATTCCCCGTTGATCTTATCTAGTTGCCCTCTACCCCTCGTAGACTAGGCACTACTAAGACTATCCGTGTTATTTGTGTGTTACATGTGCTTCTGCGATATTTGGCTGGATAAATATATTGTGTATATCCCAGTTGGCTAATATATCGTCTACCCGGGTATTCTGCCCCATCGACGCACCGTACGGCCTCTTTAGCGGGATCCGCCCATTTTGCGGGTTGCAGGAGACATTTTATACGACCCGCGGCGTTCTCGTGGTTTTCATCGAGAGAAAACAAAAAAAATACCCAAAGAATAAAAAATAAAGTTTTTCGGGAGATATGACTACAAGATGCCCTCGGAAAAGAGTGATTTAATGGTGTTGCGGGTGAAGATTGATGAAAATTGGAGTGAAACGCTTCATAATTAATGGGCGTTGCGGTTTAGTGGTTCCCTTTGGGAATGAAACTTACGGATTTTCTCCAACGTAGAGAGTAATGTGTGCTCCCGGGGGCGAAAAGTCAAGAAAGGTCTTATCAGGCTGTCGGGAAAATAATGAGAGCGCTGTCGCTGTGCCGATCGTGTCGCTGAAATGAAAAGCGATTCGATTTTTTCGCGACACAATAAATTTTCCCGTCAGCGATGCGATTTTTGGCGCGACAGAGTGCTCGCTGCGTTGTTGTTTCTTTGCCGTACGTCGCGCGCGATTCCCATTTTTCGCAGCGACAAATCAGTCTTTTCAGAGTCGTCGGAGCCGCGACAAAATATGAGAACTTTCTCCGACCCAACCCGGTGCACACCGCTATGTTGTTAACCCATATTTGTTTTCGGGAAACGTTTATCATAACCGAACAAAATCCACGCCAAACCTCAGTCGCCGGGATCTACGGTCGACATCAAAAAGAAACTCTTCGCAAGAGATAATAAAATCAAGTTTCCGATTGTTTCGTCAACCCAATCTCGCAAGCGCCAGCAGAAAACAATCCCCTTCCGTGTGGATCCGGGCGCTCGCGGTGAATAGTTCTGGAAGTTCGGGGGCTTCCAGCATTTTTAAAGGGCACTTTGGAATTTATGAAGCTCTGATTTAGGGCGTGGTACGGTTGGGGCAATAAATTGTGTTTACTGTGGTTTTTGGTTATTTGAACCGTCATTTTTCAGAATTTTCTTTTTTTCTGTCTAAAAATCGGATAGAAATACAAGAAAATTTTTGGGGCAAAGCGTTTTTTCTTATGTCATTCGGCCAAAAAATCTTGATATGTTCTGCAAAGTGCGGGCTAAAAATCTTACATATATGTCCTAGAGAATGCAATATTGAACGATAAATTATTTCCATGCGAAACTAGGAAAGGTAGGGCCAGAAGTATTGTATTTTTGTCTCCGCTCTCCTCATTTTCCATACTCTCTCGTCACCAAAGACCGCTGAATATTTCGGCCGCGCCTGTAAAGAACTAGCTAGCATTTGGAGGAATTGATTTGTGACTTACGTAGGACACGTTGGCAAAATTTTCGGAAAAACTACGCGTCGCACCTTGAGGACTTTTCTTTTTGGACAGCCCCATTTATTTAGAGCGTTACTCAAGGCATAAGGGTTGGATCGTCTTCAAATTTTACCTGCATGACCCATCTTACTCATAAATCAATGGCTGAAAATTTCAGCTTTGCCTTTGCATAAAAAAATTAAACGATCCTCTTCCGACGAGAGAGTGCAGGAAACAAGGAGAGCGAAGGCAGATTTTTTTTGGTACGCCTGAGCGACAAATTGCCTTTACTGTAGACGGCAAAGATAGACCGATGCAGTGGTCTGTAAACAGCGTAGGAATGAAGACAAAAAATACAGTCAGCAACGATTGAAATAAATAGCATCAGAACGTGCTTCATGACTCGGGTTATAACTTTTCTAGCCATTTTTTGCTAGTTCCTTACGGTAAAAAGTTTTTTTTTTTGCAAAAACTTCTAATCGATGAATCGGGCGAATTTGTAATTTTTCAGATCGTAAAATCCGGCTTTAAAATTTTTACTGTTTTAAAACTTTACTCTAAAACGACCTTGGTCCCGTCCCCCTTACCGTCTTTTCCACCTCCCCGTCGAGGGAGCAACTGATATTAACCTCAAAGTTTATCCGTCTAAAATGTTATGCCTCTTTGCTGAGATCAAGCGACAATATTATATCTTGCATTTCTACTCTACTAGTCGCGCCATAAATTCCGCAGGGTTTTGCATGATGGGTTTACTTCTTTTTTTCGCATGCGCCATTTTTGCACTAGCGACATGCACTTTTCTGCGAGCGACCCCGTGAAGTCGGAGAAGAAATGCCATACTAGTACAGAAAATTGACAAAAACATGGATCGTTTCCTGGCCATATCGTTACGTACCCCGAGACATCAAGTCAAGAAAAAACAGAAAAAAAAGCTCTTAAGCAATGAAAAATTCTTAGTATTCTGTTTTAGCTCAAAGACAATTCCAAATACTCTTATAAATTTTATTTTAAATGGGTTAAAATGATGTTCCGTCTTTACAGAACATCACAGACGGAACATCAAAGTCTCCACGGCGTAATAAACGAGTTTTGGTACAAAAATTTATTTTTCAGGCCTTCAACTTCAAAAAAAGTTGATCCAGGCCAAAAGAGAAATCGAACTCGGGTTGCGTTCACCCTCTTGATTTCTAGACTTTGGCACTACACGTCAAAACAATTCTTTCAGAAAATTGAAAAAAAAACAAGGAATCTCGGATCATTGATTTTTTGCGAAGTGCCACAGAAAACCTCTCCGCCATACCACTCCCTTCCGGAGGAAGAGATCGACCGCGCTTTTTATGGTTTGCAATGCCTGCGACTTTTGCTGACAAATCTAGCCAGTTTTTGGGCATTTTCAACCCTTAAACCCAAAAATGGGCAGCTTGATCAGCATAATTTTTCGGATCTTTAGAGATATGTCCCGTCAAAAAGTAGGAGCCCCCATAAAAGTACTTTCCTTGTTAAATTGAAATGGGGCCTCCTGAAAATTTTTGCAAAATAAAAAAATAGGGTGTGACATGTTATACGATGACAAAAAATTTTCATCGTATAACATGTCACACCCTATTTTTTGATTTTGAAAAAAAGTTCCACTTTGGGGGCCTCTCGGAAATTTTTGTGAAAATAAAAAAAGGGGCCTCTTAGACATTTTTTTAAGGGGGCCTCTTCGGTTGAGGTATGTCTTCGCCTGCAACGGGCGTTTTATTCAAAAAGGAAAAAGGGGCCTCTTCGACATTTTTTAGAGGGCTTCTTCGAATTTTTCAGGGGGCCTCTTCGCCTACAACAAAAATTTTTTTTCCCGAGATTTCACCCTGAAAATTTTTTTTAGCCTAAAGGCCCTTTTACCAGATTTCTCATCTCAAATCCGACATGACCGTTCGCAGCATAATTTGTCGGATTTTCAGAGGTATGTCCCGTCAAAAAAACAGGAGCTCCATAAAAGTGCTTTCCTTGTCAGCAGTGTGCATCGCACTTGTGTACTTCCCCTGCATTTGCTTTTTGAACCTGAAAAACCCGACTCAATTCCGGCACGTTCTGATGCTATTTCAAACCGCTTCCGTCTGTTGTTTTGGTCTCCACGCCATTTACAGATCGTCGCACAGCCGGACCGATCCATCTTGTTCCACAAACGGTTTAGGCGATTTGTCATTCAGGCGTATCAAAACATTGTTTTTTCCCCCCTTCTTCCGATTACAGAAACGATCCAGGCGTTGCGGGGAAAAGCCTACCCCGTGAAAAGTGATATCGCCCGCCGCCGTTCCGCAGCCGGTTATCAAATTTTCGTCTTCGATGCCCTCGGGCGCTGCATTGCGCACAATAGTATGGTCCGGCGGTACAGCGCCGCCTTCGTAAATCATGGTTCAAATGGCGTCGTGGTCGGAGGCGGGGATGATGGATGGCGCGTTGTTTGAAACGCACTACAATTAATTGGGCTTTGATTGGTGGTGTTGCGAGCTTCGGCAAGCTGTAGGCTTAAGGCGGCGCTACCCCAAACTTTGAGGCTTCAATTTTGCCGAAACTTGGCATAAATCTAGAGTAAACTCTTTTAGGACATATTTGAGATTTTTAGACCGCGTTTTGCAGCAAGAACCGAGATTTTTTTATAAATTTTAAAAGTGGGGATTTGACAAAAATTCCGCATTTTTTCGATTTTTTTAGCTACAAAACCGTCAAAAACAATCTTTTTCATACATGAAAAACTTCGTATTTTACGTTTTCCTCTCTGATCAATTGCATTTAGCCCTCAATTCCACCATTTTCACAATTTAAGGATTTTTGACGAAATGTCACAGAAATTATTGACTTTTTCAACACATCTAGCTATTTTGACACACCTTATTTTACCTTCTTGATTAGTTTAAAATTCAAATAACATTATTTTCTGTGCGAATTACCAATTTTTTCATTTTTTGACGAAATGTCACAAAATTTATTGGATCTTGTATTTTGTGACATTTCGTCAAAAAAGTTATTAGGTTCTTGGAAATAAATGTAAGGCATCTCGTGAGGCTCTGAAAAAGTTAATTTTGCCATCAATTTATTGTAAAATGACAATAAGTAAAAATTTGCGGTATCTTTTGATATAGCTCTAAAGCAATATAAAACGCAGCTTCAAAAATAATTTTTTTCATTGTTTGCCAACAAATACGACTAATTCTATCTTCAGTGTACTAATGTTTTGGCAACAAAATAGTCATTTAAACTTTGAACATGTTTCATCGTATAAAATGTCCTTACTGCCAGTCTGACCAAAGAACTCGCCCTTCGAGCTCCATTCGTCCGGAGATTTTATTTTTTGTCATAAACTATCGCGAACTTCGTGGAATATATCGTCTGCTCGACGTTTTAACTAGTTCTGACAATTTTCGTCTGCAAAACGTTTTTCCCCTGCGCTCACACTTTCAAAAGATGCGATGGCTTTTTTAAAGCTCTTATTGAGACCTTTATCGACGAAGATAATCGGAATTGAACCGCTCAGACGTTGAGAGAAAGGGCAATCGGCGGTCAAGTCCGACGCTTCACGCTGACAAAATTGTTTTGTCTGCGCATACGGTAGCGAGGAAGACTGTCAAGTGGCGCGAGGCGTAATGGACGTGGCGTTACGGCTACAGTAAGACTGTTTGGGGGAAGCGTGAAATTTTTGTAGATGGGAATTTGAATTTCAGACTTTTGAAGAAAATGATGACTAAAGAGTATGTAGTATTTCTGAAGCTATTTCAGAAAGCCCAACCAAACGATTTGTCTCAAATTTTGCATATGTAATTTAGAGATAGCACTTATCAAATCCTAAAAATTTTAGCTTGCGTTTTGCAAAATGAGTCGAGATATTCAACGATCTTTGCGAGATGCAAAACGCCGAAAGCGGTCCGAGAGAAAAGCGCTTTTTGGCCATATCTTTGCCAGGTTCGCGCGGAGAAAAATGATTTTTTGTGGAAACATTACCCTCTATGGTAGAAACAGGTATGAAAATTTGCATGGTAAAATTTGACGAGAAGTGTCACATTTTGGATGACTTTTGAAATGGTACTTTTTTGAAGCCTTTTTTTCTAGTAATACAAGAAAAAAGTTTAAGACTGATAAGCAAGGTTTATATTACTCTTTTTTTACAAACTTTATCATTATAATCTCTTAGGAGAAAGGATTTTTATCTTCTTGGCCGCTCAGGGTCATCTTGACCGAAAGATTGCAACTACACTCAATTTTTTAAGGCTATGTCTGGTTTCTTGGCTATCAATTCCATTTTTTTCAACTTGGCCAATAGGATTGGCCAATTACAGTTGTAATTTCCACCGCTAAAACCCTTATATTATCACAATAATGCTCTAGTTTCCAAAGGGGTTTTATCAGGCTGTCGGGAAAATAATGAGCAAAATGTCGCTGCGCCAATCGTGTCGCTGAAGTGACAGCAATTTGATCCATTTTCTCTTTGGTGATGCGATTTTCAATGCGACAGAGTGCTCATTATTTTCCCGACAGACTGATGGTACGTATGTATTCTTCTTTCATCGTATTACTTCCAAAATTTGATTATTTTTTTATTTACCGCTTCTTGACGTACCGCGACTTCCCCTGTCTGACATTGAGCTCCGTTTTTTCTTTGCAGACATACGATTGAGGCGGAGATCATCCTCGGTCCGGTATTCAAATTTCCAGCGGCGTTGTGATGAAGTTGTGAAGGTTGGGAGCAGGTCAACGCACGCTTATATAAAAGGCCGATGAAAGAGGAGCGCTTATGCGGCAGTCCGTCGGGCAGAATGATCTCAATTTCTTGTTGGTTCTTTGTTATTTGTTTGGTCTCAGGTGAGTGGAAGGTCGAGGGTAGATGAGTGGTGGTCTGGCAAAGCATCTCTTTGAGTATTGGCAAACTCAATGTTTGTGGGATAAAAAAATTTACAGCAAGTTTTCGTACTGTACCCTTGCTTTAAAGCCACAAATTTTCTAAGCACAATGGTCAGATCTTTATCAAATTATAGCATTTTCATCAGGCATGACTACAAGATCGGGCCTTTGGCATTTCCGAGCTTCCGGCTTTTGAATTTCAATTTTTCCGCCGTTTTGGCAATATTTTGGCATTGTGTTTTACGCCCGTTTTTGGGGTGTTTTATCGTCGCCAGCAACATCCCGAAACGAAAAAATGTCCCCGATCCCTGTAGAGCCACAAATACCCCTTGTTGCATAATGCCAAGAACCCAAAATTGACATCACAATTTTTTGTTTCATTACGCAAAAAAAGTTTCTGGGAGGGGCTTGGCCTTTAAATTTTTAACCTCGGACCCAAAGGCCTCCTCCGGCCCTTTAAGACATTTTTTTGAAGATTTTTGAATTTCAATTTTTCATCATTTTGGCAATATCTTGGCATTGTGTTCTTGGCACCACCCTTATTTCTAAAGGTGTTTTATCGTTGCTAACTACATTTCGAACATCAAAACATTGTTTTCGATCCATTTAGAGCCACAAATACACCTTGTTGCACAATGCCAAGAACCCAAAGTTGGCATCCCAAGTTTTCGTTTCAAATCGCAAAAAAATTTTTTTTGCTGACAATGACAGGGGCACGTCAAGAAATTCCGGGCATTGCAAAGGTTCTCACAGCGAAAAAAAATTCATAAAATATGTCATCCAAATCGCACATAACAACAATGTTTAACCTATTTTTTTTTTATGGGAACTCTAGGGAGTACTACTAGTCGTATACAACTGTTTTTTATACCACTGGCACATTCTGAATGGGTGTCATCGTGACGCATTTTTTGAACACGGTTCGAGCTAGGCTAAAAATAGTGCAAATTTCAAGGCCGAATATCAAAAAAACTGTCCCATCAAGCGGGACGAGACCGATGTAGATACTCGAAGAATAGTTTAAGGATTTTTTTGACGTGGAGCCTATACCCCCTTCCAGTTCTCTCTGACTCGGTATCGTCGATACAAAATTTTATTTAGACGTTGTTTTCTTCGCCTTGGAAGACTGTCAAAATACTATGATTATGGGTATATTTTGGTTCTATTAGCTTAAGCAACTCTCGAGCTTTCTATTGGTATCAATATCTTGTGATTTACTATTAATCTTTATGTCAAAATCTTGCAAACCATTTGGACAAAAACGGATTTGCACCGGGCAGAATGCCAAAAAAAATACTAGGCTTTTTCATTGGGCGCCCGTTTTTCTTTTATTTTTTCTTGACGTGAGGGGCCGGGGCCTTAAATTTTCAATCTTGAGCCCGGCCCCACAAAAGTTACTTGAGTCCCGGCCCCAGAAAAGCTCGGCCCGGCTCTTTTCAAAAATTCCGAAGCCCGGCCCCTGCCATTTTTGGGGTTAAGTATCTCCGCTCTTCCTGAAAATCAAGGGCCAATATTTTTATAAATTGACATGTGATCTAGACAGCGGATATACGAAAAATTTGAAGGAAATCTGACCGCAAAATTTTGTAAACTTCAAGGATCAACCTGATGACTAAAACAATACAATACTGTCTTTTCCAGAAGCTGTAATCTCAAACGACAAAAAGCAGCCATATATCAACGAGGATGGTGCTCAAGTCATTCCCATGGGGAAGGAGGAGGTCGAGGAAATGTATCGAAAATGGACTCAGCAAGGCGTCAGCTCGGTGATCGCCGCATTGGCCAATAATAAGTGAGTATTTTGCCGAAAACTCGGCCATAAAACCTGAAAAAAATAAATGTTTCTCGTATTTTACAATTTGAAGATTCTATTTCACAACTTGCAGACTAAAAAAACATCGAGCACGGGTACGTGACGCCTTCGGAAAGTGCACAAAAGAGGCCAAAAACATCAACATGCAGGCAATTTGTGTTCAGCGCCTGGAGAATGGGGATTTCGCGCCAATTATTGTTCTTGGTAAGGTATGTTGGTTTTTACGGACATAGCCGACATTGCAGCGTCTGCAGAGAATTTTTGGGTTCTTTAATGCTCGGGAAAAAATAGAATTTTTTTTTCGATATTTTTAACTGTCATTTCGAACTCAAAAATCAGAGATCTTTACGCCTAAAGACGGGAGAAATCTATGATTTTTTGTGTGAAAATTTGGAATTTTATGTGGTACTATTTTTTTTTGTAGTGAGCATATTTTTTTGACAGTACTTTTCCAATTTTTCGGTGAAAAAATGAATTTTTACTTTTAGAAAATTCAAAAAAATTTTAAAAAATGAAAAAATGAAAAAAATATCGGTTAATTCTGCATAACGCGATTTTAAAAAAATCCCGCAAAAGCCTCAGAAAACCATATTTTATTGTTAAATTTGCATTTTTTTAAAATTTTTTTGTATTTTCTAAAGGTAAAAATTAATTTTTTTTTGAAATAATAACCCAAGCGCGACGCTCAGATTTTCTTTAAATTTCGCACACACATCACGCATAGGTCATAGCTCAATTCCTGAAAATTTTAGCTCTCACTTTGCTAGCAGAGCCGAGATATCAACGATCTTTCGTGAGAGCACGCAAAAGAGGGAGAGCGGTCAGAGAAAGGCACTTTTTGCCCATATCTTTGCCAGTTTTGGGTGGAAAAAATTGATTTTTTGTGGAAACATTATACTCTGCGGTAGAAATAAATACCAAACTTTTCATGCCGAAATTCGAAAAAAAAAATTTTGAACTTTTTCAAACTTTCGACCTAAAAATCTCGGTTGTTTGTGGAAAACGCGAGCTAGGAGTCTTGTATATGTCTTAGAAAGAGCTATTCTAAATTTGTGCCAAGTTTCATCATGATATGAGCGTCGTACTGGCCCAATTTTCGAGAGAGAAAAACTTGACCCATGGGGGTCAGATTTGACTCCATCTGGCTGAGAGATGCAAATCGCGAGCTAAAATTTTTTGAAATTGAAATTAAGTAAAATACTTACGTAGTAAACAATTTTTTTATTTTTTTTATGACAACGCAATTTTCAGAACAAAACACGGACCCGTCTCGACCGCCTGAAAGAGTCTTCTCCTCAACGAACCGACCGATTGAATCGACTGAAAAATGCGAGCAAATCGTCGGCTTGGGTGGGGAACTTCCGAACGTCTCGCTCCAAACGCTCTCCCGGCGTTCGCAACAGCCAAAGTTATCGGCTGTTCAAGAGTCACGGCGACACCACGCCGTTCGGCACTGTCGCCAAGAATTTGCTGAAATCAGTGCTGGGAATCAAACACAAGGAGCAACGTGAACGGTAATGTTGGATTGGGGATGAAAAATGTGGCCAAATGGTCTTCGGGCTAAAAAAAAAAAAATTTTCAAGGTGAAATCTCGGGAAAAATTTTTTGTTGCAGCCGAAGAGGCCTCCTAAAAAATTCGAAGAGGCCCCCTTAAAAAATGTCGAAGAGGCCCCTTTTTTTCTTTTTGCATAAAACGCCCGTTGCAGGCGAAGACATAGCTCAGCCGAAGAGGCCCCCTTTTTTTCTTTTTCACAAAAATTCCCGAGAGGCTCCCAAAATGGAACTTTTTTTTCAAAATCAAAAAATAGGGTTTGACATGTTATACGATGGAAAGATTTTGTCATCGTATAACATGTCACACCCTATTTTTTTATTTTGCAAAAGTTTTTGGAGCCCCCATTTCAATTTTAAACAAATTTTTTTTAAAAAGGGGCCTCTTCGTTTTGGGGCCTCTTCATTTTGGGGGCCTCTTCGGCCTCAATCATGTTATTGAAGGTGAAAAGTTTTTTTGCGAATAACTCGCGAACTAATGGACAAAAATTTACAAAACTTGAATTGTAGCGGTCTACATGCCTTTTTTACGACGAAAAAATTTTTAGCTAAATGCCCTTGGGGGTTTTTTTTGAAATCAAGATTTTCCCAAGAAATCCGACAAATTTTTGTTTTTGAAAAAAGTGATGATTTGCCAGAGGCAAAAACTAAATTTATTGCTCAAAACAAGGTCCCATAGTACCTCTAAGACATGAATTAGAAACATTTCCCCAATTACCTTCTAGGTAATCAGCAAAAAACAACTTATGATTCTTTTTCAGATGGGAGGACGTTGTGGAACAAGCAAAAGTCTTGAACAAAAAAGGCTCCCGGATATTCGAGAAGAATGGAGATTCGGACGAAAGTCTCGACGACCCAATGAAATTCCGGTCCATTGCCAAGAGCTACGAGCGAGAAAAGGGCGGAGAAATGATGGAGTTGTCGAGAAAGGTAGGCTTTTACTATAAAGGGGACCACCTCAAGTGCGACGCTCAGATTTTCATAAAATTTTGCACATAGTTCAGGCATATTTCATAGCTCAATTACTGAAAATTTCAGCTCGCGCTTTGCAGCGAGAGCCGAGATATTCAACAATTTTTCGAGAGAGCACGCGAAATGTGGAGAGTCAGAGAAAAACACTTTTTGGCCATATCTTTGGCAGTTTTGCGTGGAAAAAATTGATTTTTTCGTGGAAATATTACTCCACAATAGAAATATATTAAGAAAAGAAACTTTGAAGCCAAAATTTTTAAAAAAATTTCAAATTTTTGCCAATTTTCGAGCAAAAAATCTCGATGGTTTCTGCAAAGCGCGAGCTAGGTGTCTCGGATATGGTTTAGAAATAATTATTCCAAATTTGTGCCAAGTTTCATCAAAATCGGAGCGTCGCAAAGTACTTATCCTGTAGGACAAAAAGAAGCCATTTTTCGTCAGGCCGGCTCTCCTAATTTCTTGTGCTCTCTCAAAAAGAGGATCCTTAAAAATATGTCGGCAAACGCCTAAAAATTGCCTAAAAATGATGACTTTGTCTACTTCCCTTGTCAAAAAAAATATTTTTTTTTGGAAAAATATCAGTCTGTCGGGAAAATAATGAGCACGAAAATCGCATCGAAAATCGCACCGAAAAAATGAACTATATCGCGACAAAGTTTCTCTTTACTTTCTTTTTATTTCTTTTTACTTCAGCGACGCGATTGGCCCAGCGGCATTTTGCACATTATTTTCCCGACAGACTGATAAAACATTAACTTTTTCATTTTTTTCCAATTTTTTCTTATCTGTTTTTCGTTTCAGCTCTCCGAACTTGAAGAGGTTGACGAGCACGACCCGCGGGCTCGCCAACTCCTCCGAGATATTGTGGACGGGCAAAAAGAGAGGCCAAAAGTTATGACGCCCCAAGAGAAGGTGGCGAATCTGTTGAAGGATGGGCTGAAATTGGGCTACTCGCTGGCTGGACAGAACACAAGCGACTTCGATGAGAAATCGTTGAGAATTGCGTCGCCGAGATTCCTCAGTCTGATGCCGGAACAGGAGTCGAAGAATGAGGTAAAATGATAGCGAAAATGTTTTAGCTAAACTGGCAAAGATACGACAAAAAGGCATTCAAAAATCGTATTTCAGATTGAGCTCGCCTCTCCGTCGCTGCTCAGCCTCCACAATCAAGGGCATGGGATTGAAAACCTCACAAGTCTCCCGAATCTCCTCAACGGCATCAACGAACAGGACCGACAGGCGTGGCTGGACCTCGTCGTCGAAGCGTCCGGCGTGACCGATCAGCTGAAGGACCTCGCCGAAGTAGGTTTACCCTCCTCGGCGTGGTGGAGTCTCGGATATAACAAGACAATTTTTCGATAGGTGAAGGCGAAGAGGCCCCTTTACCAGGGAGTGTTGCAAAAAAGGCGAAGAGGCCTCTTTTTTCGTTTTCAAAGTCCGAAGAGCCCCCCCCCCCCACCGAAGAGGCCCACCTACCAAAGAGGCTCCTCAAAAAAAGGCGAAGAGGCCCCCAAAACGAAAATGCCCCCTTTTCAAAATGGGGTGTGACATGTTATACGATGAAATTTTTCAAAATGAAAAAATAGTGTGTGACATGTTATACAATGCACATTTTTTTAAATCTACTTTGTTGATTGCAATAAATTGAAGTAATCATACGATGAGAATTTTAGTGCAGGCTATACATTTCACACCCTATTTTTTCATTTTGCAAATTTTTTTTCATCGTATAACATGTCACACCCCATTTTGAAATAAAAAAAATTTTTGGAAAGGGGCCTCTTCATATTGGGGGCTCCTTTCGTTTAGGGGGCCTTTTCATTTTGGGACTTCTTCATTTTTGGGGCCTCTTTATGTTTGGGACCTCTTCGTTTTAGGGACCTCTTCTTCGATCTCGATCTTTTTCCATGCCCAAAAAATTTGTTATACAGAGACGTCCCGCCAGACATAAGCTAGCTTGTTATTACGGTGATTGTAGAATTTAGATCAAAGGAATGGCGGCCCGTTCGAAGATGGGTTTGAGGGATATCGAAAGCGTGGCAAACGCGAAGACGGAATGCCCTTGTACTTCACGAAGGAGAATGTGACAAAGATCTACGGGGAAAAGGGGCAGAGCAATTTGGAGCACTGGAATGGATTGAATAAGATGTTCACTAAAGAGCAGGTAACTTGGTTTACAATTCATTGACTTAAGGCGGGGATTTTGGAGAATAGATCCGAAAAAGGCACCTCCGCGGGGAGGGCACCTCGGCGAATAGGGCACTAGGGTGAAGAGGGTGACTCGGCGAAAAGGGCACCTCGGCGAAAAGGGCACCTCGGCGAAAAAGGCGCCTCGGCGAAGAGGGCAAATGGGCTAATTCGACACATGAACGAAGAGGTCACCTTAAAGAAAAAATGATATGGCAAGAGCGGGACCAAGGTGGATTTTCTAAGATTGATTGTTTAGTTATGGAAAAGGCGAAAGTTCCAAAAAAAATTTAAATGCCCGCTGCAAAACAGACCTGTTCATTTTTTTGGAAAACTAAACGATCATTGTTAAAAAATCGGCCTTGGTCCCCCTTACCATGTCATGTTTTCTCAAGGTGCCCTCTCCGCTAGGTGCCCTCTTCGCCGAGGTGTCCTCTCCGCTAGGTGCCCTCTTCGCCGAGGTGTTCTTTTCCTCTGAGATGCCCTCTTCGCCGAGGTGCTCACTTCACCCAGGTGCCCTCTTCAAACCAAATTGGCCACAGCCCCTCTCTAAAATCAACCTCATCCTTTCAGCTGAAAGAAATGAACTCCACCGGCTTCGCGATCCTCACCAAGCCCCAGCAGCAGTACATGTACGGCGACTCCTCGCCATATTCAAACCGCGACGCCTTGCAACGCTTCCAGAACCTCAGCAAAGCCGACGTCTACGACGAGCTGGACCGCGACGTGAAGGCGTTGTCGCGGCCGGGCGCCCGACTCGACTCCCGACTCCAGGACATCATCCTGGCGCCCGTCTCGTTTACCTGGGTGGTGGGCACGCTGAACGTGGCGTCCTCGACGATCCTGTCGCCGGTCTCGTTTTCGCCGAGCATCCTGTCGCCGGTCATCTTCGGCCCGATGATCATTTCGCCGTGGATTTTTTCGCCGCTCATTTTGTCGCCCAAGCTGATGTCGCCGCTGATTTTGGCGCCGTACATTTTCTCGCCGATCATTTTGTCGCCGTTAGTGTTGCATCCGCAGATTTTGTCGCCGGGTGTGTTTACGCCGCACATTCTGGTCCCGTTCTTGTTGTCGCCGCTGATCCTGACGCCGCAGGTAAAGTTTTATGACAGTTTTAGCTTCAGGCTTTAATCCACTCAGTAGCAGGCGAAGAGCCCCCTAAAGACCCCCCCCCAAAAGGCGAAAAGGCCCCTTTTATCATTTTCACGAAAAAGACGAAGAGGCCCCCACCGAACAGGGCCTTTTCGTTTTTTGGGGCCAGTTCATTTTAGGAGTTCTTTATTTTGGGGAGTTTTTTCGTTTTGGGGGCCTGTTCGTTTTGGGGCCTCTTCGGTCTTTTTCCATGGCCAAAATGGAACTACTTCTCATTTTGAAGATTTTTTGAGGGGACCTCTTCGTTTTGTGGGCCTCTTCGGTTGGGTCCTTTTCGTCTTGGGGACCATTCTTTTTGAGGGTCTTTTTGTTTTGGAGGCCTCTTCGTTTTGGGCCTCTTCTGTCTCAATTTTTTCCATGGCCATACTCATTTTGAAGTTTTTTAAGAGGCCTCTTCGTTTTGGGGGCCATTCATTTTTGGGGTCTTTTTGTTTTGGGGGCCTCTTCGCTTTGGGGGCCTCTTCGCTTTTGGGGCCATTCATTTTTGGGGCCTTTTTGCTGTGGGGGCCTCTTCATTTCGGGGGCTTTTTCGTTTTGGGGACCTCTTCGTTCCGAGCCACAGAATTTTGGGAGATTTTGGAAAGCGACAATTCGAAAATAGACACTTTTATAGCCCTGCCGGCCAGCCAAAGCTCTAATTCGCTGGTCTTGCCTCAGGAATCCCTGTTTTCTTCCGAGAGTAGTACTCTTCGAGCAAATATAAGAATAAAAAAAAATATTTTTTTTTCAAATTTCATTTCATTTCAGGTCTTTTGCCCGCTGATTCTGTCCCCTCTGGTAATGGCGCCAGTGATTGCGAATCCGGCGGTGGGCTCGCCCAAGGTCCTCTCGCCCTTCGTTTTGTCGCCCTCGTTGTATTCGCCGCAGGCATTGAGCGGCCTGGTCTTGTCGCCGTACGCGTTGAGCCCGTTGTTCTTCTCGAAAGTGTACTTTTTCCGTCTTATCTTGTCGCCCTCGTGGCTCAGCTAGTCTGGTTTTTTCAGATCGGTTATGGGGAAGGTCTCCCCAAGTGTATATCTTTGATGACTTTGATTTTTGTTTTAATTTTGCAAGTATACTTTAAATAGGCCATGTTTCAATTGCTGAAAATTTTAGCCTTTAATTTGTAAGGAGAGCTGAGATATTCAACAATCTTTGTGGACGAGAGAGTATGGGGAGTGGGGAGAGCGGTCAGAGAAAATTAACGTTTTTGGGCTATAACTTTGCGAATTTTGTGGGGAAAAAGTTGATTTTTGGTGGGAAAATAGTGCATTAGACATGAAACAGAATGCCAATTTTTTTTAATATGAAACAGAATGCCAAATTTTTATTTTTTTTCAAAAATTTGAAAAAAAATTTCCGAAAAATCCAAAATTTTTTTCAAATTTTCAAAACCAAAAAATTTGCATTTTATTTCACATGTAATGAACAAGATTTCTACAAAAAATCAATTTTTTCCCTGCGAAATTCACAAAGATATAGCCCAAAACGTTAAGTTTTCTCTGCCCGCTCTCCTCATTTTGCGTGCTCTCTCCAAAAAAGATTGTTGAATATCTCGGCGTTGACCGAAAAAATTTGGCTAAAACTTTCAGAGATTAAAATACAGGCTCTTTAGAGGATACCTGAGAAATTTGGAAAGAATCCGAGCCTTCAGCTCGGAGAATTTCGCATTTTTGTCTACTACAATATTTATTGATCACCGGTGAGAAAAGAATTCAGATTTATTTTTACTTTTTCGAAATAATACCGTAATCTTTGTTGTCCAACTTAACTTATGACTAATAAATTTTTCGCTGAAAGACATTTTACAGTAATCCGGGTACGGTAATTGGAATTACAGTAGTCCCTTTTCAACGCATGAATGCGATAATTTGTTCGCGCAAAAGCCCGAAATACTTGGGTTGTTGGGCTTCGTTCTCGAAGACATGTCGATAGTCGCGATAGACAACACTCCAGCCGTACAGGGTGAGGCCGAAAACGAGCAGTAGGAGGACGAAGAAGAGGAAGAAGCCGACCGTGTAGGGCTCGGCAATGATGTTGTAGATGATCGACCAGATCAGCGCGAACGCAATGAACAGCTGCAATTTTTATTGTTATTATTTTTAAACCATTTTTTTTTTTTTTTTTTTTTTTTTTTGATTTTTTCCCAAATTTGCTTTTTATAAGTTAAAAATGAAATGCTGAATTTTAGCTCGCGCTTTGCAGGGAGAGCTCAGAAATTCAAGAATTTTTGCAGATAAGAGATATAGGGAATGTGTGGAGTAGGGAGACCGAGCAGACAAAAAATCAGATACAAAATGCACAATTTTTCATCCGGGAAGTACCAAAAATGTGGCAAAATACCTCCCACTACAAATAAAAAAAACTCCGTTTTGAAAAATTCCTTCAAAAAATTAATTTTTTCCATGCGACATTATATTATAGTAATGGACCGGATCCAGTGGCAAAAAACGTACTATTTCGTATCCGGGAAGCATCGAAAATACAGCAAAATACCTCCCTCTCCAAGTTGTTTTGAAGGGCGCGCTTTTGAAATCGGAGTATTTTCACTTGGAGAGGGAAGCATTTTGCCACATTTTTGATACTTCCCGGATGCAAAATGGGTGGTTGTTTGCCAAAGGATCAGGTCCGCCACTGTAACTTCGCGAATTTCATGAGAAAAAGTAGATTTTTTTGTGGAAACATAGTGAATTCGACATGAAACGGAATGCCAATTTTTCCGAAAATTTGAAAAAAACCGATTTTTTCGCAGGTTTGGTAAAAAGATTAAAATTTTCTATCATTTCGGGACCTAAAGACCGCAAAGGAAGATATAAAAACTTCCCACATCTTCTTGTTTTTGAACATGAGTAGGCGGTCAGAGAAAAATCGATGACTTTTCGACTAAATTTTTGCGAATTTTGCGTGTAAAAACCCAATTTCTCTGGGAAGCTTTGCTTCAAAAATGGATTTAGTTTTTGTTCCAAAAATCGCTAAAAGTTACATGCAAAAGAACCGCCTTACCGTGACAACCAAGAAGACAAAGTATCCAATATCCAGTCGCCTCAAGTTGGCCAAGATTGCTATCAGGTTAACGGACACTCCAGCAAATGAGATGACAAATACAATCCAATGCAGAGTCGGTAATGCGAATACGGCAAGAAGTAGCCAAACTCCGATCGTTACTCCGCAAATTATCTTGACTAGGTCCTGAAATATGAATTAGAGAGGGTGAAACACAATGCCAAAGTATTGCCAAAATGGCGGGAAAATTGGCAATCAAAAATATTAAATTTTTTTTTGATTTTTACTTTTTTCAAAAATTAAAAAAAAAAATTTTTCTTTTATTTTTCCAAAAAATCCCCCAAAAAAACTTACATGAACATGAATCCCGCGGAACCCATACAAATAATCTTCGCCGCGATCCGCCAACGGCGCCTTGATCCGATTGCGGAAAGCCTCCATTCGCCCTGAATTCAGAAATTTGGAGAACATTTTTTGTGAAACAAAAGATATTCGAATAATAACAGGGATTGGGCAAACATCGGCGAGGTCGTCGTTTCCAGATCTATTCGAGATTTTGAATAAACAATGGGACGCGTGGATTTTTTTGAGGCCATCATTTGAGCGCCTGAGGGGAATTTATGAGAAAAATTGTTGGTTGGTTCCAATTTTTTATGAAATTTTTTATGACGTCATAATTTTTTTTTTAATTTTCAGAAGAGATTGCCTAGTTTTTTTGAGGCCGGGGCTCTACCATATTTTTTGGAGCCGGGCTTCGATTTTGAGATTGTAAATTTTAGGCCCGGCCCTATTCAAAAAAAAAAAGATTTGTCCTGAAACGAAAACTTGGGATGCCAATTTTGGGTTCTTGGCATTATGCAACAAGATGTATTTTAGCTCTATAAAGATCAAAAAAACTTATTTGCTGTTCGAAATGTTGCTGACGACGATAAAACACCTCAAAAACGAGCCAAAAATTTTTTTTGGTTTTGAAACGAAAACTTGGGATGCCAATTTTGGGTTATTGGCATTATGCAACAAGATGTATTTTAGCTCTATAAGGATCGAAAAAACTTGTCTGCTGTTCGAAATGTTGCTGGCGACGATAAAACACGGCAAAAACGGGCCAAAAACACAATGCCAAGATATTGCCAAAATGGCGGGAAAATTGAAATTCAAAAATATTTTTTAAAAAATCGTTTTTAGGAGTGGCAAAATGAAGAAGAATCTCACTGTGCGCCGCAAAAAAGTCCATGCACTCTTGAAAACCAAAAAAATTGTCTACGCAATTTATGAAAATATGGACTAATATGAGAGACTTCCCCCCGTAAACAACCCTCGCTTTGACCCTCACGCAACTTTATTAAGCGCATTTTAGGTTTCGCAACGCCTCATAAATTTCGCTTCGATTTGAGCCCTGAGGTTCTTTCCATTGTTTTCCGAGTTGAGAAATTCGCTTTTTTCTCTCCAACCCCGCTTGATCTGGCGCTTGTTTTTTATAGTGATTCAGGCGAATAACATCAGATAAAAGTTAGTTTTTGAAGGACAGTTCAAAAAAATTTTTGTTTGTGATAATCTGTCGGGAAAATAATGAGCGGAATGTCGCTGTGTCGATTGTGTCGCTGAAATGAAAATTGCGGCGATTTTCGTTGCGACCGAATGCTCATTATTTTCCCAACAGACTGATATTTATGGCACAAATTTTTTTAAAAAAATCAGAGAAAAGTTTTAAAAAATCTAAAATGAATTTTAAAAAATGCAAAAAACTTGTCGAAAAATCCCAAAAATCATAAAAAAAATACAAAAAAGTAGTTTACGCCAAGTTTTACCAAAATTTGCTCGTCGCACTTGGCGTACTTGCCCAAGTTCAGAGAGAGAAAAACTTGACCCGTGGGGGTCAGACATGACGCCATCCGGCCGTGAGATGCAAAGCGCGAGCTAAAAATTTTTGAAATTGAAATTAAGTAAAGTACAGTACATAATTTTTTGCCATAATGCAATTTTCAGAACAAAAACCGGACCCGTCTCGACCGCCTGAAAGAGTCCTCTCCTCAACGCCATCCGGCTGTGAGATGCAAAGCGCGAGCTTTCCAAAAAAAAACATTTTTTCTCTGGCCGACACTCCTAATTTCTCGCGCTCTCTCGAAAGGAAAATCCTTTAAATACTAACAATAAGTAGTATTTCCTTTCATAAAGTGCGTAGACTTTTCGTTACGTGCGAAAATACTTTTTGCATGTATTTTTTTCCATTTTTCGCACAGTGCATCGAAAATATCGCCGCAATGTAGCCTTTTTTCAGTCTGTCGGGAAAATAATGGGGTCTGTCGCTATGCTAATCCCATCGCTGAAATGAAAAGCAATTTAATTTTGTCACGACACAAGTCATTTTCTCTGATTTTCGATGCGACAGAGTGCCCATTATTTTCCCGACAGACTAATAGATCAATAATAAAAATAAAAAAAAACCCCCGAAAAGATAGAAAAAGCAGGTTGAAAAGCCCAAGGGATTGATTTTTAATCCCATCCTTGACACTGACCAACTCATAAGCTCGCAAAAACCTCTCCAAAGCGTCGCAAAAAGACTCTTCCCACATGGTTCGAACTCCTTTTTATTGATGTCAAAAAAAAAGAGATCGCCCCAAAAATCCCCATCCTTCCTACCTTTTTACCTCTCTGTTCCAATTGCGTCAGGTGGGAATCGAAAAAAATCGGGAAAAAGAAAGGAAAAAAGTTTTGTTTTCCCCAACCCAAGAGCAATTACAATATTGCTAATGAAGAAGAGTGGGGGGAAGGAAGTGGTTTAAAGTTTTAGAGCGGCGAAAGAAATCAAAAATTTGGAATTTGAAGAGTGCAATGGGCCCGTTGTAAAATGATTCTTACATCGATTCCAAGGGGCGACAAATCCACATTATTTTTCCGACAGACTAAAAACGATTTTTTTTTGTGGAGATATTACCCTCTGCGGTAGAAATAAACACTTTTTAAATGCTCATTATTTCAATCTGTCGGGAAAGTAATGAGCGCAATATCGCTGCGTCATCGCCGAAGTGAAAAGCAATTTGATTTTGTCGCGACACGATTAATTTCTTCGGCGATGATGCGATTTTCGCTGCGACAGAGTGCTCATTATTTTCCCGACAGACTGATAGCATTTCATATATATATTCTGAGGACAGTCAGTCAGACGAAAAAACCTTTTTTTCCTTCATATTTTTCGTTTTTGCTCAACGTTCTCTCTCTCTGCAGAGTGCGCTACGAATCCAAGACAAAGATCTTGGACATCGAAAGCATCAACGATGATATTGTTGGGCCCATCAACGAAGCGCATCGTGGAGTCAAGAAGACCGCAAGATCCGACAAATTGGTCTTGGTATGTTTGGGTTGAGCCTGAACTCTCCCCCTTTTCTGAACTTTCCCCCAATCTGAACTCTACCCTTTTTGATTTTCGCCAAAAAATCTGAATTCTCTCCCTTTTTGAACACTCCCCCATTTTGAAAATTGAAAAAACGAGGTGTGACATGTTATACGATGAAAAAATTTTTTAAATTGAAAAGAATAATGTGTAACATCTTATACGATGAAAATTCTTTTCAATTTTTTTCAGTTGCAACGAATCTCGGCGGTGATACGATTTTCGATCCGACAGAGTGCTCATTATTTTTCGCCCAGGCTGATATTAGTCTGTCGGGAAAATAATGTGGATTTGTTGCCCCTTGGAATCGCCCATCCTCACTTTGCGACGGCTAGATTTGCAACGCGACCAAGCGCGAGACTTTTTTTCGACGCGAAATCCACATTATTTTCCAGACAGGTTGATAAGAATGTACCTCAAAGATTCATGAAAAAATTTTTTCAGAGAGTATGGAAAATGAGGAGGGCGGTCAGAGAAAAGACGGTTTTTTACTCCATTTTGCCAGAATTTCCATTGCGGGCATCCGCAACATTTACTACTCGTTTATTCGGCGACAGTATGTATTATAAAATGCAAAAATCCGTATGATCAGTCTGTCGGGAAAATAATGAGCACCCTGTCGCATCGAAAATCACATCGCCAAGAAAATGACTTGTGTCGCGGCAAAATCAATTTGCTTTTCACTTCAGCGACACGAGCGACATTGTGCTCATTATTTTCCCGACAGACCAAAAAATATTATAATTGATAGTCAATCCCAATATCTTTATCCGTCAGATTGCGCGACAGCTCCAACGCTTCGTCCTCGATGCTGGTTAAGTCGTCCAGCGGCTGGTCGGTGAGCAATTCGTAGACCAAATCGCCCAGGAACCAGACCGCCGCTCGATGGCCAATTCGTTGCAACTGAAAGCGTAAAGTTTATATCGAAAAATTCATTAAAATGCAATGTTTGTAAAGATGCAATGTTTGTAAAGATGCAATGTCCCTTTAGCAACGAACATACCAAGACCAATTTGTCGTATCTTTCGGTCTTCTTGATACCACGATGTGTTTCGTTGATGGGCCCAACAATGTCATCGTCGATGCTTTCGATGCCCAAGATCTTCGTCTTGGATTCGTAGCGCACTCTGAAATATACAGAACGTTGTGCAAAGACAAATGATACGTAGGAAAAATCACTGACGCTACGACTCTTCGGGTCAAGATATTCCGCGAAAAGTTTTTTTTCGATTTCTTGATGCTCAGTCGTGGACCCGAAAAGTCAACACGCGAAATGGTAGGGGCAAGGCGAAAAACACCGCCTTCCAAAGGGGTTTTATCAGTCTGTCGGCAAAATAATATGCGCAATGTCGCTGCGCCGTCACGTGGGGCCACCGCCGCCGCAACAGCATTCAACCCGTCGCGGCGTCCCGCCACGAAACCCGAAAGGAGACCGCAATCAACCGAGACGTGGATTTGGAAGGAAAGGAAGATCATAGTTTGAAAGTCGCAGCCTGAGCGAGCGGTTGGCCGTCAGAGCGTGTGGACAATTGGAATAGATCGTGTGTATTGGCCAGTTTCTATATTGTGGTATTTGGGAGAATAAAGAGGCCATTGGTAATTGTTGGAGTGTTGGGAGAGTCTGGGACAGCGTATTAGGAGACTCGGTGTCTGATCGTGCTGACAAGGCCACTACCGTCTAGGACAGCGTATTAGGAGACTCGGTGTCTGATCGTGCTGACAAGGCCACTACTGTCTAGGACAGCGTATTAGGAGACCCGGTGTCTGATCGTGTTGACGAGGCACGTCAAGCTGATCGTGAGATAAGCGAAAACAGTCCAGTGAATGGATTGGCCATTTGCCAAAAAAAGACGCGAAAGAACGTTTTGTCGGGGAAGAAATGGGGATTTTTTGGGCCGAGAGAGTATGTTTTTGCGTGTCTTTTTCTCTCTTTCTCTGCGAAATCAAGACGAAGTGTAAAAAGCCGATAGCGAAGGGTCTATTCCGGTCACCGGACTCCTCAGTTTGACGTGCCATGGCCTGCGATGGAGTGACCTTACACTGACCAGACAATGGAATCCCGACTGATACACTCCAGGATTTTACATGTGATTAGTGTGAATAAATTGAATTGAAATTGAAACTAATAGTATCTTCAACTCACGGCGTGTTAATGTCCGCCAAATATTTGCTCTCCCCATCCGGATTCAGCCCATTGATTGGATTGCAGAGCTCGTAATTCGGGTCCTCTCGGCACTCAATCATCCCGCGATGCGCGCCGGCGACGCCCAGCCAAGTGCGAATGCGGGCGGTGAGCGGCGCGCCCAAGTCTTCGCCGGTGTCGACGCAGCGTCCGCCCAGAATCGCCTTCTTCGAGAACGGGACGCCCATCGAGAAGCCGACCACGTCCACCTTGGGGTAGGTGGTGTAGTTCAGAACCGCCTCAATCATCAAGCGCACCTGCTTGATGTAGTCGCAGTAGGCGCGGTCGTGCATGTAGTTCGTGCCGGTCACGTTCTTCCCGTAGGTCGTACCGTAGACTTCGGCGAAGGAGTAGCCGTGCGCGTGGAAGGGCTTGAGGACGTAGTCCAAGTCGCGGGCGCGACGAGTCTGCCCGTGCACGAAGACGATTGGGACTTTTCTGAAAATTTGCAAACATCATAGATATTTAGGGGAGGGGCAAAAAGTTTCTAAATTCTCAAGGTACGACTTAACTTTTTCCCCATAGATTTTGCCAATATGGCCTACAGTGGTCACAAATCAATTCCTCGAAAGTTTAACTAGTGCTTTGCAGAAGCAATATGCAACAAACTTTGCTGTAGAGAGTAGGGAAAATGAGGAGAGCGGAGTAAAAACTTTTCTTGCTATATCTTTCATACAGTGGCGGACCTGATATATTGGCAAAAAACATATCATTTTGCATCCCGAAAGTATTAAAAGTGTGGCAAAATACCTCCCTCTCCAAGTGAAAAAACTCCGATTTCAGAAGCGCACCCGCTCTTTTTGTGAGGGAGCTCTTCAAAACTGAGTTTTTTTAGTTGGAGAGGGAGGCATTTTGGCATATTTTTGTTACTTCCCGGATGCAAAATGATACGTTTTTGGCACTGGATCAGGTTCCTCGATTCGAAGCCGCGACGATTTCTCAGGTCGAGTGGCCCACCCTGTACTTTAGCAAGCCGTATTTTAACAGCTAATATGTATAACAACAAAAAAACTCACATCAACTTGGGCACCCCTTCCTCATCGGAGCCCCCGAACGATCCCCTCCATCCCACGTCCTCTCTGGCCAACCGTTCAGCGATTTCCTCCCCGAAATTCTCCGCGATATGCCGGCGAAAGGGCTTTGAGATGGTGCCGTGCGTGTGGTATACAAACAACACACAAGTTACGGCGGCAATTAACCAAAATTTCATCTGAAAAAGCACAACAAATTTAACTGTTTCCGAGGCATTTTTTATCAATTTTTATGGTGATTAACAGGGAAATGAAGCTTTTTATAAAACGTTTATAAAGAATTAAGTGCAAGACAATTGTTTTAGGCTCTTATCTGGCTGCAAAGGTGCACGGAGAAGGGTTCAAAAGGTCAGTTGAAACACGCAAAAAGTTAACGGAGATTGGGGTGGGAAATTATGCAAATGGAAAGACCGTCCAAAAAAGGCATTGCACGGTTTCAAAAGACAGAAATTACGTGACGCTACGACTTTTCGGGGCAGTGACAGTTCGGGTGAACGATACTACGGAACGCGTCGGTTCCTCGTTGTATTCATGGGAGAGGCTGGGAGAAGGGTTAGTTAGTAGGAATAACAAGATTGGTCTAGGACAGTTTACCTCCTATTTTGAAGTATTTTACATGTACTCACATCAATAATATCTGGATAAGGGCGTTGCGGCAGAACTCTACCCCTTTTTCAACTCTAACCCTTGAATGAACCCTCCCCCTTTTTGAACACTACCCCTCATTTTGAAAATTAAAACAATGAGGTGTGACATCTTATACGATGAAAAATTTTTTCAAATTGAGAAAAATTAGGTGTGACGTCTTATACGATGAAAAATTTTTTCAAATTGAAAAGAATAAGGTGTGACATGTTATACGATGGAAATTTTTTTCAAATTGAAAAAATGAGGTGTGACATCTTATACGATGAAAAATTTTTTCAAATTGAGAAAAATTAGGTATGACGTCTTATACGATGGAAATTTTTTTCAAATTGTACGTCCGGTATCGATCGATTTTCTGTTGACCCGAACTGTCGTCGACCCGAAAAGTCGGGACGCGAATTACATAGTGCAACATGAACACCTGTTTCTCGATGTTCAATTGTGTATTTCGCCTACCTTGGTGAACATCCTCAAAGCCTCAAAAACATAGTGTAATCTGGAGGTAAATTCCATTTCAAATGTTGGAAATTGGAGAAAAACAAGACTATTTCTACCGCGAAACGTGAGAAAATGTATACCTATCAAGGAATCAGAAATACAAATCAATCAAAAATTTGTTGATTTACAAGATTTTTCGGGGAAAATACAAAAAAAAAATAAAAAAAAACAGTTAAAAATTTTTTTCAATACCTCAAAAATATTTTTTACATACCTAGATCTAAAGTAAAATTATTTTTTCCCACAAAAAAAGCTCTAAACCTTTGGTTTAACACGTCAAAAATTGTGGTCTACCCCGAGGTAAAAGCGAAACGCAGAAATTATAAAAAATGGTTTTGTTTGCGCTGAAAAAAGATCATTTTCATAACCGAACGTTGCGGTGAGGTGAAAAGCCCCTCAGCCCCGCCGTTCCGGCTATAAATTCCACTCAACTTTGTTTGAGGTTGAACTTAATTTAATGGTTTTTGATTCAGTCTATGAATTACTGTAAGTATAAAACTAGTCGGTTCTTAAAGTCGTTTCAACGATTTTTGGTGTTTGCACTGTGCAGAAAAAGTCAGGGTGCGAGCGACAGACGAAAAGGCCCATTGCACGGTGCAAAAAGCAAGAAATTGCGCGGTGCAAAGTGAACTTTTTTTTTGCACTGTGCATTTTGAACTTTTTCCCACGCTTGTCGCGAACGCACAGTGCAAAAGTTTTCCCTTCTGCGCACAGTGCACACCTCGAAAAAGCGTTTGCACAGTGCATTTTGAACTTTTTCCCACGCTTGTCGCGAACGCACAGTGCAAAAGTTTTTTCCTTTTTCGCACAGTGCAAGCCACAAAAAAAGGCATTTGCACTGTGCATTTTGAATTTTTTCCCTCGCTTGTCGCGAACGCACAATGTAAAAGTTTTTTTTCCTTTTGCGCACAGTGCAGACCTCAAAAAGCCGTTTGCACGGTGCAAATTTTTGAGCAAAACCGCGGCGAAAAAAGCGAAAAATATGATTTTATATCTTCCGCAATTGAAGATGTTCCGAACTCAAGACGAACGCAGATTTACGTATTGCATTTCATACGACGTCTTTATTTGCTCATGCGCAGTCCAAACATGGCACATGGCGTTAAACAAATACTTGCACCGTGCGAAAACGAAAGTTCACTTTTCACAGTGCAATAGGCTTTTTTGGGTGGCGCTCGCACAATGATTTTTCTGCACGGTGCAAAAGACAACTGTTTTTGGACGGACTATCACAGTGAGGGACCTGATCCAGTGGCAAAAAACGTCTCATTTTGCATCCCGAAAGGGACCAAAATGACTCCAAACCCTCCCCTTCTCAAAGCTAAAAAGTCCGTTTTGAAAAGCGCACCCCTTTCCTTCAAGGCGGACTCTTCAAAGCGGGGTTTTTTAGCTTAGAGAAGGGAAGGGTTTGGAGACATTTTGGTCCCTTACGGGATGCAAAATGAGACGTTTTTTGCCATTGGATCCGGTCCCTCAATGAGCGGGGAACACTACATATGTCATTCAATATTTAATATTTAGTCATTTGATATCTTAGTTGTCAGCTTTACTCTTATCATACTTCCTTTATATACATGATAAATGTAATGGCACAACAAGTATATGCATCAAAGATTTCTCACAATTTACTGGACAATCCCAAGATCTCTGTCGCTAATGATCCTGGCATTTTTGCCAGCAATCTCTGAGATCTTCTCCAGGTCCATAAGTGGCAATTCTTGAGAGACGTTGTAGATCATTTCACCCAGAAACCAAGTCGCTTCCCGATGGTCGAGGTTGTGCAGCTGAAATCGCGAATACTTTTACAGTGGGGAAAAATATTTGTTTAACAAGCAAAGTAAGTGCGACGCTCAGATTTGCTCTTCACAAGGAAAGGCTTCCAAGTGAGACGCGACGCTCAGGTTTTGTTAAAAATTTTTTAACATTCTTTTATCACATAGGCCACATCAATTCCAGAAAGTTTTAGCTCTCGCTATGAAGACGCAGCCGAAATATTCAACGATCTTTGCGACCGAGAGAGTACGCGAAAGGCGGAGAGCGGTCAGAGGGTCAGAGAAAGGCACTTTTTGGCCATATCTTTGCCAGCTTCGTTTAGAAAAAATTGACTTTCCAACTTTCGATCTAAAAATCTCGGCTGTTTCTGCAAAGCGCGAGCTCAGAATCTCACATCATTTTTTCAAAACAATACTCTAAATTTGTGCCAATTTTCATCTAAATCGGAGCGTCGCAAAGCACCTATCCTGTCTTTCAAAAAGAAGCCATTTTTCGTCTAGCCGACTCTCCTAATTTCTCGTGCTCTCTCAAAAAGAAACCCCTTAAAAATACGTCGGCAAACGCCTAAAAATAAGGACTTTGTGTACCTAACTTATCAACAAAACTTTTTGCGGAAAAATATCAGGCTGTCGGGAAAATAATGAGCACTCTGTCGCAACGAAAATCGCCGCCGAGAAAATGAATTATGTCGCGACAAAATCAAATTGCTTTTCACTTCAGCGATGCTATTTCAGACGCAATATAGAACTTATTATTTTCCCGACAAACTGAGATTTCGGTTCAAGTTTCGAGAGAGAAAAACTTGACTCATAGAGGGTCAGACTTGACACCACTTTGAATATTTACTATATCATTTTATCTCCAAACCCAACTCATAAACCTACCGTATACAGCTCGTTGACTCCGCGAAATGTCGCTGCATTTGCCTCGCAAGAAGTTGTGGCGGCTAAAAGATCATCAGCCGTTGATTCTATAGCGACAATTCGCTCGGTTGCTTCGTATCCGGACCTAAAAATATTATAACATCTCTTTCAAGCAAAAGAAACTTCAAAAAATTCGGGAAGAGCCCTCACTTGACATCGTTGATATCTTTGTTGTAATCACTGTCACAGAAGAGGCCGTTGTTCTCGTTGCAGAGTGGGATGTATTCTTTGACTTTGTCGCACTTGGCCAAGCCTCGTTGAACGCCCACAACGCTAATGTAGTTTCTGATTTTGTGGGTGAGCGGCTCGCCTAGATCTTCTTTCGTCTCGACACATTGGCCTCCAAGGATTGCCTGAAGAAATGGAGATACAGTGGCGAACTGATCCATTCGCCAAAATCGTACCATTTTGGATCCTGGAAGTATCAAAAATGCAGCAAAATGCCTCCCTCTCCAAGTGAAAAAACTCCGATTTCACAAGGAAAGTACTTTTATGGGGGCTCCTACTTTTTGACGGGACATATCTCAAAAAATCAGAAAAAATGTGCTGATCAAGGATATATAAATCTTAGCTGCCCATTTTAGGTTTTTAGGGGTGAAAATGCCCAAAAACTGGCTTAATTTCCCTACAAAAGGCGGAGGCATTCGAAACGATAAAAAGCGCAGCCGGCCTCTTCCTTCGGAAGAGAGCGGTGTGGCCGAGTGGCTAGGGCCGTAGTCTGGGAATCAAGAGGGGGAACGCCGCACGGGTTCGATATCCCTTTTGGGCCGAATCAACTTTTTTTGAAGATGAAGGTTGGAAAAATAAATTTTTGTGCCAAGACTGATTTATTACGTCTTAGAAACTCAATAAACATCATTTTAAGCCAAAATAAAAATTGTAAACCTGTGAAAAATTAAGCGAAAAGGGGTTTATATAGGACTTTAAGTCAACTTCCGATTGAGTTTTCACCCCTAAAAACCTAAAATGGGCAGCTAAGATTTATATATCCTTGATCAGCACATTTTTTCTGATTTTTTGAGATATGTCCCGTCAAAAAGTAGGAGCCCCCATAAAAGTACTTTCCTTGTCAAAAGCGCGCCCGCTCTTTTTTGAGGGAGCCCTTCAAAACGGAGTTTTTTTTGGTTGGAGAGGGAGGCATTTTGCCACATTTTCGATACCTCCCGGACGCAAAATTATACGTTTTTTGCCGCCGCCGAGAAAATGAATTGTGTCGAGGGCAAAATCAAATTGCTTTTCACTTCAGCGACGCCACAGCGACATTCTGCTCATTATTTTCCCGACCGCCTGATAATACACTGTCAAGGTCAAGTTTCGTTCCGCGAAGATTGATTTTGTCCCAAAATCGATTCTTGAAAAAATGGTTCGTTATAGACAGGTTTTGCACAAGAGTTCGTTGTAATAAACTTCAATTATAGACATTTGTCATTTCCGCTATCAAAAATACATACAGTGGAATCCATTTACAACAAGCTCCCGTTGAGCGGAACCTCGCTATAACGAACTTTCAGAGGTCTGAAGAGACCACTTTCAGCCGAAATATCCGTCTGTCGGGAAAATAATGAGCACTATATTGCATCAAAAATTGCATCGCTGAAGTGAAAAACAATTTGATTTTGTCACGAAGACAATTCATTTTCTCGGCGGCGATGCGATTTTCGCTGCGACAGAATGCTCATTATTTTCCCGACAGACTGATAGCACCAATTTTTTAACCCTACATATACAAACTCCCACCTTCCGAATCATGCCGGCGCCCATCGAAAAGGCGATCACATCGATCTGCTCGTGCTGTGTGTAGGATAAAACTGCCTCCAGCAGCCAACGCAACGCTTTGATGTAGTGACAATGGACTTTATCCGAGAAATAGTTCTCTAAAGTTACATTTGTGCCATAAGTAGTGGCATAAAGCTCATCGAATGTGTAGCCATTGTCGAGGAAGTTAGTTAGGATGTAGTTTAGATACCCGGCCAGCCGCGTTTGGCCGTGCGCAAAGACAATCGGGATTTTGCTGAAATTTATTGATTAATTTTGAGCCCTGCTCATATGGGAAGTCTCCCCAAGTGCGACGCTCAGATTTTCTCTAAATTTTGCACACACTTTGGGCATAGGTCAGATATCAATTCCTGAAAGTTTTAGCCCACGATTTTCAGGAAGATCTGAGATATTGAACGATCTTTTTCGCCGAGAGAGCACGCGAAATGCGGAGAGTCGGGGAGAAAAACCACTTTTTGGCCATATCTTTGCCAATTTCGTGCGGAAAAAATTATTTTTTTGTGAAAAGATTACTCTCTATGTTAGAAACATGCATGCAACTTTTCATGGCAAAATTCGCAAAAAAAATTACATTTTTACTAACTTCCGGTCTAAAAATCTCGGTTATTTCTGTAAAGCGCGAGCAAAAAGTTTCAGAAATCTCTTCGACAATTTTTACGTCAACTTTGGCCAAATTTCAAGACAGTTCTTAACTTTTTATTTTTTAACCAAAATCACATTGATTTCGCCTCAAAACTTTTGTAGAAAAACTCACTTTTGCCTGATCGGCCCAACACTTTCCCCACCTCCGAAACTTCCCTTCTCTCCCACATCTTTTCTGGCCACCGTCTCGGCTATTTCCTTTCCAAAATTCTCCAAAATATGTTGATAAAAGCCATCGGAAATCGTCGCTGCAGCAGCTGTGAAGAGGAGAAAGAAACAGAGACTTTTACAAAGCATTGATAAGCAAATAAAATAAAATCTAAAATCCGACAAAATATAGGGGAAAGAGATCGCTTTTATTTTATTTTTTGGACCCATTCTTTTCGGTTTTTTTGATTTTTGGGAGGCACAAAAAATGTAGCCCGAAAATTTTTTGGCGCTTTTTTTGATGTAATAAATAGCGGCTCTTACAATTAGGAGAGGCAAAAATTTTCATTGCAAAATTTTTGGTTTCCGTGTACGGTGACGACCGCAAAAAATGTCCATAAACTTTGTGAAAATAATGTTATACAGGGTCTTTCAAGAGGCTATAATAAGACTTGAAATAGGAGGCTATAACTTTCGGCGGAGGCGGCGCAGAGAGTTCGTTTTTGGAACAAGTATTTATAAGCGACGTTAATTTTTGCCTACGATATAACGAAATTTTTAAGTACAAACTGAGGACGCTACAACCTTTTGAAAAAGGGGTCTTTTACCCCGAAAACCAGGGTTCGAAAATCACCGAGAAATGTCGGAATTTTATGGAATTTTTTGACAGATTCTTTATAAAAGTGCCAAAAATTTTAATGAATTTCAATTTCCTTCTCTGTTTTCAACATCACTCTTATCGAAAACCCCCAAAAAATCCGAATTTCTCGGTGATTTTCAACCGAAAAACACTAATTTCGGGGTAGAAATGCCCCTACTTCAGAATGTCGTAGCGACCTCAGTTTTCACTTTAAAATCTTGTCATTTCGTAGACAAAAATTAATGTCGCTTAAAAATACATATTCTAAAAACGAAGTCTCTGCGCCGCCTCCGCCGGAAGTTAGCGTCAGAATTTTTACCCTACATTTATTGTGTTTATTAAAAATCAAATCAAAAAACAAAAAAAATTAAAAGCGATTTCTTCCCGCCATGTTTTTGCTGACTTTAGATTTTATTTTATTCGCTTATCAATGCTTTGCAAAAGTCTCTGTTTCTTTCTCCTGATCACAACTGCCGCAGCGACGATTTCCGATGGCTTTTATCAACATATTTTGGAGAATTTTGGAAAGGAAATAGCCGAGATTGTGGCCAGAAGAGATGTGGGAGAGAAGGGAAGTTTCGGAGGTGGGGAAAGTGTTGGGCCGATCAGGCAAAAGTGAGTTTTCCTACAAAAGTTTTGAGGGGAAATCAATGTGATTTTGGTGAAAAAATAAAAAATTAAGAACTGTCTTGAAGCTTGGCCAAAGTTGACATTAAAATTGTCAAAGAGGTTTCTGAAACTTTTTGCTCGCGCTTTGCAGAAATAACCGAGATTTTTGGACCGAAAGTCAGAAAAAATGTGAAATTTTTTTTGCAAATTTTGCCATGAAAAGTTGCATGTCTATTTCTACCGTTGAGAGTAATGTTTTCACAAAAAAAAATAATTTTTTCCGCACGAAACCGGCAAAGATATGGCCAAAAAGTGGTCTTTCTCTAACCGCTCTTCGAATTTCGCATGCTCTCTCGGCGAAAAAGGTCGTTCAATATCTCAGACCTCCTTGAAAAACATGAGCTAAAACTTTAAGGGATTTTCTGACCTATGTCCAAAGTGTGTGAAAAATTTAAAGAAAATCTGAGCGTCACACTTGGGGAGACTTTAGTTGTGAGCAGGGATTCCAACTCATCAAACAAATTTCAGTAAAATCCCGATTGTCTTTGCGCACGGTCAAACGCGGCTAGCCGGGAATCTAAACTACATCTTAACGAACTTCCTCGACAATGGCTACACTTTCGATGAGCTTTATGCCACCACCTATGGCACAAATGTGACCTTGGAGAACCATCTCTCGGATGAACTGCATTGTCATTACGTCAAGGGGTTGCGTTGGATGTTAGAGGCAGTTGCATCCTACACACAGCACAGGCAGGTCGATGTGATTGGTTTCTCATTCGGAGCTGGGCTGGCTCGAAAAGTATGGCTTTTTTGTTGATACTGCATGACAAAAAATATACTATTGCTCAATGTGCAGGGTGACAAAAAATGCAACTCACATAGTCCTCTAACTACGACATATCTAATCGGTTTCAAAGTGACCGCCCTTACCGGCGATACAGCGCGCCTGCTCAAGCCTGAACAGCTTTTCATCACTGAACACAATGTTTTCCCAGCCCCGAAGTGCGGCGCGGACGTTCAACTTACGACATCTTAGCCGTGCTCGCTTGTTTTCGGCGGTGAGGCGCTGCACTTTCTGGAGCTTATAGGGCTTGAGGTGGAGCTCTCTTCTAGCAACAGAGGATCTGTCAAGTATACAGATCCTCTGTTGATGCCGGTCTCGCGGGCGATTTTTCTCATGGACACCATGGGATTTCGCTTCACTCGATTTTTGATGATCTCCCGGTTGGCAGAAGTGTTTACAGTCCTCGGTCTTTCACTCTCGGGCCTTCTTCCTTCCATAGTGGCCAAGTTCGTTGTAACGTTTTATGGTTCGGGAAACAACGTCCTTTCTTACACCAAACAGTTGAACAATCTCACACTGACGGTTTCCACGCGAAAAAGGTCCAAAATCGAGGTCCTTCTGTCTGACATCCTAAAAAGACATGTTAGTTAATCGATATGGCCATAAAAATAAAACGACTAGGAGAGAAAAAATGGAGATTTTTTAGGCTAAGAATTATTAGGCTACCCCAAATATTTTCGCGTCAGGACCCATGAAAAAAAGTTGCATTTTTTGTCACCCTGTGTGCATAATATACTGCAGTTGGAGCACCTTGTATGCACTTTGCAAGAAAAGTCATATATCTTAATTTTTTCAGGCCATCCTTGGCGGCCGTTGTGTGGACACCAAGGAAGATCTGGGAGGCCCATTAACGCATAAGATCCGGAATTACATTAGTGTTGTGGGGGCGCAGCGAGGCCTCGCGAAATGCGACAAGCTCAAGGAATACGCGCCGGTTTGCAATGAAATTAATGGGTTGTTTTGCAACAGTGACTTCAATAGAGATATCAACGACCATCGGTATGTAGCAAACCACAGTGTATATCGCAAAACTTGCTTCAGCGACTTCACTGATCAGTAGAGTGAGGGACCTGATCCAGTGGCAAAAAACGTATCATTTTGCATTCGGGAAGTATCAAAAATGTGGCAAAATGCTTCCCTCTCCAAGTGAAAAACTTCGTTTTGAAAGGCTCCCTCATAAAAAGAGTGGGCGCGCTTTTGAAATCAGAGATTTTTCACTTGGAGAGGGAGGTATTTTGCCACATTTCAGGTCCGTCACTGTATGTATACTGCATTCATACCTTGATTTTAACCTAACACTGTAAATCATCATCCCTTTCAGCTCCGGCTACGAAGCGACCCATCGGATTGTGGCCATCGAATCCACCGACGATGATATTTTAGCGCCTGTCACTTCATGCCGCGAAAACGCCGCGCTCTTCCCCGGCGTCAACGAGTTGTACACTGCAAGTTTCTACGGCTCTCGAAGCTTACAATTGTCTTCCAGTTGCACGGTCTTGATCATCGAGCGGCCACGTGGTTCCTGGGCGAAATGATCTACAATATCTCTCAAGCAGAGCCACTTATGGACTTGGAGAAGATCTCAGAGATGGTGGACAAAAATGCCAGGACTTTTAGCGATGAAGATATTGGACTTGTGCGGTAGATTCGTTGCAGGCGAAGAGTCCGGTTTTTTCGAAGAGTCCCACAAAAAGGAAGGCGAAGAGACCGTTTTTTTTAATCCGAAGAGTCCGGTTTGCGAAGAGTCCCGCTTTTTGCATTTTCAAAAATTCAAAAATTTTCTAAAAGTGACATGTTATACGATGAAAAAATTTTCAAAAAGTGACATGTTATACGATGAAAAAATTTTCAAAAAGTTACATGTTATACGATGAAATTTTTTTCTAAAAGTGACATGTTATACGATGAAAATTTTTCAAAAAGTGACATGTTATACGATGAAAAAATTTTCAAAGTGACATGTTATACGATGAAAAAATTTTCAAAAAGTGACATGTTATACGATAAAAAATTTTTTTTTCCTTTTTTTGTTTTTCTTTCGCCAGCGATCTCCCGTTTTTCCACCGATCAATTTACTTTTCCCAAAACACAGTGACAATCGAATAAACAGCAAGAGACAGCAAGACACTCTGTTGTGGGAAAATCAATTGTGAACTTGACGGAGTAGTTGTGATAACGTCGTCATCATCATCGATGCCAATGTCCTTATCCGACAATCGTTTCTCGTCCGCAAAAGTTTTGGCCTCGACTTTGCGTAAATCCGTCAATGGGAGTCCTTGGCTGACATTGTAGATCAGCTCGCCCAAAAACCAAACAACAGCGCGATGATTGAGGGATTGGAACTGAAAAAGATTGAAAAAAATTTTTCGTGCACTTACAGTGATGTTCGTGGCTCCCGAAAACAAGGCAGGATCGCCGTTGCAAGAAGTCGCGTTCCCCAAAAACTCATCGGACTTGGATTCAATTGCATATGCCTTTTTAGACGCTTCGTAGCCTGAGCTGAAAAAATCGCAAAAAATTTTTTTTACTGTGTAAGTACTTTACTTTACATTAATTTCAAAAAAATTCAGCTCGCCCTTTGCATCTCACAGCCGGATGGTGTCAAGTCTGACCCTCATGGGTCAAGTTTTTCTCTCTCGAAACTTGAGCGAGTACTCCAAGTGCGACACTCGGATTTTGATGAAACTTGGCACAAATTTAGAATATTTTTTTCTAAAACATATGCAGGACTTCCAGCTCGCGTTTTGCAGAAACAATCGAGATTTTTAGCTCAAAATTTAGAAAAAATTAAAAAATTTTTTCAAAATTTTGGCTTCAAAAGTTGCATACCTATTTCTACCAAGGAGAGTAATATTTCCACAAAAAATCAATTTTTTCCGCACGAAACTGGCAAAGATATGGCCAAAAGGTGTTTTTTCTGACCGCTCTCCTCATTTCGCGTGCTCTCTCGGCCGCAAATATCGTTAAATATCTCAGCTCTCTCTGCAAAGCGTGAGCGAAAATTTTCGGTAATTGATATCTACCCTATCCCCGAAATATGTGCAAAATTTGAAAAAAATCTGAGTATCGCACTTAGTGCCTTTCCGTCGTTTAGAAACCACTTTTTTCTTCGCATTTTCAACTTACTCGGCATTTAGATCACTTATGTAATCACTTCCACAGTAAAGTCCATTATTTGCGTTGCAAACCGGCACTAGATCTTTAGCCAAATCACACGCTTCCACGCCTTGTTGAACACCTGCAGCGCTGATGTAATTTCGGATTTTATCCGTCATATTGGCACCAATGGTCTCGTTGGTATCCACACATTTTCCTCCGAGAATGGCCTGGAAAAAGTTGTAGTAAATCGCAAGAAAAACTTTGCCTAAACGAATCGCAAGAGAGCGAAAAAAATTGTTTGTTATTGGAGGGTTTCGTTATACGGGACTTCACCTTGGGCTAAGATTGACTTGAGACCGAAGAGACCCAAAACGAAGAGGCCCCCAAAAAGAAGAAGTCCTCAAAATGAAGAGACCCCCAAATAGAGAAAAGGTCCCCAAAACAAATGGCCCCCAGAACAAAGAGACCCCCCCCATTCGAAGAGGCCCCCATCCGAAGAGGCCCCCAACCGAAGGGACCGCATTTTTAAAAAAAATTTCAAGATAACATGATATACGATGAGAAAATTTTTGCAAATGAAAAATAGGATGTGACATGTATAACATGTCGCCTGCACTAAATTCTCATCGTATTATTACTCCAATTTCTTATAACCAACAAATAAAATTCGAAAAAAATTTTATCGTATAACATGTCGCACCCTATTTGTTCATTTTGCAAATTTTTTTTTCACGTTTGAGGGGCCTCTACGGATTTTTCGTTAAAATAAAAAAAGGTTGGCCTCTTTGACCTCTTTGGAGGCCTCTTCACCGGTTAAAATTGGCTTTTGTGGGCTCAGAAATTGTTCGTTATAGAGAGGTTTCGTTGTCTGGAAGTTTATTAACACATACCTTTCTGCTGATTGCCCCTCCCAAAGAGAACGCAATCACATCGATTTGCTCATGTTTGGTGTAAGCGCTGACTGCGTCCAACATCCTCCGCGTTTGCAGCACATATTCGCAATACAGCTTATCCTGCAGCGAATTGTCGTCAGTCACATTTGTCCCGTAAGTGGCTCCGTACAGCTCTTCGAACGTGTAGCCATTGTCGAGGAAGTTCTGCAGGATGTATTTGAGGTCGCCGGCTCGCCGAGTTTGCCCATGAATGAAGACAATCGGGACGTTCCTGGAAAGGGGCGGGATTTTAGTGATTTGGTTGAAAGAGGGTCCTTCGGCGAAGAGAGCACCTCGGCGCAGAAAGCACCTCGGCGAAGAGGGCACTTAACGAATAGGGCACCTAACGATCAGAGCACCTCGGCGCAGAAAGCACCTCAGCGAAGAGGGCACCTCGGCGAAGAGGGCACCTCGACGAAGATAGCACCTCGGTGAAGAGGGCACCTCGGCGAAGAGGGCACCTCTAACTAAGAGGGCACCTCGGCGAAGAGGGCACTTCTAACTAAGAGGGCACCTCGGCGAAGAGGGCACCTCAGCGAAGGGAGCACCTCAACGAAGAGGGCACCGAGGCGAAGAGGGCACCTCGGCAAAGAGGGCACCTCAGCGAAGAGGGCCCCTCAGCGAAGAGGGCACCTCAGCGAAGAGGGCACCTCAGCGAAGAGGGCACCTAGGCGAAGAGGGCCCCTAGGCGAAGAGGGCCCCTAGGCGAAGAGGGCACCTCGGCGAAGAGGGCACCTCAGCGAAGAGAGCACCTCGGTGAAGAGGGCACCTCGGCGAAGAGGGCACCTCTAACTAAGAGGGCACCTCGGCGAAGAGGGCACTTCTAACTAAGAGGGCACCTCGGCGAAGAGGGCACCTCTAACTAAGAGGGCACCTCGGCGAAGCGGGGTGCCCTCTTCGGTTAGTGCTCCTGCATAGGACTAACCAAACGTTTGAAAAATTGTGACACTGTTATGCGAATTTTGGTATGAAAAGTTTCATGGCTCTTTACCGCAGAGGGTAATATTTCCAAGAAAGAAATTAATTTTTCCGCACGAATCTGGCAAAGATACGGCCAAAAAACATTTTCCTCTTATCGCTCTCCGCGCTCCGCGTGCTCTCTCGGCTTCAAAGATCGTTGAATATCTCAGCTCTCCCTGCAAAGCGCGAGCTAAAATTTTCAGAGATTGATATGTAGCCTATGCCCGAAATGTAGTAAAAATTTCAAGAAAATCTGACCGTCGCACTTGGCGTACTTGCCCTGTAAATTGGAGCCACTTTTACCGCTCCATAATCGCTTACTTTTGCCTGGTTGGCTCCGTCGCAGCGCCTCCACCGAAGCTTCCCTTCTCTCCCAGCTCTTTCCTCGCCAATTTCTCCGCGAAATCTGCGCCAAATTTGGCGGAGACAAACTTGTAGAAGCCATTGGAAAGGCTGGATTTGACGGCGGCACAGAGTAGCGAAGTCAGTAGTAGCCGGAAAATCATTTTTCCCAATAAATGCGACCGATCGGGCCTCGGTTCTCGATAAAACAATGTGAAATCCGATTATTTTTTATGATTCTTCTTTGATTAAAAGCTCCAAAAATGTTTAATTACGTTGAAAAGACGCTAAAAGGCGCTGAAAATCGATGAAAAAAAGTTGGATTACCAAAATTTTTTGGTTACTTTTTGAAAATTCATTTTTATAGTTGCAGATTATCGAAAAACAAGCCGTTAAATATTCATAGCTTCAAAAGAACAGTGAAAAATACTGCGATTATGTCAACAAAAGCTTGCGGTTTTGATTAATTCTTGTTTGAGTTTCTCATCATATACCTTGTAGAGGGAGTGCTCAAGGAGTGGCGCATAATCTTTAATGAAGTTCGAATTTACTGAAAGAGTGTTCAGAGATGGAAAAGCTTTGATGAAATCAGCCCAAATTTACAAGGAAAGTACCCCAAGTGCGACGATTTCTCTTGCACATGTTGGAAGTGGGGTATAGTGGCGGACCTGATCCATTGGCAAAAACGTACCATCTTGCATCCGGGAAGTATCAAGAAATGTGGCAAAATGCTTCCCTCTCCAAGTGAAAAACTCCGGGTTCAAAATCTCGCCCAGAGAGAAAGGGCGCGCTCTTCAAAACGGAGGTTTTTTTAGTTGGAGAGGGAGGTATTTTGCCACATTTTTGATACCTCCGGGATGCAAAATGATGCGTTTTTTGCCAATGGATCAGGTATTAGTGTATATTCGTGCAACATTTTTGAAAATCAAAGCCTATTGGAGTAGCTAGGCGGGCCGCACGCCCTTCTGATTCAAATGCAAAATTCGCCGCTCTGCAGAAACCACCGAGATTTTTTGGTCGAAAGTCGGCAAAAATGTAACATTTTTTTTCAATTTTGACTTCAAAAATTTAATCGTTATCTCCAACGTAGAGAGTAATTTTTCCACGAAAATCGATTTTTTCCGTGCGAAACTGGCAAAGACACGGCCAAAAAGTGTTTTTCTCTCTGCCCGCTCTCCGCGTTTCGCGTGCTCTCTCTGCCGCAAAGACCGTTGAATATCTCGGCTGTTGCCGCAAAGGATCGATTTATTTTTTCCTTGGATCGATGCGTAATCTATGCAACAAAATTTAAAGGAAGCAACGTGTCGCACTTTGGACTCCTTCCCTCGCTATGTTCTGAGGCCCATAAAAATTATCGAATATGTTGGCTCTCCCAACAAACTTGAGAGATAAAATATTTACGGCATGATAAGTGGCCTATGAACAGCAATTCTGCAAAATTCAAAAAAAATTTTAAAAATGAAAAAAAAAATTTTTTTTTAATTTTCGTTCAAAAAGTGTTAAAAATTCCGGCTGGAATACGGCCAAGGCCTGGGGTTCTTATTAAATTCCAACAGCGCTTTGAACGCAGCCTTAGCGGCGTCTTCCTTGGTCACATTTTTTCCATTAATCAGGTCAATGAGTAGCGGTGTTATGAACCAAATCAACTGCTGATGGCTGAGGTCGGGGATCTCTAAAGCAACATCTGATTGCTCGATTTGTGCGGTCGGCTCGCCATCGCAGACTTTGTAGCCAATATAATCGTCATGGCTGCTCCAAAGGGAGATGGTTCGACTCCCTTCGTAGTGGAGTCTGAAATTTTTGTGGTAAGTAACGTTAAAGCGGAGGCAGACCAAAGAGAACCGCTGCAGGTGAGGAGGCCCCCAAAGAGTCGAAAAGGTCCCCAAAAAAGGTGAAGAGGCCCCTAAACGAATAAGCCCCAGATCCCAAAAAGGTGAAGTAGCCCCAAAATAGGCGAAGATGTCGTCCAAAATGAAGAGGCTCTCAAAAAAAGGTGAAGGTGTCCCCAAAAAAGGTGAAGAGATCTCAAAAAAGGTGAAGAGGTCCCCAAAAAGGCGAAGAGGTCCCCCAGAAAGAAGAGGCCCTTAAAAAAGGTGAAGTCCCCAAAAAAAAGTTGAAGAGGTCCCGAAAAAAAAGTTTATGAGGTCCCCAAAAAAGGCGAGGAGGCTCCCAAAATGAAGAGTCCCCAAAAAGGTGAAGAGATCCCTAAAAAGGTGAAGAGGCCTCCCAAAAAGGTGAAGAGGTCCATAAAAAATTTTTCATCGTATAACATGTCACCTCTCGCCAGGGATTTTTTTTTGTTTTTTCAAAAAAGAGGTCTCTTTGTTTTGGGGGCCTCTTCGGATAGTGGGCCCTTCGTTTTTGGGTCATCTTCACTTTGGGAGCCTCTTTGTTTTGGAAGCCTCTTTGTTCTGGGGCCTCTTCATTTTGGGGGACCTCTTCACTTTGGGGACCTCTTCGCTTTGGGGCCTCTTCACTTTGGGGGCCTCTTCATTTTGCGGGGACTCTTCATTTTGGGGGACATCTTCACTTTGGGGACCTCTTCGCTTTGGGACCTCTTCATTTTGCGGGGACTCTTCATTTTGGGGGACCTCTTCATTTTGGGGGACCTCTTCACTTTGGGGGACCTCTTCGCTTTGGGGCCTCTTCATTTTGCAGGGACTCTTCATTTTGGAGGACCTCTTCACTTTGTGGGCCTCTTCATTTTGGGGGACCTCTTCACTTTGGGGGCCTCTTCGGTTGGAGGGCTTCTTCGGCCTTAACCAAAAAAACCCACTTGTCTTTAAGGTCAGCGATGAACTTTGAATGGCACCACAGCCCAATCAACTGGTCGCAGCCCTCGTTGTTGCAAGCCGCACGACCATGATGCGGGCCTCCGACGGAAATGAAATTCCTGACTGTCGCCGTTAGAGGCTCTCCCAGATTCTCATCGGACTCCGCGCAAGTTCCACCGAGAATTGCCTGAAGCAAATCATGTTGTTAAGTCGCCTTTAACTCGCCTTTCTCGCAATCACTGCTCCAACGGAAAACGCGAGCACATCGACCGGTCGTTGCGTGTATTTTGCCACCGCCTTGATGAAGTCTCGTTGCTGAAAACGCTAGGCGTTTTCTCGATTTTTAGAGCTTACAAGTTTAACGTAAGAGCAATATAGATTTGGCTGTGTCGTTTCGAACACGTCCTTCTTCTCGCCGTAGGTCGTCCCATACAACTCTGACTCCGTATAGCCCACTTGTTTGAATTGATCGGTAATGAATTGGAGGTGGCCGGCATAACTTGTCGGGCCATGGATGAAAACAACCGGGTTCTTCCTGAAAACGGCAGAACATAGAACCTACAGTTTCGGACCTGATCCAGTGGCAAAAAAAAGTATCATTTTGCATCCGGGAAGTATCATAAATGCGGCAAAATACCTCCCTCTTGATTTGAAAAAACTCCGATTTCAAAAGCACACCCGCTATTTTTGTGAGGAAGCCCTTCAAAGCGGAGCTGTTTTAGTTGGAGAGGGAGGCATTTTGCCACATTTTTTTGATACTTCCCGGATGCAAAATGGTACGTTTTTTGCCACTGGACCAGGTCCGTCACTGTAAAAGGGAAGTGTTTGAGTGGCGACGTTCAGATTTTTCTGAACGGAGGTTGTTGTAAATGGGCTCAAAAGTGGCTCTTCAAACCGCTGAAAGTTCACTATAACTAGGTTCCACGGAGTTTCCCTAGTTGGATGGGGAGGCATTTATGACCGGGAAGTATCAAAAATACAGCAAAATACCTCCCTCTCCAAGTGAAAAAACTCCGATTTCAAAAGCACACCCGCTCTTTTTGTCAGGGATCCCTTCAAAACGGAGTTTCTCTAGTTGGATGGGGAGGCATTTTGCAGCATTTTTTGCTACGTCCCGGGTGCAAACTGCTACGTTTTTTCGCTATAGCGAGGTTTCGCTGTACGGAGGTTGTTGTAAATGGGCTCCACGTTATTTTTAATACGCAACTGACAAATATGTAAACTAAAACCTCTGTATAACAAACTCCAGTGCGAAACCTCTCTATAACAAACAATATTTTCATGAATCCATTTTGGGCCAAAATCAATCTTTATAGAACGAAACCTGCGGAAAAATTTGATTTTTTGTCGAAGCATCACCCTACACGGTAGAAATAGGCATGCAACTTTTCATGTTGTCAAAATTCGCAAAAAAAATCTCATTTTTTTGCCAACTTTTGTTTACCCTGTCTCCCTGGCTTTGCTATTATTTCCTCCGCCAAACGAGCCCTGAGGCGCGAGATCGAGCCGAAATATGGTAACATCAAAGCCCTCGTCCAGACAGAATCCTTGGAAGCCTCGGGATACTGTAGCATCCGACAGTTGGACAAAGAGAAAAAGCAGAAATAAAATCATCTCCAATATGGTCTGGAGTTCCATTTCAAGTCAGCAGAAGCCGAATTTAAGATACGATATGCACGAATAATTCGATTAAGTTTATTGCTTTTATGTGACTTTATACAGCATTCAATTTGAAACCGATTCCGCTACGCTGCCGGCTCTTGAAGCGCAACCTTTTCCAACGGGATATCTAGCCCTTTCAGTGTGCAAGCATAGGAGAAATGTTGCTTTTGAGGGCTCAGTTTTTGCTTCCATAGCATACTCACGAGTAGTCCGATAATAAGTGTGATAAAAGTGCCTGAAAGAAATGTAATTTACGTACAGTAGCTTACCTGATACAGTGGCAAAAAACGTACCATTTTGCATTCAAGAAGTATCAAAAATGTGGCAAAATGCCTCCTTCTCCAAGTGAAAAAACTCCGTTTTGAAAGGCTACCTCAGAAAAAGCGGGCGCGTTTTTGAAGTCGGAGTTTTTCGCTTGGAGAAGGAGGTATTTTGCTGTATTTTTGATACTTCCCGGATGCAAAATGACGCCTTTTCTGCCACTGGATCAAGTCCACTGTAATTGTGTCGCAGCAAGATCAAATTTCTTTTTACCTCAGCGACGCGGCGCAGCGACATTGCGCTCACTTTTTTCAAGACAGATAGTCCATTTGCAAAACCGCAGGAATTGTTGCGACAGAACTCTCTCCCTTTTCTGAACTCTCCCCCTCATTTTGAAAATTGAAAAAATGAAGTGTGACATGTTATACGATGAAATTTTTTTTTCAAGTTGAAGAGAATAAGGCGTGACATGTTATACGATGAAATTTTTTTTTCAAATCGAAGAGAATAAGGTGTGACATGTTATACGATGAAATTTTTTTTCGAATTGAAGAGAATAAGGTGTGACATGTTATACGATGAAAATTTTTTTTCAAATTGAAGAGAATAGGGTGTGACATGTTATACGATGAAAATTTTTATTTCGAATTGAAGAGAATAAGGTGTGACATGTTATACGATGAAATTTTTTTTCGAATTGAAGAGAATAAGGTGTGACATGTTATACGGTGAAAATTTTTTTTCAAATTGAAGAAATAAGGTGTGACATGTTATACGATGAAAATTTTTCTCAATTTGAAAAAAAATTCCATCGTATAACTTGTCACACTTCATTTTTTCAATTTTCAAAATGGAGGAGAGTTCAGGCTCAACCCGCTGGAATGATTTTGATGACATGTGGATTGTCATTATCAGTCTGTCGGCAAAATGAGCAAAACGCCATCACGCCGATCGCATCGCCAAAATGAAAAGAAAGCTTACCCGTTGGCGAATATGCGTACGATGACAATCTTGACGGCGCTGACGCGCTCAGATCCCCATAATGAAACTCTCTTCCTTTCCCCTTGTAAAAGTCTCGGATCACGTTGATACTGTAATCCGTCACATTCTCGCAACTTCCCCAACCACTGTCCTCATCGATCATTGGCAGCACATAGTTTCGATAGGGCTTTTCGATGTTGTTTGAGACCGTCACCGCAATCATAGTGATCGAGGAGACAAAAAAACCGACAAAAGCGCCAAATTTGTTGGCCTTGGGGAAGAAAAGGCCGAGCAAAAATACCCCCGTAATGGGGCCGCTTGTGGCGCCGAGAGTCGCAATCACGACGTAGAAAATGCCGCCGAGGAATTTGCAGCAGAACGCCAGACAAGTGGAGATGACTCCCATGAGGAGGACGATGAGTTTGGTCAGCCTTTCGGGGCTCTTTGAATGCTGAAACATGGAGCGATTTTAATAAGGCAGTACGCGAAGTTTAAGGGTCAGATATTGATCAAATTTGGGGTAAATAAAGAATCGATATATCGATTTTTTGGGACTCACATGAACCCTTGGGTATCCGAAAAGTGTGTTACATTGGCGCCGGTTTAAGATTTTCTGTACTCTTACAGTGATGGACCTGATCCAGTGGCAAAAAACGTAGCGGCGCGCTTTTGAAATAGCTTCTTCGCTTGACAAGGGAGGTATTTTGATACATTTTTGATGCCTCCCGGATGCAAAACGGTACGTTTTTTGCCATCGTATGTAGTGCACTGTATAAAGAGTGATCCGAAAATCAGGGCTTTCCGAGTTCAGCCCCCCAAGAAAGGTAATTCAAACCCCCATTGTTTTGCCCGTTTCAAACCCCCCATGATGAAAAAATGTAATACAAAAAATGCAAATTAGAGCCCCAGTATCCCTCCATCGTGTTGGTGTTCAGATTCAGGCCATCGTGGTCAATACAAATGTTTTTCTTTTAGTTTACTGAACCCCCATGATCCGTTGTCCGGAGCTCCAACAGCATCCTCAAAAAAAACTTACTGACAACACACTTTTTCAGATCGGATGAGGGGGGTTTGTACTGGGCCATGGTGGTCTGAACTGGACTGGGGGTTTGTACTACCTTAGCCCCCGAAATTTTTTTTCATTTCCACACATTTAACCCTTACCTCCTTCCTCAAGTTGGGCTTGATCCAGTCTTCGAAAACGACCGCTGCAATGGAATTCAGCCCACTCGAGACGGTGCTCAAAGTCGCGCTGAACAGCGTGCTCAGAAACAGGCCCGGCATTCCGGGGATCGAGCCCAAGACCCGCGCCGCCAACAATATGGCCAACTGGTCGGGGCTTTTCGCCTCGCCCGACGCGATCGGATCGCAGCCATGGAAGTAGGCGAACGTCAGGATCCCCAGGAACATACTCATACAGCCGACCAGCAGATGGGCCGGAATCGTGATCACCATCACTTTCTGCGCGTCCCGCACCGAAGGCAGCGAGCAGAAGCGTTGCAGGGACATTTGGTTCAGGCCGAACATCCCCAATGCGTGCATGGAGCCGCCGACGGCCATGATGAAGAGATTGTTGTACTGAAAAATGGATGTTTTATTGGAAAAAATCGGTTCGACCTTAAAGAAGATATTGCAGTGGGGGACCTGATCCAGTGGCAAAAAAGTACCTTCAAAAAATGGGTTCTAGAAAATGTTGTTTGTTATAGAGAGGTTTTGCACTAGAGTTATACAGAAGTTCTAGTTTACACACTTGCCAGTTACGTATTAAAAATACCATGCGCCCATTTACAACGTATAATGGAACCTCGCTATAGCGAACTTTCAGCGGTTTGAAGAGCCACTTTGAGCCCATTTACAACAAACTCCGTACAGAAGAATCTGAGCGTCGCACCTCAAACACTTCCCTTTTACCATTACGGACCTGATCCAGTGGCAAAAAAAGTACCATTTTGCATCCGGGAAGTTTCAAAAAATGTGGCAAAATGCTTCACTCTCCAAGTGAAAAAAACTCCGTTTTGAAGGGCTTCCTCGCAAAAAGAGCGGGCGCGCTTCTGAAATCTGAGTTTTTCACTTGGAGAGGGAGGTATTTTGCGACATTTTTGATACTTCCTGGATGCAAAATGGTGAGATTTTTTCATCAGAAACAAAAAAAAAGAGAAATTACGCTCACCTGAAGTGGATTCAAGTCATAAATAAGAATAGAGTCGGTCAATCTTCCAGTATCTTCAGCTCGATGAATAACATTAGCCATGCCTCCTGAAAGTCGACATTTGGATAACTGTTTGTTGGAATCAGAGATTGCCATGGTCAAAATTTCGGTTCTGGCTCCCGCTCTTAGCTCCCAGAGCCGGAGCCGAGGCCAAATTTGCAGCTCCGGCTTCCGTGCAAAATTTGAAAAGGGCTCTTGGCTCACGTGCGTTTTCCAAAAAGAAAAGTTATTAGTGCCAGAGATCATACAGCCAACGTTTTCGCAGCCAAGTCGTATGCAACACATCCTTCCCAGTATTTTTCAAGCAATTTAGTTTAACAGATCATGAAATTTTTACTTTTCTGAACGCTGAGAAGCCTGGCTCCGACTTTGGGCTTGAGAGCCGGATCCGCTCAGTGCCGGAGCCAAGACCCAGCTCCGGAGCCGTGGCAATCTCTGACTGGAATACAAAAGTATTTGACCAAACAATTCGACCTGGTTGAGGCCATTTTTGCGACCTCAACTTGGTCACAGTAGTGCCCATATTGGCAAAATTTTGACTTTGCTCTCAAACCGCAAAATTAAGAAAGAAGTGACGTCATACGACTGCAAAACTTTTTTTGATAACTTGCCCGCATCAATGGTGCCTTTCACAACCAGCATGCTCAAGCCAAAGATGAGAAAGACAGCTTGCAAAGTGTCCGTCCAAATCACCGCTTTTATACCGCCGATTGTCGTGTACAATGTGCCACAGAGGCCTACTACCTGAAATACGAAAATTTTGATTTTTTTTTTTTTTTTTTTTTTTTTGTATAGCATTGAGCATACCAAAATAAACGGCTCCAGCGGCAGATCCGCGACTCCGGAGAGCGCTATGGCTGGTGCGTATATAACAATGGCCATATAGACCAGACAGTTAAAGATGAACATAAAAGTTCCGATGCGTTTGAGCCACAAACTGTCAAAGCGATATTCAAAGTACTCGTAGATGTTGACGAACTGAAAAAGTTGGGAAAAATACCATATATTAGGTGGGGGACTAAGTTCGTAGAGTTTTTTACTGTTTTGCTTTACAAGGATTGTTGGTTGTTTGGCAAAGGTGTCGTTGGGCAGCATAGAGCTCCTCGTTGACCGTGGAGTTCTTTTCCAGCATTTCCCGATGCACCATGCCTTCCCAGTCCTCCAAAATGCAGATCCTCGCCTTTTTAGGTGGGGAACTTGATTGACTGTCCCCTGGGGCCATTCACTCCAGGAAACAATCAACACTGCTTCATACTGACGGACAGACACCACTTTTCATCATCGTAATGATTCGATACAAAAACTGCCGTTTGTGTGCTCGTGTTGCTCGCCGAAAAAAGCAGGTGTCGAAAGCGCAAATTTTTGCCTCCTAGATGGTTCGCTTCTAACAGGGGAAGTACCCCAAGTGCGACGCTCAGATTTTGATGAAAGTTGGCACAAATTTAGAATAATTTTTTCTAAGATATATGCGAGAGTCCTAGCTCGCGCTTTGCAGAAACAACCGAGATTTTTAGATCGAAAGTCGGCCAAAATTTTGGACTTTTTGCCGAATTTCGGCTCGAAAAGTTTCATGCCTATTTGTACCGTAAAGGATAATGTTTCTACAAAAAATCAAATTTTTCCGCACGAAACTGCCAAAGTTATGGCCAAAAAGCGTTTTTCTCTCTGACCGCTCTCCGCGTTTAGCGTGCTCTCTTGGCGGCATAAATGGTTCGATATCTCGGCGGCGCCCGCAAAGCGCGAGCTAAAACTTTCAGGAAATGATATCTAGTCTATGCACGACGTGTGTGCAAAATTTAAAGAAAATCTGAGCGTCGCACTTGGGGTACTTCCCTTGTAAGCCCAAAAAATAACAGAAAATTATATCTTCAAAAAAAACTAAAAACACAGTTTTGTAGAGGGGAAAGAGCTCTATCGAATGCATATACGCACTTTGCCAAACAACAAACTATCGTTGTAAAACAAAGCAATAAAAAAACTCCGCGAACTTATTCCCCAACCTAATACATATATGAACGAATCAAAGCTTACCTTCAGCTTGTAGAACATTGGGATGAAGAACACTCCAACCACGATGAACGCGCCATTCCCGAGGATCAGAGAGGCTCCCATTCCCATCCCTAATAATGCCCTCTAACCAGCAACCGAACCCCCTACCTCGCTGATAAATCTCGGCTGGCACCCCCAGCAGCGCAATCCCACTGACGAATGTGGTAAGGAGCGACAAGCATACCGGCAATATCGGCAAATTCCTCCCGCCAATCAGGTACTCCTCCGTGGCGGAATGATGGAATTTCCGCCGCTTGGCCGCGATGGCGTGATAGACCCCCACGCCGACGGAAAGGAGCAAGAACAGCGAGAAGAGGGAGTAATCGAAGACACTGAACATGCTGCAAGAAGGACTTGAAAATAAGATTTTTTCTCAGACTTGAAAGTAAGATTTTTTCTCAACGTTAAATAGATTGTAGTTTACTGTGACTTCTTTCCGGATCATTGGAAACAATTCGCGGTTGAATTTTAATTGCTGCTGAGGAAGTGGTGTAAATACAAAGTACAAATTTGAAACAGATGTTGTTAGAAAGTGTTCTGGAGAAAGTAATTATATTTTTAAAAGGGTATTCAAAAATTGAAGTGTTCTTTGTAGCTTTGAGTGAGAAAGTCAAGTTTTAAAGCAAGATCGAAATCCTTCAAAATCCTTTCTTTTTACAAGGAAATCACTTCTATGAGGTGTGGAGTTACAGGTCGAGACATACATCAAAAAAAAGTATAAAAACATCGAAAGAAGTATAAAAACGTATTTTGTAAAAAAATATGCCTTCCGGGCATTATTGGCAAAAATATTTTTAGCTTTTCTTCCACAAGTGCTAGCGATTATTTTAAGCCAAAAATCTCGAAATCGCTTTTTTTTCTAACAAGGAAAATACTTCTATGAAGTATGGAGTTACAGGTCGAGAAATACATTTTGGTTTGTAAGGGTGAAAAAACTGTCTGAACTTTTCTCGGAACACCACGCAAATGCTCCTTTTTTATATTGGAACTACTAACTTAAAAGGTGTAGTATCAATCAAATTTGGTATTGTAAGGCTTGTCAAGACACGAGGGTTTACTTTAGCTCAAAACAAAGCTTTTGATTTGGCAAAAACTTTGGCAAAAAGGCATTTGCGTGGTGTTGCGAGACAAGTTATGAGGGGCTTTTCAACCTTACAAACCAAAATTAGGCAGCTAATTTTCACATATTCTGAATCAGAAAAATTTTGCGATTTTTTGATGTATGTCTCGACCTGTAACTCCACACCCCATAGAAGTACTTTCCTTGCGAATTCAGTCTGCCGGGAAAATAATGTGGACTCGTCGCAGGAGACATCGAAAAACGCGAATTGAAATTTTCAGCCGTTCCTACCGTCAACGTAGAAAAAAAACTCAAATGCCCTCAAGGCACTATCTCTCCATTATCAACGTAAAAAAGCATGAAGTTCGTCAGTTTCCTGTTTGCTTGTCAGCTTAGGCTCGTAAGTTCGACGCGTCAAATTGATAACAGCCAAATGCTGATAAGTTTTTGCGCCAACATTAAAACAAACGAGGATGTATGCAAAGAAGATTTATTTGAACACGAAGTAGAAGCTGTATTCAAGCTCGAAAGAATGGGTTAATGGAATCGTGTGTTTTGGCATCGTTAACTCTCCGTTGCTGCCTGGTGAATGCGTATCGCTGCAGGCCATAAAGAAGATAATGATAATAGCAAGGGAGTTTGTTGACCTAAAAAACATGAATTTCACGAAAAATTAACTCACAAGGATTTTTTGCCACCTTTCCACCAAAAAATCTAATTGACAAAGGTAGTACCCCAAGTGCTCAGAGTTTCTTTAAATTTTGTACGCACGTCGGGCATGAACTAAACATCAATTCCTGAATGTTTTAGCTCGCGCTTTGCAAGTGCCACCGAGATATTGAACCATCTTTACCGCCGAGAGAGTACGCTAAACGCGGAGAGCGGTCAGAGAGAAAAACGCTTTTTGGCCATAACTTTGGTAGTTTCGTGAGAAAAAAATTGATTTTTTGTGGAAACATTACCCTTTACGGTAGAAATAGGTATGAAACTTTTCGTGTCGAAATTCGTCAAAAAGTCTTGAAATTTCGCCGACTTTAGAACTAAAAATCCCGGTTGTTTCTGCAGAGCGCGAGCTAGGATTCTCGCATATACAGGGTGGGCCACTCGAAACGGGTAAGTTGTTTCTTTTAATTTCTCCGCGGAGACTCCGCCGATTTTCCCGAATTTTAGATTTTTCTGTAGCTGAGACCCGCCATTTTTAACCGATTGAATTTCAAAAAAAATATGTTTTGAATTGACCTTTCTATGCCTTCCCAAAGTTTCGAAGAATTATTTTCGAGCCGAAACCGCTAAAACTTTGAAAATTTTTGGAATGATTTTCAATTGACTTTCTCGGACTTCGAAAATTTTTGGCTTTTTTTGGTAAAATCGAGAAGTAAAAAAGTTGCGTATCTTCTCTCTAAACTTGCTTAAAGCAATTTGAAAGTAAAAATAGTGTTGTCTGCGTTACCGTAGGGCACGAACTTTCAAAAAAAAACCAATTTTTTTAACAATTGATAAAGTCCACACAATTGGCTACGAGGGCTCCAAACCGTTGAGGCTTGGAGCCCAGCCCGATTAAAGCTTAACGATGTTCACGATCTGCAATTCGAGCTGTTCACGACTCTCAAAGCTTATAAAAGTTTGTGCTGCGAGATGAGGTGGGCATTTCGAACTCAGATAGAAATATTAATAATCAGTTTGTTAAATAAAAATGTTTTTACAACAATATTTTATGGTTATCTGAGGTAAAACTAAGAAAATTTCACCCAAAAACTCGAAAAAATGACCAAGTTTTCAAAATCATTCCAAAAATTTTCTAAGTTTTAGCGGTTTCGGCTCGAAAATAATTCTTCGAAACTTTGGGAAGGCATAGAAAGGTCAATTCAAAATATATTTTTTTGAAATTCAATCGGTTAAAAATGGCGGGTCTCAGCTACAGAAAAATCTAAATTTCGGGAAAATCGGCGGAGTCTCCGCGGAGAAATTAAAAGAAACAACTTACCCGTTTCGAGTGGCCCACCCCGTATTTTAGACAAAAAAAATCTAAATTTGTGCCAAGTTTCATCAAACCTGAGCGTCGCACTTGGGCCTTGTCAGCCCAAGCCCACCAATTTTCCTTTTTTTCAATTTTGTGACACTTCGCAACAAAAGTCAATAAATTGACGAAACGTCAGGAACTCATAAAATAAACCCGGAAAAAAGAATTGGACGTTTTATTCGAATTTAGGTGCAATCTGATGCCTTCAGACTCATTGTTTCGGTCTGTCGTGACCAAAAAACGTTTTTTTACTTTTTTGGAATTTTTCTTATTTTAACTCGAACTTTTATGAAATTAGGCCCGCCCGAATTACGCCATAGTGCATGTTCGGCGGCGCATTGCGTCACAAATCCAGTATTTCTCTGGCACACAGAAACTTTTGGCCTGTGCAGACAGAAATAGCCTCAGTTTTATCATGGATAACATAAATTTTGTACCAAATTTTGGTGCAAGATCTTTTTTGAATGCAAAATTCGACTTTTTCAGTTTATTTTATTTGTCCTTGGCCTTTTCGCGGGTTTTTTGTTGAGAATTTTGGCGCGGAATTTATCTTAACGTTACTTGTACAGGGTGGGGCATCTTTGTGGCCCGATTTGAATTGGCTATAACTTCTTTCGTTTTTGGCCAAATCTTAAAATTCTTTTTTTCCCTGAATTCCCAGACAACCCCATTTTGTCTGATACCAAATATGTTATACATAGGTAAGTGTCATCTACAGTTATTGGATTTATTCTTGGAGTTCATTTTTTCGGTCGTTTTTCGGTTGTTTTTTCGGCCTTTCCCGGTGTGTCCGAAAATGGAGTCCGGTGTGGAAGAAAAAGCTTGGTCTGTGGTTTGGTATAGAAAGCACGGTTCGGCGATAACTTTTCAAACGGGGATACCGCATGAAATACGGACGTAACGCCTAACCTCCAGATTGCAAGACAATTCGACGTTGGTGGAATAAGTTCCTTGAGACTGGCAGCGTTAACAGTAAACAAAAAAATCAGGAAAGATGGGTACGAACGGAGCTGAAAATTTAAGAAGTTGTCAAAATTCCGAGAAAATCCGCATATGAGTACACGAAGTTTGGCCAGAACCGAGGGAATGCCTTCACCAAGGACCATTCGACGAACTCTGGAGGTTGATCTTCACTTTTTGTTCTTATTCTCATCGTCGATTTTCGGGAGGGGAAATTCCACCGTATTTTTCTTCCGCACCGTACTCCATTTCCGGATACACCGGGAAACACCGAAAAAACAACCGAAAAACGACCGAAAAAATGAACTCCAAGAATAAATCCAATAACTGTAGATATACACTTACTATGTATAGCATATTTGGTATCAAACAAAATGGGGTTGTCAGACGATTCAGGGAAAAAAAGAATTTTAAGATTTGGCCAAAAACGAAAGAAGTTATAGCCAATTCAAATCGGGCCACAAAGATGCCCCACCCTGTAATTTATTTTATTTTAGCCGGTTGTGTCTTTTTTGTGGGAATTGTTTACTAAATTTTGCCTTTATCTGTTATGTATGATACAATTTTTGTCGAAATTTGGTGTAATAGTTTTCGAATGTAAAACGCTATTTTTCAGTTTTCTTTTATTTATTCTTTCGTTGAGAATTTTGATCGGTTATAGACAATAAAAACTTGTATCCAATTCGGCGTGAAATTTACCGTAGAAGGTTAAACGTCACTTGTGATTTTTATTTTAGCCGTTTCTGTCTTTTTTGTGGGGTTTTGACTAGATTTTGCCCTAATTTGTCATTGGCAATGTAAAATTTTATTCAATTTCGTGCGGTTATCGATCAACTCGGAAAAAAATAGGATTTGACGTTATATACGAATTCAGGCGCAATCTGATCCCTTCAGACTCATTGTTTAGGTCTCTCGTGGACAGAGAACGGTTTTACTGGAGTTTTTATTGTTTTCACCAGAACTCTTTTGACATTAGGCCCGCCCCGGATTACGCCATAATGCGCGTTCGGCGGCGAATTCAGTCTTTGTCTGTGAAAGTCCGAAATTGATGGCTTGTGTTGCAAACGGAAATACGATCAGTTTTTATCATGGATCATATTATTTTGTATGAAGTTGGGTGGGAAATAAATTTTAGACCCTTGTTAACGTTACTTATGGTTTTTATTTTATCTTTGTTGTGGGTGTTTTCAACCAGATTTTACCATGATTTGCCATGGGTAATATAAAATTTTATTCAAATTACTTTAAGCGAGGTTAGATGGCGTAAAGTTACATAATTATTTTGGTTGAGTAATATTATAATACTGGTTCAGCCAATCGAAGCGTTATTTGGGACTTATGACAAAAAATGCCTCAAAATTACAGCCAGTTGACATAACTCTTATGAAACTTTTGTGTATGAATAGAAGCTTTTTCGATTGTTATCTATTTTTTAATTCTTGTTCTAAAATCAAGCATATGTATGTATCTTCAGCCAGAAACGAGTGTTCGGTCCAAATGTGGGTTTACGGTAGCGAACAATCCGAGTTTATCGAAGGTTATCGATAAACCCAGAAAAACGAAATGGACGTTTTATTCGAATTTAGGCGCAATCTGACGCCTTCAGACTCATTGTTTAGGTCTCTCGTGAACAGAAAACGTTTTTTGACTCGGAATTTTTATTGCTTTCACCTGAGCTGACATTTGACTCGCCCCGATTACGCCATAACGTGTATTCGGCGGCGCATTGTGGCGCGAATTGAGTCTTTGTCTATGGAAATCAGAAAATGTTGGCTTGCGTTGATGACGGAAATAAAATCAGTTTTATCATGGACAATACAATTTTGTATGGAGTTGAGTGGGAGATCAATTCGAGGCCCTTGAACAATGTTGTTTTTCAATTGGCGCGAATTTTCACTTCTGATTTATTTATTTTGGCCTTTCTTGACCTGATATGTTATGAATGATATAAAGTTGTATCGGATTTTGTCGTGTAATTTATCTTAGGGGTTTGAACGTTACCTGTGAGGGTGAAATCGCGTTTGAATGTACAGTTCGATTTTTTGGTTCTATTATATTTTGTTTGTTTTTGGCATTTTCCGATGGTTTTTCTTCAGAATTTTGACTTGATTTGTCATGGATAACATAACTTGTTATCGAATCTTGGAGTGAATTTATATTATTGGTTTTGACGTTACTTGTGATTTTTATTTTACCCACTTTTATCTTTGTTGTGGGGGTTCTTGAGAAGAATTTTGACTTGATTTGTCATGGATAATATAATTTTTTATCGAATATTGGAGTGAAACCGTTTATGAATGTACAGTTCGATTTTTTTGGTTCTATTTTGTTTGTTTTTGACTTTTTTCGTTGATTTTTTCTTGCGAACTTTGACTTGACCTGTCATGGATAATATAAATTTGTATCGAATTTTGGCATAAATTTTTATCTTGGGGGTTTTAACGTTAGTTGTGATTTTTATTTTCGCTGCTTTTATCTTTGTTTCGGGTTTTTTGATCAGAATTTGCCCTAATTTGCCATGGGTATTGTAAAACTTGATTCAAATTGCACGTTTTATTCGAATTCAGGCGCAATTTGATGGAAGTACTTTCCTTGTAAAAAATTATTTGTGTAAAATAACACACAACGTTTTTTCACGGAATTCTGATCGCGTCACGCCACGAAAACAAAGGTTTGGCGTACTGTTAAATAATGTTTTTTGGCTTCTTCGAGAAATTACAAAAATTGTAATTTAGCCCAGTATTGAACAAAATCTTGACAGAAAAAAGCTATAGACCCTATCAGTGAATTTTTCTTGTTATAGTAGGTGTGGTTTGTCTTTCAAAAACACCATGTTTGATGAGTTTGATAATTAAAATATCTCTAGTTGCGGAATGCCACGGATTTTGTCATTTTGCGAAAAGCCCGGGCAACGATTTCAATCATTATAATAGCAGGAAAGATGGCTCAATAAGTCGAGTTTCGAGCCAGAAAACGTTCTGAAACTTTGCATGATGATTGAGAATGACGTTGTAGTACTGATCGCCCATTTTTGTAGGATTCGTGACTAAACGTCGCCCGCTAGGCGATTGCAAAGTTCTCAATTTTGGGAAGTTTGAAGTCGAATATCTCAAAGACTGAATAACACATACAAATTTCTGAACCTCTAACAGAGAGATAACTGTCTACTCTTTCCAATTCACCATTTATCAAGTCGCTCAATTTTGGATGATCGGGTGAAAAGATCGTACCTTTGAGACCACCTTTTTGGAGCGAAGTGTCACAAAAATTCGATCGATAATGGCGCAATTAGAGCTCGACTTCCGCTTTTCTAGTTGTTTCTAAACGTTGTGACAAACCGTTTATTTGCGGACAATTCCGCGGCCGCGGACAAACGAAAATCCGGCAAAAAAAGTTTGCTGTATAGAAAATGTGTCATTCTGACATAGTGTATATTGTGTTAAGCCGAATGTATTTTGCATAAAATGGAGGATGATGATCCTTCAAATGTTATCCGACCGCCCTTCGCACCGATTTACCTATTTGACGGCTATATTATATATCAGGTGACATGTTTTCTGGACGTCGTGAATGTCGTTCGCGTGGGCATTTGAAACCGCCGTGAGCGAAAAACGCGGATGAGATCTATCTTGATACTTTTTTAGGTATTCTGAGTTTCCTTTACGGCTTTGGGACGACTGAGTCCGCAACTTTGCGCGATTTTACTTCATTTTGTTTTTTACCTCATGGTTCAGATGGAAATTTACTTTTTTCGCGATGAACGAGACGTTTTTTAACGCTCTTTTCGTTTCCTGTAGTAAAATTGCAACTTTCAGAACCTCCACATCATGTCCCGGGCACAGTTCACATACGGGACTGTTTTAAATTTATTGTTATTTTCACTTGCATCAAATGCAAGTGAAATATTGGATTCAAGTGAGGATGATGGAGGGTTCATACAAGACCCAAAGGTAAGTCCTTCAAATATGATTTCTTATGCTTTTAGATTCGTGAGACCGTAAGCTGGGCCCACAAATGCGCGGACAAAAGTTTCATCTGCACCTACGACTGCAACGTAGTCACGAACGCAACAGGTGACTGCGTCCGGCCAAATGCCACCACCTGTTTCAACTTGATGGTGGACTACAACTACACCTTGTGGAAGAGCCCCTTTCCACATCATCTGGCCGGGCTCCAGAAATTCCCGACGTAAGTTTCGGCTGTTTTTTTTTTTTGATCTTTTTGTCATGAATAACATCGCGATTTTTCAGCTGCTGGCAGGTCCTGGAGCCCCTAATTTGTGGAATTTGGTATCGCCCATGTGCGGCGATGCGAACATTCAATCTTCGTAGAGGAACTCCGAAGGTAAGATTTTAAGTTTATATTATTCATGGTTTAGATGGAAACTTTCAAATCTTACGTCAAAACCGAGAAATTTGACGCAATTTTTTTGTTTTCAGATGTCCCAATACTTCAAGGCATACTCGATGGACTATTGCTACAAAGTCCGATCAAAATGCCAGAAGTTCGTCCATCTTCTGCCACCTGAGCTCGACTGCGACGAATTTGCTCATCCGCGGGAAGAGAAGCGGCCAGATCGCACTCTTTATAACCCGGAATGCGAGGTAATATCTCTTCTTTTTTCTAGAAAAATTTTAAATTGTTTATTGAAGTTTTTCATTAGATTTTATTCAGATTTCCCCAGATGTAGCTAGTATAATATAATTTATATTAATTTTAGCTGAAGCCGGCGTTCAACCTTACGCTGGCCAACTCTGCACCTCAATGCTTCCATCCATTGAGTTTATCAACCGGAATAAATGGCGTAAGCCCACTGGTAGATCAGTGCTATCTTCCCTGCCGGTAAGTTATATTATGTTAGATCAACTGATGTTTTGAGCCAAAATTTGGGCTAGTTTTGGCCAAATTTTTTATGTTTATGATTTCTAACAGCTGGATTGACCTCTAAACTATTTTCAGGACAGACTATTTTGGGCATATCAATGCCTTCTACCATTTCGTAGTCGTTTTTTGCACTACGATCGCCTTGTGTGCCCCGGCTCTGCCGGTAAGTCAAAATTTTTCTTTTTATTTCTTGAAATTTTAGGTCTATCTGTTGAAAGACATAAGGAACTCCAAGTTGGCCACTTGGAATTATGTCTTCAACATGTGCACCGCCTCCATCTGCGTGTATTACACGCTGTGGAGCATCTTCTTGATGTTGGTATACTTCAAGAAGACAACAGTATGCCAAAAAGATGAACTTGGAAACTACCTCCGCATCGATTTCCACACAATGTAAGGGATTTTTGGATTAAAATTTGATTTTTTTTTTTTTTGATTTTGATTTTGGCATAACTTTGATATTTTTTTAGCTGGTGCAAAAGTCAGCGAATTGCCTTGCAATTCGTTTTGACTTCAATCATCTCGTGGAGCTTCGTCCTGTCATACTGCCTTCTGATCGACCGCAACTTCAAGAAGGCTTCGAATTCCACCAAAGGAATTCTAACAATGGTGGTTTACCTTCTTTCGGTCACGTTGGTCGTAATATCAATGATCTGGGTGAGTTTTTATTTTTTTTGTCTTGAAATTTAGAGAAAACCAGTCAGCGGGATTCGTGCATATCTTTGACGGCGGTTGAAGTAATTTTTGGTCATTTTTTATATTATCCATGACTGATCATGGAATTTTTGGTCGGAAAAAACTAAAATGAAGCCGGGAAAATATTAATATTGTCATAGTTTGGCCTTCTATGACTTTTTGAAGTTATTTTGAGCTTTTCTTATTTTTCTTTCATTTCAGGACGTCTACTACGCCGACCCATACTATGGAGTATGCCATCCGGGCATGGACCCCTTCCTGAGCGGGCTCTTCCTCTATGTCCCGGCCGTCGTGACCTCCATTTTTCTGTTGGTCACGTACGTGCTGGGACGGCGCTCTGGGCCGGTTCGACCGGAAAGTTCGAAGCCAATGGTCGGAGTGAATTTGGGCGGGATAAGGATTAATTTATCCTTCCCGGGACTGGCCACCAACCTTATGGTCTTTGTTATTGGGGCCATAAGTCACTTCTCGCCGAGCAAGTCCACCCATGATGAGATTGTTATGGTCAAACGCAGCGTAAGCTGCTTTACCAGCCGATCGGAAGGCCTTGTTGGGCTGATTCAAGAAGGGTAAGTTCAATTTTTTTTTATCATGAATAATATAATTTTTTGGTGGAATTAGAGGAAAAATTAACCTTAATGATCATAAAAGAGTATTTAGTGTCTAGTTACAGCTTTTTAGCTGTGTTTTTGTTGATTTTTGAAAAATTTTTTGGTCATGGATAATATAATTTTTGGTGAAATTAAAGGAAAAATTAATCGTAGTGGTCATAAAAGAGTATTTAGTGTCTAGTTACAGCTTTTTAATTGTGTTTTTGATGATTTTTGAAAAATTTTTTGCTCATGTATAATATAATTTTTGGTGAAATTAGAGGAAAAATTAATCCTAGTGATCATAAAAGAGTATTTAGTGTCTAGTTACAGCTTTTTAATTGTGTTTTTGATGATTTTTGAAAAATTTTTTGGTCATGGATAATATAATTTTTGGTGAAATTAGAGGAAAAATTAATCGTAGTGGTCATAAAAGAGTATTTAGTGTCTAGTTACAGCTTTTTAATTGTGTTTTTGATGATTTTTGAAAATTTTTTTGCTCATGTATAATATAATTTTTGGTGAAATTAGAGGAAAAATTAATCCTAGTGATCATAAAAGAGTATTTAGTGTCTAGTTACAGCTTTTTAATTGTGTTTTTGATGATTTTTGAAAAATTTTTTGGTCATGGATAATATAATTTTTGGTGAAATTAGAGGAAAAATTAATCGTAGTGGTCATAAAAGAGTATTTAGTGTCTAGTTACAGCTTTTTAGGTGTGTTTTTGATGATTTTTGAAAAATTTTTTGGTCATGGTTAATATAATTTTTTGTTCAAATTGAGTTGAAACTGGTGTTAGATGAGCCGAACTTGAATAATTTTCTCAGATTAGCAAGCAATTTTCTCTTTTTCATCTATTTTCGCTATTTTTTTATCATTTTTGATATTGTACATGATAGCCATTTTTTCAGAAATTCCGCATCCGATTGCGTAATGGACCCTCCAGTGGCTTGGCAGCCAATCTGGATCTTCGTCCGCATGCATCTGCTCCCAGTTGTGCCTTGCGGCGTAATTGTGGTCTACCTGTTCTACGCGCTGAAGGATGGAATTTTGAAGGCCTCGCCGGAAGAGGAGCATGAAATGGAGAGCCTGAATCCTGCCTCGGATGAAGAAGCACCAAAAATGAATGGGATAAATAAAAGGTAAGCGCGATGAATTTGGAAAATTACTTTTTTTTACCAAAATTTTTTTGTCTTCTTTAATTTAATGTCTATGTCAATTTCAGCACGTCTGTCACGGGTCTCGACACGGTCTTTTCGTCTAAAGTCTGATAACACTTGATCCGTCTTACAATACTAATAATATGCGTATAATTTACCCGATGTATCACTATTAACCATTTAGTCCAATATTATCACGATTTTTTATTATAATAAGATTTTTCCACTGGATTTGTCTGGTATTTGGATTATTTGGGCTCTGTGGATCAAGCACTAATACAGGACCTGATTCAGCGGCAAAAAAGTACAAAAAAAGCACCATTTTGCATCCGGAGAGCATCAAAAATGTGGCAAAATGCCTCCCTGTCCAAGTGAAAAAAACTTTTTTTTGAAGGCTCCCTTAAAAAAAAGCGGGTGTACTTTTGAAATCAGAGTTTTTTCACTTGAAGAGGGAGGTATTTTGCCACTTTTTTGATACTTCCCGGATGCAAAATGATACTTTTTTGCCACTGGATCAGGTCCCCCACTGTAGTCTCAAGTTGGCTAACAAAAAATTTCACATCTTTTTTTTCAACATCGATGTCATGGATAATACCCCAAATTTTCGGTTTCAGGCCAAATTCGATGCAAACAATTTTCACCACCAGCGAATCGGAGCGCCCGCCACGACGTCAGCGCCGTTTCCGCCGCAAACGCCACTCTCCCATCATCCGCGACGGGATCGCGAGCTCCAGCTCGCAGATGGACTCCGACGCCGCCCTGCCCCGCGTGCCGATCGGCTACGAGAACGCGCTTCTGAAGCACACGCTGGCCTTGCTGACGAACGGTCTTGTGCCGCCGGGCGCGATGTTGCTGCCGCAAGCTCCGATGAACAAAATGAATTGGATGCCGGCGCAGATGGGCAACGAGAATATGGCACCGGGCCCATCGGAGGGCCCGAACATGAGGCCGGGACCATCAGGGTTCGTTCCGAGGCCTAATGGAAATCAAAGAAGGGCGGAGAGGCGGAGAAATGATGAAGAAGATAGCAACTACTTCGACTCGGACAACTTGAATTCAGCGGACGAGCGAGATCTGGTAAGTGGAATTTTGTTTGTAAAGTGTTTATTGGTACTAGTCGCAGAGAATTTCTCGCGGCCGTCGCGCTCCGAAAAGTTGATTTGTCGCTGCGAAACACGGGAATCGCGCGCGACAATAAGGCAAAACAACAAAATTGCACTGTGCAAATGCACTTTTCGGGTTCATGCACAGTGCAGAGTCGCCGAAAATTCCCAGGACTTTTTTCCGCGACTAGTATTTTCACAAAGTTCATGGACATTTGTTGCGGTACGCACCGTGCACAGAAACTCCCCATTTTTTGCACCGTGCGTTGGCGACAAGCGTGGGAAAAAGTTCAAGGTGCACTGTGCAAACGGCTTTTTGGTTTTCGCACTGTGCGGTATGAAAAGGAATAATGCACCGTGCGTTGGCGACAAGCATGGAAAAAGTTCAAAAATGCACTGTGCGTTGGCGACAAGCGTGGAAAAAAGTTCAAAAATGCACTGTGCGTTGGCGAAAAGCGTGGGAAAAAACTTCAAGGTGCACTGTGCAAACGGCTTTTTTGAAATTTGCACTGTGCGGTATGAAAAGGAAAAATGCACTGCGCGTTGGCGAGAAGCGTAGGAAAAAGTTCAAAATGCACTGTGCGTTGGCGAGAAGCGTGGGAAAAAGTTCAAAATGCACTGTGCAAACGGCTTTTTTGAAATTTGCACTGTGCGGTATGAAAAGGAAAATTGCACCGTGCGTTGGCGACAAGCGTGGGAAAAAGTTCAATATGCACTGTGCGAACGCGAAAAAAATGTCCATGAACTTTATGAAAATAAATATTATTAAGACGATTATTTCACAACAAATATAACGTGTTTCCAGGCCGAAGAAGAAGAACGGAGAGCCCAAATACATCAGCAAATCCCTGCAATGGAAGCCGGCCCGAGCCAGGTTGAGTCTTCTACCGAAAATGACTCAAATGACGGTAGCAATGACTTCAACTCCGACGAACTGAATTCGAATGACGAACGGGACCTGGTAAGGAGAATTTCAAAATTTTTCAAAAATTTAAAAGAAATCTTCACAGTAAATATAACCATTTTTCAGATGGAAGAAGCACAACGAAGAGCCCAGATTCATAAGCAATGTGCCCAGCGATAGATGAAGCCATGTATTCCACGATTTCTTAAATTATTCCTATTTATTTTTTAACTCTAAAGCCATATCTTTACAATTGATGCCATGTCTTTCACGATATATTTGTGCCTTACTTGTTTTACCTCGAAACGGTGTTATATAGATCTCTAACCTCATTTCTTTCACTCAAATTACGGTGTACTATACAGAACTCACTCGGTAACTACTTGCAATATCATTATTTCCCGGTCTCAAGAAAAAATGTGATTTCCTCAGGAACAAAAACAAATCCTCACGAATAAATATAATAATATGAATTTCGAATGCTCAACGTTTTTAAGATGGTTTATAACACGACAACAATATATAAAAAGATAACAAAACGAAGAACTTTAAATTCCATCTTCCTTGATCCAGTCGGCGACTCCCCAGATTCTGATGGTGTTGTCGGAGTAGCCGGCGAAGAGGGTGTTTCCGTCCTGCGACCAGGCGAGCGATGTGCATTGAGGGGCGGCGCTTCCGGAGACGTCCAATTTGAGTTCGTCGAGGGTGGAACGGTGCTCCAAGTCCCAGATTCGGATGGTGGAGCCGACGGCGGCACAGAGCCAGTATCTGTTGGGGGAGAAGGTGAGGGCGTTGATGGTGTCTTGGGCGTCCAACTGGTACAAGTGCTTGTTCTCGGTGAGGTCCCACAAGTTGGCGACGCCGTCCTTTCCGCCGGACGCGCACAGGGAACCGTCGGGAGAGACGGTGGTGGCGTTGATGAACCCGGTGTGGCCAATGTGGTTGGTCTTCAGACGGCAGTTGGACAGGTTCCACACCTTCACAACCTTATCCCAACCGGCCGACACGATGGACGGGCTTGGGGAGGTGGAGGCGAAACGCACAGACGACACCCAGTGGCTGTGGCCATCGTCCTTCTCGGAGAGGGTGAGCTTGCACTGGGCGAGGGTGTTCCACAGACGGATGGTGCGGTCACGGCCTCCGGAAACGATCTGACGGTTATCGGCGGAAAAAGCGACGGAGAGGACGTCCTTGGTGTGGGCAATGAACTGACGGGAAGTCTTTCCGCTGAAAAATACTCAACAGAATCCATTTCAGCCAAAACTTCGCCAAAAATCAGATAATTTAGACCTTACACTACCCTAAACTCAAAGAAATCTCAAACAAAAAACTTACGTGTTCAAATCCCAAAGACGGAGAGTTCTGTCCCATGATCCGGTAAGGGCAAAGTGTCCATCGTGGGAGAGGGCAACATCGGAAACAAAGTGACCGTGACCGAGGAGAGATTTCAGAGGACGGCCTCCGGTGATCTCATCTCCAAAGGAATGAAGGTCCCAAACGAGCACGGACTTGTCTGAAAAGAAAGGAATTAGATTCCAGCATGTCCGTAAAGACAAATCTCGGCTAATATTCGACGAAATTTTTCTACATCATGGTGAATATCAAAAATATGAATTTGGGCCATTCATTAACTCCAAATCGTTCTTATCCTAAAACCCAACAAAAAATCGCAAAAACATACCACGGGAAGATGAAATAAGGGTGTTGGCGTTGGATGGGGAGGTGGCCAATTGAGTGATGGCACCGTTGTGACCTTCCAACTTTCCGCGTAGGCTCAGGGCGGCTTTTTTGGTGATTGTTTCTCCTTCCATATTGGTTGAGACTATGGGTAAACCCTAAAAGCAGAAACTCTGTAAAAATTACATCAAAAATCGATTCAATATGTAAAAATAGCACGGACGTAGGATGGAGAAGATAAAATAAATGTAAAATCCATGAAAACTTATCAAAAACTTGGATAAACTTGACTAAAATACGCAAAAATCCCAAGAAAAAATTTTTCGAGGAACGACAAAAAACCTTTTTGCCTAAAATAAAGCGTTTCGAGACTCAGCACAGGCAAACTGATCTTGGCGTTCTGTTGCAAGTAGTTTTTTCTCGAGAATTTTTAGCGGAGGACGGCAATTGACGTTGCAACTTACTACAACGCGTTGTAGTAAGTCGAATATAGGCCTAGAACATCATAAAATGTGGAATTCGACTGGTTTTGACATCTTTTTTGACAAGTGCAATATCTAGATGTTGTTCATGGTGAAATTTACTGATTTTCTTCCTAATTTCCTCAGAAAATGCGGTGACTTCTTTGATTTCATGATAGTACTGTCCATTCTATGTTGAAACATATCGAGAACATGCTTCTTTTCACAAAAATATCCTAAAAATTCATCAAAAATCCTCAAAACACCTGTTTGGCGAACAACAATATCAAAATTACACAAACATAACTTTATCCTAGTCCTTTAGACAATATAAAGAGATATAGAGAGGTCTAATGAGTGCCATTTTACGGGCAGTTGATGGCTTTGCCGACGTAGGCGTGAAGATTGGCTTCACGGAAGGCTTCGGAGAGAGTGGGGTGGGCATGGCAGACACGGGCAATGTCTTCGCAAGATGCTCCGTATTCCAGGGCTAGGACCGCTTCTCCAATCATCTCGCCGGAGTTCTGAAAATGTCAGGGAATGTTAGGAGTTATAACAGGTTATTATAGGGGTCATGTTATACTTGACCTAGTATAAGATAAAAATATTTGAAAATTTTGTCGAAACTACCAACTTTTTTACTTGGAAGGTTCCAACAGTCACCTGTTACCTTTTATAACCAAAATATCCTAGAATATTAACTAGTTTTCCGCAAAATATTGCACTTGACATCAGGTGTCAAGTACAACATCCAAATCTTTGAAAAATGTAAAAACTTCTCGGATTATACTACAAACAGCCAAAATAGGTTCTATTCTTCCTTTCTCTGCCAAAAAATCATCAAAAACAAGTCAGTTTCGCTCAACCCAGCACTTTTTCCATCAGCTGTCTTGTGTAACATCAAAAACTTCTCTGAACTGCCCTAAACTCCAAAAAAAAATCCGAAAGCAACTTACAGGTCCAATAATATGGACTCCCAAGAGTCTATCAGTTTGTTTGTCGGCCAAAACTTTGACGAACCCTTCAGTGTCATTATTAGTTTTGGCTCGGGAGTTCGCGACGAACGGGAATTTGCCAACCTTGTACGCGACCTTCTCCTGTTTAAGTTGTTCTTCGTTCTTTCCGACCCATGCGACTTCGGGGTGTGTGTAGACCACTGACGGGACGCAGTTGTAATCGATATGAACCGGGCCTCCGCAAATTCCTTCCACAGCGATGATTCCTTCATCTTCGGCCTTGTGGGCGAGCATAGGTCCTTCAACAATATCGCCAATAGCATAAATATTGTCCACAGAGGTCTGGAAGCGAGTGTTGACTGGGATGCGGCCTTTTTGGTCGAGTTGAATTCCAACATTTTCCAGTCCAAGGTTGGCACTGTACGCGCGGCGGCCGATAGCGACGAGAAGGACATCACATTCCAGCTGAAAACTATTTCAATCACTTTCAAATCCCATGAAATACATTTAAAAAGTCAGAAAGCGATCGAAAAATAGAAAAATTATATTACACTAGGCAAAATTTATATTACACATAACAAAAAGTTATACCTATTGGTCGGAAAGCAAAGAAAAAGACAACTCACATCCTGTTTCTTCCCATCCTTCGCTCCTTCAATTGATACAGTAATATTTGATCCATTTCTTTTGGCTGCTGTCACTTTGGTGTTCAACAAAAATTTGAATCCCTGTTTCTTCAAGATGTTTTGGAAAACTCTGGCGACTTCCCCATCAATTCCAGCACCTCCAATGCTGCCCAGGAACTCCACGCAAGTTACTTCAGCGCCAAGTCGTTGCCAAACCGAGCCGAGTTCAAGTCCAATGACTCCGGCGCCAATAACAACCATTTTCTTGGGGACTTCGGTCAAATTAAGGGCTCCAGTTGATGATACTACCTGAAAAAATTAATATAGAATCAATTTCACGAGTCATAGAGCTCTTTAAAATAAAAATTTCTGTAGAAAACACGATTTTACGGGCTTCCACAAAGTTGTTAGTCTAAAATAAGGTCCAGACCAAAAAATCTCCTTTAAAACAGTCAAATATTCTGATCCCTTGCAATTCATTAGATAGAACATTCTACAGACTCTCTCAAAAAAGTAGAACATACTTGTTTCTCGTCAATTTCGATTCCAGGGAACGGCGTGACTTCGGATCCGGTAGCAATAAGAATGTTCTTGGTGTTGACCTTCTCCTCGGAGCCATCAGCCTTCTTCACAGTGACCTAAAGACAGAAATAGATACAAAAAATGTTTTCCTACCTCATTCTTTCCCGTAATTTTGCCGAATCCATTCAAATGAGTGACTTTATTCGCCTTGAACAAAGTCGCCACACCAGCGGTCAGACCCTTCACGGATGACTCTTTGGCCTTGAGCATAGTGGCCAAATTCAGCTTAGGCTCGACTTCAACACCTCGCGCATTCAAGTCTCCGTGTTTTGCCAGGTGATAGAAGTGAGAGTTGTTCAACATGGCCTTTGAGGGAATACATCCAACATTAAGACAGGTTCCTCCCAAAGTGTCGTTCTTTTCCACACAAACCGTCTTCATACCGAGTTGAGCGGCTTTTATAGCAGCCACATAGCCGCCAGGACCGGATCCAATCACAACAATGTCGGCATCTGCAAAAAACGCAATGAATTTCCATGAATTTCTTCAAGCTGGTCATGGATAATGTAAATTCGTCTCTAAACACAAGCAATCAAAGGAAACACTTACCAATCTGGGATGAGTAGAATCTGCAGAGAGCGGGACTAAATTGTGCATGCCTTTGAACAGCAATTCGGGCCAGCATCTTCGACTGCAAGGACCGACAGGAATACCCACTGAAAAGACAAGATTGTAAAAAAACAAACAAATTTCGCGAATTCTCAACTCGTTTAAAAAGACAAAGGACGTCATTGTAAAACTATCAGTGATAACAACAGTCAATCACACGATTCCTAGAAAGAGATACTATAATTTAGGCTAAAGAAATACCAGAAACTATATAATATAATTTCAAAATACTACACGATCGGAGATCACAACCACGACGGTCCAATCAATCTAGACACGGGCATTCCCGTTCGTCTTCAAGCATGGCAAGATCGAGAAAAAACAAAAAGGTCCTCATAATCAATGCGCAATTTTTGGCACTTCGCACCGATAGATCTGTGGCATTTCGTCGTATCCCGAAAAATATTTTCTATAAAATCTCTCGGAAGTTTGTTCTTGTTGATCTGTGGCTCCTACCATGTTTGTTTTATCCAAATTCAAGTACACAGCAAAGATATTGCCGCTGCATTTGGGCGAGGACTTTTTAAGCACGTTGATCAAACGGATTGATGCCGATTTCGCAAATTATGTAAGTGGCGTTCTTTATTTTTGTGTTCAATATTTAGATAATGACTTGTTCTTTCTATTGCGAACGAAAAATGTTTCCAACAAAGCTGTTTTGACGCTTTTTTGTCGACATTATTCATAGCACCTATCTAAAATAATGTTTTAACCCCTTTCTCTCAGGTAATCATCGATGTTGGACTATGCTTGAGTTTCTACGACTTCCAAAGCATCGGAGCGTCTTATCTGATGGCCGGCGATGCCTCAAGCTATACTCCAGTTGAATTCCGGTACTTGGTTTTCCAGCCCTTCCGAGGTGAAGTGATCCAAGCAACAATTTCGTCATGCACAACAGATGGTGTGAAACTTACAATGGACTTCTTCAGTGATATATTTGTGACTCCAGACAACCTTCCGGAGGTCTCTAAATTGTAAGTTGGTTCGATTTTTATAATCTTGTTTTAGTGATGAGAAGGAGCAAGTTTGGATATGGGAATTCCAATCGGAGGAAGGAGGGGATCCCGTCAAATTCTACATGGAGCCGGGGAAGACTGTAAAGTATGTTTTTCATTATATTTTTTTGAAATTTAGAGATGAATTTTGCAAAATACGACTGTTTTTTCTGAAACAGCTACTTTTTGGTGGATTTTTTGAATTTTTGCCAATTATGGATAAATTATTGGCTGTAACTTTTCGAAAACGTAATTTTTTGTCAAAATCAACTGTGCGGTTGTAGATTCCGAGTCACAGACATCAAATATCGAAGTGTTCAGCCAGGAGCATCGTCCGAAGTCAAGGTGATGGAGATCACCGGAACAATGTCAGAACATGGTCTAGGCTGTGTGGACTGGTGGGCGCAGCCCGCAGAGCCCGAAGATGACGCCGAACCTGCCGAATCATAGCCATTTTTCAATTGAAAATTTAATTTTTACCTCTTTGTTACTTGTTGATTTGTTGTTGTTGAGATGTATAAAAAATAAGAAAAATTCGCCCGAAATGATCGCTGTGACGCCCTGTCCAGCTGTCAAGTAGACCCCCTGGACCCTCGCGTTCACACGTCCTCATAACTCAAATCACTAATGAGAACACTTTTTGCCGCAGGGCGGGACCCATAAACCCGTCTGAACGGGAAAGTTTATGTGATTTTGGAGGCCGGAACTTCCGGCAGGCTCATTTCGGAGAATTTTAGACAATTTTAAAACTTAATTGGGTCTTCAAGTTGATAGAAGTTTCGATTGTAATGATTTTAAGGGTCATTTTGATAATGAATTACACTTTTATTTGGCCAATTCCAATTATTTTTGTTTATTTCGGCCGATAATTATTGTTTGTTCCAAAGATTAGAGCCTTTTTTATGGTTTGTTTGCAAAAATAATTAGCACAAAAAAATTTTTTATACAAAATTTGATCAAATCCTTTTTTTCATAAAGTCTGGAGTGATTTCGGTGACGTGCACTGTGCGAAAACAAAAGTTCACTTTGCACTGTGCAATTTCTCGCTTTTTGCACCGTGCAATAAGCTTTTTGGGTTGTCGCTCACACCTTGACTTTTTTTTTGCACCATGCAAGTCGCCAAAATAATTTTCGCGACATGCACTGTGCGAAAACAAAAGTTCACTTTGCACTGTGCAATCTACTAGTCGCGCCATAAAGTCCTGACACATTTTGCACCGTGCGAAAGTTCGGGGTTTGGACGTCGCGCCCCCAAATTCATTTTGCACCGTGCATTCTTCTTTCATTTCATCCGCACTGTGCATCTTTTCGCATTTGTCGCCGCGATTTCCCCTTTTTGCACTAGCGACTTGCAAAACCCGAACTTTCGCACTGTGCATTCTTCTTTCATTTCGCATTTGTCGCCGCAATTTCCCGTTTTTGCACTAGCGACATGCACTTTTGCGCGCGACGAACCCGAATTTGGGGGCGCGACGTCCAAACCCCGAACTTTCGCACGGTGCAAAATGTGTCAGGACTTTATGTCGCGACTAGTATATATTGCTTTTCGCACCGTGCAATGAGCTTTCCGGGTTGTCGCTTGACTTTTTTTGCACAGTGCAAGTCACCGGAATGATTTTCGCGACATGCACGAAAACTTTGTGCGAAAACAAAATTTCACTTTGCACTGTGCAATCTATTGCTTTTCGCACCGTGCAATGAGCTTTCTGGGTTGTCGCTTGACTTTTTTTGCACAGTGCAAGTCACCGGATTGATTTTCGCGACATGCACTGTGCGAAAACAAAAGTTTCCTCTGCACAGTGCAATTTGTTTTCCTCTGCACCGTGCAATCCGTTCGCAAGTCGCCAGAATGATTTTCGCGACATGCACTGTGCGAAAACAAAATTTCACTATGCACTGTGCAATCTCTTGCGTTTCGCACCGTGCAATAAGCTTTTTGGGTTGTCGCTCGCACCTTGACTTTTTCTGCACAGTGCAAGTCGCTGGAGTGCACTGTGCGAAAACAAAATTTCACTTTGCACTGTGCAATTTCTTGCTTTTTGCACCGTGCAATAAGTTTTCTGGGCTGTCGCTTGACTTTTTTTGCACAGTGCAAGTCGCTGGAGAGATTGATTTTCGCGACATGCACTGTGCGAAAACAAAATTTCACTTTGCACTGTGCAATTTTCGGCTATTTGCACCGTGCAACAAGCCTTTTGGGTTGTCGCCTCTGAGTTTTTTTGCACGGTGCGTGTCGCAAAAATGCCCGTCAAAAAATTTTCGCCCACGCTTTGCAAAAAAAAAAAATTAAAATTTTGTGTTGCCAAAAAAACTTTTTTTTTCGAAAATTTGCACAGTGCAAAAAAAGTTACCCACTGCACTGTGCAAAATTTCACTTTGCACTGTGCGAAATTTTCATCTCCTTGCACAGTGCAAAAAATTCGAATTTTTTTGGGAACAAAAAGTAAGATTTTTTGAGTCAAAAAAATTCCAAAATTTTGTACAGTGCAAATTTTTTTCTAGATTACTGTAGCAAAAAATTTTTATAAGTCAAAAAAAAGTTTCAATAATTTTTGCACAGTGCAAAAAATGTTGCCCATTGCACTGTGCAGCGCCATTTTTGCCTTATTTTTGGCGTTGCACAGTGCGAAATTTTGATCTCTTCGCACTGTGCGAAAAATTCGAAATTTTCTGAAAATATAAAATAAGCTTTTTTTGAGAAAATTTGAGTGTCTCGCCTCCAGGGGATTTCTTTTTCGTTGCGCTTCAGTCGTTTTTAAAACTTTTTCTGCAACATTTTTACTGTCAAAACAACAATTTTTCTTCCCCTATCTTTACTGCGTGGCCTGCTAGAAAACAATTTTTATAGTAATAATAAAAATGCTGCAACAATCTCCCACCGAAATGCAGAGAACTCTTTCGTACTCTTTTTATAGTGTAAAAGATCTTTTACACTTTACAAAAAGCCAGTAATCTTTAAACTGATGTCCATTTCCGCTCCACCTCGAACGGAAATGTAATAAAAAAATCCCAGCTTTCGTTGGGGCAAGGTCATTCGTTGTAAAGCTGGAGGCCGTTACAATTACTTTTCACTCGTCCATTTTATTTGATCCTTCCGTTTTTAAAAGATTCCTCAAGGGCGAATGAGACAATTCGGCGGACGTTGCAGACGTTTTTTGGGCTGCGGAGTTGGAGTGTTTGAAAAAAATTTGGGAACTTCGGAAATTTTGGAGCTAAAATTTTATGTGTTACTGTAACGAGAAATTTTTTAGTCAACAAAAGTTTTTCAATTTTTTCGCACAGTGCAAAAAATGTGACCCACTGCACTGTGCAGCGCCATTTTTGCTCTATTTTTGGCTCTGCACTGTGCAAAATTTTAATCTCCTTGCACAGTGCGAAAAAATAAAAATTTTCTGAGAGTAGAAAACAAGATTTTTTGAGTCCAAAAGAATTCCAAAATTTGGCACAGTGCAAATTTTTTTTCTAGATTACTGTAGCAAAAAATTTTTTAAAGTCAAAAAAAGTTTCACTAATTTTTGCACAGTGCAAAAAAATTTTCTCACTGCACTGTGCAGCGCCATTTTTGCTCTATTTTTGGCTTTGCACAGTGCAAAATTTTCACCTCCTTGCACCGTGCGAAAAATTCGAATTTTTTTGGGAACAAAAAGTAAGATTTTTGAGTCAAAAAAATTCCAAAATTTGGCACAGTGCAAATTTTTTTTCTAGATTACTGTAGCAAAAATTTTTTAAAGTCGAAAAAAATTTCCAAATTTTTGCACAGTGCAAAAAATGTTGCTCACTGCACTGTGCAGCGCCATTTTTGTTCTATTTTTGGCTCTGCACGGTGCAAAATTTTGTCTTCATTGCACTGTGCGAAAAAAATCAAAATTTTCTGAGAGTAGCAAATAAGATTTTTTGAGTCCAAAAAAATTCCAAAATTTTGCACAGTGCAAATTTTTTCTAGATTACTGTAGCAAAAAAATTTTTTAAAGTCAAAAAAAAATTTCCAAATTTTTACACAGTGCAAAGAAATTTTCTCACTGCACTGTGCAGCGCCATTTTTGCCTTATTTTTGGCTTTGCACTGTGCAAAATTTTGTCCTCATTGCACTGTGCAAAAAAATCAAAATTTTCTGAGAGTAGAAAACAAGATTTTTTGAGTCCAAAAGAATTCCAAAATTTGGCACAGTGCAAATTTTTTCTTGATTACTGTATCGAAAAACTTTTTTGAAGTCGAAAAAAAATTTCCAAATTTTTGCACAGTGCAAAAAATGTTGCTTACTGCACTGTGCAGCGCCATTTTTGCCTTATTTTTGGCTTTGCACAGTGCGAAATTTTTATCTGTTTGCACCGTGCGAAAAACTGAGGTGCCAATGACGTTTTTCAAAAAAAATTTTTTCAGGTGAAAAATGAAGTTGCTTGTTCTCATCACCGTTTTTTGTTTCTACATATCCACTACCACTTCCGTCTTGCCGGACTGCGGCCGGATCCCGCCAAATTTCTGGTGTAAAAACATGCAGATTGCCACACATTGCGGGGTGGCGGCGGCTTGTCAACGATACAATCAGCTGAGTGCGAATCGAAAAGTTCACATTCAAATCATCATGGAGTCGTTGTGTCCGTTCTGTCAACGGTTTATTGTCGACAAATTTTACCACGATGTGTACTTGAAGTTCCGAGGATATGTTGATGTGGAGTTGGTCCCTTACGGAAATGCCGAGCGAAATGTGAGTGGAAAATGGGCGTTTATAGTGTTTTCAGAAAGTGCGTAGACTTTTTTCGGCCTCTTTTCCGCACAGTGCAAACGACTTTTTTGTGGTTTGCACGGTGCGAAAGAGAAAAAAATGCACCGTGCACAAAAACTCTCCATTTTTTTGCACTGTGCGTTGGCGACAAGCGTGGGAAAAAGTTCAAGATGCACTGTGCAAACGAACTTTGTTTGCACGGTGCGAAAGAGAAAAAAAATGCACTGTGCGCTGGCGACAAGCGTGGGAAAAAGTTCAAATTGCACTTTTTTTTCTCAGTGCAAAATGTTTTCGAAAAGGATCGCGTCGCGCGAGGAACAGAGAACTTGCACGGTGCGGTGCGAAAAAAGGCCGATTGCCCTGTGCACATTTTTGAGCAAATCGCAGCGACGCAGTTGAGAAAAGCTTACGTCGCAGCGATATTTCAAACGCACAGTGCAACACCAAAAAAAGATGAGTGCACGGTGCAAAAAATCGTTGGATTTTTGTGCACAGTGCGGACCGCGACGACACAAAATGAAATTGCACAGTGCAAAATGTTTCGAAAAGGATGAATTCCATCGATTGCGACCCAAAATGGGGTAAAGCGACCCCGGGGTGAAAATTCCTTGACTTTTTTCGGGAAAAACTTGCCTTAGGGGTTTTCGAGGGTGCTGATTTCGAAAATGATGTTCATTTTTTCTGAAACTTACTAGTTTTCCTTAAGCAGTAGTGTTAAAAAGCAATTTTTTGAAATTTTTCCAAAAATACTCGATTTAGGGGTTTTCGAGGGTGCTGATTTCGAATATCGGGTTTATTTTTTCTGAAGATTACTAGTTTTCCTTAAGCAGTAGTGTTAAAAAGTAATTTTTTGAAATTTTTTCAAAAATACTGCTTAAGGAAAACTAGTAAGTTTCAGAAAAAATGAGCATTGTTTTCGAAATCAGCACCCTCGAAAACCCCTAAAGCAAGTTTTTCCCGAAAAAAATCAAAGAATTTTCACCCTGGGGTCGCTTTACCCCATTTTGGGTCGCAATCGATGCGGGGTCGCAATCGAAGGTTTCCAAAAGGATCGCGTCGCTCAGCATGCACTGTGCGGTGCGACAAAAGGCCGAAAAAGGTCTACGCTCTTTCTGGAACGACCAGTACGAATAAAAGCCCTCTAAAACCCCAATTCCAGGGCATGTCGATCAGCTGTCAGCACGGTGAGAAGGAGTGCGAGATCAACACCTTCTTCTCCTGCGCGCAACAGCACGTGAATCCCCCGTTCGACTTTGTCTATTGCATCGAACGAGAGCTGAAGAATTTTAGCACTTTCGAAGTGGCGAAGACCCGTTGCTATCGGGAGCGGAATGTGCCGGTCGCCACACAGAGCCGTCTGCAATCCTGCACGTACGGCAACGAGGGCCGACAACTGCAGCTGCAGGCGGCGCGCATCACCGAAGCCGAGTTCCCGGAGCTGCATTTGACCGTCCCCTACACCATTATTAATAATGTGAGCCTGGTCAGCGCGCAGCATATGCGCTCGAATTTGGGCCTCATGATTTGCGACTGGTATGTGGGCAGGAATTTTGTGCCGCCACCCTGCAAGGAGTTGAGTTAATGTACAGAAATACGATGATTTTGAGTGAATAAAGTGCCAAAGATATCTGTCATTATTTTGAATCAATGTAGAGGCTATTCAAAGCTTCAAAATTCAAGTTCAACAAAAGCAAAAAAATCAAAAAAAAATCGAAATTTAATTTTTGCATTAAAAAATCGCTGACTTTAAACCAGCAATTAGATGTATTAGAGCCAATTGGTAGTTTAGCAACACCTTTTTCATTCAATAGACTACAATTTTGACACTTTTTCAGCAAAAATTTAGATCACTGCACGGTGCAAGAACCCAAATTTCGATTGCACAGTGCAAAAAAATTTATTAATAAAAGTCGGCCAAATTTCCCAAAAATTATGTTCAAAGTTGTTTACCTCCTCTCCAGCAGTCATGAACAGGCCATTTCTGGCAGCCGAACATCACAAACCCCTCGAAAAAATCTTTCTTTTTTTTGGTGATTTTCAAGCGAAATTTCTCGACCATTTTCGACCAAAACCCCGGTTTTCGAGGGTGAACTTTAAAAGCTTGTGGCAACCTCAGTTTGCCTTTTTAAAATCTAGATATTTCGTAGACAAAAGTTGATGTCGCTTACAAATACATATTCCAAAAACGAAGTCCATGCGCCACCCCTGTCGGAAGTTATAGCCTCCGACTTTCCTTCTCGTTTTTTGTAAGACCACCTAAAACAATATAAAATTTCTCTCCTAAAATCTTCTCAAAATCAATTTCACATTGTCAGAAATAAATTATCACACTCCAAACATACTAATGACAGTATTTTAATCAAAAACAAACACTAATTTTACATTGTTTTGTCCATCAATGACCAAATCAAGGTTAGTCTCGAAAACATCTAAAAATCCTCTTTTCAGTTCCAGATAACCACTCCAAGCCTCTATCACTTCCTCTTGCCTCATTTCCATTCCAAAAATCTTCTCCAACTTACCCATAACAAAGAGTATAAGCATAAAATCCCATCATGGCAATGCACTTCATGACCAGGCCGGTCTGACTGAACCTGGCGGCGATCACAAACGTCAACATGGACAGAATCGAGAAGAACCCGCTCCAGAGGATCAATCGGCGTCGGGAAACATGCGACATTTTGATGTCGTCGACATCAAAAATGCATGATGTTTTATTTTGATGAATTTGAATTTGATGTTTTTTCTTTCAGTGTACTTCTTTCCTTCACGTTTCTTGAAAAACCTTTTAGGTGACTAACAAACAAGATGTTGGGGAGTATGTGGTTTGAAGCTCTCTCTAGAGCACATCAAAAAAATTGTGGTATTGCCAAAGTTTTCGACAAAAAAATCCAGAAAATCCAAATAGCGCCTTGCAAAAGTTTCAAACTTAAGTTTTTTTGTGGGTACTCCAGGCAGTACTTCCAGCCATATATGGACGTAATTTATATATATGGTATACCACTGACACATGTTAAACCGGTGTCATCATGACACATTTTCTGGAAACACCAAGATTTCAAGATTTTCAAATAATTTGAATACATCGGAAGAGAGCCACCGTTCGTTGAACACACCATTGATTACCGGATAAAGTTTATTTTTGATCGAAAAAAAAAACAATACCGGTTCCGCGGTAACTACTCCATTTCCATGACGCTCACATTTTCGCAGTCATTTGTCATCCCTTCGATTATTTTTCGATCGGGGATTCCCCTGCCTCGTGATCATGTCAAGTGATTTAGTTCAAGTGTTTGGAAATGGAATTCAAATCCAGTCGACGGTCAGTTGGTCAGCAGAGAGCTAATCCGAGAAATGGAAGAATCGCGAAGCCCGGGAAACCCCGAGAATTTTTTTTCTGTCCCTTGAGTGGACGGAAAAACGTGATTTTTGGAGGTGGTCTGCTGAGTACAGTAATCTCTGTAAACAAAAGTAAAAATTTCAGAAAAAAATTGTTTTTTGCCAAAAAGTCTTGTTTCTTTCTAATTTTAAAAGACGTGAAAATGAGTGTATACGATGTTAGAAACGTCCACAAAAACATTGACTGATTTTTAACGACACTTTTAGACCTTTGCGGGATTTTAAAATTTTTCGTATAAAATGTCCCTTAACAGTAAAATCGTAAATTTTAAAGTCGACAAATCTTTTATTCACTCTATTTACCTTTTTTATGGTGGTATCTCATCAACTTTAGTTTTTATTCCTCTCAAAACATCAAAAATTATAGTAAAAATTTTGAAATTTCCTAAATTTTAAAATACGGGTTTTCCAAAGTTTCAATAATCCGCTTTCCTTAAAATCGTGCATAGATAGTCTATCTAGGCTGCAGATCAATACCTCAAAATTTTAGTTCAAGCCCTGTTAGCAGAGCCGAGATATTCAACTAACTTTACAGACAAGTCATTATGTAAAATGAAGAGAGACGGCCGGAGAAAAAAGCCTTTTTTGGACGAAAACGGATATATTTTTAACTGTAGAGAAAAATCGAAGCTTGGAAGCTATTAGATATGGTAAGAAAAAAATGTTTTGGTCATCCATCAGATGTTTATACATTCTTTGCCGCAGGCGGAAGACATTGCTGAACAAACACAAAATTACAGTAAATTGTTAAATTTCGCTATGTCATTGAAATACAGACGGACGATCCCAATGTTTTTTACGCCAGACAGCATTCATCGAAGCAACAGAACATGGTGTTTGGGTTACCATGATAAATTACTTTACAGTGATGACCCAAAAATCAAGCCGTTTATGGAAACATCATTTTTTGTATATAGACGTTTGATTGATCATCAAAACGTTTTTTCATGCCATATCTAATAGCTTCTGAGCTTAGATTTTTCTTTACGATTAAAAATGTTTCGGTTTTTATCCAAAAAAAAGCGTTTTTCTCCGGCCGTCTCTCTTCATTTTGCACAATGACTTGTCTGTAAAAATGGTTGGATATCTCGGCTCTGCTAGCAGGGCTTGAGCCAAAATTTTAAGGGATTGATCTGTAGCCTAGATGGAATATCTGTGCAGGATTTCAAGGAAATTGGAGCATTCAAGCTTGAGAAAACGCATTTTAAAATTTAGGAAATTTCAAAATTTTTATTATAATTTTTGATGTTTTGAGAGCAATAAAAAATGAATTTGATGGGATACAACGATAAAAAAGCTAAATAGAATGAGTAAAAGCCCTTCTGACCTTTGAATTTGCGGTTTTACTGCTAGGGGACATTTTATACGAAAAATTTTAAAATCCCGGAAAAGTCTCAAATTTCCGTAAAAATCGGTCATTGTTTTTGTGGACGTTTCTACCATCGTATACACTCATTTCCACCGCAAAAAAGCCCAGAGATCACCGCAAATCGGCATAATTTGATATCATTTTACATCAGCATTATGTTTATTCGTTTCACCAACTTCTCTCCCCTCCAATTCCGATCCGACCTTCACGCGTCGCCGGCAGATAAGGCAGAAAGCCGGCATTTGTCGCCGAAATCTCCCATCTTGCCATCGCATTCGTCATTGACCCAAACGCCGAGGAATTTGGGTGGTGGGCGCTCCGAGTGCACACTGCACTCAATGGGAAAACGAAATTAGGCATTGCGATCGAGGGGAGAGCAAAATTATGTCTCGGGAGGGCTGCGAAAGTCCGAATGGGCTGAGAAAACGAGATAATATTCGTTTATTCGGCACAAAATACATATTATTCAATTAAAAAATGCAAAAATATCCCAGAAATAAGGGAAAATTTTTGTTTATTATAAAAAAGCTTATTATACGAAGGCTTAGTCTAAAAATTTTTGCCCCAAAATTTTCTTGAGACCCCACCTAAATATTAGATTTACTACCGTAGGACGTGGAGAACCGGCTTCAAGGATGAGGTCATCGTTTTTCCATTGTCTTCTTCGACAAATTCCTTTTCGACTTTTTTCTTATTTTTTATCACGCGGAGGAGTTTGTCATAAAACATAACAAGTAATAACAGCTCAGCGGAGAGTACAGTATCCATAATACTAGTTAAACTTAAAAAATAAATCGATTTTTTAACCGAAAATGTCAAAAAAAATTTCACAATGTATTGAACATGATGACCAAAAAAGAAATGCATGTAACTCAGCCAATATTTGATCTTTTTGTAAATTTTTTACAGCACTTATAACTGACATCACAGTAATCATTTGCTGTAAAAATCTTCATACCCGGCGCATCGATCATCAACATATTAACCATGACATTACACATGCCTAAAACAAGGTCCATTCTCCCAAAATCATCATTTTATTTATTTTCAAATTACCGCAGCCTATTTCAAAATTACTGCAGGTATTTTTGCGTCATTATGAAGCAATATGCACTCGGCCCTTTTGATTTTTCATTTTTGCACCACGATTTTCCGAGCGTCGAAATTCCGCGGACCCGCCGATATTGCTGTGTCATGTGGGGAGGAAAGCCAAAAGTCAGGCGTTGGCGCGTCGCGAAAAAGGGCTTCCCCAAACCCATCGAGAACCCAGCCCACCTCAACTGATCGAACTTTTGCGCTCCGCCCATCGGCGAGCCTCTAAAACCGGGCGCTCGGCGTTGGGATGTTCATGTTGAGGGCTGGGTGGGCTTTGGACGGCAGTGAAGGTGTCTCTAGAGCGGTGGAAAGGTTGGTTTGCATATTATTGGGTTATATATGGTGTGAGGAAGGTCTGTGTGTCGTTATTCTAAAAGATTTGGTCGATTTTGGACCATTTTTGATCAATTTGTTGGATGGACATCAGATCTGATGTGTAAGGTAATATTTGGTCTATATTTTGCAGAGAATAGAGATCAGAGCGGTCTACGGTAAGTCATAATATTGAATATGGCCTGCTCTAAGACCATGAGAAATTTGAAGGCATTGCGCTGAATCAGCATTGTAGTATGCTGATTTTATGAATCGGTCAGAACTAAAGGCTGAACTTGCTGGAAAGGGTCAGAACTGATAACAAATGACACTGTAAACCTTTCTACCGCCTTTCTAGACATACTGCCGATAATGAGAATTAATATTTAGGACGTGTCAAGCCAAGTTTTATGATTTAGACCTAAATTTAGTCGAAAAGTCGAAAAATGATGACATAGTCAAAAAAGCCGTCTAACTTGATATCCGATAGGCCGTTGTCGTTAATACTTCGTGTCTGTCTTCCCAAATACATCCTCTAATAACGCCCCAAATCTTCTTAAAATCCATTCCAACCCCACCAAGATATGACCTTTTCCTTTCGCTGTTACAGTTGCGATAAACTGCCCCGAAATGGACATAGTCCGCGGCACGTGTTGCCGATGTCTATGAAAGGCAGACCGATATCTGAAACCGAAACCGCAATCTCTTCGATATCTCGCGTTGCGATGGATAAACAGCCCTTTTATGGAGCAATTAGTTCCGTCGGTCATCAGAATATTCGCTGACGCAAATCACAAGGTCGTTTTGCGGGTTTATCTGTCTAGAAAGCTCGGCATTATAGTCGGAATTTCTAGAGGATGCCAGAGAGTTGTGGGCGCGTTCCGGAAGAAGCAGAAATTTGCATATATAAACGAGGGACGGCCAAAAATGGGTTTGGGGGGACTTATAGGTGATGGAGAAGGTTTTGATCGATTTTTTGAGTAATTAACGTAAATAGCTTTGATAAATTTTTAATGTATGACGTTCTATATGTCTTGTAGTTTCTATTAAGCCCATTTTTCTTTGAAGGATTACTGTAATTTTCGAGATTTTTCGATTTTTACAAAATTTTACAAAATCAGCCGTTCTTACCGAAAAATTCAAATTTTATGCAAATTTCTAAATAGATTTTTAAAATTGATGTTCCAAATAAGACCTGCAAGTCTCACACTCCATATTCGATGCACTTCCGACCTCCAAGCCTCATTCATTATCTTCTTACCACCCAAATTACATCACCACCCACAAAATTTTCTCAATTTGTCAAAAAACCCATTATTCCAGAAGAATCCACACGATTTTCACCTGCATATTCATTAAGCAATCGTCACATATGGTAATCAGCACAGTTTGAAGTGATTTTATAACACGTCTCGCGTTTATTGCGTGGGGGTTTCGGTCTTTGTTGTGTGGACGTTTTATGAGTCCATAATCGTTACGCAAATCAATCGTGGATGGTTGAGGGCGTGTTGGACATGGTCTAGACATCTCGATGATGTCATTCCGATCATTTCCGATGATTTCCGTGGCATTTTGTCGCGATTTGTTGTTGGCGAACTGCGCCCGAGCTTTCAACGGGAATGAAGTTTTCCGCGAGACAAAGTGCCTCGGGCAGCGTTCTGATTGGCTGCGGAATAACAACGAAGAGATTATCGCTGCCTCGCGCGCGATTTTCGACCGTTTCTCCGCAAAAATGTCGAATTTCTTCCACTTTCTTGATGTTCACCATCTTGTTTTTGATAAACCATTGTGATATTCGATATGAATCCGTGAATTTCACCGTGAAATAGCTTCTCCAGACCTTGATTGCAAAAATGAACTCAATTTATCCCGAATGCACCGTGTTTTCCCCGCGATTTTGACGTTTTCGCCTTCGAGCCTCATGAATAATATAATTTGATGGGAGATTTCCGCTGTAATTTGTAAATCGCTTTCAGAAAACAGACACAAGGCTTCCCTACGCTACTCACACCTGTTGCCGCGCCGTTTTGGTGTACGGCTTGTCCTTGACGACAAATTTTTTACCTCCAAGGTACCTCAAATTTGTTTCCTGATTGCTCCAATCTTCAAAGCTTCAACTACTAACCACTTGTAAAGTAGGTTACTTTGCAGTATTTTGTTTTGTTTTCAAGGCGATTCGAAAGGATTTGATCCTGGGGTTGTGGGGATATTCGTGGTTCTTGATTGGATACCAAGTATAATATTTTTGATGTTTTTTAGCGTTTGTTTGATGGGAAATAGGGTGTAGAAGATGTGATGGGGTAGAAGGAAACGGATGGAATTTGACGGTGGATTCTCGCGGAGTTCCGGGTGATTTTTTCCGAAAATTTGATCTGATGCCATGGATAATATATTTTGATGTTTATTTTGTCGGGATTTTGGGAGCTTTTGATATGAATAGATGCAGAAAAGAAAACTGATTTTGTTGTGGGTAAATTTAGCCAAGAAAAGCGCTGGATTTTAAAGTTTTTAGCTATTTTTAACTTTAGCCATGAATAACCTGGGTTGATGTTTGTTTGCTCGATTTTGTGTCTGAAATTGGTTTCTAAGTGAAGTACAAGCTGTTATGTGTGTTTTACAATAGCAGGGGCTCAATATTTATCGGGAAATTAGCGATTTTTTTGATGGTTTTGGTCAGATGGATAATATAAATGGGAATTGATGGTTTTTTGCGGATTTTGTTGGGGATTTGTGCTCATTGAGGATAATATAGCTCATAGAAGAGTTTGAGTACATGATCAGCCATTTATTTTTGTTTTGAATTCGCTTTTCCCCCGATTTTCTTCAAAATTCCCGACTTCAGGTCCCTCCGCCGTCCAAAAAAGGTTGTTGCGCGCTCGAATCGCGCCGCTGAATGGACCATCAAGACTCCATCATCCACCATCATCCCGCAGGTCTTCATTCGGAGCCCCAACACCGGCTGCCATGGCGCAATTTCATCAAACTCATCCTGATTGGCTGCGCCATGACCACCATCACCAACTTCCCGTCCGCCTTCACGCACACCTCGGTGAACACGGCCGTCAAGGAGCTGAAGGGCTACCTGAACGAGAGCTTCGATGAGCGCGGCTGGGAGCTGAACCGCGAGCAGCAGAGCGTCGTGCACGGCGTCGTGAACTCGTGCTGGTTCGCCGGCCAGGTCATCGGCTCCTTCTTCTCGCCGCTGGTCACGGACAAGTACGGCCGCAAACGTAAGTTTTGAGGGGTTTTTTGATTTTTTTATTTTGAAAAAAAAAATTTTTGACAAGAAAAGTACTTCTGTGGGTATGGAGGTACAGGTCGAGACATATATCAAAAAATTTGCAAAATTTTTCTGATTCAGAATATGTAAAAGTTAGCTGCCTAATTTTGGTTTGTAAGGGTGAAAAAATCCTCTGAACTTTTCTCGCAACACCACGCAAATGCCTTTTGGAACAAGTTTTTACCAAATCAAAAGGTTTGTTTTGAGCTAAGGTAAACCCTGGCATCTTGACAAGCCTTGAAATAGCAAATTTGATTCATACTGCACCTTAATTTGTAGTTCCAATGTAAAAAAGGCGCATTTTCATGGTGTTGCGAGAAAAGTTCTGAGGATTTTTTCACCCTTACAAACCAAAATTAGGCAGCTAACCTTTGCATGTTCTGAATCAGAAAAATTTTGCAATTTTTGATGCAATCTGCACGGTGCGGAAGGTCAAAAAAGTTGAAAGGGCTTTTCGAAGAGAAAGGCCACCCGAGTCCATTTAGTCGAGTGGTTAGCGAGCTCAACTTTGAATCGAAAAGTCGGAAGTTCGATCCCCATCGGGAATATTTGCCGTTTTTATTCTAAAAAAGCATTATTTTTAATATGAATAGAAAATTTTATTGTAAAAAACATTTACTCTTTCTTGATTTTATTATTTTTAATTAGACATTTGAAGGAATTTTTGGATAAAATCACTTTTTCCTCAAAAATTCGACATCTTTTGTCGAAAAATTAATGTAGAAAATGATATGAACCGTTTTCAAAGGGCTAATCCTCTGATTTTAGCAGCTTACATCTTGTCCACGGCGATGATGACGCTGGCGTGCGCGCTGCAAGCGATCAGCACCATGTTTCCGTACCCGGAATTCCTGGTGGTGGGCAGGATTTTGGCCTCAATGTTCTCTCCAATGAGCGATGCTGCCTTTGTCCTTTACATGCAGGTAGGCGAATTATTCTCTATTTTGAACATTACACTAGAAATTTTTTGAATTTTTCGTTTTGAAAATTTTTTATATTACTTTATATTACACTTGATGTGAAGGTCAAGTATAAGGTAATATTGATGTCGAAACCCCTTGTTTCGACATATTTTGCCAAGTAATGCCTATATATTGCCAATTATTTGCAGGAAATCTCGCCCACCGGCATGCGCGGCACGATGAGCTCGTTCTTCGCCTCCGGCTACGCGGTTATGGCCCTTCTCGGTGCGGTGTTGGGCATGGAATCGGTGCTCGGCCACTCGTTGCCCCTCTTGTTCAGCGTCCCGGTGGCGCCCGGTATCATTTCCCTAGTCTTCCTCGCCCTGGTACCCGAAACTCCCAAATTTTTACAACTCGCCGGTGCCAAAAAGTCGCATGCCCTGCGGCGAGCTCTCGAATTTTATCAGGTAAGGAGTGGAGAGGGATTTTTGAGGAAATTGAAAGAATTTGAGGGGATTTGGAAGTGATTTTGAGGGGTTTCGAGGAGAGCTGGACTTTTTTAGAGATTTTGGACCAAAAATTACCTTATTTTAGGTTCAAAAAAATCTTTGAGAAAAAATAGGTCCAGATGGACCAAAAGACCAAGTGGACTCTAATTTGGCTTGTTTCCCCTCCGGGCATACCGATTTTTTCGACGAAATTTCGATTTTTTTTCCATTTTTCTGGTAATTTTTGCTTTTGAAATTAGCCATTTTGAAGTGGTCCCCTCTTGCCATAGCCTGAAAATCAGATTTTTTGCAAGATTACTCCCCATGGTTTCAGGGCCCAGCCATGGACACCTCCTTCTACAAGCCGCTGGCGGACAACGGGCACTCGAAACAGGAGGGCCTCATGACCGAGCGCTCGTTTTGGGACCTGTGGAAACGCCGCGAACTGCGACGTGCCATCTTCCTCACGTTCGCAGTCTTTGCCCTAGCTCTCCCCTTTTACCCAATCCTCCAAAGCTCCACGCATTTCATGAAGGAGGTGGGAATTAAGGCGGACATTGCCGAGTTCTCCTCCACCGGCCTCATGATCATGTTTGTGATCGCGAGTGCGATCGGAACCGCCCTCATGTCGCATGTTTCCCGACGCCGATTGATCCTCTGGAGCGGGTTCTTCTCGATTCTGTCCATGCTGACCTTTGTGATTGCCGCCAGGTTCAGTCAGACCGGCCTGGTCATGAAGTACATTGCCATGATGGGATTTTATGCTTATACTCTGTGTTATGGGTAAGTTGGAGGGGATTTTGGAGTGGAAATGGGGCAAGAGGAAGTCATAGAGGCTTGGAGTGGGTATCTGGAATTAAAAAGAGGATTTTTAGATGTTTTTGAGACTAATCTTGATTTGGTCATTGATGCATAAAACAATATAAAATTAGTATTTGTTTTTGATGAAAATAGTATCATTAGTAAGCTTAGAGTGTGATTAGTTTTTTCTGACAATGTGAAATTGATTTTGAGAAGATTTGGGAGAGAAATTTTATATTGTTTTAGGTGGTCTTCAAAAAACGTGAAGGAAAGTCGGAGGCTATAACTTCCGGCGGAGGCGGCACTGAGACTTCGTATTTGGAATATGTATTTTTAAGCGGCATTAATTTTTGTCTATGAAATGACAAGATTTTAAAGTGCAAACTGAGGTCGCCGCGATCTTCTGAAGTAGGGGCATTTCTATCGGTTGAAAATGAGTTTGCACTTTGAAATCTTGTTATTTCGTAGGCAAAAATTGATTAATTAACGTCGCTTAAAAATACATATTCCAAGTACGAAGTCTCAGCGCCGCCTCCGCCGGAAGTTATAGCCTCCGACTTTCCTTCATGTTTTTTGAAGACCACCTAAAACAATATAAAATTTGTCCCCCAAATCTTCTCAAAATCAATTTCACATTGTTAGAAATAACTAATCACACTCTAAACTTACTAACTACTATTTTCATCAAAAACGAACACTAATTTTATATTGTTTTACCCATCAATGACCAAATCAAGATTAGTCTCAAAAACATCCAAAAATCCTCTTTTTAGTTCCAGATACCCACTCCAAGCCTCTATCACTTCCTCTTGCCTCATTTCCAATCCAAAAATCATGTACTAGGTGGTCTACTACAATATAAAAAATTATTAAAATCATGGTTATTTTTGACTAAATTGTCTCGAATTTCAGCCTCGGCTTCGGCACGGTCTCCTACTTTATTGGCACGGAGTTCTGCGACATTGAGTACCGGTCGACGGTGTTCTCGGTCTGCTATTCCCTGAACAATATTTTCATTGTCCTCACGAATATGCAGGCGATTTGGGCCTTCAAAAAGTTCGGACCGATGGCCTTCCTCCCCCTGTTTGGAATCCCATGTGTCACTGCCCTCATCTACTTGTATTTCCGGCTCCCGGAGACCCGGAACCGAGACATTGAGGACATTGTGGAGGAGCTCAGATCTAACAGATGTGGCCTCCGTTCGGCTGCATTGCTGAGCGCTGATCACTCCAAAGTGGCGCCAGTTTTCAGCCAGGTGGAAGAGCTGGATGTGACCGCCATCCAGGCACAGGATACCCCCAAGAAATTGAACACTTCCGAGGAGAGTCTGGCCTCCTGATGGAGAAGATAAAATTGGAGGATTGGCAGGGAATTTGAAGGAAATTCGAAAGGAGTTTGACATTGTAACACTCTATTTGGCTGAAGTATGCGGTGGAATCGCTAAATTTTGGAAATTTTCGGAAAATTTTTGGTTATATTACTTTAGGTGGTTTTGGAATTTTTTGATATTTTTGAAGCGAATTGCTGGGAAAAAGAGATAAAATCGAATGTTTTGAGTAGTATTTTAGAATTTAGAATAGAAATTATCAAGGTTTGAAAAAATTTGAAAAAAAAAATTATATTACTTTAGGTGATTTTGAAAATTTTTGGTATTTTTGAAGCGAATTGCTGGAAAAAAGAGATAAAATAGAATGTTTTGAGTAGTTTTTTAGAATTTAGAATAGAAATTATCAAGTTTTGAAAAAATTTGAAGAAAAAATTATATTACTTTAGGTTATTTTTGGATATTTTCCCCAAAATTTTGATGAAAATGGATGAATTTAGTGGATTTCACCTCATATCTCAGCTAAAGAAGGGATTTAGAATTGGTTCTTAGTTTTATAATTACCAAATTTTTGAGATTTTTTAACAATTTTTGAAATTTTTCCCAAATTTTTTAACATTCGACCATGTTTTCTCAAATTTTAGAGTATGTTGTATAGTTTTGCATCAAAATTGACCCTTTATTTGTTGACTCCCGACTTATTTCGAGCCTAAATTGTTAACTTTTTCACCTTTTTTCTCACATTTTGACATAGCTTCAAAAAGCGGAATTTTTTTACAATTTTTTATCAATTTTTACAATTTTTTATAACTTTTTACTGACCTGTAACTTCAAAAGTTACTCAACCTGTAAATTTCCCAACTGTTCGAGTTTGTTGTTGACGATTGTTCGTTGAATTCGGATATTAATCTTACATTATACGCAATAAACGGGTTACTGAATTAAAATTTGATATTTTTTGATTTTTTTTTATTTTTACAATGTAAAATTTGGTATTTTACATTAAAAAAAAATTTTTTTTCTAAAATTGAAAAAAATATAATAATTTATAAAAAAAAAAACTAAGTGAATTTGAAATTTTTTTGAAGAGATCAAGCTATTTTAAGCCTGTAAGTGAGGTAAAAAATTGAGAACAATATAAATTAAAAAAATAAAATTCGAAAAATCCCGTTACGAATTGTCTTTTGAGGTCTTTGGCGCTTCGATTTGCTGTCTTTTGGCGATTTGTTGCTTGTAATATTCTTGGAGCAGGTCGGTCAAGTACTGGAGACGTTTTTTTACAACTTCAATGTCCATTTCTGAAAGAAAAAATTTGAAAAAAAAAATTCGAAAATCAAAAAATTTTTTAAAATCAAAAAAAAAAATCCGAAAATACAAAGAAAAAATCGAAAAAATTCAAAAATTATTTTTTTTTATTTTAAAAAATATATCGAAAAATCCAAAAAAATAAAAAAATCCGAAATTATTTTTTTTAATTTTCAAAAAGTATCGAAAAAATTCAAAAAAATAAAAAATAAATCGGAAATTGACGCGAAAAAATCGAAAAAATTTTAAAAAAAGTTTTTTTAATTTTCAAAAAAATTCAAAAATTATTTTTTTAATCTTTAAAAATATATCGAAAATCAAAAAAATAAAATAAAAAAATCCGTCATTTTTTTAAAAATTTTCAAAAAAAAAATCCAAAAATTCCGCGAAAAAATCGAAAAATTAAAACATTTTTTTTTCAAAAATCAAAAAAAAATTTTTTCGAAATTTCGCCCCAGGCTTAATATACGGAAAATTCCGCGAAAAAATCGAAAAATTCAAAAAAAAATTTTTATTTTCAAAAAAAAATACGAAAAATCCGCAAAAAAATAAAAAAAAATCCGATTTTTTTTAATTTTCAAAAAAAAAAATTTTTTTCGAAATTTCGCCCCAGGCTCTAATATATACATAATCAGGTGCTGCCTACCTTTATGAGTCCGCATGAACCGCTCCACGGCCTTTTCTTTGTTGGCTTTTGAGGCATTTAGAGCCTCCAACAGCTCCTTGTCATCCTCTTTTTTGAACTGTCGGAACTTGTCGAGGAGGTGTTTGTAGCGCTTCAGAATGTTGTGTTCGTCTTTGTGGACGCGTACGTTGATCCAGGATTGGTGGTCGCCCTCGCTCTTCGCGAAGCAGCCGTTCTGGATGCGGATTTTGGGGCGGAATTCGGGGTCCGGCCGCAGGCCCGACAGGTCCACCAACTCCGGCCGGATATTTTGAGGGCGTGGCGAGAGGGGGTTGGTGGCGGCCAGAAATACTCGGACCGGCACCACTTCCGCTTTGTGGTAGGGGATTCTGGAAGGGCAAGATTAGAGGGAACACCGATTTTTTTGGGAAAAATTTTGAATTTTTAAAAAGGAAAAATTTGAAAAAAAATCAAAATTCTTTTAAAAAATCGGTAAGTTAAAATAAAAAAGCTTGCGACATATAATTTTAAGGCTATTTCTGACTTTTAAATCAACGATTTTTTTTATTTTTGCGATAAATTTTTTAATATTTTTTTTTTGAAAAAATTAAAAAATGCTTCAAAAAATCGGAAAATTAAGACAAAAAAAATGCGAAATATTATTTTAAAGGGTATTTCTGACTTTTAAATCAACGATTTTTTTGATTTTTTAGAAAAATTTAAAAAAAAATTTTTTTAATTTTTTTGAAAAAAAATCAAAATTCCGTCAAAAAATCGTTAAATTCAGGCAAAAAAAAGCCCGAACTATTTTTTTCAGCCCACAGATTTTCTATGGACATTATTTTGGACACTAAAATTTCGGTTTTCAGCAACAAACATAACTTTCAAAAAAATTTTTCTTTTACTTTTTTTTGGTTCAAAAAATTTTTTAAACTTCAAAACTCACTTTTCTCGATACAATTCGCCGGGAAAAAATTGTTTTATCTTGGCCCAGAGGGGTTCATGAAGTCCGGCGAGTAATTTTCGGATCTCCACTCGTAATGAATCCGGGTTTTTGTAGTCTAAAAAAGTGCACTGTGATTACTAAACAGTATAAAAATTTTAAAAAATAAGAAAAAAATTTTCAAAAAATCCAATTTTTTGGGCAAAAATTTTCAAAAAATCTCAAAAATTTTTAAAAAATTTTCGGTTTCATAAGTAAAATTCTAATGTCAAATGACTTCGTATGTTCTTCAAACATCATAAGTTTCAATTTCAATTCGTTTATGGGCCAAAATAAGACCAAAATTTAACAAAACTTCAAAAAATCTCAAAAATTTTTCAAAAATTTTTGATCTCATGGATAATATTCTTATCTCAAATCACATGAAATCACCTTTATACATCCAAAAATTTCCTCTAACCTCCTAAACTGTCCAAAAAAGCCAAAAAACCTCAAAAAATTTCGAAAATTTCAAAAAAAAATCCAAAAAATTTTAAAATTTTTGATGTCAAGTGTAATATATCGCCACAAAACCGTCTCAAATCCTCTCCAATCTCCTTAAAATTCCACTTACGTTCCGCAATCACCGTTCGCACGCGTCTGATCATGATGGTGTTCTGTTGGCCGGTGAAATAGATCTAAAATTTGAATATGCAAATTTGCCGGCTTGAAGCTCACATTGATGTGTAAAAACAGGTCGAGGGCATCTCGACACTCTCTTCGTTCCACGTCCAAAATTTGAGACTTTTTGAGGTGGGCTTCGTCGAGCATTGAGCTGATCCAGTAGACCAGGTCCAGCTTCTCCGGGAACATGTTTTTCAATTTTTCGAATTTCTGAAAATCCAAAAATATTTTTTATATTTTAATTAAAGTCTAATCTACATTTTAAAAAGTTTTTTTTCATAAAAAATCAAAAAATTTTTTTTTTCAAATTTTCAAAAAAAATTTTTTTTTTCAAATTTTCAAAAAAATTTTTTTTTTTAATTATCAAAAAAAAAATTTTTCAAATTTTCAAAAAAATTTTTTTTTTATTTTTTTTTGATTTTCACCTCTCCAGCATTGATATTCTCCTTCATGACGGCGATAAATTCCTTTGTTCTTCCTCTATGCATGAACAGCTTCCTTCTCGCCACTCTTTTCACGCATTCCAACGCCAATCGGCACCATGTTGTGACGATTTTCGGGTCGTTGAAGCCTCTCATGCAGCGCTCGATTTGCTCGGGACGCCGGGGTTTCTTGGACCACACGCCAAAGGGCTTGGCTATAAACAATTTTATTAAAAAAATTATTAAAAAATAAAAATTTTTTTTTGCAACTCCGTGTAACAAACCCTCTCTATAACAAATTTTTTTTTCTCTTACATTCCTTTACGCAAAATTCCAACAAAAAATCGACTAAAAAATACGATTTTCCGACGCTTTTTCGCCAATTTTGATTTTCGCACAGTGCGATCAAAAAAATCGCACAGTGCACTCAAAAAATTGCACAGTGCAGTCAAAAAAATACCGCACAGTGCACTCAAAAAATCGCACAGTGCAGTCGAAAAAACCGCACAGTGCAGTCAAAAAAAAGCTGCACAGTGCATCCAAAAAAATATCGCACAGTGCAGTCAAAAAAACATCGCACAGTGCGATCAAAAAAATTGCACAGTGCAGTTAAAAAAAGATCGCACAGTGCAATCCAAAAAAATCGCACAGTGCAGTCAAAAAAAAGCTGCACAGTGCAGTCAAAAAATACCGCACAGTGCAGACGAAAAAAGATCGCACGGTGCCGTCAAAAAAAATCGCACAGTGCAGCCAAAAAAATATCGCACAGTGCAGTCGAAAAAGATCGCACAGTGCAGTCAAAAAATTGCACAGCGCAGTCAAAAAAATCGCACAGTGCAGTCAAAAAAACCGCACAGTGCAGTCAAAAAAAGATCGCACAGTGCAGCTAGAAAAAGATTGCACAGTGCAATCAAAAAAAAAAAGATCGCACAGTGCAGTCAAAAAATTGCACAGCGCAGTCAAAAAAATCGCACAGTGCAGTCAAAAAAAGATCGCACAGTGCAGTCAAAAAAACCGCACAGTGCAGTCAAAAAAATCGCACAGTGCAGTCAAAAAAATCGCACAGTGCAAATCGCACAGTGCAGTCAAAAAAAGATCGCACAGTGCAGTCAAAAAAACCGCACAGTGCAGTCAAAAAAATCGCACAGTGCAGTCGAAAAAAATCGCACAGTGCAGTCAACAAAAAAAATCGCAGAGTGCAGTCAAAAAAAAAATTTTTTTTAATTCTCAAATTTTTTTAAAATCCTCTAAACCTTTAAACTCACCATAAAACACATTATTATCCACTTGACTTCCACTATTTTGTCCGTTTTCCCCGATTTTCTGGCCAATTTTTGGGAGGGGTTTCGAGAAATCCTTGGAAGTTGAAGGAATTTGCTCCTTGTCGCTCTCCAGCCTGAGTTCAATCTCCGCGGCCATCCTCGACGTCTCACTATGCATGGTGGCGGACATGTTGGACTCTTCTCTATGGCACAAAACTTGATCTTCTTCTTGGTCATTTCCTGTTGGTCTAGTGCAAGATAAATTCGAAAATTCTTGTTCCGAATCGTCCAAAATCTCGCCCTCTTCCGGACTATCCGATTCTCTATTATTTGTGCTTCGATTTGACACCAAATTCGTTGAGATTTCCGCGGAATTTTTAGGGATTTTTGCGACCTTCTCCATGGGGTCTTCAAATAGGCGGCGTTTGACATTTTTGGCCGGACTACTGTAGCTAAAGGCTTTTACTGCCTCGGGGCGTTTTCTTATGATCGTTGGGAGCTTTGAGCTTCTTCTGGGACCATCTTCATTTCCATCGGCCGGGATCTCATCTGTTCGGCCGCCTTTTTCCAACGGCCCTTTTCCGGTCATTCTTTTGACCGGAGGGCTTGATGAAACCTTCTTTGATGTGCTAGCATCCTCTACTGACTTTTTCAAGCTACTCGGACTATTAAAACATCCAGAATTTTCCAAAACTTCATCATGATCATCATGGGTAATATCCGAGATGCCTTCTTCTCTAAAATCTCCACTTCCCTCGCCTTCCAAGACGTTTTCCTTTCTGTTTTGAGGATTTTCACACTCTGCATTACCTCTCCCTGCATCTTGGACCTTCTCCACGAGCTGAGACACTTTTTTGCCCTGAGGCGTTTTTCCGTCATCCCTCTTTTCCTGCAGGTCAATCGCATGTTTCGGGCGTTTCGTAGTGCTCTGAGGGTCTTGATCGTTCCATGTGACATGTCTTTTCGGTCCTTTTGAGGGAAAATTATCTTCTCCTTCATCTTCTGGTATCACAGTTTCATCAATACCCACAACATCCACAACTTCTTCTTGCTGCTTCTCTGTAATGCCTATTATTTCTTCCTCATCGCCATTTCTCGGTGTTTCATGCTCAATTTGACCAACAATTTGGGCCGCTTTACTTGTACTTGGCAGATCACTGTTCCTTCTGCTAATAACTTGTTGATTTGATCTCATTGGAGTCAAATCAATTGTTTGTAGCGCCTGGACGGCCGCTGGGACACTCTGAGCCTCATTTTGAGATATAATCTGCAAAAATTTTATGATACCTTTTGATACTTTTCAAAAGTATCATGGATACTTTTGGATACTTTTTGACAAAAAACCTTCTGTAAGGTATACTGAGCTCAAAAAAACTTACAATTCCCAAATTTTCCTGCAGAATGACTGGAATTTGGGTCAATTGAAAGGTGCCGTCGGGCATTTGGACCAGTACACTTTGAGTGGTCATTTGCGGGATTGCGATGACATTTGGAGGGCTTGTGATAGGAGTGGTAAAGTTGATAGGTGTGGCTGTGTTGTCCACCAAAACAATTGGGTTTCCACTGCTTTGAGGGGTATTTCCGATCGATATTATTTTAGGCCCACCAATGGGGGGTGCTCCAATTTCTCGGGTTATACCCAAATTCCCTGCGGCAGTTTGGTCCGAATCTTGTTCCAGCACAAAAATTTTCCCTCCATTCTCTCGATTCCGACCACTTCCCGCCAGATCTTCGGCCATTTTTTGGATCTCCGGACTCCCCAAACATATTGCACTTGAAATTGTTGGTGTTTTTTGTTGTTCCCTTGTTCCTTCGGCTGTCTTTCGGTATTTCTGCATGAGTTTCAGCCAATGTGGGACTGTGATGTTGTCCCAGCACACGGGTGGGTCTCTTTTCGGGGTGCCGTGCTTAAATTCCACCTTTCCGAGCCATTTTCCCTCCATCGCCATGAGCAGCAGGTCCTCGTAGATGGACCTTTCCTCGATTTTCATGTTCCTGGCGTGGTTGATGGTGGAATTGATGCTGTTCATGTACTTGTTGGGCAAGAACAAGTCGATGAGGTACTTATTTTTGAAGTTGAATTCCGATTTTTTGGGTTCTGGGTAGTGATTTAGGGCATAGAGTCCAAGGGAAAGGAGCATTTTTTCCGATGGCAAAAAAACGCCGGATTGGGGATGACGTCGCGGCAGGTGGACGGGCAAAAGGTCGGGGAATTTGAGGGCCTTGGAGTTGGCCAGGACCATTGCCTGAGGGAGTTTCCATCCCACAACTGCAAATTTCGCTTTAATTTGGGCCATGAACCTAAAGTAAGGTCGGAAATGGAGAAAAAGTCGATGGAAAGGAGATAAAAAAGTAGTGTCAGGCCGGGAAAATTAGGTGAATGGTAGAAAAAATGGTTATCTTGAGGATGAGGCGTTAATTTGTTTTTTTCAAAGTCGATTTTTTGAGAATTTTCATGTTTTTTCGATCGTTTTTGAGGAAAAATGAAAAATTTTTGAAAAAATTGGAAAAAATTTGTTTGAAAAGTTAATGGTAGCTATTGATAGGAAATTTTAAGTAATGTGGATAGAGTTTGGATTAAATTTAGAAAAAAAATTTAGTTTTTTTTTAAAAAATCGAAAAAATTTCAAAAAATTTTTTTAGAAAAATTTTATTTTTTTTTTTGTTTTTGATGTCTAAAACAAGGTCCATCTGCCTCAAAAATGCATTATATGGGGGATTTTATTACAGTACACACGTTGGCGAACCAAAAAAATTACAAAAATTCTATTACAGTGACGGACCTGATCCAGTGGCAAAAAACGTACCATTTTGCATCGGGGAAGTATCAAAAATGTGGCAAAATGCCTCCCTCTCCAACCAAAAAATCTCTTTTTGAAGGCTCCCTTACAAAAACAGCGGGTGCGCTTTTGAAATCGGAGTTTTTCCACTTGGAAAGCGAGGTATTTTGCCACATTTTTTGATACTTCCTGGATGCAAAATGCTACGTTTTTTGCCACTGGATCAGGTCCCTCGCTGTAATAGAATTTTCGCATTTTTTTGGTTCGCCAAGGTGTGTACTGTAATAAAATCCCCATATCATGCATTTTTGAGGCAGATGGATCTTGTTTTATCCATCAAAAACCAAAAAAAAATCAAATTTTTCAAAAAAAATTTTTTTGAAATTTTTTCGATTTAAAAAAAGCTAAATTTCTCCTCCAAATTTAATCTAAACTCTATCCACACTACTTAAAATTTCCTATTAACAGCTACAATTAATTCTTCAAAAATTTTTTTTCCAATTTTTCAAAAATTTTTCATTTTTCCTCAAAAAACCATCGAAAAACATGAAAATTCTCAAAAAATCGACTTTCAAAAAAGCAAATTAACGCCTCAACCTCAAGATAAACAATTTTTCTACCTTGTATTTTATTTTCCTCTCCTCAAACTACCTTTTTTATCTCTTTTCTATCCAATTTTTCTCCATTTCCGACCTTACTTTAGGTTCATCGAAAAAAACTTGTTTCAACCTGTCAAAAATCGTTTGCCAAGTCTCCAACTTGGCCAATTACTATTCAAAACTCTCTATTATCATTCCAACCTCAAATCCTTACATTCCAGCTCTTCTTTGAGCTTCTGCTCATCATTTTTCATCTTCACCACCTTGATCTGATGGCAAGCCAAAATCGCGTCGTTCAGCTGTTCCTGATCGAAGAATCCCGTTTGTTTTTGGCCAAATCGGCGGTCCAGGTCATGAAGCATTAATGTGTTTTTATTCGCCGCCGAAATGAAGTTGGGGTCGTCGTGGCAGGCGATTACTTGTTGACATACCAGCTGTAGATGGCATTGGAATTGTTCGCGCAAAATCCGCTGCTCATTCCTCGAAAGGACCACTCTTTTGCTGCGCAATGAGGCCGAATTGTCTTTGATCGGCTGTTTGGCGAGCTCGATTTTCACTCTCAGCGTGTTGTAGACCTTATTTTCGAGTACTGGTTGATACGGAATTGTCGAATATAAGGTCTGAATCACCTGAAAAAAGCAAAAAAATACTTAGAATCTTACTCAAATAATTGTAAATGGCGAATAAAAAATTATTTTTAAACAAAAAAACCAACTTTAAACATGATACCTTTTGATACTTTTAAAAGTTATCCATGATACTTTTTGAGGTTTTATGGAGTTCTCTTCAAAAAAATCAAAACGAATTCACGATCAATTTGAATTTTAACCAGATTTCCGATGGGATAACTTTTGACACCTTCAAAAAGTATCATGGATCACTTTTGATACTTTTCTCTCAAAATCAAAATTTTCGCATTGAAAATGCTAAATCAACTATTTTTAGTCAGCAAAACCAAAATTTTCCGAAAAAAATTCATTTTCCGAAAAATTTGCCTTGGTCCCCCCTTACCAAAAAATTTCCAAAAATAATTCCCACAAAAACTCGACACAAAATCCTCACTCTCAGCCAATACGGTAACTTTTGATACTACAAAATCTACTACTTTTCGTCGAACAAATAAATTTATTCCAAAAAAAAAATCATTTTTTTCCAAAAAATTTTCCTTGGTCCCCCCTTACCAAAAATTTCCCAAAAAATCCCAAAACTCCTTCAAAAATCGCCAAAAATTCCCCAAAAATCTCTACTCTCAGCCAATACGGTGGTACCATATATAGCTTTTGATACTTTTTTCTCCAAACCTCATCTCTTTTCCTCCAAAAAATCAATATTTTCCAAAAAAAAACCCCACTTTTTCCAAAAAAATTTGCCTTGGTCCCCCCTTACCAAAAATTCTCCAAAAAAATCCCGAAAATTCCTTCAAAAAATCGCCAAAGATTCCCCAAAAAATTCCTACTCTCAGCCAATACGGTCACTTTTGATACTCCTAATCCACTATTTTTCCTCCAGAAAAATCAACACTTTCCAAAAAAAATTCACCTTTTTCCAAAAAATTTGCCTTGGTCCCCCCTTACCAAAATTTTCCAAAAAATTCCTTCAGAAAATCCCAAAAATTCTCCAAAAATCGCCAAAGATTCCCCAAAAAATCTTACTCTCAGCCAATACGGTGTGCTTAAAATAAATACTTTCCAAAAAAAATAATTTTTTTCCGAAAAAATAGCCTTGGTCCCCCCTTACCAAAAAATTCCTTCAAAATTCCCCAAAAAAATCCCTACTCTCAGCCAATACGGTGTGTTTTTGACCTCCATTGGCCAATCGAGGGGTCTGTCGGTGCGGGCGTTCTCTCCATTATCGAAGACAAACTCCACATTCCAGATGCCATTCTCGGCGTTTACGGCCATTTGATGAAGTGGGTTCTTGAGGGTTCCGATTCGAATATTCTTCATATAATTTCTGATCTGAGTTGAGGTTTTATTGGGTAGAAATGAGTCGGAAATTTGCTGATATTTCGAGACTTTTTGGCTGCTTCCACCGGTCGAATGGGGCACATGGGCCATCTCGAAGATGGCCAGAGCGAGGAGGAATTGCTCGGAGGGGAGGAAATGGCCACTCGAGGAGCAATTCGGCTTCGTTTGGGGGCCATTTTGAGGCAACAAATTCGGGAATTTTATGGCCAAAGAATTGGCCAAGACTAGTGTCGAAGGTAGGTTAAATTGAGTCATGGCGAGCTTATCGCGTATTTGCGAGCACAGCGACTTATCGTAGAGGTTTTCGTCAAAGGTTTCGATTTCGTTCACACTGTTTATGGCGGATTCTATATTCGAAACTTGAAGATATATCGAATTGGGTGGGGCGGACAGCTGTTTCTGGTCCAGTTCGTACTGAAAAGTGTATTTTTTAGCATAAAAAAATGATTCTAGACATCAATCCAATAATAATCAACCAAGCTTTTTGAAAAAAAAACAAAATTTTTATATTATCCATGATGGACAACAAAAAATTTTTTTCCCAAACACATTCAAATCCTCTCAAACTTCACATAAGATCTATAAAAGCCCAAAATAAGTCATTTTCAAAAACTTTCCGGCAAAAATTGAGAACTTTTTATATTATCCATGATGGCTAACAAAAAAAAATTTCCCCAAACCACATTCAAATCCCCTCAAACTTCACATAAGATCTATAAAAGCCTAAAATAAATCATTCTCAAAAACTTTCCGGCAAAATGTGAGAACTTTTTATATTATCCATGATGGATAATATCCAAAAACTCGACAAAATTGCCTTCTTTTTTCCAAATCTTTTGTTCCAACCCATCCAGCAGCTCATGAAAACTACTCTTCTACATTTTTCCATCCAAAACTCATCAAAATTTATCTTCTCCATCACCGATATTATCCATGGCAAAAAAGTTTTCAAAATTCCCAAATCCTTTTCCAAATCATAGAAACCAGTCCAGAATGTTGCATAAAATTTATAAATATCAAATTTTTCTTACCAACATTCGCATTGAGGTGTTTCTTTGCTTCACAAATCGAGGCTCATCCTTGGTCAAAAGGGCCACTTGAGTGATCAATTGGAGGTGCTGAAAACCAATTTCTAGGTGTAAAATTATAAAAAAAAATGTAAAATACGTCCATGAGAAATTTTTGAAGCCCTTATTTTGACAAAAATTCAAAAAATTTCAAAAAAATCCAAAAAATTTCAAAAAATCTCAAAATTCATCGTTCAAGGACAAAAAAATCAGGTGGATTCAAAGCCTGAGGTCATAAATTGACTTCAAATTCAATTTAAACTTATTTTCACTCCCTATACTTTCAAAAAAAATTTTAAAAATCCCAAAAAATCCAAAATATTACCTAAAAATCCTCAAAACCCCGGATTACCTGTTCAAACTGCACTTTCAATGCCTGAATTTCCTCTGCCGTGAACTGTGCCAGTTCCGAGTGGCGTTTCAGAAGCGACCACGACTTTTTCGACGAGTCCTTGATCACAATTGGAGGCTTCTTTGTTTTAGGTAACACTGCCTTAGGGGAGGGTTTCGGAGTGGTGATTTTGGTGCGAGAGAGAGGTCTAATGGGTGAAGAGTGTGTCTGAAATATTCAATCTTATTTATTTTTCAATTTAAAAAGTGAAAATCAAAAAAAAATCTCAAAAAATTCGAAAATCGGGGGAAAAATCGCAAATTTTTGATGTTTTTTGATGAAAAAGTATCAAAAATGGAGAAAAATCAAGTCCATATTGATCAATTTTTCTTCCACGCCACATTTCCACCATCTTCAATTCGATTATTCCACAATAACCCACAAAAAAATCAAAAAAAAAACCAAAATTTTCGCAAAAATTGCAAAAATTTTTCAAAATCCCGAAAAAAAATTTTCAAAATCACTTCAAACTTAACTCTCACTCCTTCCAGACCCCACTTACATTGCTTTCAGTCCTCTCCTCTTCCGTCATCATGTCTTTGCAAGGAGTTATGGCCAATGGAACATCCAGATCCATTAAAGTGACGTCACTTTCGTCGTAGGCGTCGCGATAGAGCAAATCCACCTCATCCTCGGGTATTCTCGACGTTCTCCCATAGCGTTCGAAGAAGTCATCGTCTTCGTTTAGGAAATTCTCATCAAAATCCGGGTCCATATCTTCTTCCTCCGCATCGTTGGACTCGGTCTCTTTGAAACAGCCCTTGAGAAAATCTACGTACTCTGGGGGCTTGGTGGAGATCAGCATAGGGTCCACGTCGAAGTAGAAAGCGCCATTCGCCGTGCTCTCCAAGGCTTGGACGTCTTCTGCCTCCTGAAATTTGAAAATTTCAAAAAAGACGAAAATTTCGAAAAAATCTCATTTTAAAGGTCCATAACACAATGAATATCGTATATCTCGGTCTTAAATCGCTAACAGTTCTGCAGAAACCTTTAATCTTCATTGTCTCCAAGTTTCATTCAGATCCGACAACTCTCCCGCGAGCTCTAACAAAAATTCGAAAATTCATCAAGTCTAATATCTAAAACAATATAAAATCCCTCAAAAAAATAAGTCCAACTCCCCAAAAAGCCTACCACATCATTGCTCTCCTCATTTGCCTCCTCTTCCACGCCATCTTCCTCCTCTTCATCATTAAAATCTTCATCATCATCATCTTCTCCTTCCGGCTGATAATCGTCGGAGCTCTCCTCTTCCTCGTCGTCCACCCACTCCTCCGGCCGCACATCCAACGGTTTGAACTTGAGGAACTCGAATTTGAGTTGGGTCGAGGTTTCCAGCTCTTTTAGGCGGGATCTGGTCAATCTCAAGTTCTCCAGGGCATCCGGATCTTCTTTGAGAAGCGACGCCAAAATGTTCGGGTCTTTGCAGATGCTCTGAAGATCAAATTGTCAAAAAAGACTTGAAAATTTATATATTCTCTAATTTTTGCCAAGATATAAAAAAATGCACAAGTTTTGCCCAAATTTCTATATTATCCATGATGATTAATAAAAATTTGACGTTTTTTGTCGCAAAACTTTACCAGACCATTGATTTTAGTCCAAAACATAACAATAAAAAGTCTTTTACATAACAAAAACTCTTTATAACAAACAAATACCACAATCGCCTTCCAATTTTTTGTCCAACATGACTCCCGCCAAGATCAACTCCAAAGGAACTGGGACGATTGGGGAAACCGAAAAGCAATATTTTTCTTCGATGCAAGTGTCGAATTAGGATAATCGAGGGTGGTGATTTCGAAAATGACATTCATTTATATATATTTTTTCATCCTTACTTTTTTCTTTAAGTAGTACTGTAAAGCAGTAATTTTTTGATTTTTTTTCATGAATACTCGATTTAGGGGTTTTCGATGGTGCTGCTTTCAAAACAGAAAAAAAAAATGAATAAGATTTTCGAAATCAGCACCATTGAAAACCCCCAAATCGAGTATTAATGAAAAAAATCAAAAAATTACTACTTTACAGTACTACTTAAAGAAAAAAGTAAAGATCAAAAAAATGAATGTCATTTTCGAAATCAGCACCCTCGATTATCCTAATTCGACACTTGCATCGAAGAAAAACAATACTTTCCCCAATCGTCCCAGTTTCTTTGGAGTAGATCTTGGCAGGGAGTCATGTTGTACAAAAAATTGGATGGCGTTTGCGGTATTTGTTTGTTATATAGAGTTTTTGCTATGTAAGACTTGTTACTGTTATGTTTGAGACTAAAATCAACGAACTGGTAAAATTCTGCGGCAAAAAAAATCAAATTTTTATCAATCATCACGGATAATATAAAAATTTGAGCAAATCTTGCGGATTTTGTATGTCTTGGTATATTTTTGTATATCTTGGAATACAAAAATGCTCAAGAAAAATAATACTTTTCGGTTTCCCCAGATCGTCCAACTCCGACTCCAAAAACTCCCAAAAATTTTTTTTTACTTTCCTCGTTTTTTTCTCCCTGATCTATTGCTAAATCGACCAGGCATTACCTGAATAATATCCTTGACATTCATCTTGCTCAGATTGTACTTCTTAGCGCAGTCCGACAAATTCTTATCTAGTATAACAGTTTCCTCTTTTCTCTTCTCTTTTTCGGCCGTCATATCCCTCGACGAGCATGGCTGTTGATCATCATCCATCTTTCATGAAGTTGACGTCACAAAATTACCAAAAATTGGGCCGATTCATAAAATTTTTGCCTAAATTATCAGACCACCCCATAAGTGACTAAAACAATATAAAAATCTCAACAGATATCGAAATGGATTGATTCACCATGGTTTCCCGGACAGAACATAGAATTATCAAACCAACACGCTTTGAATAACATCTCTTTATCGATTAAAACACTAAAAAATTAACAAAAATTTTGATTTCACCTGATTTAAAATCATAACCCGGTTTCAGTTGGCCATCGATTAGAATATGTTGAGATTGAGCGGGGATTGGGTTGAGCGCCTACCACAGCTCCCATGGAGGCTTGTTTAGGTTCTCGCGGAACCGTTTGGTCGTGTAATTGAAAGGAATTCTGATCTTGATGTAGTCACCTTCATAGTTCAGGTACTCACGCATTCTTCGACTGAAAAATAAAGTTAAAATTGATCGCAAATAGCTGAGAAAGCCATTCCAGACACTGTATCATAGATTCCAAGTTGATTTAGACACTCAACTGACCTCATCTTATCCATGATACCTAAACCAAAAAACAAATAAAAAAAGTAACTTGCCCATTGTTTCCTGGCAAATAACCAGCAGGAATATGTGAAGTTGTTCCCGTTTCATCTTTGATCATGTCGATAAAGCCTTCTGTTCCATTTTTTGAGTCCGTGATCATGATAATCTTTCCACCTGCCCTCTCGACATTCAAAGCTTTGTCAACAAAGGAACAGGTCCCTCGTTCAACCAGGACCACGTTATCCGCCACGTCCAGGTCATTCTTCAACGGCTCGCAAGCTTCAATCGGATCCGCGAGGATCATATACATCTGAAATAAAAATTTATCAAATTAGGTATGGATGTCAAGTGTAATATCGCGATAACTGTTTGGATTTGAAGAAAAATGATGGCTGAAGAGACCTAAATCCAAGAAGAACACAAAACAAAAGACTTACCTCGGAAGTTCGCGATGGAAACCTCACTCCAATTTGATAGGATGGCAAGAACTCATAGGCATATTGAAGAGATTCTGGATGGTCAATTTGAAAAAATAAGGACTCGCTAATCAACGCTGAAACAATTAATTTACCTGTAAAATTACTCAAACCCACTTTTACTACCAATTGGTAAGCTTAAGACGACCAAGATGAAGATAAAAATAGTCTTGATATCGAACATTAGCCATGAATAAGATCGTAGACTGAGCATTTCATAACATTCCACAGTAAGTGGTGTGCAAATTGAGGTAGAACGAGAAATCGGAAGCGTCAAGAAATTTCTTTATCAAATTCCCGAATTTCACCATCTATTTGTGACACTTCGCCAAATATTTTGACATTTCGTTCCCTCCAAAAAGAAGTTTCGTCCCACCACGAAAACCCTGATTTTCCGGGCGCCGCAGAAACTTTCTCCCCTTTTCTGCGTTGTTTGGCAAGTTCTCGATCAACTCTGCTTATTATTCACAAAATCGGCCTTCAAAGGCGGTCTAACACACAATTATTATCTTTCCCATCCCCTCTTCCTCATGAATTATATAAAAATTTGGTTTTTAATTAGGTGTTTCGAATATTGCCCTATTCTTTTGTATGATTACCATCTCCGGAGCATTCTCGTGGTTGTGAAACGTGGATTTCGACATAATCTTTGCTTTATTCTTGCTAATTCACCAATTTTAGGTATCATTATGGGACGTGATCGCTCTACTTGCTTGTACATCGGCAATCTTCCTCCAGATTGCCGCACGCGTGATATCGAAGACATTTTCCACAAATACGGACGTATTAAGTATTGCGATGTGAAGAACAGAACTCAACGTGGAGGAATTTCATTTGGGTTTATCGAATTTGAAGATGCTCGGTAAGATTTGAATTTTTTTTTTGGTGTTTATGTCTTTAGACTTGAGTCAACTGATAATATTGGGTTTTAATGGTCGTAGCAATCTGATTGAGCTTTTAAATTCTCGGATTTGACATTAAACCTTTGTTTTTTGCATAATTTACGTTAATGTAAGGTGCTCTTTCAAGGAATTCCTGATTTTTTAAGGCTAATCTTAATTAAGAGCTAGGGAACTTGTAGTCAAGTAAGGTTGAACATTTTCCCGTGTTTTGTCATCTGTCTCTTTCGGTTGTTGTGTTGGCTTCGTTCTGTTACCAGCTGTTCTTCATTTGGTTTATCAATTATAGCCTCAGCCCAATGACTCAAATCAATTAGGGACCTTCTCAATTCTAAAACGTTCGCGTCTTGTCGTAAACAGGATCCTTCTTCCGCTCCCCTCGGAGATTCTCTAAGACGGACTTGGAGTCGCGCAAAAACCCACTAGGAATATTGTACATCACACCAATCAATATGTCATTTCAATTTGATATGGTTGCAAAGGAAAAGTCGGGAGTTGAACGCGTTTTCAAGCAAGTCAAAGTGATTTGGGGAGCAAACACTGACAAATTGGGGACATCTCAATGTGTTACAAGCAACAAGATCGAGTGTAATATCACCATGTCTGCCATGGATAATATAATGGGTTTTGATGTTTTAGAGACGCCGAAGATGCCCAAAGAGGAAGGGATGGATATGATTTGGATGGATATCGTATTCGAGTGGAAGAAACTCGTGGCGCCGGACCCAGAGGACCTGGGGGGAAACCGCTGCATGGACCTGATGATCGTCGCGGCCACCGCGGTGGCGGAAGAGGTGGCCCCCGCAGACGTGGACATCGCGTCTACGTCTCTGGCCTTCCACCCACTGGCTCTTGGCAAGATCTGAAGGATCATATGAGATCCGTCGGTGAAATTGTTTGTGCTGATGTCAACCGTGATGGAACAGGAATTGTGGAATTCGCCCGCTACGACGATGCCAAATATGCTATCAAGAAGATGGACGATACCAAGTTCACATCTCATGAGGTATGTTTTTCTTATTTTTTGTTGGTTTTTAGGAGAATTTCGAGTCTGGCATGGTGAAGATATCGATGATGAGATAGTGTCATGCTAATCATGAAAGAGCTTGGCGCTCGCCCTCCATGTTGCAAAAGACCAATCTGAGATTGATTTCCCCGGTCAAAACTATTAATTTGGAGGACTTTTTACATTTTTTGTGGATAAAATATAATTTTTATATTTTCAGGGCGAAACCGCTTACATTCGCGTCTCCGACGAAGGACCTCGTCGTTCGCGGACTCGCTCTCGCAGCCGCAGTCCACGCCGTTCCCCACGTCGCTCGCCGGCCTATAGCGACCGCTCCGTGTCCAGATCTCGCTCCCGTTCCCGCTCTTGAACTGATTATTGAATAATGAATACACCACTCTCTGCATTACCATTATTTATGTTTAATTTGTTATCCTTTCTTCCATAATAAACTTTAAGGAGCAATGATTTTCGGCTTAAATTAATATTTTTTATCATAGATAAAATAAAATTTCCGAGAATCCCACAATAATTTATCAATATTTGAATAGCATAATTAGACTAACTTTGGCTTGACCCATTTCTGCAGTTGTGGACACAAACTCTACTAGCTCTTGCACATTGCAACAGGAAATAAAAAAAGGATGTGAAAAGATTAACCGTTCGTTAAAAGAAAAAAAAGAATGATAGACGGCGAGACAATGTATTAACAGTTATTATCACACTTTTAATCCAGCTTGATTCGCGAGTAAATCTTGTGGACGAAGGAGGCGGAGCTCACGTAGCCAATGGTTCCGCAGAGGATGCCCAGCGCCACCGAGAAGATGCCCATGTAGCCAAAGTAGAAGAGGGTCTGGAACAGGCCGTACATCCTGAAATTGGCGCGATAATGCTCGGCATTCATCGAAATTTCGATAAAAATCGTGTTTTAGAGACCAAAGTCCAAAAAAATTTTCCATTTTATGAAAATTCCACAAAAAATTTTTCGCTTAAACTTGTTAAAACTACTTCTCATAAAGAGTTTACACTCTTAGTAGCCTTATTCACCAAAGATTTCACTTTCCATTCCCATTTTAAAATTTTTTTTTATCAATTTCGGACCTTATTTTAGGTCAAGTTTGAACCCTCACAACTTTCCTCAACAAATCTTCAAATTTCCCAAATCAACTCTTAATTCCTTCTACAGTCTCTTATCTACCGAATAACCCCCACTAACCCTCTAAATCTCCCTCAACTCCCCCAATATCAGCATTTCTTTGCACCCCACCTTGACTTACTTCGTTTTGAAAAAGTAGTAATATATCGAGTACAGGTAGATGTAGATGGAAATGGAGCCGCCCGCAGTGAACGAGGACCATCGCCAGCGGTAGTCTTCGGCGTTCAAGAGGAAGTAGGTCGACACGATCGTTACGCACGCAGTTACGACCAGCAGGATGATGGCCACCAACAGCATGAACCCGTACACGTAGTAGATCTTGTAGGCCCAGAAGGACGTGAAAATGAAATACCTGGAACATTCACATAACAACTTGACCAAAATGAGCAAAATTTGGGTAAAAATTCGACAAAAATTATATTATCCATGTGTTCGCCAAGTGTAATATCCAAAAAATTTCTGCGAATTTCCCTCAAATTCTGGCAATACATGATGTAAAAAGTGTCTATAAGTCAATTCTTCCAATTTCCAACAAAATCTCCCAAAAAATTATCTTATCCATGACATCATCTAATACCAAAATACCCCAAAAACCCTCCCAAATCTCACATTTCAATGAAAATCGAGCCGAATGGCAAAAATCCAGCAATGATTGAGATGGCTCCCGGCTCCAAATACCATTTCTTGTCGGGGATTGGTCTTGGGACCACATTAATTCTGCACGGAATGTCCGCCTGTCCTTTGAGATTACGGCCAAGTAGGGTGCCGACAAAGTTCAATGGAAGGATGACAAAAGCGCAGATGCCAAAAATGGAGAGCTGAAACAGATTTGAACATTATTTCCGATGACTTAAAAACAATGGGTCTAAATTAATATAAATTTTGAGATAAATCTCTCATAAATTTGTAAAATACGACGCAACCAGTTACTATTTGTTTCAAAAGATACTACATGTCCTAAGGCTTCTATGATATCAAAAACGGAGAACTGAAACGAATTTAAACATTATTTTCGATCACTTCAAACAACGGGTCTAAATTAATATAAACTTCGAGAAAAATCTCTCATAAAAGTTGTAAAATACGAACAACCCAATTTCTCTTTTGTTTCAAAATATACTACATATCCTACGGCTTCTATTGATACCAAAAATGGAGAGCTGAAACGAATTTCAACATTATTTCCGATCACTTCAAAACAATGGGTCTAAATTAATATAAAATTTGAGAAAATTGACCATAAAAGTTGCAAAATACGAAGTAACCATTTACTATTTGTTTCAAAAGATACTAAATGCAATAAGGCTTCTATTTAAAGCCCAAATCCGGCTATCTAAAAGGTATTTCTTACCATAGAAGTGAATGGAATCGCTCTGGAGGCATGATAATAAATCGCGACGGTGTTGATGGACAACGCGACCCAGGCAAGGAATCCGGGGAACAAAAAGGCGCCCATGGTCATCTGCTTGATCCAGTTTTGCCCATTCACTCGGGAGTACATCGAACCGCCGAAAAATCCGTTCACTGGCGCCGTGATGGCATACACAAAGATCGTGGCGGAAAGCAGTGATCCCCGTCTAAAAATAGCAAAATTTTTGGCTCAAATAATCTTCAATTCCCCCTTACTCAGTGTAGAATTCAGCGAGAATGGCTAGGGCGATTGTGATGAACAGGACCGAGGCCAAATGATACCCAGTTCCGATCAAGGAGCAGAAGAAAAGTGGGTGCTGAGGGGGTCGAAACACATCGCCGTGGACTTGTTTCCATCCGTAATCGTCCGAGAGTTCTTCGTCCTGCAAATCAACTCATAAAATTATAAACAGTTGGGAAAAAATAACAAAAATTATATTCACCATGAAATCAACTGGCAAAATTTGAAAAAAATCCGGGAACCCTTATATTTTTTACGTAATTAGAACAAATAGGCCATTTCTGACAACTTCTACCAAAATTTTGGCAAAACTCGAAAAAAATTATATTATCCATGAGGTCAACTACCAAAAAATTTTTTAAAATCAGTCAAAACTTAATGTCCAGATGCTTTTAAAACAATTAATTATGATTCATATTTTACATTCCCATCAAAATTTAAGCAAAAAACAACAAAATTTATATTATCCATGAGCCGGTCAAGTGTAATATAAAAAATTGCTAAAACCACCCCAAAACCTTCCAAAATAAAATCAAAAGCTCCCTTACAGCCTCAACATCGAGTTCCTTGTGATATCTAGCATAGTCCTTGCTCAGCGTTCGTAGCAGAATCATCCAGACCAAGCCCACCAAGAAGATGACCATCATGAACGAATTGAAGATCGAAAACCAATGAATTCGGTGCTGGAAGAAGGTGGGATCCAAGTACTTCTCAAACCGCTTGTCGAACTCAATGTTCGAGGGCTTCCAGTTGACGGAATAAGTGAATGAAATCTCGTCTCCGGCCTTGATCGTCTTCTTGTCCTCAACAACCACAGAAACGTCGACAATCCGGTCGTTGTTGTAGCCAATTTCGAAGCGCTTGTTCGTGTAGATTGTGACTTCTTTGGAGGTCGGGTCCTGCTCACCAACAAGGGCTGAAGTGGAATTATTTCAGAGATCAAAATATTTTGGGAGGTCATGGATAATATCGGCTGTTTCGGCAAGAAAAACTTGTGAGTCTTGATCAATTTTAGTCTTCAAAGATGCGTAAAGACCTCCTCTATGCAACTAACAAACCTCCTCTATGCAACTAACAACAAAAAGCAAAACAAAAACTCATGGAAAGTCCAAAATAAACAATTTTAGGTCTCAAGATGGCCATGAATAATATCAGTCGTTCCTCAAAAATATTTTAGGGTTTTCTAAACTGCCTTTGTCCAACAAGAGCCAGAATATCTTCTTCTATCTAAACTTCAACAAAAACAGCAAAAAATCTTACCCCACAATGGCAAATCGTCGATATACATCTGATACCAATAGTTGTGCTTGACAGCATAAACTAAAGCATCCACATCGGCGCCGGACAGTACCTTTTTGCAGTATGTGGTCTTCTCTTGGTTGGCTGAAACAAAAAACTCCAAAAAATCGATTAAATTCCCTACTTTTGAATCTAATATCCAAGCCGGAATATTCAAGTTCAACACCAAGTAGAGCTTCCCCCAAAGTCTCATGATAATGCTCGATATTCTCCTTGGTTCCACGGCAAAACGGGAGCGAAAAGTAGGAGTAGGTCTCCTGACGGTTGGAATAGGGACCAATTGTGTTCATCCACAAGACAACTTCTTCATTGTCCTTGTAGGTGTGGTCGTGCTCATCGGGCGCCACGAACAGTGTGGAAATGACCAGACACACAATCAAATTCCTGAAAATTTTGTGGTAAAGACCATAATCTTCAACAAAATTGACAGTACGACAATTTTAATACTCTTTCCACCAGAGCTTGAAGCAAAACCAAATCTTATGTTACCTAAAAACCAAGTGCAATATAAAAACCTCTTACCTGCCCGCATTCTGCAGCAATTTTATCGACGCCATGCTTCCACAGCCTCCACGGGAGTCGAGTCCTAGTGTTGATCCAGTTTTATCTCCCAAATACCTGAAATTTGGAGCCTAGAACATCAGATTACCAAGTGTAACATAAAAACCACGATTATCGCTGGAAATCCGGGAAGTAGGTGGAAGCAGAGAAACAAAGTGCGGAAGAAACTGAAATGTTCGATAGATTGCTTATTCGATAAGATTTTTGTCGGGATCCGAAGATTTACGTGGCAAGTGTAATATCAGGTAAAAAGAGTTTGCTAAACATGTCAAATCCCTGGAAAAATTGATTCACAATCCTTCCACGATCTCTACAGGACTTGTACAATAATAGACAAGGAGGGAAAAAGCGAAAAATCAAGTTGAAACGTGGCTAAAAAAAGGCGAGTGGAATATCGAATAAAATTTTATGGAATTTTGCGTAAATAAGGCAATTTGGCAAAATTCCACGTAAAAATAAAGTGAGAACGTGGTGAATGACGTCGCTGTTCTTCAGGGTATGGAATTGGAGGAGATTTCAGGCGGAAAAATCCACGAATATGCCAACTCAAAAACCCTTTAATTTGGTCTCGGCACGAAAACATTTTCCCAACATTTTGCGATTGGGAATGGTTTGGAATCGTTCCAGAGACCTCAAAAATGAGAACTGGGCGGGACAAAAAGTCTTGAGATGTCTGTCGTCGCGCGAGCAATCTGTCGCGGCGACAAGCAAACTTCACGGTGCGCTGCGACCCCGCACAGTGCGAAAAGATTGTTTTGGAAAAGGGTAAACAATGCACAGTGCGTTCTTCTTTCGCACCCCACCGAATTCTTGTCGCGCGGCACCTTGTCGCAACTCCGAATTCATGCGCCCGCACGGTGCAAAAAACACGGCAAGACCTTTTTGGCCCGCCTAGAGCCGGTTTCACGATTTTTCCTCCGATCCGCCTGTCGAGAAGACTTTTTGATTCCAGTTAGAGCCAAAATCGAAGATTTCTGATATTATTCATGACATCAAAGTTGAAAAAGAATTGAAATTATTTGATAATCAACTTTAAAAACTATTACAACTTGATCGACAGCTCCATGTTCCCTCACACCATCAAAATACCAGACAAATCCGGTGGAAAAATTTTATTACAATAACAAATAGCGACAATATGGCACAAAATGGTTAATTATTATAGTAACAAATTAGTAAATTGTAGTATATGATTAGTATTATATATAAGCATAGTATATATTGTAAGATAGATCGAGAATGTTATCAAACTGTAGACGCAAACATAGGCCATCAGTTGTGCTGAAATTGACATAGAGATTATAATACAGTGGCGGACCTGATCCATTGGCCAAAAACGTACCATTTTGCATCAGGGAAGTATCAAAAATGCGGCAAAATACCTCCCTCTCCAAGTGAAAAAACTCCGATTTCAAAAGCGCACCCACTCTTTTTGTGAGGGAGCCCTTCAAAACGGAGTTTCTTTAGTTAGAGAGGGAGGTATTTTGCCGCATTTTTTATACTTCCCGGATGCAAAATGATACGTTTTTTGCCACTGGATCAGGTCCCTCACTGTAAGTTGAAGGTCAAAGATTTCACATGACTTTCTCTTACCTTTCATTCCACTATTACTATATTATCCAAGAAATCCCTGAGGTTCTCCAGGGTACAGATCAATAACAAATAAGGTGCCAAAAAATCGTGAAAAACATGGCATATATTGTAAAATTACGAGTTTAGAGATCGAAAACACACCATCCATTGTGAAAAACATGGCTTCAACTATAAATGGCCATAGTTCTCAAATATTTAGGCTCGATAGAGGGCTCTACAGTGCGCTTCTTACGCCTGAAAACTCATTATATTTACTGTGACCATCTGTTTAAAAAATACTTTCAAAATCTTACCAAATCCCGTTCTTCATCGGAATTGTTGCTGTCGTCATCTGAATCTGACATATTCCTGCTAGAAGAGTCGTTGCTGGCCCGGGCCGGCTTCCAAGGCACTTACGACCAATCTCAGAGCTGGAGTCATTTCTTCCAAGGCACTTGGAAGACGAAGGTTTTTTCCACTCTGTGCGTTGCTCTTTTACGTCCTGAAAACTCGCTATATTTTCTGTGAACACCTGTTTTAAATAATATTTTCAAATCCACCTTACTTTGTAACACTCTTCGCAAGCGCTCAGCTCGTCCATCGCAATCGGAGTCTTTCCCACCTGATGGGGCCTTCATCCTGGCCCGGGCCGACTTTCAAGGCATTTACGGGTATTTTTTCCAGTCCGTGCGTTGCTCTTTTACGGTCTGAAAACTCGCTATATTTACTGTGAACACCTATTTTAAATAATATTTTCAAATCCACCTTACCAAATACCCCTATTCATGGTAATTCAACTCGTCCGAGACGAAAACATCGCAATTGGCGTCAAATCGGAGTCTTTCCCACCGGAGGGGTCTTCATCCAGGCTTGGGTCAGCTTCCACGGCACTTACGAAACTTCCTGCTGACATTTTTAACTCTGCGTTGCTCTTTTACGCTCTGAAAACCCGTTACATTTATTGTGTAATCCTTGTCTTAGTAGTATTTTCATAAAGTGCAAGGAAATTTTTTCGAGTTCCCACAGTGCAATTTCCCTTTTCGCACCGTGCAAACCTCAAAAAAAAAACCCCTTTGCACAGTACAAATATTTGAAAGGAAAGTACCTCCATGGGGTATGGAGTTACAGGTCGAGACATATATCAAAAAAATCGCAAAGGTTTTTTGATTCAGTATATGTAAAAATTAGCTGCGCAATTTTGGTTTGTAAGGGCGAAAAAATCCTCAGAACTTTTCTCGCAACACCACGTAAATGCATTTTTGCCCAAGTTTTTTGCCAATTCAAAGGTTTTGTTTTGAGCTAGAGTAAACCCAGGCATCTTGACAAGCCTTAAAAATACCAAATTTGATTTTTATCAGTCTGTCGGGAAAATAACGGCGGATCGTCGCGCCTCGGAGTCGCTCATCATCGCTTTGCGACTGCAGGCCGCGACTTGGGATTTGGTGCGCGACAGCGGCGAGGCGAGACATTTTGCTGCGACGATCCGCCGTTATTTTTCCGACAGACTGATATACACCTTAATTAAAAGTTCCAATGTAAAAAATGGCCATTTTCGTGGAATTGCGAGAAAAGTTATGACGATTTTTTCAAATGCCTCTTTTTTATATGGAACAACTAATTAAGGTGTAGCATTAATCAAATTTGGTATCTTAAGGCTTGTCAAGATACAAGGGTTTACTCTAGCTCAAAACAAAACCTTTGAATTGGCAAAAAACTTGGTCAAAAATGTCAAACTTGCATGGTGTTGCGGGAAAAGCTCTGAAGGTTTTTTCGCCCTTACAAACCAAAACCAAAATTGGGCAGCTAATTTTTACATATTCTGAATCAGAAAACCTTTGCGATTTTCTTGATATATGTCTCGACCTGTAACTCCATACCCCATAGAAGTACTCTCCTTGTGAGCCAAACCGGGACGAAGTTGAAAAAAGCTTACTTATGAAAAAAACTTACTCTTCCTCGTTCCTCTCCCTACCTTCCCTTGCATTCCTTTCACTTCCACTCATCTACGAAACCGGATAGGCCTGGCATCACGTCCAGGCCTTCTAATTGGCCTGTTACCATTTTGTCGTAGACCTGCCATCCCATTTACGCAATTAGTTGCATCTTGATGTCAATTTTGCACCGAAGCAGCATCGCTTCCGGATATACAAGGCTATTGGTTACGTAAGCCAGGACCGCCTCTCGCAGCCCATGGCCACTCGGGAACGCAGGGTCGGAATCCACTACGTCACGTGAGCTGGCAATTCTGTCGCCGATAATGGACGGAGAGTTTCGTTTGCGTCAAAAACGGAGCTTACGGCCGTGACGTAGCTGTAGCCCGCTGCGACCTTTCGATCCCATGTAAAGAAGGGTAAGTTTGGCCTGAAATCGAGCATTTCTGATATTATCCATGAGATCAAAGTTGAAAAAGGGGTGAAATTCTTCGATAATCGACTTTAGACTATTAAATTGAAGAAGAAGAATCCAAGATTTGTATGATTTTTAAAATTCATGGCTCTTACCTTCCATTTACGCGATTCTTTGGCATGACTGGCTCTTTTTCATCCCTGGCGGACTTCAGGCCCATTTCATGCTCATTCTCTTACGGGTCGGTTTTTAGCATGTCCTCGTTGGAATCGTTGCTGTTGTTTCAATGCATAAAACAAGTAGACCACAATTACGAATACGTTTTCGGTTGCAGGCCCTTGCTGAAATGGACATACAGTGAGGGACCTGATCCAGTGACAAAAAACGTAACATTTTGCATCCGGGAAGTATCAAAAATGTGGCAAAATGCCTCCCACTCCAACTAAAAAAACCGCGTTTTGAAGGGCTCACACACAAAAAAGAGCGGGCGGGCTTTTGAAATCGGAGTTTTTTCACTTGGAGAGGGAGGTATTTTGCTGCATTTTTGATGCTTCCCGGATACAAAATGGTACGTTTTTTGCCACTGGATCAGGTCCCCCACTGTACAGCCGTTAGCTATTATTAATAACGCTAGTTTTCTATACCCTAAGTTATTGTAATATATAAAAGACCAAAATTTGCGGCAAAAACCGAAGATCCGTAACATTTATCTAGATATTATTGATGTGAGTGCATGTAAAATGCCTTACAGTAGGTGATAAGGTATCTCAGGACTCGATCAACCTTATTATTTCTACTAACTAAGCCTTCTGCTAGCCACCGCATGCATATAACGGAGAACCGAGGCGATGCATAGGATCGTTGACCCCAAAAGTCGTTGCGCCAAAAATTTCTGTTGCCAATTGCAAAGACTTACAAGCCGTTTCCTAGGGCTTTCCTCTTCACTCAAAGGCGACTCCATTTCCTCTTCAACCGCCGATTCAACTCCTTTTTGGTGGCTTCTTCTAAGGCCTCAAGGCGAGGAGGCTCTTCGGGTATCTCTTCTTCGATTGTTTCCTCTACGACTGCCTTGAATCGATACCCTTCCAGCTCTGGTTGTGGAGGACATCAAGTTGAAACAGAAGATCAAAGATGTTAGAGTCGGAGCCATCTCCACCGGAGGGGTCTTCATCCTAGCCCGGGCCGACTCCCAAGGCATTTACGCGTCTTTTTTCCAGTCTTTGCGTTGCTCTTTTACGATCTGAAAACTCGTTATATTTACTGTGAACACTTGTTTTAAATAATACTTTCAAATCCGCCATACCAAGTTCCCTTCTTCGATTGAGTTCAGTCTTTCCCACCGGAGGGGTCTGCATCCTGGCTCGGGCCGACTTCCACGGCATTTACGATCATTTTTCATTGGAATCGTTGCTGTCGTCATCTGAATCTGACATATTCCTGCTAGAAGAGTCGTTGCTGGCCCGGGCCGGCTTCCAAGGCACTTACGACCAATCTCAGAGCTGGAGTTATTTCGAGGGGTCTTCAACCTGGCCCGGGCCGACTTCCACTTCAATTACGATTATTTTTAATTGGAATCGTTGCTGTCGTCATCTGAATCTGACGTATTCCTGCTAGAAGAGTCGTTGCTGGCCCGGGCCGGCTTCCAAGGCACTTACGACCAATCTCAGAGCTGGAGTTATTTCGAGGGGTCTTCAACCTGGCCCGGGCCGACTTCCACTTCAATTACGATCATTTTTAATTGGAATCGTTGCTGTCGTCATCTGAATCTGACGTATTCCTGCTAGAAGAGTCGTTGCTGGCCCGGGCCGGCTTCCAAGGCACTTACGACCAACCTCAGAGCTGGAGTCATTTCGAGGGGTCTTCATCCTGGCCTGGGCCGACTTCCAAGGCACTTGGAAGACGAAGCTTTTTTCCACTCTGTGCGTTGCTCTTTTACGGCCTGAAAAATCGCTATATTTACTGTGAACACTTGTTTCACAAGGAAAGTACTTCTACGGGGTATGGAGTTACAGGTCGAGTCATATACCAAAAAATACGCAAAATTTTTCTGATTCAGAATATGTAAAAATTAGCTGTCGACTTTTGGTTTGTAAGGGCGAAAAATGCCACAGAACTTTTCTCGCAACACCATGAAAATGCTCCTTTTGACCAAGTTTTTACGCATTCAAAAGCTTTGTTTGGAACTAAAGTAAAATCTGGCATCTCCTTAATTAGCAGTTCCAATGTAAAAAAGGGCCATTTTCGTGGACTAGCTCAAAACAAAACCTTTGAATTGGTAAAAACTCGGCCAAAAATGCATTTGCGTGGTGTTGCGAGAAAAGTTCTGTGGGATTTTTCGCCCTTACAAACCAAAAGTCGACAGCTAATTTTTACATATTCTGAATCAGAAAAATTTTGCGATTTTTTTGATATATGTCTCGACCTGTAACTCCATACCCCATAGAAGTACTCTCCTTGTGAGCCAAACCGGGACGAAGTTGAAAAAAGCTTACTTATGAAAAAAACTTACTCTTCCTCGTTCCTCTCCCTACCTTCCCTTGCATTCCTTTCACTTCCACTCATCTACGAAGCCGGATAGGCCTGGCATCACGTCCAAGCCTTCTAATTGGCCTGTTACCATTCTGTCGTAGACCTGCCACCCCATTTACGTAATTATTTGTACTTTCCTTGTGAGCGAAACCGAAAAAAGCTTACCGCCTTGCATTTATGTCTCGGATTTGAAGTGGGCCTGGTGCCAGACCCGGTGGGCCTGGCATCACGTCCAGGCTTTCTAATTGGCCTGGTACCATTTTGTCATAGACCTGCCATCCCATTTACGCAATTAGTTCCATTTTGAGCCCAAGGCAGCATCGCTTCCGGACATATAAGGCTGTAGTTACGCATGGTAGGACTTCTCTTGTCGTACTCGTAGCCACTCGGGAACGCAGGGTCCGAATCCACTACGGAATGTGAGCAGGCAATTCTGTCGCCGATAATGGACGGAGAGTTTCGTTTGCGTTAAAAACGGGGCTTACGTCATTTTCTTCCATTTTTGAAAAACTTTTCGATCCGAGTTTGGCCTGAAATCGACCATTCCTGATATTCTCCATGAGATCAAAGTTGAAAAAGGGGTGAAATTCTTCGATAATCGACTTAAGACTATTAAATTGGAGAAGAATCCAAGATTTGCATATGCTTTTACAAATTCACGGCTCTTACCTTCCATTTACGCCATTTCATGCTCATTCTCTTCCGGACTCGTCTTCACCATGTCATCATTTGAATCGTTGTTGTCGTTTCAATGCATAAAACAAGTAGACCACAATTACGAGTACTTTTTTGGTTGCAGGCCCTCGCTGAAGTGGACATAGACAAAATTGAAGAAGGAGCAAGGATTCGTATATGATTTTACAAATTCATAGTTCTTACTTTCCATTTCATTGGGGATGTTATCCGCGCGACCCGCGAGGTTCTCCATTGGAATTTGCTGAAGTAACTGGGCTGTTCTTTTACGGCCTAAAAACTTGTCATATTTATTGTGTAAGTCTTGTCTTGTTAGTATTTAGCGTTTTTAATCTTACGGAGTTCTTTGTATACCGTCGCGCTTGGTCTTCCTTTTCGAACCGTGCAAACTTCAAAACATCAAAATTTTGCATCCGGGAAGTATCAAAAACGTTCGCCCCTCTACAGTGAAGGACCCGATCCAGTGGAAGACCACATCCTTCGTTTTCTTGGTGTTGTCCTTGAAAATCAAGGTGTCTTGTTGGACGTAATTCCGACACTTGACCCTTCCCTTCTGCGATGTTTTTCTCCAAGAAATCGGGGGGTTTTTGCCCTTAGATCCGCCAAATTTAGGGGTATTGGGCTAGTGGGCGTGACGTAGAGGGTTGCCGAGTGGATTGGCTGCGGCAAAGTTGTGGTTGTTGCGTCGGAAATGGCCTCAAAATCCTTGATGGAGCGTTTCTTCGGGCGTCCGCGGGGCTTCGGACTCGTGGTGGCCATCACATTGTTGATCAAGGCATCTAATGGGTCCAGCTCTCGATCCGACGATTCCACCTTCCGCGGTGTGGACTTTCTCGGCCGTTTCGTTGGAGGAGACTCGCTCGGCACAGGGGTTGATTTTACCGGGATAATCGCGTGGCTCTGCTCTACGGCTTTCACAATCATTTTATCTACCTAAAACCCCCAGTGTACAGCTGCGGCTTCTCCCGCGCCGAAATTGACTCACTTGTGTGCCAGGCAATTCATGCGGCCTGTGAGGTCCTGCATTGGAACTTGTTGATGTATCCGGCCTTTACGCATCGCATTAAAAGCCTGAAAACTCGATATATATATCGCGCAACACTTGTTTTTTCGAAAAACGAAGAATCAATTGAAAGCTGAAAGAAAACCTACCATGAATGATACATTCTGAAGCTTCGGCCCACGAAAAAAGCTACAGTTCATCCAAAATACTTTAATGCAACTTCTGAAAAAAGCCGCCAAATTAGGCAGAAAAAAACTAACGAGGGAATGGTCTTAACTTCCCCCAGCGTTTGGGAAAATGACAAGTACAGGTGGATAGAGCAAGTAAACTTTGGTAAAAAGAGCCTTTTTCCAGCTGCGGAATAAGCCCGGCCGACGAGAAAAATTGACCGAAAGTTCCACAAAAATTTCCTCTTTCTCTTCCCTCGGAAAAGAAGAGCGGTGTGCAGTGGTTCGGTTAGCCGGGTGGATAAAGCATCCGCTCGATATTCTTTTGGGGGTTGGTTCGATTCCGGGGTCTCGGGAAGGACCGTGATAAGGCTTTGATGAGCAAGATCAAGCTCTAACAAACCAAAAAAAATATTTTGCCATTTTTATACGTTTTATAGGGGCATTATACCAAAAAATAATCGTCAACAAATGAATTTTTTGGGTGCTTCCGAACATTCAAAGCGATGAACCATCGAAGTTATACTCGTTTGGTGATAGACTTGACTTTGAAAAAGGCAAAATAATTTTTTTCTTTTCCGAGGGAAGAGAAAGAGGAAATTTTTGTGGAACTTTCGGTCGATTCTTCTCGTCGGCCGGGCTTATTCCGCAGCTGGAAAATGGCTCTTTTTACCAAAGTTTACCTGCTCTATCCACCTGTACTTGTCACTTTCCCAAACGCTGGGGGAATTTCAGACCATTCCCTCGTAAAGTTTTTTTTTCGTCTGCATTTTTAATGCAATTTATGACTTGCCTGCTTTAAGGAGTGGACGCTCTTTACGTCCGATAACAGTGCGCCGAAACCGTTATACTTATGTGCAACGCTTGTCTTAAACACTTCGGGCCATTTACTTTTTTCAAGCGGCTAAATTTTCAACAGCAGCATCGTTTCCCGTCGTTTTGGGTCGAAAAAGTGGCTTACGCCGATTCGCTGGTCGCGAAGACTGTTTGGTTCGGGTTTGCCCTGAAATCGAGCATTTCCGATATTATTCATGAGATCAAAGTTAAAGAACAGGTAAAATTCTTTGAGAATCCACTTGAAACTATTAAATTTAAGAATAAGAATCAAAGATTTGTATATGATTTTACAAATTCACGGCTCTTACCTTCCATTTACGACCAATATTATAGTATGAATAGATCAAGTAGACAAAAATTAAGCCACAATGCACAACAGGAAGCAGATGTATGCGCAGAAAGATCCAGATTGGTTGCCAAGCCACTGGAGGGTCGATCATGCCTTTGGAGGTCAAACTACTAAAAAAATGGCTACCATGTACAATATCAAAAATGTAAAAAAAAAGTAAAAAGCAGACTAAAGAGAGAAAACTCAACGCTAATCTGAGTAAATTATGCAAGTTCGCCTCATCTAACACCTGTTTCAACTCAATATGAACAAAAACTTATATTATCCATGACAAACAAAATTTTGTCCAACATCAGAAAAACACTTATAAAAGCTCTACCTAGACAATACATACTCTTTTAAGAGTTTTATGACCAACATTTCCTCTAATTTCAGTAAAAATTATATTATCCATGATAAAATAGATCTTACCCTGAACAAGCCCAAGAAGACCTACCGAACGGCTTGTGAAGCAGCTTACGATCCACTTTAGCATTGATGAGTAAGACCGTTTCGGTGAGAAGTGAGATAGCTCCAATTACAAAGACCAAAAGGTTGGTGGCCAGTCCTGGGAAGGATAAATTAATTTTTACGCCTCCCAAATTCACTCCAACCATTGGATTTGAATTGGGTCGGGTAGCGGTCGCCCTGAAATAAAAGATAAATCAAAAAAAACATCGATTGCAATTCATTTTGACATTATTTTAGACCAAAATTTGGATGGTCGAACAAGGTGAAGATAAAATTTTGTCCAAATTGAGCTCAAAACGACTTCAAAAAATCATAAAGGGACTAACCGTGTCTATATTGACATTTTTCTGGCTAATTCTTAGCTTTTTTTGGGTCAAAATTTGGGTGGGTCAGCATGGTGAAGATAAAATTTTGTCCAAATTGAGCTCAAAACAAGTTTAAAAAGTCACAAAAGGCCTAAACGTGCCTATCTTAACATTTTTCTGGCTAATTCTTAGCTTTTTTTGGATCAAAATTTGGATGGTCCAGCAAGGTGAAGATAAAATTTTGTCCAAATTGAGCTCAAAACAACTTCAAAAAGTCATAAAGGGACTAACCGTGTCTGTATTGACATTTTTCTGGCTAATTCTCAGCTTTTTTTTATCAAAATTTGGATGGTCCAGCAAGGTGAAGATAAAATTTTGTCCAAATTGAGCTCAAAACACGTTTAAAAAGTCATAAAACGCCTAACCGTGTCTATTTTAACATTTTTCTGGCTAATTCAGAGCTTTTTTACACCAAAAATTTTCTTGATCTGTCATGGATAATATAAAAAAATACTGAAAATTACTGAAACCGCTGTCATACCTTTATTGAACAAGCCCAAGTAGGCCTTCCGAACGGGTTGTGAAGCAGCTTACGCTGCGTTTTACAACAGAAACATCTTCACCAACAGAAACTTCTTCATGGGTGGATCTACTGGGCGAGAAGTGGCTTATGGCGCCAATTACCGGCCCGCCTTCCAATTACGGATGTGGCTCACCACAAAATTAAAGTTACAACGGCCGGCCCATATAGGACAGATGAAACAGTCCTGCACTGCTTCTAATTACGGTCCATTCCGTAAAGTTTAATTGCGCAAAGAAGCAGGTCCATGCCCGGATGACACACTCCATACTAACCAAGCGTAGTAAACATCCTGAAATGAAAAACAAATCAAAAAAACATTGATTGCAATTCTCGTGGACATTATTTTAGATCAAAATTTGGATGGTCGAACAAGGTGAAGATAAAATTTTGTCCAAATTGAGCTCAAAACAACTTCAAAAAGTCATAAAGGGATTAACCGTGTCTATATTGACATTTTTCTGGCTAATTCTCAGGTTTTTTTGATCAAAATTTGGATGGTCGAACAAGGTGAAGATAAAATTTTGTCCAAATTGAGCTCAAAACAACTTCAAAAAATCATAAAGGGACTAACCGTGTCTATATTGACATTTTTCTGCCTAATTCTTAGCTTTTTTGGGTCAAAATTTGGATGGTCCAGCATGGTGAAGATAAAATTTTGTCCAAATTGAGCTCAAAACAACTTCAAAAAGTCATAAAACGCCTAACCGTACCTATTTTAACATTCTTCTGGTTAATTCTTAGCTTTTTTTGGGTCAAAATTTGGATGGTCCAGCATGGTGAAGATAAAATTTTGTCCAAATTGAGCTCAAAACAACTTCAAAAAGTCATAAAGGGACTAACCGTGTCTATATTGACATTTTTCTGCCTAATTCTTAGCTTTTTTGGGTCAAAATTTGGATGGTCCAGCATGGAGAAGATAAAATTTTGTCCAAATTGAGCTCAAAACAACTTCAAAAATTCATAAAACGCCTAACCGTACCTATTTTAACATTCTTCTGGTTAATTCTAAGCTTTTTTTGGGTCAAAATTTGGATGGTCCAGCATGGTGAAGATAAAATTTTGTCCAAATTGAGCTCAAAACAACTTCAAAAAGTCATAAAGGGACTAACCGTGTCTACATTGACATTTTTCTGGCTAATTCTTAGCTTTTTTTGATCAAAAATTTCTTGATCAGTCATGGATAATATAAAAAAATGGCCAAAAATCACTCAACCCGGTGTCAAATATCGGCACAGACCCCTCTAACTGTTTTTAGAAGCTCTAAATTCAATTTCAAGCCAAAAAAAATATAAAAACTCACCCAGATCATTGATATTACGACGTCACCGAGAGAATATAAACAACCATTTACGAATTCTTTTGTAAATTTTTGCTCTCTTATAGAATTACAGGTCTTGCCGACACCATTCCATTTACGAAGCTCCACGAAATTATTGAAGTCAAAAAATTTTACGGCGAGGCGTCTATAGCGACATCTAAAACAATATCAAATTAACGTCAAAATCAAATCAAAAATTTTAATCCCAGCATCGCTTACTGTGCAAAGATAATTTACGAAGTACACCAGCATCAAAAACATGCTCCACAAGGTGTAATACACGCAGATGGAGGCGGTGCAAGGGTTGAAGACATAATTCCAAGTGGCCATTTCAGGGCTGCTTACGGTTTACCTAAAATTTCAAGGAAATAAAATCAAAAACTCCACTTACCACGAGGCGATCGTAGTGCAAAAAACGACTACGAAATGGTAGAAGGCATTGATATGCCCGAAATAGTCGGTCCTGAAAATAGTTCAGGGGTCAATCCAGCTGTTTGAAATCATAAACATAAAAAATTTTGTCAAAATTAGCCAAAATTTTGGCTCAAAACATCAGTTGACCTAAAATAATATAATTTACCTGCAGGGAAGATAGGATTGATTTTTTCGAGTGGGTTGACTCAATTAGTCCCAGTTGATAAACTCAATGGATGAAAACATTGAGGTGAAGATTTGGCCAAGGTGAAGGCCAGTTTACGCTAAAATTTATTTTATTATACTAGCTAACAGCTACATCGGAAAATCCAACAAAAATCTTATGGAAACCTCTAAAAAAATGTAAAAATTTTTTAGAAGAAAGAAGAGGCCATACCTCGCATTTCGGGTTATAAAGAGTGCGATCTGGCTGCATCTCATCCACCAAACCGTCCATTAAGGCGAGTAGTGTCGAGACAATCGACGAATGGATCTGATCTTGTCAGGCGGATGAGCAAATTCATCGCAGTCGAGCTCAGGTGGCAGAAGATGGACGAACTTCTGGCATTTTGATCGGACTTTGTAGCAATAGTCCATCGAGTATGCCTTGAAGTATTGGGACATCTGAAAACAAAAAAAACTGCATCAAATTTCTTGATTTTGACGTTAGATTCGGAAGTTTCCATCTAAACCATGAACAATATAAATTTCAAATCTTACCTTGGGAGGTCCTTTACGGATGAGCGGACGTTGTCATCGCACAAAAGCGATACCAGATTCCACAAATTAAGGGCTCCAGGACCTGCTAACAGCTGAAAAATCGCGATGTTATTCATGACCAAACGAAAAGATCAAAACAAAAAAAGAATAGCCGAAACTTACGTCGGGAATTTCCGAAGCCCGGCCAGATGATGTGGAAAGGGGCTCTTCCACAAGGTGTAGTTGTAGTCCACCATAAAGTTGAAACAGGTGGTGCCATTTGGCCGGACGCAGGTCACCTGTTGCGTTCGTGACTACGTTGCAGTCGTAGGTGCAGATGAAACTTTTGTCCACGCATTTGTGGGCCCAGCTTACGGTCTCACGAACCTAAAAGCATAAGAAATCATATTTGAAAGACTTACCTTTGGGTCTTGTATGAACCCTCCAATATCCTCATTTGAATCCAATATTTCAGTTGCATTTGATGCAAGTGAAAATAACCATAAATTTAAAATAGTCCCGTATGTGAACTGTGCCCGGGACATGGTGGATTCTGCCGAGACACAAGATGGATAAATTTTTGGCATCTTATTCGGACTCCATAGCAATAGTCCATCGAATATGCCTTGAAGTATTGGGACATCTGAAAACAACAGAATTGCATCAAATTTCTAGGTTTTCACGTTGGATTTGGAAGTTTCCATCTAAACCATGAATAATATAAAAATCAAAACTTACCTTCGGAGGTCCTTTACGAAGATTGAACGTTCGCATCGCCGTACAAAAGCGATACCAGGTTCCACAAATCAAAGGGCTCCAGGACCCGCGAGCAGCTGAAAAAATCGCGATATTATTCATGACATCAGATCAAAAACAAAAAATAGCCGAAACTTACGTCGGGAATTTCTGAAGAACAGCGTGATGTTGTGGATTCCACAAGATGAAGGTGTAGTTGTAGTCCACCACAAAATTGGAACAGGTGGTGCCACTTGGCCGGACGCAGTCGTCTCTTACGTTCTCGTGCCCGGTCATATTCAAATTTGTGGGCCCAGCCCCCGCTATTATTACGGGCCTAAACGCGTAAGAGATAATACTTGAAAGACTTACTTTGGATCTGCAAATACGTCCTCGTCCGAACCGACAATTTTTTCATTTGATGCAAGTGAAGAAAAATATAAAATTTCAATGAGCCCATTTATGAACTGAGCTCGAAGTCGATCCAATGAGCATGTGTAAGTTGCAATTCAACTTAATGCAACGAGAAGAAGTTCAAAAACCTTCGCCTTCACGGCAAAAAACATAAATTGCCATCTTCACCATGAGACAACAAAAAAAAATGCGGCCAGAGCGCGCAATCGCGCGCAAGATTGCGCACGCAACCTTCACAACTGCATCAAATGCCCTTTTAGTCCACCTGAAGTCGTTTTTACGCTCACGGCGTTTTCGAAATCACACTGTCGGCGGTTTCGAACGTCCGCTTCGCGGTGCGAAGAATGCGCAGGTTGCAGAAAAAAGTTATACGATGGAACATGTTTCAACAAATAGAAAAATAGTGCCGTAACATCAAAAATGTGATGTAATTGAATTTTAATTGAAATAAAAGAATCAAAAACAACCTTCTTCATCATTTCAGACCAGTAATTACGTCAGAATTCACATAAAAGTTTGTGAAAACTTAGATAACAGTTCATTTGATTACTTACAGGAGAATAGCCCAAGTGCGACGCTCAGATTTTCTTGAAATTTTGCACACATGTCGTACATAACCTAGATATCAATCCCTGAAAGTTTTAGCTCACACTTTGCAGGGAGCGCCGAGATATTCAACGATCTTTGCGGTCGAGAGAGCACGCGAAATGCGGAGAGTCAGAGAGAAAAACACTTTTCGGCTATACCTTTGCCAGTTTCGTGCGGAAAAAAATAATTTCTTGTGGAAATGTTACACACTACGGTAGAAATAGGCATGAAACTTTTGAAGCCGAAAATCGAAAAAAATGTCGCATTTTTTCCAACTTTCGAACTAAAAATCTCGGTGGTTTCTGCAAAACGCGGCTAAATTCTCCACATGTCTCATAAAAAAATTATTCTAAATGTGTGCCAAGTTTTGTCAAAACCTGAGCGTCGCACTTGGGGTACTTGCCTTGTCACAAAATTACGTATAATCTTTCTACAAGGGCTAGAAAAAAACGGGCTTGATTTAAAGATATGAAATTTTGAAGAAGAGGTTTTGATGATAAATTTGAAGACCCGAAGTGAGGGCCATGCCTGTGTAACGATGTTTTTGAAGTCGATTTATATATATATCAAGTTCATCGTATAAAATGTCAACATTAACGTAATACATACATATAAAATTTTTTTCCAATTTCCGGTATATACATGGTACAGAATTATGTATTTGAGATAAGAGAAGAGGCTGGACTAAGCGCCAGGGAAACTTTTAGCCGTGTCCGCCGTGATGTTCACCGCCGCCATGGCCTCCACCGCCTCCATGGCCTCCTCCACCGCCCCCTGGCCCTCCTCCACCTCCATGTCCCCCTCCGCCATCGCCATGGCCTCCGCCTCCACCGCCATGGCCCCCACCACCACCTCCACGGCCTCCGCCACCGCCTCCGCCGCCGCCTCCGCCGATTCCCTCAAGTCGTTCCAGTCCTTGGATTAGTTGGCCAATGCCTCCGAGGCCTCCTTGGCCGCCCATTCCTCCGCCCATGCCATTTCCAAACGCTGAAAATCAAAAAATTTTGGGAAATGTTTAAATATGCAAAATTTTGGCCAAGTTCCTTTAAATATGCAAAAATTTTTGCCCAACGTATTTAAGTATGCAAATTGAAGGCCTCGTAGGCCGCAAGGACAAAAAATTGAGGCCAAGAAGTTTTTAGATATCCCAATTTTGCCCAAAGTATTCGAAAAACATGATTTTTTATCAAAATTTTACTGAATAATGCAAATTTTTCCCTGAAAATTTAAGTTTTCCATGTTTTAACGACTGCTCCAGCCAATATTCATCCCAAATTCAAATTCTTTCGACTTCAAAATCTCTATTTTTACGAAAAATTTCGACTTTTCCTCAAAAAATCGCTTTCAAATTGCCAAAACACTTACAATTCCCGAATCCTCGATTACCATAGTACGGCGGTGGATACGGCGGAGGATATGGGGGTGGTGGTGGGCCACCGAACCATTGAGCTGCTGCCAACGCCAAACACAGCGAATAAACAAGAAGCTTCAACATCGCGGACCTTCAGAAAAGAAGAAACTGAGTGGGTCCGTCTGATTGCTGGACGCTTATTTACATCACTACCTTGTATTGTAAATAAGGAAGTCGCCGGAACTTTTCTCCCCGAATTCGTCCAGGAACTCGGGATGCTGTCATCAAAGAAATTTGAGAATTTTTTTGTAAAATGACGTCATATTTTGATTATGTTTTTCAAACGAAATTGATCGTATTTTAGCTTAATTTAGAGTTAAAATAAGGGTTTTAACAGTATTTTTCAAAGAAATCCAAGCCATTTATTCTGAATTTCAATTTCGAGCCCATTTCCGGCATGATCACTTTTGATACCTTCAAAAAGTATCATGGATCACTTTTGATACTTTTACTCAAAATTATGTTTTTTGAAAGAAAAAAAGCTAAATTTATTCCTTTCCCTCAAAAAAATATATTTTTTCGATGAAAAATTCGCTTTTCTTCAAAAAATTTCCATTACAAGAAAAGTACCGTAGCTGTAAATGCGACGCTCAGATTTTCTTCAAATTTTGCATACATGTCGCACATAAGCTAGATATCAATCCCTGAAAGTTTTAGCTCACACTTTGCAAGAAGCGCCGAGATATTCGACGATCTTTGCGGCCGAGAGAGCGCGCGAAAAGGAGAGCGGTCAGAGAAAAAAAACATTTTTTGGCTATGTCTTTGCCAGTTTCGTGTGGAAAAAAATGATTTTTTGTGGAAATATTACTCTTTATAGTAGAAATAGATATGAAACTTTTCATGCCAAAACTCGCAAAAAAAATTTCATATTTTTGCCAACTTTTGAGTTAGAAATCTCGGTTGTTTCTGCAAAACGCGAGCTAGAAATCGTCTATGAGTCTTAGAAAAAAATATTATTCTAAATTTGCATCAAATTTTATTAAAAAAACTGTCGCACTGTCGTACTTTGAACACCTTTAAATTTTTTTGAAAAAAGTTGTGTCAGTCTGTCGGGAAAATAATGAGCACTCTGTCGCTGTGCCAATCATGTTTCTGAAGTGAAAAGAATCTTGATTTTGTCTCGTCGCAATTCGTTTTCTCGGAATTGATACTATATTTTTGATGCGACGGAGTGCTCATTATTTTCCCGACAGATTGATATTATATACTACATATATCATATACACTGAAAGAAAAAACATCATATATTTTTGATGTTTTTCATCAGTCTATTAGATTTTGATGAAAACATCAAAAAAAGTTTTTTTGATGTTTCGTTTCATCAAAAAGAAAAAAAATGCGATATTTTTTTTGATGTGGGGCACATCAAAAATTTTTGATGTTAGGAAAATCAAATATTTCTGATGGATAATTTATCAAAAAATCATACAACTACTACTATTTACACAATTTATTCGAATAAACCGTTTGGAAAAACACAATTTAAGTCGAATTACAGTCATAGCAAACCTTGACTACGTCGCATTTAACTCCATGGCGCTGATTCAAGTCGACGATTGGAAGAAAGGGTCGGGTCGATTGCGTCGAAGCGGAACAAGGCATTACCACCATCGTTACCGTCGGGTATCCGCATCGCATGGCCTAAAAATCAAACCTAAGTACAATATAAATAACTCACCCGTTTGATGAATTCCGGCTTCTGATCGGTCAAATACTGTCTTTCCATTGGTGATCCAGCGTCTTGACGGCCCAGCTCTACAAATAAACAATATTATTTTGACTATCACCAAGCGCAGCTCACCTTACCGAAAAAACATCATTCCAACTCTTCGACTATTGGCTGTTAGTACTCATGATGAAGATCGTCACGGGGTGATGAATCAGGTCTTTGGCGGGAAAGTCGACATCCACCTGCTTTTCTTCGCAAAACATCAGACACCGGGAGCTAAATTTACATTTTAGACTCCAAATTGGACGCTTTTGTAAACATTTTATTTTATCACCATCACCAAGATACCAAGACGATACCCAAAATAGTTATAGATCTAATCGAAACGGGATCAGGAAGCTCCATAGACCGGATTTAAAAAATCTCTGGACAAAATTTCGGAAAATTTTTGGAATTTTCGACATTTTCCATCACGTATGCCCAAACACCAAGTACAATATAAAAAAAACTCACAATTTAGGTCCGATTAACGCTTGGTTCCTCCGGTATGACTATTTTGTCGTCAAAAACGCTTTCGCGGACTGGATAAACGTACGGGAAGGCGGTATGCTCTTCGTCCAACATACACAAAGCTCAGGTCCAAACCAGCGAAGGCGGATGTTATAACATGTCCAGCAATAAAAAAAAATTAATCTGAATTCCAAGGAATTACATAATTCAGAGACCAAGCTTACCTCAGTCTTCGTTGCGATTTAGAGTATCTGCTTATCGTTGTCGCGCAAATAAGTGATCTAAAAATTAAAGAAAACAACAACAAAACTCGCTTACCTGATCTATAATCCTGACAATCACGACCTTTTACAAGAAATCGACAATTTGTGAGGCATCTTATCGTGTAACAACCGACTTTATAAAAATTCGACAGAGTGAAATTCGACTGATTTCCTTTTTCTCTGTTGTGCGTACGCACATGTGTGTCCTTCCTTTTGAGTTCAATTGGCAAATTGGAATTTGATAAACCCAAACATCAAAAAAGTTTTTTTGATGAAAACATCAAAATTCCAGCTTTTGATGTCGTGGACATCATAAATGCGTGATGTTTTATTTTGATGAATTTGAATTTGATGTTTTTTCTTTCAGTGTACAATATGGTCATAATCATACTTAATTTATCTGTCACTACATATAGTAATTATAATACAATATATGTCCTTCATTAAAATCCAGGAGGTCCATGAGGAGTGCCAACATCAGCGTCCGGGATTCCAGGCGGTCCACGAAGATCGGCGGGAGGCGGTTGCTCTGAAAAAATGAAATTGACGATCAGAAACGTGATGTGTTTTTGTTTGTCAAATAAGTTTCAGGAAGTAATGAAAGCTGAGTGTAACAAGAGCAGACGTCTCCGAGAACGTGACGTAAAACTTGTTGTGGTGAAAAATCAACGAAAAAATAGTGTTATCAGTCTGTCGGGAAAATAATCAACGAGAAAAAATTTCATCGTATAACATGTCACACCTCATTTTTTCAATATCCAAAAATTTTTTTCATCGTATAACATGTCACACCTAGTTTTTCTCAATTTGAAATTTTTTTCATCGTATAACATGTCACACCTAATTTTTTCAATTTCCAAAAATTTTTCATTATATGACATGTCACACCTAATTTTTCTCAACTTGAAAATTTTTTTCATCGTATAACATGTCACACCTAACTTTTTCAATATCCAAAAAACTTTCATCGTATAACATGTCACACCTTATTTTTTCAATTTTCAAAATGAAGGGGAGTGTTCAAAAAGAAGGAAATGGGGAGAGTTTAAAAAAGGGGAGAGTTCGGATTGGCGGAGAGTTCAGAAAAAGAGGAGAGTTCAGCTCCAATCGCATTTTGCAGAGAGAGAGAGCCGATATATTCAAAAAAAAGATCGAGAGAGTGCACCAAAGGCGGAGAGTCAGAGAGAAAAGCGGGTTTTGCCCGTATCTTTGCCAGTTTTGCGCGGAAAAAATTGATTTTTTGTGGAAACATTACCTTCTGCGGTAGAAATAGACGGGCAAAAACAATTCACATTTTTTCCAACTTTTGAGCTAAAAATCTCGGTCGTTTCTACACAGCACAATCTAGGAGTTTCGTATATGTCTCAGAAAAAAATATTCTAAATTTGTGCCAAATTTCGTCCAAATCTAAGCGTCGCACTTGGAGTACTTCCCGTAAGGAAAATTTCTTGAATAAAATTCAATTTTACTTTGAAAAAGTAAATTTTTTAAAGAGAAAATAGAAATTTTTGCTTTTTTCTTCAAAAAATGCAATTTTGGGAAAAAGTATCAAAAGTGATCCATAATACTTTTTAAAGGTATCAAAAGTGATCACGTCGGAAATGGGCTTGAAATTAAAATTCCGAAAAAACGGTTTTGATTTCGTTGAAAAATGTTGTTAGAACTCCTATTTTAAAGGTAAATTAAAAAAAAATACGAGTAATTTCCTTGAAAAAGAATCGTCAAAGTATGACGTCATTTTACAAAAAATTTTTGAATTTCTTTGATGACAGCGCTGTGAGTGTTGCCAAAAAGTAATTTTAAGAGAATTGGCTTCATTTTAGGCGGAATTGATCAACTTTTGTCTTTGATGACAATATATATGGCATAATACCACCATATATGTAGTATTTACATGTATATATATATATATATAGCTTACCCTTAGGCGGCTGTGGCGGTCTTCTGGGCCGTTGTGGCTGCGGCCAACGTCTTGGCGGCGGTGGTGGAGGCGGTGGCCGCGGCGCCTGAGGCCTTGGTTGCAGCGTATTCAACACATTCCCCACAAATCCCAGCAGTTGATCCAGCCCGCCCAACTGCCCCAACTGACCCTGTGGAAACTGGCAAAAGATGTTGCCAATCAAAATAAACGATAAAAAAGTAGTAACAGACAAGTTAACCATGGTTTCCGAGAGTAATCGGGCAACTCTTTCGGGGGTGAAATTGTTTTCACTCTCGTTTTTCACGCAGTTTTAATGTTTGCAACGGACTTTTACTGTTTTTAAGTTAATTTTTATTGCCTTCAAGTGACGCTCATCAAATTGTCGAGTAGTTTTGGGGGTTTAGTTGTAAAACGTGTGGTTTCGGGGAATTAAAACAAAAAGTTTCAAAAAAAATATTGAAAAAAGGAAAAATTTAAATTTTCAAAAAAAGCAATTCTGCCAAAAAATTAAAAATTTTTGCTTCATAAAGTGCATGGACACTTTTTCTCTTACGCACAGTGCACTTTAAACCTTTTCCCACGCTTGTCGCCAACGCACAGTGCATTTCCCTTTCTTCGCACAGTGCAAACTACGAAAAAGCCGTTTGCACTGTGCAAAAAGTGTTTTGAATCGAATGCACTGTGCAAAGCAATTTTTCGCGCTTATCGCAGCGACGAACCAAAATGTGCAAACGCACAGTGCAAAATTATCAGGACTTTTTGTGAACAGAATTTGCACAGTGCAAACGGTTTTTTTGTGGTATGCACTGTGCGAAAAAGGAAAAATGCACTGTGCGTTGGCGACAAGCATGGGAAAAAGTTCAAAATGCACTGTGCGTTGGCGACAAGCGTGGGAAAAAGTTCAGATGCACAGTGCAAACGGTTTTTTTGTGGTTTGCACTGTGCGAAAAAGGAAAAATGCACTGTGCGTTGGCGACAAGCATGGGAAAAAGTTCAGAATGCACTGTGCGAAAAAAGGAAAATGCACTGTGCGTTGGCGACAAGCGTGGGAAAAAGTTCAGATGCACAGTGCAAACGGGTTTTTTGTCTTTTGCACTGTGCGAAAAAAATGCACAGTGCAAAAGCGAGAAGTGTGGGAAAAGGTCAAATGCACTGTGCGAAAAAAGGAAAATGCACTGTGCGTTGGCGACAAGCGTGGGAAAAAGTTCATATGCACAGTGCAAACGGGTTTTTTGTGGTTTGCACTGTGCGAAAAAGGAAAAATGCACTGTGCGTTGGCGACAAGCATGGGAAAAAGTTCAGAATGCACTGTGCGAAAAAAGGAAAATGCACTGTGCGTTGGCGACAAGCGTGGGAAAAAGTTCATATGCACAGTGCAAACGGGTTTTTTGTGGTTTGCACTGTGCGAAAAAGGAAAAATGCACTGTGCGTTGGCGACAAGCGTGGGAAAAAGTTCATATGCACAGTGCAAACGGGTTTTTTGTGGTTTGCACTGTGCGAAAAAGGAAAAATGCACTGTGCGTTGGCGACAAGCGTGGGAAAAAGTTCAGGATGCACTGTGCGAAACGCAGCGCACAGTGCATTTTGTCTCTTTTTGCACTGTGCAATCGTCTGTCGCGTGCAAAAAAAAAAAAAAAAATTTGCGGCGACGCCGTTGAATAAGGCTTACGTCGCGGCGGCAATCGCACAGTGCGAAATTTTTTTGCGACGCAAAAATCATCATACGCACTTAATGAAAACACTAGTATGGCGACACACGGTTTTTCCACAAAAAAAAATAAAAAAAAACCAAAAAAAAACTCCAAAAACATTCAAAATTCTGCACAAAAGTCAAAAAAATCTGCGGGAAATTTTCATTTTCTCTTCCCACTCTCACTTGATCAGTCGGCGCTGAATGGAGCACCAGTCGTCCGCGCAGACCGTGGCGGCGCATCGGCCCGGCGACGCCGCCTCCGTGGAGCTGAATTTGTGCAATTTGAGGCTCTTTTCCTACGGCGTTTACGCCAACGTCTACATCGGGGAGCTGAAGGAGAACGGGAGAACGATCACGGTGGCCGTGAAGAAGTGTTGGAGTGGGTTTGAGATGGGAGTTCTATGTGTTGTAACAGGATTTACACGAGAAGTTAGGCCGTGTTTATTGTTAAATTGAAGTTTTAAAAACCTTTTTTCATAAAGATATAAGCGATTCTTCCTGAATTTTCATTTTAGGCCCATTTCCGGCATGATAACTTTTTATACCTTTCAAAATTATCATGGATCACTTTTGATACTTTTACTAAAAATTCAGTACTTTAATAGAAAAAAGCAAAATTTTTTATTTTCCCTTTAAAAATTCATATTTACTCAAAAAAAATTGCCTCTAAATTTTCAAAAAATCTCAAATTTCCTCCAAAAAATTGATCAAAATGTTGTTCAGATCAAACCGAAGACTGCAAGGAGGTGCGAATCCTGCAAAAGTTGAACCAAACCAAGCCCAAGAACATTGTCAACTTGCTGTATTTGTTTCAGACCCGTTATGGTGAAAAGGTAAATGGGAATTGAGACCGAAGAGGCCCCAAAACGAAGGGGTCCTCAAAAACGAAGAGGCCCCCAAAACGAAGAGGCCCCCAAAACGAAGAGGCCCCAAAAGGAAAAGGCCCCCAAAACGAAGAAGCCCCAAAGCGAAGATGACCCCATAACGAAAAGGCCCCCATAACGAAAAGGCCCCAAAACGAAGAGGCCCCAAAACGAAGAGGCCTCTTTTTTGTAAAAATAAAAAAATTTCAAAATGAAGTGTGGCATTTTGTGCCTTTTATTTTTGGGGTTCTCTTCGGTTGGGGTTTTCTTCGCATTTCTTGTGAAAATGAAAAAAGAGGTCTCTTCGGCTTTTGTGGGGCCTCTTCGCCTTTTTTGGGGAGGGGGTCTCTTCGGATGTTTTGGGGCTTCATCGGACGTTAGGGGTCTCTTCACCTTTGTGGGGAATCTTCGCTTTTCGAGGGCCTCTTCGAACTTTGGAACCTCTTCGCCTTTCTTGGGGTCTTTTCTCTTTTTTTTGGGTCTATTCGGCTTTTTGGGGGCCTCTTCGACTATTGTGGGTTTATCTTAGTTTTGGGGCCTCTTCGCCTGCAACGGAAAGGTCCGGCCCTCTTTGAAAAAACCATTCTAACTTGTTTCGCAGACCTGCTTCTCGTTGGTGATGAACTTTATGCCGATGTCGTTGAGCACGCACATCAAAAAGTTCAAGCCCACGCCGCTCTCGCACCTCGACACCAAACTGTTCACATGGCAAATCTTCAGGGCGCTGCAGTTCCTGCGCAAACATCGCATTATCCATCGCGACCTGAAGCCGCAAAATATCCTACTCGACCCGGGAATAGGGCTGATTCAGGTGGCGGATTACGGTAGTTCGGCGGTAAGTTGGAAAAATTTTTTTTTGATTTTTGTGATTTTTTGAAAACAATGTTATCGGATTTGATGTAGAAATGTAAAATATTTGATTTCATGGAGATTTATTCCATATTTTTTGGCTTTATGTCACTTTAAAATCTCAAAATTAGCAGTATTTTGTCAAAAATTGCCAAATTTTGGCCTTTTTCAGGAAAAATTTGCCTTAATTTTTGTCGCAAATGGGTTAATATTGCTTATCAACAACTCACATGTTGTATTTTATTTTGTTTTTCTTTAATTCAAAAGAGAAATTGGTCAAAATTTTATGACTTTTGGACCTAGTTATAGTGTAATATAAAAATATCAAAATTTTCTTATTTTTCGTCAAAAAAATTGCCATTAAAATTTAGATTGTGTGAAAATGACATGTATTTTACCATTTGGCTATGTTTGTTGGAAAAAAATTTTGAGAAAAATTCGATTTTTTGCAAATTGATTTTTGGTGCCTAGTGTAATATAAAAAGGGCCAAAATTCGAAAATTTTTGCCCAAAAAGACGTAAAAAGCTTGTCGGCTTTTTTGCAGGGCCTTATTGTAGCTGTTGATTCAATCATTTCATTTCGCAGATTGTTGGCGAGCAACGTACGATGTCATCTTACCACGTGACCCGGTACTACCGACCGCCCGAGCTTTTGCTGGGCGCCCACGTTTATGGGATGGAGATTGGTGAGTTTGGCTGCGACTACGGTAATCTTCGACCCTTCCAGATGTGTGGTCGGCGGGCTGCGTGTTCGGCGAGATGCTGAGGGGCCGCACTTTTCTGGCCGGATTAACCACCGACGATCAGCTGTGGGTAGGTGGATTTAAACTCGAAATTCGCGGGTTTTGGATGGATTTTTGAGGAAAAATGTAGAGTAACAAGTAGTAGGTGAAATAAGGAGTATTTTAGAAAATCATCAATACATTTGGAATGCCGTCGGACGTCGAGAAAGTGGCCATGAACATTCGAAAAGTCAAGCTGTTGACGGAACAAAGCGCAAGGAGCGCGGAGAAAGTGTTCAGCAAAAGGGGTGCAAATGGACTCAAGGAGGTTGGAATTTAGATTGCTTGTTAAGAAAGGGAAAAAAGAGTTTTTGCACGGTGAAAAAGTTTTGGGACTGTTCGCACTGTGCAAACGGAAATTTTTTTGTCGCACAGTGCAGGAGCAAGAAATTTTTTGATCGCACGGTGCAAACGGAAATTTTTTTGTCGCACAGTGCAAAACAAATTTCTAGTTTGGTCGCACGGTGCAAACAAAAATTTTTTTGATCGCACTGTGCAAAACAAATTTCTAGTTTGATCGCACAGTGCAGACCAAAATTTTTTGATCGCACTGTGCAAAACAAATTTCTAGTTTGATCGCACAGTGCAGACCAAAATTTTTTGATCGCACAGTGCAAAACAAAATTTTTTTGATCGCACTGTGCAAACCAAACTTTTGTTTGGTCGCACGGTGCAAGACAAAAATTTTTTTGATCGCACAGTGCAGACCAAAATTTTTTTGATCGCACTGTGCAAACCAAACTTTTGTTTGGTCGCACGGTGCAAGAAAAAATTTTTTTTGATCGCACTGTGCAAACCAAATTTTCGTTTGATTGCACGGTGCAAACGAAAGTTTTTTGATCGCACAGTGCAGAAGCAACCAATTTAAAAAAAATTTTTGGCTGCACAGTGCAAAAGCGAGTTCTTTTCGCATTGCGCAAACGAAAAACTTTTTGTCGCACAGTGCAGGATCTGGTTTGATTTTTGCGCACTGTGCGGGGGCAAGATATTTTTGCACAGTGCAAACGAAAACTTTTTTGTCGCACAGTGCAGAAACTAGACCTTTCGTGCACGGTGCAAAATTTTTGAAAACCTTCCGCACTGTGCAAACAGAAATTTTTTGGCTGCACAGTGCAAGGGTAGGATATTTTTGCACAGTGCAAATTTTTTCAATACTAAAAAGCCATCCGCAAAACGCGAATCCCAATTTTTTTCCTCCAGAAACCTAAATTAATACACAGGGTCTTACAAAAAACGTGAAGGAAAGTGGAAGGCTATAACTTCCGGCGGAGGCGGCGCAGAGACTTCGTATTTGGAATGTGTATTTTTAAAAGACATTAGTTTTTGTCTACGAAATAACAAGCTTTTAAAGTGCAAACTGAGGTCGCTATGACCTTCTGAAGTAGAGACATCTCTACCCGAAAACCAGGTCTTTTCGGTTGAAAATGATCGGGTTTCTTGATATAGTCTTTAAGAAAACGTCGAAAAAATTGCAAGTGTTGACACTTTCCTCCTCTTTTTCAACACACCCATATCGAAACCCCCTAAAAAAATCCGACATTTCCTGGTGATTTTCAACCGAAAAAGCCTGGTTTTCGGGGTAGAGATGCCTCTACTTCAGAAGGTCGTAGCGACCTCAGTTTGCACTTTAAGTGCTTGTTATTTTGTAGACAAAAACTAATGTCTTTGAAAAATACATATTTCAAATACGAAGTCTCTGCGCCGCCTCCGCCGGAAGTTATAGCCTTCCACTTTCCTTCACGTTTTTTTGTAAGACCCTGTAGTCTACGTGCTGTTCAGCTGTGTCCCCACGCTCCCGACGACGCACTCAAACTGCTCCAACAAGTGATGGTGTACAGTCCTCAGAAGCGACTTTGTGGCCCGAAATTCCTCGGCGACAAGTACTTTGACGAACTCTTCGACCCCCACACCTTGAGGGAGGGGAAACCAATCACGGTGGTCACGAAAGCGGATCTGGCAATGGCTGTGGCGGGCGACAAATCGAAGGAAGACCTGTCGTCGTTCACTGGAGCCCTCTCAAATTAGTCGGAAGCCGATTTACTGTCTTGAGAAATAAATTGAAGTAAAAATCGTCGGGTTTGTGGCTTTTTTGAGGAAAATTTTGATAAAAAAATAAAAAAATTTTTTTAATGAAATTTCCTAAAATTTTGTCAGAACGCTCTATACAGGCCACAAATCAATCCCTGAAAGTTTTAGTTCACGCTTTTTAGAGAGAGCCGAGATATTCAACGATCTTTGCGGCCGAGAGAGCACGCGAAACGCGGAGAGTCGGAGAAAAACCCCATTTTTCCCCCATATCTTCGCCGTTTCGCGCGGAAAAAATTGATTTTTTGTGGAAACATTTCTCTCTATGGTAGAAATAAATACGAAACTTTTCAAAGCAAAATTCGCAAAAAAAATGTGAAAATTTTTCCAACTTTTGAGCCAAAAATCTCGGTTTTTTCGATAAAAAAATAGCTATAAATTTTGGATATAAGTTTAAAAATCTTAATTTAAATTTGCGCCAAGTTTCATCAAAATCGGAAAAAAATTTTTTTTTTCGAAAAATCTAGAAAAAAAATTTTTTCAATAATCGAAAATAGTGATTCGTCCACCCAAAAGACCAGACTTGACCCGTCTTTTTTCCTGCGATACGCACCTTCCCATCTTTTCCATTCGCCTTTTTATAAGCGAGCCCACAAAGAGAGAGGAAGACTTGACCCGTTTTCGCTGGAAAGTAATCAATTTCCTTCCTTCGGCTCGGAAAAAGAATTCTTTTTGGCGCGGAATTCGCGGGAAAACACACACTTCCCATTCCCTCTTATTGTTAAAAATTTAATTTTTGGCTACGATTTAAACTCTAGTTTAACTTCTTGTTACTTGTTGATAATTGTATTTCTAAGTTATTCCAAAAGCTATTGAAAATCTCAAAAAAATTTGAATTTATTATTTCTACTGGTTGTTGAGAGATTACTACGGTAAAATATTGCAATCTAAAACGTTGTTATGAGTATTTCGGCGTCTCCCGTTTCCTCAGGCCTCTCCACGGAAGATACGACCATTTCTACTGATAACCGCAGCTGGTAAGTGCTTATTGGTAAATTAAAAAAAAAAAAAAAAATTTTTTTTTTTAATTTTTAATTTTTTTCGCACCGTGCATTCGATTTTTTATGCACGGTGCAAAAATTTTCTTTTTGCGACAAATTTTGCACAGTGCAGAAAAAAAAATTTTTTGTTTTGTGGTTGCACTGTGCGTTTGTTTACTTTTTTGGTTGCACTGTGCAAAAAAAGTTTGGAATGCACAGTGCAGAAAAATTGTTTTTGTTTTGTGGTTGCACTGTGCGATTTGTTTACTTTTTTGGTTGCACAGTGCAAAAGAAGCGATTCATTTTCTTCTTGCACAGTGCGAAAAAAAGCTTATCGCGCAAATTTTGCACAGTGCAGAAAAAAGAAGAAATTTTTGTTTTGTGGTTGCACTGTGCGATTTGTTTACTTTTTTGGTTGCACTGTGCAAAAGAAGCGATTTATTTTCTTCTTGCACAGTGCGAAAAAAAAGTTTATCGCGCAAATTTTGCACAGTGCAGAAAAAAATTTTTTGTTTTGTGGTTGCACTGTGCGATTTGTTTACTTTTTGGATTGCACTGTGCAAAAGAAGCGATTCATTTTCTCTTCGCACAGTGCGAAAATAAGTTTATCGCGCAAATTTTGCACAGTGCAAAAAAAAGAAATTTTTGTTTTGTGGTTGCACCGTGCGATTTTTTTACTTTTTCGGTTGCACAGTGCAAAAGCAGCGATTTATTTTCTTCTTGCACAGTGCGAAAAAAGTTTATCGCGAAATTTTGCACAGCGCAGAAAAAAAGAAATTTTGTTTTGTGCTTGCACTGTGCGATTTGTTCACTTTTTGCTTGCACAGTGCAAAAGAAGCGATTCATTTTCTCTTCGCACAGTGCGAAAAAAAAGTTTATCGCGCAAAGTTTGCACAGTGCAAAAAAATTTTTTTTTGTTTTGTGGTTGCACTGTGCGATTTGTTTACTTTTTTCGGTTGCACAGTGCAAAAAAAATTTTTTTCTGTAATTCCATTTTGCACTGTGCAAAAAAAGTTTGGAATGCACTGTGCAAAAAAGCGATGTTCTTCCCGCACAGTGCGAAAAAAATTTTATCGCGAAATTTTGCACAGTGCAAAAAAAATTTTTTTATTTTGCGTTTGCACTGTGCGATTTTTTTACTTTTTCGGTTGCACAGTGCAAAAAATTTTTTTGTAGAAGACGTTTTCAAAAAATTTTGAACGTCTATTTTCGTCTATTACAGTACTCCCACCCTCTCCGAGCGTTCATTATCACTGGAATCATTGGTCTCGCTCGAGGAGGATGATCTGGAGCCCGTGCCTTCGCCGATTCGGAAGCGAAAATTGGACAATCTGTTGGAGAACGTCGAAGTTTGCGCGAAAAAACCGAAATTCGCCAACGACAAGGAAAGACTGATCATGTATGCACAGCTGAGTAAGTCACGATCTTTTTTACGAGATTTTTTGGTCAAAACACGATATTTTTTTGGTTTTTCTTTGCAAATTATACGGATTTCAAAAGTCAAACTGAACGTAGCGATCCTATAAAATTTAAAAAGCTAAATTTTACAATTCTCCGCCAGATTTTAGAGATTTTTTGTTTTGCAGGCTGCGAGTGCCAAATTATACGATAAGTCTGAAAGTGATTTTTTCAGCTGTATATTGCAATAAAAAGTAATTTGGCCTGCATCTTACACTTTATACTATATATGAAACGTTTTGAAAAAAAAATGGTTTCATTTTATACGATGAAACCTGCTGCGAGAAATAAAATTGAAATAAGTCGCGAGCTGCGCCCTAAATCACCTGTGATGCATAAAATAAATTATAATGAGGTTATACGGGTATAATACATCGTTTTCCACCTTTGCCATTTTATACGATCAAACGTATGCAACGTTTTTTGGAAAAATTAATTTCGCGAGCTGCGCCCTACAAGGTGACTTTAAAATTGAAGAAAAACTTATTTCAAGCTCTGCAAAATACGGTTAAAACCCATTTTTCGTTTTTAGTCAACAACTGGTACTCCGAAATCACCTGGCAAATCGAGAGGTTCGGCGAGAAGTACGAAGTGCCGGACCTCCATTTGCCCAAGGCCCTGGAATGCAACGCCATGGCCAATGCGCTGCCCTCCTACTCGATCAACCCCATTTGCCCGTCGAATTGTTGGAGGTCGCGGAAGAACGCGCAATGGATCCATTTCGAGAAGATTATCAACGAATTGGTGGATCAGCGAAGAATCGAGCTGAATAAACAACAAGCGGCTGCTATTAATGTAAGGGTTTGGGGGTAGTTGGGGTGGCAAAAGAATTTTACAGCTCAGAGATATCGTATTTTACAAATTTAGTTGAAAAATCGGTAGAGAATTTTGAAATTTCGCCAAAAAATTGACATTTTTCGATTTTTTTTGGACTTGGTCCAATTTAAACGCTGATATCTCGCTGATTTCTGAACTACAGTGTCTCAAACTGTTCCTAGTATCTAAAGAGCATGCATTCTTTCTATTGAGACAGTTTTATCCATATCTGTTTCTAAAATGTTGCGGTTTTTTGAGTTGACATTAGACTTGATGTCTACTACAATATACCTCCGAGATCTCCGCGAAACCTCCTCTGAATTACAAGATCTCTCGGTTGCTAATAGCTTATTCTTCTAGCAGCATTTTAAGACTAAATTTTCATCTATTCATCAAGCCCCTTTTGTATAGCAAACCGATTTTCCCGACCCCCCACCTTTATGGCAAGTACAATATATAGGTTGATGCAAAAGGAATTGCGGATTTTTTAATTTATTCGTATTTTTTTATAGGATAGCTCAATTCAAAAATGGAAAAAGGTATATAGTAGTAAATTTTAAGAGGATTTTTCTGTATATGTGCTATTCTTATGAAAGTTATCAAACGTTACCATAAGTTACCACGAAAGTACCCTAAACATGTTAGTATATTTTAAACCAATTTTTTTACATATTGTTTTGCGGCTTTATCCATTTTTGAAAATATTTTGATAAAATACGTTATATTCTATCAAAAAACAAAAAAAAACCCCCATTTTTGGCAAAGCGTTAAAACGCTATCCCAAAAATTCAAATTTCAGCAAATTTTACAAATCGTGTCATATCTTTTTTTAATAAGTCCAAAATAAAAAATTCTTTTTGCTTTCGATTAGTAACAACATTTTTAAGATTTTTGTGACAAAAAACATCAAAATCAAAAAAATTTATTTTTTTGACATTTTTTGACCAAAAAATTAAATTCAAGATTTTGATGTCTTTTTTTCACGAAAGCCTTAAAAATGTTGTTACTAATCGAAAGCAAAAAGAATTTTTTATTTTGGACTTATTAAAAAAAAGATATGACACGATTTGTAAAATTTGCTGAAATTTGAATTTTTGGGATAGCGTTTTAACGCTTTGCCAAAAATGGGGGTTTTTTTTTGTTTTTTGATAGAATATAACGTATTTTATCAAAATATTTTCAAAAATGGATAAAGCCGCAAAACAATATGTAAAAAAATTGGTTTAAAATATACTAACATGTTTAGGGTACTTTCGTGGTAACTTATGGCAACGTTTGATAACTTTCATAAGAATAGCACATATACAGAAAAAATCCTCTTAAAATTTACTACTATATACCTTTTTCCATTTTTGAATTGAGCTATCCTATAAAAAAATACGAATAAATTAAAAAATCCGCAATTCCTTTTGCATCAACCTAATAAATCTATCGCTGAAACGATTGCAGATCAAAAAAGTGCTTCACGAAGACGACTGTGAGACCTGCGATGACCTGCAATTCCTCCTCTATCAACGTGCAATGGACGTTTGGCGACGTGTTCAGACGCGGGCCCGAAAACTGAAAGACGTCAGTCAGCACAAGTTCAGTTGGGTAAAATCGACCGAAAAGAACCTGGAGCTGGCCGTTTTTCCGATTCAAGAGTATGGCCAATTGGCCTGTGAGACTCCACCGCTCCCCTATGTCCATCGGTTCCGCGAGTTTCACGCCAATTGGGAATGAGGATGAGATTATTTTATTATATTGTACATGTGATTTGAGGTCAATTTTTTATGAGTAAACCGATGAATCTGCGAGTGGAATTTGATCGGAAATTGTGTATAGTAAAGATAATGCTATGTAGGAGGGTAATTTGGGATTTTTTGAGAGAAAAAATTGCAAAAAATCTCGATTTTTTTGACTTCAAAATCTTGCAAGTACTCCAACTAAGATGCTCAGATTTTCTTCAAATTTTGCACAGATGTCGTACATAAGCTAGATATCAATCTCTGAAAATTTTAGCTCCCATTTTGCACGGAGAGCCGAGATATTCAACGGTCTTTGTGGCCGAGAGAGCGCGCGGAATGCGGAGAGTCAGAGAAAAAAAAAGATTTTTTGACTATAACTTGGCCAGTTTCGCTCGGAAAAAATTGATTTCTTGTGGAAACATTACTCTCTATAGTAGAAATAACTATGCAACTTTTCGTAACGAAATTCGCAAAAAAATTTCATATTTTTCCCCAACTTTCGATCTAAAAATCTTGGTCATTTCTGCAAAGCGCGAGCTAGAATTCTCACATATCTCTTAGAAAAGCTTATTCTAAATTTGCGCCAAGTTTTATCAAAATCTGAGCGTCGCACTTGGAGTTATAGGGAATTTTATTTCTCTCTCGCGTTTAACGCAGCGAGTCATTTCTCTCTCTTCGGAAAAGCGGAAAAGGTTTTTTTCGTATTATTTTTTCTTTCGTCACTTGTTTTCCTCGTCTCAGAAAATTTATTTTTCCACCCTTTTCAAAGTTTTGACCAACTCATTTTTTATTTCGAAAAAAAAAATTTACAAAAATTGTCAAAAATCCCTCGATTTTTCAGCGATCGCTGCAGCCGGAGATGACGTTATAAAAAGCGATTTCAACTTTTAATCTATTAATTAGACCTCAACAAGATCGCTCGTACATATGATCAACAAAGTCGAGTTGGATTACTGTAAGTTTTGGGCGATTTTTGAACGCCCAACTTTCGAAAAAAATCGGCAAAATTTTTTTCGCTTCAAAATCTTTTTGTTGTCTGAAAAAGCCTTCAAAATGAGCGAATATCAAGTCTGACGTGTATTTCCATATCAGTCACGTGTGTTGCAGATGCTGGTTTGGTTCCTTCTGCTGCTACGAATCGCAAATGCCTCGAGATTTCCGTTCGACTGGTCGAATTTCGACAAATATTACGGGCCTTTGGGACAGGAGCAGCTGAAGATCAGCAAGGATGAGGCGACGAGGATGTTTTACTATGGCTATGAGAACTACATGAAGCACGCGTTCCCCATGGATGAGCTGGATCCGATTCACTGTGTGGGAAGGGGACATGATTATGACAATCCGTGAGTTGTCTTATTTTGGGATTTTTTGGTTTTTAGATAGTAATTTAAGCCCTCTATCATAGCCGGGGAACAAAAAGTTTGTTGATGGTTCAAGAAATTTGTCTTGAAAGCTCAAATTTTCATAATTTTTTGACAAAATCTCGGAGATTTTTCGAAAAAATAGTTTATTATGGACAGCCGCCCGTTTAAATCAACTCTGAGTTTAGTCTGCTGTAAACTACAGAGCCCGCTGCTTTTTATACCACCAAAATTTTTTTGAGGTCACAAAAATGAAGGTTGCTACATCAAGTTGAAAAAATGGGCAATTTTTATTGGAAGCTCCGTAAATTTTGGTTTATTTCTAAGCCCTGAGGCAATTTAATCGAAATAAAAAAATTAGTCGTTATTGAGGATACATTAGGCTTCAATTTGAGATAAATTTCACTTCCTTGCCTCAGGGGATTTTTGAGAAATTGAAAGTTAAAGATGAAATGGCGGGTGACCCGGAACGCTTGTATAAAAATTCATTTATCTTCAAGACCTAAGGCAATATAAACAAAATCAACAAATTGCATATCATTCAGCATACATCAAGCTTCAAATCGAGACAAATTTCACTTAATTGCCTTAGGGGATTTTTGAGAAATTCAAAGTTAAAAATGAAATGGCGGCTGACCCGGAAGTCCTATGTAAAAATCACTTTATTCCAAAGCCCTGAGAGAATATAGACTAAAATTAAAAGCTTTATGTTATTCAGCATGTCCTAGGCTTCAAATTAAACCATATTTTGTTTCCTTGCCTCAAGGTATTTTTATCAAATTCAAGGTTGAAAATGACCCCAACCTCAAAAAAAGTATTTTTTAAAGAAGTTGTAAAAGAACCGTATTTTACAATGTGCCTTAGGGACAACATCAACATCAATGATGCTCTCGGCGACTTCTCACTGACCCTGGTGGACTCCCTCAATACCTTGGCCATCATGGGAAACAAGTCGGAGTTTCATCGAGCCGTCAACTTGGTCATCGAAAACGTCCATTTCGACAAAAATGTCACGGTTCAAGTGTTTGAGACGACTATCAGGTGGGTTCGCCAAACATAGAACCGAATTTTTGCTCTGCACAGTGCGCTCGGCTTTCTTTTTTGGCGCGAAATTGTATGCACAGTGCGAAAAAGGCGAAGAGTTTTTTGCACCGTGCAGAAAAAAAGTCTTGGAAAAGCGCACCGTGCAGCGGAGAAATCGCAAACCACCAGCGATGAAGTTTGGAAAAGTTTGCACCGTGCAAAAATTTTTGCACTGTGCGGTTAAAAAAAACTTGTCGCTCTTGCACTGTGCAATCAGGAAATTGTCGCAATTTTTGCACTGTGCAAAAATTATCTCGCTCCTGCACTGTGCGAGGCAAACATTTTTTGTTTGCACCGTGCGAAAAATGTTTTTCTTCTGCACTGTGCGGTCAAAAAAAAATTTGTCGCTCTTGCACTGTGCAATCAAAAATTTTCGCACAGTGCGGAACAACGTCGCAAATTTTGCACTGTGCAAAAAAATGTCTGCACTGTGCGGTCAAAAAAATTGTCGCTCTTGCACTGTGAAATCAAAAAATTTTTGTTTGCACAGTGCGAAAGACCTTCGAAAATTTTGCACTGTGCAAAAAAATGTCTGCACTGTGCGGTCAAAAAAACTTGTCGCTCTTGCACTGTGCAATCAAAAAATTTTGTTTGCACAGTGCGGAAGACTTATGAAAAATTTGCACTGTGCAAAAAAAATGTCTGCACTGTGCGGTCCAAAAAACGTTTTGCACAGTGCGGAAAATTTATTCATTTTTTCGCACTGTGCAATAAAAACAAAACTTTTTTTTGACGGATGTGAATTAAAAAAAAATCAATATAGAATTAAATTCCAGGATGATTGGAAGTCTCTTATCCACCCATCTTATCCTTCGCGGCGAGTTAAAAGCGTTTGAAGATTACAAAATGCCCGGTTATGACGATGAATTGCTCAGTATGGCCCATGATCTGGCCAATCGATTGTTGCCGGCGTTTGAGGGCACCGGAACCGGTCTTCCGTTCCCGAGGGTCAATTTGAAGCATGGGGTTTTGCGTGGGACCATCAATGAGACTTGCACTGCTGGTAAGGAGAGGACAAAAATTGATTGATTACTGTACTTTTGCAGTGATTTTTATTGAAACCGGAATTTTATATATTGTATTTTACCTTATTTTTGCTTTATTTAAAATTTCGGAGAGTTTGGATGAGATTTTTATATTATACTTGGTCCTTGGTGACATCAAGTTCAAGTGTAATATAGTCTTTACTTATGAGGAAAAAAAGCATTCGGAAGTTTTTAGCCTCATTAAAACATTTTCACATGATCTTACCGACTTTTCTGGCCATTTTTTGACCTTGAAACATAATGCCAAAATTGGCGGGAATTTGAAATTTCAAAATTTTATCAAAAATTTAACGACATTCAGGGGTTTTTAGCCTCATTACAACATTTCCTCATGATTCTATCGACTTTTATGGTCATTTTTCGACTTTGAAACATAATGCCAAAATTGGCGGGAATTTAAAATTTTGACCAGAAATTTAGCTCAAAACATGTTCAAATTCAATTTTCAGGAGCCGGCTCCCTCCTTCTTGAATTTGGCGTGCTCTCGCGACTCGTAAACGACGATTTGTTCGAGAGGTTGGCCAGAAAGGTGGTCCGAACCTTATGGAGCTATCGCGACAAGGACACCGGATTGCTCGGGAATGTAATCGACATCCAAAACGGCCGATGGAGAGGAGTGCTCAGTGGACTCGGCGCTGGTCTGGATTCGTTCTACGAGTACTTGCTGAAGGCCTACATAATGTTTGGAGATCAGAGGTGAGCAATTGGCTAGTGTAATATAAATTGATGCGATTGGGGCGGTCAAATTTTCATGAAACTTACTACACATATTGATTATGAATTTTTGAGACATTTGCGAGACTTTGAGGGAAAAAATGAGATTTTTTGATCGAAAATTTTTTTAAAAAATCGAAAATTTTTTTTTGAAACTGTCGAAGTAAAAAGTTGAGGTTGTGTTTGTAATGCAAGGTAACATCTTTCTACAAAAAAATCATTTTTTTCCCTTGTTCGCAAAGATACAGCCAAAAAAGGGTATTTTCTCTGACCGTCTCTTCATTTTCCGTACTCTCTCTTCCGAAAAGATCGTTCGATATCTCGGCTCTCCATGCAAAGAGTTGGATAAAATTTCCAGAGACTCATACATTGTCTATGCAGAGTATACAGCCAAAATTTGAAGAATATCTGAGCACCATATCTGGGGTAATTCGAGAAATTTCATAAATTTCAAATTTTTTGATCTCCTTCAATTTCCAACGAGAAAAAGACTTTTCAAACCCTCCATTTTCAGAGACCTGGAGATGTTCGTTCAAGCCAAGACCGCCATCGAGTTGAATGTTCGTCGAGGACGGCCGAAATGTCGGTTCGGCGATGGCAATCCCCCATTTTATGCGAATGTGGATATGAGAGATGGGACCCTGCTGAACACCTGGATAGACTCGCTGAGTGCGAGCTATGCGGGCGTTCAGACGTTGGCCGGCGATCTAGACGATGCGATTTGCCTGCATGCCTTCTTTTATGCCCTCTGGCGAAAGTACGACATGCTTCCGGAACGGTACAACTGGAGGTCACAGTAAGCGGAAATTTTGATTTTTTAGCTTTTTAACGATTCAAATTTTACAGATTATGTGTTTAGATGTGATTAAAAAAGACCAAAAAAGGTTTTGTGACATTTTAAAATTTTCGAAAATTCAAATTCCCGCAATTTTTGGCATTATGTTTTAATGGTCGCTATAGCGAGATGGGTCGGTAAGACACGTTTCTACGGTCCAAATTTACAGCTTCTATTTCCTAGTGTGACTAAAAAAGGCTTTGTGACATTTTAAAACATTTGAAAATTCAAATTCCCGCTATTTTTGGCATTGTGTTCTAATGGTCGGTATAGCGAGATAGGTCGGTAAAATACATTTTCTAGAGCCCAACTTCACAGGTTATATCTCCAAATGTGACTATGAGCGTTTCTGTGAACTTTTAAAATTTTCGAAATTTCAAATTCCCGCCATTTTTGGCATTATGTTCTAATGGTCGCTATAGCGAGATAGGTCGGTAAAATACGACTTTTATAGTCCAAATTTACATATTATATCTCTAAATGAGACTAAAAAAGGTTTTGTGACATTTTAAAATTTTCGAAAATTCAAATTCCCGCCATTTTTGGCATTGTGTTCTAATGGTCTCTATAGAGAGATAGGTCGGTAAAATACGACTTTTAGGGTCCAAATTTACATATTATATCTCTAAATGAGACTAAAAAAGGTTTTGTGACATTTTAAAATTTTCGAAAATTCAAATTCCCGCCATTTTTGGCATTGTATTCTAATGGTCGCTATAGCGAGGTACGTCGGTAAAATACGTTTTGCATTGAAACCCAAGCGGTAATAAGAAGTTTTAAGCGCGAAATTCATATTTGGATCCATCTATAAACCTTTTTAGGTCTGAAATTATATTATCCATGACACTTTTTGATGATTTTTTTCAAAATCAGTTCCTTAGACAGTATACAATGTTCTGTATTTACTTCTAAATAAATTAAAAACTATCTTAAATACCGTTGAAGCTAAAATTTTAGGTCTATTTGCGTTTTTTGTATCAAAAATTATATTATCCATCAAATCTTTTGGCCATTTCAACCCCAAAACTTTTCAATTTCAGAGAGCCGGACGTCAAGTTCTACCCCTTACGTCCAGAATTCATCGAATCCACGTATTATCTTTGGCTCGCCACCAAGTCTCCGTTCTATCAGCACGTCGGAATGGAGGTGATGGATAGTATAAACAGACACACACGGGTCATTTGCGGGTTCGCCACTGTGCATGACGTGCTGGATAAGAGTTTGGAGGACCGAATGGAGTCGTTCTTCCTTTCGGAGACTTGTAAATACCTTTATTTGGTGAGTTAAGGTGAAAATCGGCGCTAGAACAGAATGAAAAAATGGCGGGAATTTGAATTTCTTAGTCTGATAGGTTGGGGAGACACTATAAATGACAAATTAGGAGTTTAAACAGTGTTTATTTAGTTGTTCCAGCTGTTATGGGCTATTTCCGACACTTCGAACAGAATGCCAAAAATGGCGGGAATTCGAATCTCATATTCTGATAAGTGCGGGCAAACACTATAAATGACAAATTAGGAGTTTAAACAGTGTTTACTTGACTGCTGCAGAAGTTATCAGATATTCGCGACGCTTAAAACAGAATGCCAAAAATGGCGGGAATTTGAATTTCTAAGTCTGATAGGGCCGGTAAAACATTATAAATGATAAATTATGAGTTTAAACAGTGCTTACCTGACTGTTCCAACAGTTATCGGCCATTTCCGACACTTGAAACAGAATGCCAAAAATGGCGGGAATTTGAATTTTTGAAGAGTAAATAGCTTCAAACTTGGAATTAAGCTTCTTGATACACCTAGTAATAAGCTAGAATATTTGAAATAGATTTATATTAAAAAATTGGGCTTGTTTGAACAATTATTCTCATCGTCTACTCTATTGCCATGTATAATATAATTTTTTGGCAGAAAAAAGTATTTTAGGTCGTCTAAAGCCATATTATTCCCTCATATGCCTTCTAACCTTAATATCTTTCAGTTATTCGACGAGAACAACCCGGTGAACCTGCACAACGAGCGTCTCATCTTCTCCACTGAAGGTCATGTCTTTCCGATCTCCGAAAAGTTCCAGCGGCATTCGGAGGACCTTTTCGGTGATCGATTCACTCTGAATTCGAACGGAGAACTGATCGAGAAGTTCTCGTTGTATGCGGCCAACGAATCGTGCGAGACTCCGAATCCGACGGATCGAATCTTCTCGCCGTTGGCGTCGAACCATTTCGAAGAGTTTTTCAGAGCCGTAGGCTTCGATACAAGGACGATGGAGCTGTTTGAGGATGTCTACAGCTAAGTTTAATCCATAACGCAGCTGCGATTTTCAATTCTGGTCGGGTTATTTAGCAGGAACATGTTGTTTTATCTGTTTCAAAATTTAGTCACTCTAGTGTCATGTATAATATAATTTCTCAAAAATTACTCGCCCAATTTCGCTGAAATTTGGCATTGGTGAAGTATAGAGTATATTTCGATTTTCTAGAAAATTTCACATCGCGTTCTGCAGAATCAGCAGAGTTACAAAGATTTTTATTCAAAAAGTCATCAGTTTCAAATATTCCCTCAAAAAACCAATTTTCCCGATCAAAAATACAAAAGCAACACTTCCATTTAGCATATCTAGCCAAATTCTTTTATAGTACATCGAAAATTGTCTAGGATTCCACTAGATCCAGCAGATATTACCGTATTTTACATTAGATTATATTGTACTAGATCGATTTCAATTCAAACCGGTGAATTTGTCCGCGATCCACCTCTCTCGCTCTTTCTCTATCCCTGACCTTGTGATTCGACCACATTTACGTCATATCAAACTTCTATCACATATCTATGTTGTTATTTATTTGGATAAATAAATGTTGACCTGAGTTGAATATTTTGAAGGTTTCCGTACAAGTTTGGAGCGATAAATGAAAGTTTTGGATGTAAAAAGACATAAAAAGGATCAAAAAGCCATAAGCAGTTGTTTTGTGGTGGATTTGAAAATTTGAACTCAAAATTCCCGCCATTTTTGGCATTGTGTTTTAGGGCTCTGAAAAGCATTAAAATGGCTATAAGATCGCATATGAAGATACTACGGTAATTTTTGTACCTGCTGGCCCACAAACAAATTCATTTTGAGCCTCTTTGGCACCAAAATTATACTCACCATGAGGATTTTTGGTGTTTTTGTCCCAAATCTCTTGTTCAACCCGATTTAACTGATAAAAAACAACTGCTTATGACTTATCATAGTAGATACAATAATTTAGACACAAAAAGCATTCGAAAATTTCCTGAAAATCAAGATTTTTTGGCAAATTTCACTGGCAAAGACCTGATGCGAAAAAAAGGCGTCGTATTTCACAAATCTTTGAGAAAGTTGATCAATAATCGATTAAATTCCACGGCCGTACTGCCTAGATGACAAAAATGACGACCGTTCTCGATAATCTTCTCATCGCAATTCTCGAATCGCTTGAAAACCGCGGCCGAATTCGGCCCAAGACTCGTGTCCAGCTCGCCACGAACCAGCAGAGTTTTTGGCAGTGGCTTGGACAGATTGAGCGCTTCGGCATCAGAGAGAGCAATGGCTATGAGGCCTGAAAATGGACGATTTATATTTGAAATTGATCAAAATTGCCATGGATACATATTAGGTCGAAAATATGATTGATATTGTATGCAATTTGATGATTTAGACCGTCAAGAGCACAGAAAAAAGATATTTTGCATTCGTTTTCCTTTTTAAAATTGAAAATTCGGGAAAAATTATATTATACTTGACATCAGATGTTCTGATGCCAAAAAGCTAGCAAAAAAGTGAAAACATTGAGTTGATAGTTATTTATATAGACGTATTAAGACTTCTAGTTTGTTTCCGCACCTATTCCGAGGAAAATTGAGCAATTTACAAACCTAAAATTTGAATTTCCCGCAATTTTTGGCATTCTGTTCTAACGATTGTCAATGGTATAAAATCCCTAAAATACCTTCTAAATGGAAGATTGAGCAGTGTTCAGGCAAAAATTTTTTATTTTTGCCCATGGATATCTAATTTGGACATGAAATTTATTAGGTCGTCCAGAAAGTTGGTTCGTTTTTTTTCATTGCTTTGTTTTACAAGGATTGTTTGTTCTTTGGCAAATGGAATATATTTACTTGATACAGCGTTTTCCCCTTTACAAAACTGGCTGTATCAAATATACATACACTCTTTGTCAAGCAACAAACAATCCTCGTAAAACAAAGCAATGAAAAAAACGAACGAACTTTCTGGACGTCCTAATAAATTTGATGTCAAAATTAGATGTCCATAGACAAAATAAAAAATTTTTGCCTTAAAACTGCTCAATTTTCCATTTAGGCGGTATTTTAGACATTTTATACCATTCGCAATCGTTAGAACAGAATGCCAAAAATTGCGGGAAATTCAAATTTTAGGTTTAGAAACCGCTCAATTTGCCTCGGAATGGATGCGAAAACAAACTAAAAGCCTTAATACGTCTATATACATAACTACCAACCCAATATTTTCACGTTTTTGCAATGTTTTTGACATCAGAACATCTGGTGTCAAGTATAATATAATTTTTCCTCAATTTTCAATTTTTAAAAGGAAAACAAGTCCAAAATATCTTTCTCTATGCTCTTGACGGTCTAGATCATCAAATTGCATACAATATCAATCATATTTTCGACCTCATCTACTCTAATTTCGACTTCCGCCCCCTCACCTTTGATGTTCACCCCTCGAACGGCCGGCAAATTCAACAACGGCACAATGTATTGCCCGGCCATGGACGCGCCGCACACCACGATATTCTCTTGCCCAAATTCGGAGCAAATTATTTGCAAAAATTGGGCGAAACTTTCGGATTTTTCGGCATTCTCCAAACTCGGCCCCGTACTCTGCCCATGGCCCGGCAAGTCCAGGGCGACGAAATTGAAGTCATTCGAGGATAATGTCCTCAGAGTGTCGTTCTCCGACCATATTGAAGAGTTGTTGATCTGAAAATTTAAGTTGCAAATTTTGATGTCGTCAAGAGACTAAAATAAGGTAAATTTATGGTGTCAGCGTCAAATTTTCCATGTTTTGAGGTGCCCATCAAAAAGGAGAGGTCATATTTTACTTATTTGATTTGTCAAAAGCTTCAAAATCACAGAGATTTTAAACAAATTTGCTTTTTCGCCCATTGCACAGTGCGAAGAATTGAGAAATTCGCACGGTGCAAAAGAGAAAAACTGCTTTCAAATTTTTGTTCCCCTTTGGTCCGTAATAAGCCAAAAATTTTTATTAGTACTTTCATAAAGTGCATGGACATTTTTTCGCATTCGCACAGTGCAAAAACCAAAAAAGCCTTTTGCACAGTGCATCTTGAACCTTTCCCATGCTTGTCGCCAACGCACAGTGCAAAGTTCAAGAAAGTGAAATGCACAGTGCATTTTGAATTTTTTCCCACGCTTGTCGCCAACGCACAGTGCATTTTTTTCTTTTCGCACAGTGCAAATTTCCCTTTTCGCACAGTGCAAACTTCAAAAAAAACCGTTTGCACAGTGCATCTTGAACCTTTTCCCATGCTCGTCGCCAGCGCACGGTGCATTTTTCCTTTTCATACCGCACAGTGCAAATTTCAAAAAAGCCGTTGCACAGTGCATGAAAAGTGAGATGCACGGTGCAAGATGGGGGTTTTTGTGCACAGTGCAGGGCGCGACAAATTTCCATGCACTTTATGAAAACACTAACATCCGGATTCTACTCTTGCTTCAACATTCACTTTGATTTTGGCTTCTAAACCCGGAAACAGACAAAAAAAATCGGTTTACTTACTTGATCATGCACCAACACGACTAAAGGCAAGTTTCGTCGCCCACTTCGACTGCTCAAGTAAAAAATCCGTTGCTCTAAAACCTGTAAAAACGTCGAGTCAGTCTTGAAATGGTCGATTTCACTGCGAATCTCGGCGATTGTCTTCTCCAATTCCTCTTCGTTGATGGCGTTCGAGTCTCGTTGTTGAAACATGGTCGTATTTTCGCTGTCCGCTTTTCGTATTTACATCTACAGACAATAAAAGTGTTTATGAAGGCGGCAAGAGTTGAGGGCTCAAGGATTTTTGGAGAAAAATATATTACACTAGGCATACGAATAAAAATGGCCAGAAATGAGTAAAATAATTAATTCGAACGAGCAAAAATAGTATTAGTCGAAAGATTACAGTCTCCTACAACTTTTTACATCAAAAATTTTCAGTTTCTGACCAAAAATTATATTACACTAGGTATGAGATTTCTAAAAAAGGCTGAAAATGTAGAAAATCTTTGTTCCAAACGGGGAAAATACCATTATTTTGAATATTAAAGTCTCCTCTAACTTTTTACATCAAAATTTTTCAATTTCAGACCAAAAATTATATTACACTAGGCACCTGATAACAAAAAATTGTCAAAAATATGGAAAATTTTTGCTTCAAAAAAGAAAAAATATTATTACTCGTAAGATTAACGTCTCCTCTAACTTTTTACATCAAAATTTTTCAATTTCTGACCAAAAATTATATTACACTAGGCACCTGATAATAAAAAATGGTTTAAAAATATGTCCCAAAAACACTATAATAACATAAAAAAAACAGTAAACTTACTAATTTACAAAAATTTGCCAGTTTTTATAGCAGAATAGTGTTTATAGTCGGAAATTGCTCGAAAAGAGGTCAAAAAATGGTCAAAAGTCCATTTTTCGGAGGGAAACGATCGAAATGTCGCTCTCCGAGGATCGATAGCTCTCTTCTGCGAGCTCTTTTTATGCTCCCTTTACTTTTTGACTCGCCGCGGCGAGCGTTTTAATTAGAAAAATGCAAAAAAATTGTATTGATTTATCGAGTTTTGCACCGTGCAAAAATAAAAAAAAATTATCAAAAAAAAGCGAAATTTTTTTTGAAAAAAAAGTGTAAAACGTGTAAAACCAATGTTAGAACTCAAAATGCAACAAATTTTGTGCAAAAATTGGGGCAAACAAACAATTTTTGATCATTTTTTCTTCAGAAACATCAAAAAATCTCGTTTTTCCATAAAAAATCACTGATTTTTATTGCTAAATCACTCAATTAGAGTGGAAACGTCTTTAAAATACGATTTAAACCACTTTAATCCAAAGATTTTCCACATTTTTTGGCAATTTTTAGTTATCAAGTGCCTAGTGTAATATAAATTTTTGTTCATAAATTGAAAAATTCTGATGTAAAAAGTTAGAGGAGGCTGTAATCTTCCAAATAATGCTATTTTTCTCCGCTTGGAACAAAGATTTTCTACATTTTCAGTCTTTTTTGATACCTAGTGTAATATAAATTTTTGTTCATAAATTGAAAAATTTTAATGTAAAAAGTTAGAGGAGACTGTAATCTTCCAAATAATGCTATTTTTCCCCGCTTGGAACAAAGATTTTCCACATTTTGAGCCTTTTTTAGAAATCTGATAGCTAGTGTAATATAATTTTGGTTCCAAAACCGATTATTTTTAGATTTACTAGTTAAATTATACCATAGTCTTACAGAAAAATACTATTTTCTCTTTTGACAATGGAAGATTTCCACATTTTTGGCCATTTTTCGTCATCAGATGCCTAGTGTAATATAATTTTCTGTCGTTTTCTCTAAAAATCTTTGAGTCTAGAACCCGGAATGCCTTTATAATGGCTTTTACTATGTTGTGAAGTAAATACAAGCAGCGAAAAATAAAAATTCGGAGATTTTTCCAACAAGCCAGATTATGATGACATTAGAGAAGAAAATCGCTGAGATTTGCTGTGAAGCCGACCATTTCAGGAGTTGTTCTATATTTTTACAAGTTTTAGAGCAACCAATATTTATTTGAACAGTCAAAATGGCCGATAAAACCTACCTTTAGTCAGGTTTCGTCATAAAAACCTTAAAATACGATGGTTTATATATCTTTAATTTTTGAAACAACTTCGAAAATCATAAATATATCGCATAAACTTACCTTGGAAGTCCATCAAGTTCTTTGATGACATCGATTGACATTTGGTTTGTCATAAAAACCATCTCAAGTTGGCGGCAGGCCCGAAAGTCGGCCATATTCAACAAAGTCAAGGGCCGCCAGCCTCTTTCCTTATATTTATCGGAGTGTCACAGTTTATTCGTCAAACCGGAAATTCCCACAGGGTTTGCGAAAAAATGAGGGCTTCTCGGAGGCTTGGCGACACTGAAATGGCTTAGTCTAATCGAGATTGTAAATCATTCAAAAAACACTAACAATTCTGCCTGTAAAGCAGTCAAAAAACTATAATAGTTCACTAGATTTTTATGATAGCAGTTAGTTACTTCAACAGTACCAGTAACATCAAATTTTTGGTTGAAAATTATATATTATCTACCCCGAAATAATTTCTTTTTCTCGAAAAGAAAGAAAAAAGATAAGAAAATGATTTTTTATCGGAAAGTGGCATTTCGTTTTGAACGAATCACCAAAAAAGGGCGGGAAACTTTTTGTTCTATTTTTGATTGACGCACAGCGGACCCAAATTGACTTATAAAAACATATAATGACTTATAATGAAATGATTTTTTTATAAGTCATTATCTGTTCTTATAAGTCATTTTAAATGACTTATATGTTCATATATGATTTTATAAGGGTTCTCTGTGCGCTCTTGTTGAATTGACTTATAATTTCATATATGTTTTTATAAGTCATTTTATTTATAACCGCACCGTGCAAAAAAATGAACATTTATTTCAATCAATAACTCAAACAATTAAGCGGCACAAGTAGAATAAGACTTCAATGCACGGAGGACGTGAGATTTTTTGATGGGGCGTTCGTCGCTTCTGTAGGCGGCCGTAGATGGATATTATTGCTTCTAATGCTTCTTGATTCACTGAAAATATTTGGAGATATTAGAAAAAAGGTTTTTTCGGGAAATGATAATACGAGTTCGACTTAAACTCAACGTTTTATGCGTTTCTAACACTAAAATGAACTGCAAAAAAAGGTTCTGGCGGAAAAAGTTCTGGACATGAGATTTGCGATATTGTACTAGATCCAGGTGAATGTTATCAACCATACCTGAAGCAACCGGATGTCATGTTTCCATTCATCGTGTATACATTGTCCATTGAATTCCTCCATGACCATTTTTGTAGTTATCTAAAACCCAACGGGTTCACCTGGACCTAGTACAATATAACAAAACTTTGTCTTGAAGTTTTTTCGAGACCTCTGAAATGTGGAAAGCAGTAAAAAACACTTACCAAAAGTAAGCAAATGGATCCTTTAGCAATCCGTTGGTTGATCGTGCATGTTTATACATCTTCTGGGGATGGATCTTCTTCAGGCTGGCATGCTCCCTGCACGGGAAGGCTATTACGTTCGGGACCTTTCATCTAAACACTGTAAAGTCTTGTAAAAGAAAAAAGTTTGATTAAAAACACCTTACTTTGATCGATCCAAGGTAGAAACACGTTACGACGTTCCAAAAACTTAGAATTTCTAAGTCCAGCTCACGCGTGCAATAAGCAAAAAGCGTATTTGGCGCTCAAAAGTTTTCTTTGCAAATGACTTATTTGTTATTATAAGTTCTTATTTGTTTTTATAAGTAAAGAGAAATAAGCCCCTTCTCTTTTGACGTTATTTTGACTTATAAGTCATTATCTGTTCATATATGGATCGGGCTTTATAAATTTCAAAAGTGAATCCAGCAAAAAGTGCAAAATTCAGTCCAAAGTGCCACTTTGGACTGAAATCGCCAAATAAAGTTTGTTTTCCAAACAAATTGCACTTGTTTGCTTGGATTTCTTGGTTTTGTCCACCGTCCAAAAAGTGAACAAAGGATGGACAAAAAACGGCAATTTTAGTCCAAATAAAAACTGGCTCGTTTCAATCAAAATTTTCGCATAAGTCACTTTAATTTTATTTCATTCAATTTTTGTGGTCCCTAATCATTGTTCCAATACGTAACTATCGTATAAACCAAGTACTGGGCAAACCAGGCCTAATCTGAAGTCTAGCGCCTCTTTTTTGCGATTTTCGGTTGAAAAGTTATATTGTACTAGGCAAACTAGGTCAACTTTGATGTCTAAGGCCCGTTTTTTGCGATTTTCGGTTGAAAAATTATGTTGCACAGGGCAAACTACGTCAAATCTGACGTCTACCGCCTGTTTTTCGGTTGAAAAATTATATTGTACTAGGCAAACTAGGTGAATTTTGATGTCTCGGGCACGTTTTTTGCGATTTTCGGTTGAAAAATTATGTTGTACTAGGCAAACTACGTCAAATCTGACGTCTACCGCCTGTTTTTCGGTTGAAAAATTATATTGTACAAGGCAAACTAGGTGAATTTTGATGTCTCGGGCCCGTTTTTTGCGATTTTTGGTTGAAAAATTCTATTGTACTAGGCAAAACAATTCAAATTTTCTTAAAAACAGTATAAAACTTACATTACCCGAGGTGTGGCGAGACAACACAACACACAACTAAAAGCCGGAAATTATTGCAGTCGTTTTCCTGCCGAACTCACGTACTGAAACCGGAAATCAGGGAGATCACGAAAATTGGCAGAATTTTCTTGGCATTTCGTTTAAAACGAGAATTTCTATAGACCGAACAAGAAGAACGACGGTGTTGTCTCGCCATACTTCGAGTAATGTAGGTTTTATACTGTTTTTAAAAAAAAATTTAACTGTTTTGCGTAGAAAAATATAATTTTTCGACCTAAAAGCAGGCGGTAGACGTCAGATTTGACGTAGTTTGCCTTGTGCAATATAATTTTTCAACCGAAAATCGCAAAAAACGGGTCCTAGACATCAAAGTTAACCTAGTTTGGTTAGTACAATGTAATTTTTCAACCGATAATCACAAAAAACGGGCCCTAGACATCAAATTTGACATAGTTTACCTAGTACAATATAATTTTTCAATCAAAAAAGCAGGTGTTTAAGTCAAATTTTACCGAGATTGCGTTGCTAGGATAAGAAAAATCTAAACAGGCGATCGTGCAAAAAAATTTAGCTTCATTGAGCACAAATTCGTCCCTTGGTCCCCCCTTACCACTTTTTTTACACCCCCTCGACGAAAAATTAAAATTTGTCCAATTCAGTTTTTTCGACAAACCAAAACCTTAAAACTCAGTCCGTTCCTTGGACAAATCACAAAAATCCATGGAAATGTGGTCGTGCAAACTGAATTTGCAGATTTTAGTCCAACGCGTGGACATAGGTTGGCGAAGGCTCGCCCAAATGGACTTTATTTGGCGATTTCAGTCCAAAGTGGCACTTTGGACTGAATTTTGCACTTTTTGCTGGATTCATTTTTGAAATTTATAAAGCCCGATCCATATATAAGTCGTTATATGTCTTTATAAGTCAATTTGGGTCCGCTGTGCGTGCATTGCAGGATGAGCCAAGTTTTTCTCCTTGGATGGTCAACTCTTCCTCTCAAAATTCTAATTCCTTTTTGTCAAGATTGATATAAATTTCTTTATAAAGTTGTTGTAATCTACATACATCGACAGGGCAATAACTGCAAAAGTAAGTTCAATTAACCCTCTTTCTAAGTATGCAATCATTTTTTGCATTACATAAGTATATCCTTGCACGTTTAGACATTGTAGTAGGGTATAAATTTGAGTAAATGCTCTTTGTTTTTGCGATTTAATGAACGAAATTACAGCTGATTCGATTTTTGGATATTACACTAGGTTCTCCGCCATTTTAGGTCAAATTCATGGAATCTTGGCTTGCAGGTACGATTAAATGGTCTTTTATAGCTGCCATGTCGAGACGGTCGAACCGTTACAACCAGAACGTTCAAAATTTGGTTAAAGGTGGTTGTTTAACCCTCAAGAAGAAAGGTGAAAGGATCAAAAAGCCTCGTCGAAAGGTTGCCGAGAAGCCGGTTAGTACCCGGACTCCAGTCGACCTCAAAACAAGAATGGAAATAGCTAGAAAGAATAGACAAATTCAGATTCAGAAAAAGGCCATAAAAAGGGAAAGACAACGTCGCGCTATGCTATCGAGATGGTCTGAGATAAAGGCGCAGAACTTGAAAAGAAACATCGATTTACTGCAGCAGGTACTTTACGATATCGTATTTTAAAACATGCTATAATTCAGGCTTTAAGAGATTCAGACAAGCTTCACCAAGAATTGGAGCAAAAGTCAAAAGAAAAGGATTCTGGGATTAACAGAGTGATTTCAAGGTTAAATGCATTAATCGACATAAAATCCGAAAGTAGTGAATAAGTAGTCAGCTTGTGCCATTCGTTTTCAGAGCCATTGAAATGCTGCGTTCTCATTTTAATAGCGTTGGAAAAACTTGGTCATTGTGGATAGAGTATGTAGGATTTTGAGGGCATATATCGTGGAAGAGATAGCTGATGAAATGCCAATTACTTTGACGTAAGACAGAATGCAAAAGGGTTCTAACTTTCCAAGTTATGAGCAATTTGATTTCAAGAGTAGCTGTTGACATGGATAATATTGGAAAGTCTAAAAAATCGCAATATGATGGTGTTTTTGATTTAGAATGACTAAAATCAAAACTAACCTATTTGTAAAGAACCGTTCTTGGATTAGAAGTCATGTCTAAATCAAAAATACCATCATATTGCAATTTTTTAGGCCTTCCAATATTATCCATGTCAAGAGCTACTCTTGAAATTAAATTGCTCTTAACTTGGAAAGTCAGACCCCTCTTGCTGTCAATTTTACGTCAAAGTAATTGGCATTTCATCAGCTATCTTTTCCACGATATATGCCCTCAAAATCCTACATACTGTATCCACAATGACCAAGTTTTTCCAACGCTATCAAAACGATGACTATATGATTTTCAATGAAAAATTTTATGTTAATGGTATTGTTGAAATAAATTGAACTGCTATCTTGCAAAGTCAGTGTCATTAGCTGTTGCTTGAGCCTCCGAAAAAAGTTTGAAGGGAATTTTGGGCGAAGAAATGGCTTAATCAGTTATAACGTCATGGATAATATAAATTCCCCATTTTCTCTGCTCTACCCTTTTTGAATACTGTCAGATTTATTTCCCAAGAGCGTAATAAAGCCTGTGGCATATTATTTGAAACTTTTTATACTCCAATTCCACTTATATGAGCAGTTTTTGAGCAAATTTACCCTTGCATAGTGCAAAAATTGAGCTCTCCGATTCGTTGGACAGAATGCGCCGAGTTTATTTACTTTATCAGTGCACTTTGTCCTCGGAGACCTCGAGGGACAAGAAACAAATAAAAAAGAGGGCAATTCGAATAATTTTCCCTTCGAAAAGCCAAGTTTTTGCGTTCTTTTTCGAACCGAGCCGTTTTTCTCTCAATCCCTCCCAGTTTTTCTCAATTTCCTTGGGCGAAAACAAGTCTGGATAGCACCTGGAATCCTGTTTCATCAATTGCATAGCCTCTTTTGAGGTTTCGAAGCAATTTTGTGCCCTAAAATTCAAAATACACTAATTTTAGACCTTATTTTAGAGAGAAACGATATTCCAAAAGGAAAAATTAGTAAAAATCCAGTGAATTTGTCTTTTTCAGACAGCCTTTGGCCTAATCTTTCTATTGAAGGATATTTGCCGCCTTGAATTTCGAGATTTTTTATATTTTTGCCACTTTTTGACCTTATTTTAGGTATCAACTGATATCTTTTTGATAAAAAACCCTATTTTTTCCCCCTCGAACATTGATGTGTAAATAGCAAACAGTCCCATTATTGTTTTCCAAGTTCTTCGTCTGCTTTTCTTGCACTTTTCTTCTGCAAGCTGGAAATTTTTTGGGGTCGACCTTATTTTAGGTATAATCTGATAATTTTTGATAATTTTTGTTGGAAAACGTTTGATTCTTCGTTGAGTCCTACATTTCGAGACGAACTCTGTTTTCTCCGAGTTGTCTAGACTATGAACTTTGAGATTTTCGAGCAAATTTTTTATTATACTTGACCTTGAGGTAGCGAAAAACATTTTTATGGTGTAACAAAGATCAGAGAGACTTTGCCACTTCTCGTGTTTTGATAAGAAGATATTTTTCGACGAAACTTGGTTCAGATCAAAGTGCGATAAGCTTGTTTACCCTTCCTTCTCGTCATTTTTTTTGTTTCTCGCTGTTTAGCGACTTGAAACTTTGGACCAGAAACCGACCCCAAACCGTCGGGAATTTGTTGTAACAACTTGGTCGACCTTTCACTCCCACCCACACCGCATCTTTCCGCTCGAATTTTGATCTCATTATATTGCACTAGACACCAGGTACAATTTTTTGATTTTTTCCGGTTTTAGGGGCAAGAATGGAGCGTAACGAGAATCGTGTGGGTCGCTGGTACTTTGGCGGGCTTGCTGGTGCCGGCGGGGCCATGGTTACGCATCCACTCGACTTGATCAAGGTCCATCTTCAGACCCAGCAGACGAAAATCGCGCTGCCGACGCTGGTCAAGCAGGTCTACCGTTCAGATGGAATTTCCGGCTTCTACAACGGGTTGACAGCCTCGGTGTTGAGACAGATGACATATTCGTTGAGTCGGTTTGCGGTCTACGAAGGAGTCAAGAAGCAGGTGGATGATGGAAAAGGACCCATGCCGTTTTATCAGAAGGTCGCATTGGCCGGATTCTCAGGTAAATATTTTTCTTATTTTGTCTTCTTCAATTTTAGGCGAAAAGAAGTGGTATTGACGACAAAAAAGACGATTTTTTATATTATCCATCATGGTTAATATCCGAATTTGAATATAACGCTCCGAAAAAGGCCTCAATTTGCCTGAAATTTTTCTACAGACTCAAATAAACCTCTCTTCAGGTGCCATCGGTGGATTCGTCGGTCAACCTGCAGATTTGGTCAACGTACGAATGCAGAACGACATGAAGTTACCAGCTGCCGAAAGAAGAAATTATAAGCACGCATTCGACGGGATCTATAGAATCCACACCGAAGAAGGCTTCAAAGTCCTATTTAATGGTGTGACAATGTGTGTGGCGCGAGCTGTGTTGATGACAATCGGACAATTGTCTTTTTATGATCAGGTAGGTAAAATAAGGTCAAAATTGTTGATTTTAAAAGATTTTAGGGAGGGAGATGGATTTCTATCGGAAGATAATGGACTTTTCTTTGATTCAGATGCATTTGACTCCTAGTTTTTTGCTGATTTTATGACTAAACTTCAAATTTTGTCAAGTGTAATATAATTTTTTTGAAAAAATGAGATTTTCGATAAAATTTTTTCAATTTTCAGGTGAAACAAGTTCTCATGGCCAAGTTCAATGCTCCTGACACGGTCTACACACATTTGTTCTCGTCCTTCTTGGCAGCATCGGCCGCTACAGTCCTCACTCAGCCGATGGATGTCCTCAAGACGCGAATGATGAACGCCAAGCCGGGCGAGTTCAAAGGGCCCGTGGATTGTTTCATTTTCACCGCCAAGACCGGTCCCACCGCTTTCTACAAGGGATTTGTACCAGCATTCGTTCGTCTTGCCCCTCACACGATCTTGATGTTGGTGTTCTTCGAGCAGCTCCGATTGCGGTTCGGATATCTGCCGGAGAAGAAGGATTAGGATAGATTAGGATATAGAGAGGTAGAACACATGATTTTAGCCGGTGTAAGGGGGGATTGGACTTTCTGGAAGGGAGTTTTGCCTAAATTTATATTATTTTAGGTAATATTTGGATGTTTTCCTTATTTTTCTGCAAGAAAATCAGTTGAATCTTAGGAATCGGGGTAAAATACGACAATACAACTGTTTTACAGTAAATTAAAATAGTTTTTACTACAATCTTAGACTAAATTTATATTATTTTAGATATCAAACTACTGTTTTTCCCTCCAAAAAAGTTACTTTTACCTCCAGTTAGGGGTAAAATACGGTTTTTTTAAAGTTTTTATTCATTATGTTCTCCTTCCATAATCCCAGAACTCCCTTGCACCACTATTTTCATGTGGTTTTACCATTAGAAATTTGACTTACATTACTGCGAATTTTTCAAATTTTTACAATTTTCCAAACTTCTCATCAAATTTTATAACCGTCATTCACTTTTCATAACATTGTAGGTATTATTATAGGGTAGATTGGATTTATATTGTTACCCATTGTGCCATGTTTAACACCCCGTGATTTCAAATCATTTACAATAAATGTCATGAGATTTTTTAAGGAAATTCTGTTTAGAAGACTTGCTATAGCGTTTTTTTTTTTTGGTTTTTGACACCATTTGGAGCTTTTCCGAGCCTTTGAAGCCCATAGAACAGAATGCCAAAAACTGCGGGAATTTTAATTTTTGAAGGTGAAAAGATTGTCAAATCGATTTAGATGGCAAGTTCGGATAATTATAGTGGTATTCGGGTACTTCCTGAGGTATTCCCAGCCATTTTGAGATATTTCCGACCTCTAGAACAGAATGCCAAAAACTGGCGGGAATTTGAATTTTTGAAGGTGAAAAGATTGCCAAATCGATTTAGATTGCAAGTTCGGATAATTATAATGGTATTCGGGTACTTCCTGAGGCATTCCCAGCCATTTTGAGATATTATATTTTCGAGCCCTAGAACAGAATGCCAAAAATAGCGGGAATTTTAATTTTTGAAGGTGAAAAGATTGTCAAATCGATTTAGATGACAAATTAAGGTGACTATAGTAGTATTCGGATACTTCCTGAGGTATTCCCAGCCATTTTTGAGATATTTTCGAGCCCTAGAACAGAATGCCAAACATGGCGGGAATTTGAATTTTTGAGGTCTCAAAGCATTGTAAGTATTACTATACTAAAAATCAGAAATGTAAATGCTATCGCCGTAAAATTTTCGCTGTTTTTTAGGCTCTTTCGGCCCTTAAAACAGAATGCCAAAAAATGCCGCGGGGTTTCAAAACTTAAAAGTTTTTCCAGCTGGCATTGCGAGAAATGAATGCAAAATTTACTCCATCAATACAATAATATATTTCACCTATATTTTTGACATGAATAATATGAATTGCATTTGATGTCGAATGAGAAATATTGGGCAACAAAACACTGAAAACCCATTCCATTCCACGCATTAGGTCCTAATAGCTCTTATTACATTGAAAGAGCAAGTTTAATTGTTCAAATTCCGACCCGTTTTTTGTCCACGACAATTTTCGATCATCAGCTCCCTAATGGATAATATTGAGTGGTCAAAATGACTGAATCACGTCCCTTCTGAGTAATCGAACCTTCCGAAAGTCCAACTAGATCGTATGGGATCGAAATCCGAAAATTTTTGCACAATTGTTTTTATGAATAATATAATTGTTACCGTTTTTGCAAACATAACATCCATACGTCCGCAGACTGTGCACACTGTCCTTTGAACGCGAACAAAGCCGAATTGTGGCTTGTTGCCGCCGTTTGTACACAAAATTATACCAGCCGAACGCAAAAAAGAATCCACTCATTTGGGCCCATTTGATGTAATCGACAGGTGCGCCAACAGCGAGAATGGATCGCGGATGATTTTGTTAACCGTGTGTTGACAAACTGCCAATTGCACGGATTGTTTAAACGCCCGACCTTTTCGACGAAAAGTTTCATTTTGGACGCCCTCGAACTCCTGAACCATGCTCCAAGTTTTGGCCGCGCTCTGTTGGGCTACGGTAGTGTGTGGTAAGTGCAAAAATTGGTCGCATTTTTCGTCGATATTCTCAAATACGAATGAGTGTTGAAAATAAGTCCTCTGGCAGGTCTAATGGAGTAAATTTTGATCGATTTTTTGTTGGAAATTTTCAAAAAATCCCATTTTTTGACCAAAACAAAAATGTTTCTGATTTTGCTGAAAATTTGTGAAAATATTGCCTAAGGCATTTTAAGAGTGGTGAGAAAATTTGAGAATGGAATCTGCTAAATTTGCAGAGATTTTTATATTTTTTCCAAAAAATGGCCTTGGTCCCCCCTTATGATGATTTTTCAAAAAAAAAAAAAAAAATCAAAAAATTTTTTTTTCTGTCTGACAAGCTCATTCAATTGTCAGTTACTCCAAGTTGAACTTCGTTTTTCTAATTTTGCATAGATTTGATTTTTTTATTTTTTCCAAAAAAATTTGCCTTGGTCCCCCCTAATGATGATTTTTCAAAAAAAAAAATCAAAAAAAAATTTTTTTTCTATCAGACAAGCTGATTACAGTGTCAATTACTCCAACTTGACCTTTGTTTTTCAGCGCAAGACCTTCAACTGGTCGACAGTGATGCCGAGCCCACTTATCCAATGAACCCGAATCATGCGGATTTATTCGCGACCACTACCTATAAATACAACCCGAATCATCCGCCAAAGACTCAGCCGACCACTCCGACAACTCCTACTACACCTACAACTCCTACAACACCAACTACACCTACTACTCCAACTACTCCTACAACTCCTACAACACCAACCACTCCAACAACCCCCGAATGTGTTGACGGCGCCCTGAATTGCGTCGATTACATTAGTCAATGCAAGAGCTCGCCAAAGGTGGCCAAGTACTGCAAGAACACCTGCGGCACTTGCTCTTCCACACCAACAGGTGGGTCATGGATAATATAGCCGGCTCTCAGCGACCGCAAAACGTGGTGGGCTGAAATTTGGCAGCAAGAATCTATTAGGATCACATATCAATTGCTGCAAATTTCAGTCTTTGATCTGCAAGGCGAGTCGAGATATTCGACGATATTTTTTTCTGCGAGAGAGTATTGCAAATGAAGAGACGGTCAGAGAAAAGTTTTTTCTCTATAGCTACTCTAATTCGCCTTGGAAAAAAATGATTTTTTGTGGAAACGTTTACCATCTATCTAAATGGCATATGAGATTTTCAGATTATGAAATTTTCAAGTTAAAAATGGCCAAAAAAATCGGGATTTTTTGAAATTTTCGGACCAAAAATCTCGGTTATTTCTGCAAACCGCGAGCTAAAAACCTTGTATATGTCTTAGAAAATGTTGCTCTCAATTTACCCCAGAGTTCGTCGAGTTCTGACAAAAAAAAATTTTTTTTGAGATACCTACTACAATATCGAAAATCGCTCGAATCATAACCAAATTCGTATCTAAAAAGCGCAAAAAAGATGTCACAATATCCTCTATGACTTCTTTGCAGCTTGTATTGACTCCGCGACCAATTGTGCGCAATTTTTGCGGAGCTGTGGCTCTCCCATGATGGTGGAACATTGCAAGGCCAGCTGCAAGTTATGCTAATGTGCGTCGGATAAATCGTTAATTTATAAGTTATTGTATTGATGGAGTAAATTTTGCATTCATTCTCGCAATGTCAACTTGAAAAAATTTGAAGTTTTCAAAGCCCTCCGGCATTTTTTGGCATTCTGTTTTAAGGGTCGAAAGAGCCTAAAACATAGTGTAAATTTTACAACGATACTATTACATCCATGACCCCATGGATTTATACAGTGAGGGACCTGATCCAGTGTCAAAAAAGTACCATTTTGCATCCGGGAGGTGTCAAAAATGTGGCAAAATGCCTCCCTCTCCAGCTAAAAAAAGCTCCGTTTTGAACTGCGCGCCCTTTTTCCTCACGAAAAGAAGGGCGTGCTTTTGAAATCAGTTTTTTTTTTCACTTGAGACTTGGAGAGGGAGGTATTTTGCCACATTTTTGATACTTCCCGGATGCAAAATGATACGTTTTTTGCCACTGGATCAAATCCCTTGATCTTTCAGTATACAATGGGGGATCTGATCCAGTGGCAAAAAAAGTACCATTTTGCATCCGGGAAGTATAAAAAATGTGGCAAAATGCTTCCCTTTCCAAGTGAAAAATCTCCGATTTCGAAAGCGCGCCCGCTCTTTTTGTGAGGGAGCCTTTCAAAACGGAGTTTTTTCACTTGGAGAGGGAGGTATTTTGCTGCATTTTTGATGCTTCCCGGATGCAAAATGGTACGTTTTTTGCCACTGGATCAGGTCCCCCACTGTGAGCAAAATAAATGCTCTACAGTGAGGGACCGGATCCAATGGCAAAAAACGTCCCATTTTGCATCGCGGAAGGGACCAAAATGTCTCCAAACCCTTCCCTTCTCTAAGCTAAAAACCCCCGCTTTGAAGAGCCCGCTTGGAAGGAAAGGGGCGCGTTTTTAAAACCGGAGTTTTTTAGCTTAGAGAAGGGAAGGGTTTGGAGACATTTTGGTCCCTTCCGGGATGCAAAATGAGACGTTTTTTGCCATTGGATCAGGCTGTAGCAGCTATTCCAACTCCTTGCAATTCATTGATTATTCATTTTTATTAAAAATATTGACAAAATATTCGAAAAGAATAGAGATCTGCGTGAATATTAGGGGATTAAAATACGATTTACAATACTGATAAGAGACTGAACAATATCTTTTGAAGATGTGGGCTAGACCCCAAAAATCCAATTATTCTGAGGCTCTAGGAGATGCGAAATCACAAATTCGAGTATTTACATTGCTTACTTTGAGGAGGGGAGGGCTTGGGATTAAAAAAAAAAAAAAAACAAAAAAAGTAAAAAATTAAAAAAATTTTTCAATTTTAATTAAGATTTTTTCGATGGTGTATATAAATTTAGCTGCTCAGCTATGTCTTCAAGCCATATTTCAGATTTTAACACAATTTTTCTTTTTCAAACTTTCATTTTTTACCACTTCTCACCAGGGTTTTGTCTTTTTTTTCTAAAAATTTAAAAAGATTCAAAAAAAAAAATCCCTAAAAACCTCAAAATACCGCTTTGAACAAAAATTTTTTTTTGTCCACTCACATAGAACAGACCTTCTAAACTCCATAAATCACCCAAACTTCCCTACCAAAATTCAAAAACCTCGCAAAAAATCCATTTTCCTCAATTGCCTTGTGGAATATCGGGGATCACTCCATTTTCGATTAATTTCTGTTGAAGTGTCCTGAAAATTGCGAGCTGTTCGTCCACCGGGAGCCACATGATCTGTTGGACGACCTTGTTCCAGTTCGGGAAGCGGATAATCGAGTGAATATAGGCATAAACAAAGGTGCCCATTAGGAGTTGGCAATCGAACCGGTCCATGAGTCCGCCATGCCCGGGGATGATGGCTCCGAAGTCCTTGATCTTGAAGGCGCGCTTGAAGCCGGACGCGAAGAATCCGCCGAATGGGGCGATCAGCGAGGCGAACAGCGCCAAAACCACGGTGTGCAATATGAACGGCTGGATGTTGATGATGGGGTCCAGTTTGAGGAGTTTGAAAAAGAATGCGAACTGGCGTGGCACTTCGTATGCTCTGCAAAACAAGCCAGACTTAGTCTTCTTCACTAAAAACAAAAAACAAATACAAAAAATTCACTTACTGAAGCTGGAAGGCCATCGGCAATGTGCAATTCATATTGTTCTCGTAGTAGGATTCCACTGGGCACACGTAGAACTTGTTGTTGACTAATACGGAGGCCAACTAAAAAGTAAAATCATCAAAATACAAAACTTTTTATATTATACTTGACTTGATTTCAGAGTCCCTAGATAGCAACAAAAAAGATTTTTATAGCCTCTAAATAGTCTACCTATCCTCTAAGTTCATCTCTGGCAACTTCTTACCAATCCACAATATAAATTTTGCCATTTTTTATATTACACTTGACATCTAAAATCCAAAATGGCCAAAAATAATATCCAACCTTCCTAGATTTCGCTGAAACTTCTCACATACCAATCTTGACACCTATTCGTTGTATTAAAACAACTTTTCCCAAAAAATTCAAAAATTTTTATATTGCACTAGGCAACAGATCAAAAAAATTGCCTAAAATCGCACTCAAAATTAATTTCAATCCTCTCCAAACTTACACAGACGCCAAAGATGATTGTGCTGAAAGCTCCACCAATAAATCCTTCCCAAGTTTTCTTCGGCGACAGCTTGATCAATGGGGTGCGTCCGAAGAAGAAGCCGAACACGTAGGACATGATGTCGCAGCAAATGATCATGGAAACCGGCAGAAGGAACCATACCTGTCCTTGTAGGAGGTTCTGGATGATCAGGAACGACTGAGTGACGATCAGAAGCAGGGCAACGTGAGTGTAGGCGAACTGCAAATGTAAATCAATATAATTCTTGTCCTAAATACGGAAACTTCTAATAAATTAAGACCTACCAAGGAGAATTGTCGTAGATAGAGTCCTTTTCTCAGCGAAAGGACGAACCAAACAAAGCCTACGCAATACAGGGAGAAGCTGATGAATCGATGGTAAACAACAAGATACCGGAGGAATTCCTGAAAAACATTTGGTAAAATACATTAACTATAACTAATCCGTCATTTTTATTCCATTTCAGCCTAAATCTGACCATCCGTTGAAAACTTTTTATATTACACTTGACATCAAATCTCGAAAAATGGAATTTCCTGCTAGACAGAGCAAACCTTAGACAAAATCTGATATCCCAACCCTTTCTAACACATTTCACTTCATTTTCAAAAATATCGACGTCTTAATGTTCCCGTATTTTACCTAAAAATCGAAAAAAAAGATTCAAAATTTACTTACATCCTTATTCAGCACAATGGACCAATAGTCAATGAGGCTTTCACCGAAGAAAAAGTAATTCGATGTGATCAGGAACCACCATGAAAGTCCTCGGAACCATGGTAGATCATACAATCGGTACACATAGAGGCCAATACTAATAATTTCGTAGAAGCATGTCATTTGGATCAGGAATACCTGAAAATTAATGTTAGTTAGACAGCTACCATCTTTGCCAAGCTAATAATAGACCAAAAGTCTAAATCTCAAACGTAAAAATTGCAAGATTTATCTACATCTTCTCCTTACCATTCCCATAAGCCAAGTAGCGCCTTTTCGCACGACCAATGTGAATAAACCAATCATAATCACCGAGAAGACGCCTCGGACTACCCAGTTCCTCCATCTCGGTGGCAGTTGATTCAGACTCTCATCCACATACGAGCCCATCGAGTCCGAACCTTGTGGTAGGTGCCGCTTGATGTCCTCGAGTCTAAAACAAGATCGTAGACAATACAATCGAACAAATTTTTGGCATATAATCAAGCTTATAACTTCATCCAGCTGTGCCTAAACGCAGAAACACCACAAATCTTAAAATACTTACCGTTCGGCGAGTTTATCCACATCGTCCTCACTTTCATCGGAAGGTGCATTTTTTGGCCGTCGATTCCGCAACTCCGGACCTTTGAAGGCTCCATCGCTTGGCGTTGTGAAGCCATCCCCTGATGGAGAGTTCAAGCTTGATTCCGCCATAGTCTAGGGACGAAATACCAAAATTGGAGCCGATATTATTTTAGGTATCTAATTGAGCTGAAACGAGAAAAATTTTCAATTTCAACGGCTAAAAAGTCGAAAATCGACCGCGATAATAAGGACACAGCTCAATGAAGCGATTAAAACGCAAAATACGCCCCATAAGAAAAAAAAATTATGTCAGATTCTAATGGATAATATAAAATATAAGAAGAAAGACATGTCAGACCATCTAATATAAAACAAATCAATCCCCAATCCTTTTCAAAGCCAAAACAATCTCGAAAACACCAAATGAACGTTGTTTCAGATCTTTTTATACCTAAAAATACCTCCACCAGCTGATGTTATCTAAAAAGCTCTACCTGAAAAACAACCTTGAGCCGCGTAAAAACAGTGCAAAACTGAAGACTTTGCTTCCTTCGACAAACAAAAACACATTTCGAGTTGGAGTAAATTCAGTGGGATTTGAATCAAAACGTTTCATGACCATTGACAGATGGGAAAATAAATTTTTTTCCTTCTCTCTCGTTCGCATGCAGAATTTCCTACTTTTAGCAAGGGAAATTACATAGCTTGCTATACGTCAGTTTAACATGCAGGTTTTGATTTCATAATGTTTTTTGTTAAAAGTACCTAAAATAAGGTAAAATGGAGGAAAAAGGATGAACCGAATGTTTTTTAGGAAAAATCGGCAGCATCTCTGGCGGACATATGACTTACAAAGGCCTTATTTTGCTTTAATACATCAACTTTCACTATTAATCAACTGTTTTTACAATCTTAAAGAAGTTTTAAGCATGAAACAAGGTCTACACTTCTTCCATGCTTAAAACTGCTCAAAAAATGGAAAAACAATTAATCAAAAAGTGAAAGAAGATGTGTCAAGGCAAAATAAAACCTCTGTAAGCCATAGCACCGTTTACAACCATAAATATTACCCTCTATACCAGATATTACTCTTTTTAGCAAAAATATTGTGTGAAAGTCAAGTCTGATATAATGCTACAAAGATTCAATCCAGATGGCTGCACCTTGCCCTCGTAAAAAAGTCCCAAGAGCATTCAGCATTCCTTGTTTACGCTTCTTGGCAGGGAATTTCAAAACGCAATTGAAAAACAAACAATTCCTTATCTTGTCAATACATATTCGTGTTTATGAGTCATTCTAGAAGGAAAATTTACGTCAGTACTCGGAACAAAGAATATTTTACAAAACAAGACCACTTAGATAATGTCAAAACGAAAAAAATCCACGTCCTTCTTTGTTTTAGACATAAAAATTTCTTCAACTTATGTCAGACGTAAATCAATATTATTCTTGACACGAAATCGTACTTCCAGACGAACCCACGCTAAAATGTCAACTTCAATAGATTATCGGGCCTGTTCTACTCCTTCAAGCAGAAAATTATCGAGAAAAAACCTTTTAAACCCTTTTTTACTTAAAAAAAGGTACTTTGGACCCAAAATAGCGTAAAATATAGTCATAAAACCAAAACGTAAACTTTTTGTTGACTCAAGAAAGTAATATAAGACGTCGTCTTCCACAAAGAACAAAAAAACATCCGTTTTCTCGAAGACGTCGACTATTTTAGCCAATTTCCGGCCTCTTCAGACACATTTTTGACAAAAATAATATCGCTAATCCTCTTTCGTAATAAACTATTGCCAAAAGCGGACAAATATGCCCTCAAATGACCTCTAAAAACTTTTCCAGAACACTAAAAGCCCTAACAATTGACTAATTACAGATTTACAGAGGATTTTTATTTCCAAAAGCCACTAAATCTTCTTCGCCGAATAATGGCTGTTTACTAAACCGCATACCATGTGAACCCCCAAAAAATATTTGCACTGCAGAGGCGTGAGGCCGTTTTCATTCCCTTTCACGCGGCGTTTTCGACCTTTTTCGTCCCCTTTCGCTCTCCGACCTTGTACATGAAACTTCTGGCATGCCGAAAGAAATGTGCGAAAAGTTTGGGGCGCAAATCCTCTTAGCGCATCGAACATGCCAAGAAGAAGGAATAGCACAACTTTTCAGAGGATTTCGTAGGAAATCGTGGCCATATTAAACAAAAAATTATATTACACTAGACATCGGATGGAAAATTGCTTTTCACTTGTTATTTTCGGCTAAACCATGGTTGTTTTGCGATGGAAAAGGAGTAAACATAAAAAACAATGTGTACACTACTCTTAAAAGCAAACTTTCGGAAAAATTTTGCAAAAATTATATTACACTTGACATCAAAAGCCAAAAAGTGCCTGAAAACTAATTTTTTCCCCTAATACCAGTGTCTTTGGACTCTGAAAGTCTTCACAGCGCTTCAGGCTTCCTTGCTGACCTTGAAACTCCCTTAGAACTTGCAAAATTCAACTAAAAAACAAGAAATTCTCTCTAGACCCAATAAAAATCCGTCTGCATTGCGTCGGAAAATTCAAAAAGTCACAGCGTATCTCTTCGGGATGTATTAGGAACGACGGAATTGGCCAAACTGGCCCATTTCAGGCCGAATTGCTTCTCATTTGGGCCGTGAAAAACAAAAAAATCCATAAAAAACCTTCTCCATGAGGGAAAACTTGGTGTTTTTGGAAAAACAAGGGAATTATGGGGAAAAATACACGAATTATAGTGAAAATAACTTGTAAACTTTATCGAATTTGTGCTACTACAATTTTGGGATCAAAAACAAAAAAAAATCTTCGATTTCTTGTACTGCAGCCTGCGCCCTATATTATGCGGACCGCGGGGGACATTTTATACGAAGGACGAAATAATGTCGCAAAAATGAGTTTTCAAAAGACCATTCTAAAATACGAGTTTTTTAAAGGCCTAAAATCTTATTTACGAAAATTTTATCCCCTTTTTCCCGCGCATTTTTCACAACGTCCATCAAAGGTGACATCTTATACGAAGGACAAAATAATGTCGCAAAAATGAGTTTTTAGGACACCTTTTTAAAATACGAGTTTTTTAAGGGTCTGAGACCTTATTTACAAAGATTTCACCCATTCTTGTCTGCATTTTTCGCAACATCCATCAAAGGTGACATGTTATACGAAGAATTTTTATTTCATAAAATCTCATTTTGAAAGACGCAAATCCGTGAAAAATATTGCAAAAATATACCGAGATCACAACAAGAATACTGACTAGAATGGCAGTGACTTCAAAATATAAATATTTTATATTACACTAGACATAATGCCTGGTGTCCGTGATATTGGCCAAATGTGGCATGCTTGGATGGTCAAAGTGTTGATTAGGGCGCGGAACGGTCTCCACCAGACTCCGTTCACCATGCGACGAAGTTCTCGATAGTCCCCTTTCACTGCTTCGGTGTCGACGACGGACTGAGCCCGGGGTCGACTCTTTCCGACTGACTTCTAGCGACTTTTGGCGGTAGAAGAGTACATGCCGCTCTCTTAATCTGGTAGTCAGACGAGAGCACATGACATTGCCAGCATGGATTGATATCATTTTGAGCAGGAAGACCCCTGGAAATGAGAAAATAATATTGCACATGGTATCTGATGTCGGAAAATTAAAATTTTCGAGAATTTCGTGAAAAATGATGTTTAAATTTATGATGAGTAAAAAGGTTAGAGAATTTTGCAAAATCATTGCAATTTCTAGGCCAAAAACAGAATGCGCGGATGAGATATGAACCTTGGAAGTTGATATACCTTGATCCAAAAAAGTGTTTGCTATGGATAAAGTACGTCAAACATAAATCTATTTTATGGCATATAGGGCGTAATAGACCTTCAGAAAACTTTTTTAAATGCAAAATTTACCTTACAGCAAGTTTTTGACCAAAAATTTGACTTTTTTATATTACCCATGTCATCAGATCAAAAAATCTTTATAACTTTCCCAATTTCTCGTAAATCCGGATAAAACAAAGTTCAAGACATACCATCAGGCCTCAAAAACTCTTCGACAAAATCATTGATCTCTTCGCTCGTAGCATCATCCGCTTCCATATATTTTTCGACAAAGTTCCGCCGACAAACCGGAATGGCCAAGGTCGCCATCCAAGCGCTAATATTCACAGTGCTCAACAAGGCGAGGAATACAAACCAAAGCCAAAGGAAGACAAAGATCTTCTCCGTGAACATGTTCACCACCAACACACATTGCACTGTGTGCCGATGAATGTTGCCGAGAACGCGGATCTCAAAGTCGCACAAGGTCACTCGCGGGAATTTGCCGGATTCTTTCCATTCTTTGTTCTGAAAAAAGTAGGCGTTTTACGCCTTACTGACAATAAGATTCAAAATATTTTAGTGAAATTTCAAAAAAAAATTTTTGCACTGTGCAATTTTTTTGTTGCCTCAAATTTTTGACCGCACAGTGCACTTTGACAAAAAATTTTTGCATCGTGTAATTTTTTGAGGGCTCAAGTTTTTGACTTGAGCATTTTGACAAGGAATTTTTTGCACTGTGCAGTTTTCAGAAAACCCTAAATTTCGACTGCACAGTGCACTTTATCAAAAAAATTTTGCACTGTGCAGTTTTCAGAAAACCCTATATTTCGACTGCACAGTGCACTTTGTCAAACAAAAATTTTGCACTGTGCAGTTTTCAGAGAACCCTAAATTTCGACTGCACAGTGCACTTAATCAAACAAAAATTTTGCACTGTGCAGTTTTCAGAAAACCCTAAATTTCGACTGCACAGTGCACTAAATCAAAAAAATTTTTTGCACTGTGCAATTTTTTCGTTGACTCAAATTTTTGACTGCACGGCAGGGGTGGCCACCGGGCCGGGCCGGCCCGGCCCGGCCCGGCGAAGCCCGGCCCGATCGGGCCTAAACGGGCCGGGCCTGACAAATTTTGAAACGGGCCGGGCCGGGCCTGCTTTTTACCGGGCCGGGCCGCGGGCCTAGACATGGCTGGGGGGCCGGGCCGGGCCGAAAATCGCGGCCCGGCCCGGGGGCCGGGCCGAAAATCGCGGCCCGGCCCGGGGGCCGGAAGAGGTCGGCCCGGCCCCGGCCCCCTTCAAATTTTCTCGGCCCGGCCCGGCCCGGCCCCCAGGGGGCCGGGCCGGGCCGGGGGCCGACCGGGGGCCGAACTGTAAATATGAACAATGCATTCATTACGAGATATAACACATTTTTTTGGGGTTTTGGTAGTTCAGCCCCCCAAGAAAGGTAGTTCAAACCCCCACTGTTTTGTCCATTTTACACCCCCATAATGAAAAATTTAGAATAATACAAAAAATGCAAATTAGGGTAAAACGACCCCCGGCGTTTTAGCTCAAACCCCCAGTTACCGTCCAAATTCGTTCTTGTGGTTCAGGCAACGACGATCGTAGCCGAGAGAACCCAATCCCGAGTAGGAGCTTCAGATTGGATGAGGGGGTTTATGCTGGGTCCAGGGGGGCTGAACTGGACTGGCGGGTTGTACTACCTTAGCCCCCATTCTTTTGTTAGTACAATCGACAATAAATTTTTGAAAAAAAAAATTACCAACCATTGCCTATAGTACAAAAAACCCAATCGGTTCTTGGCTCTGCCTTTCTATTTTTGTTGGCAACCCTAATTTTCGTTTTGGCTTTTAGTCATTGGGGGCCGATTGGGGGCCTGGCGGGGGCCCCGGTCGGCCCGGCCCGGGGGCCGGAAGAGGTCGGCCCGGCCCCGGGGCCTTTAAAACTCGTTCGGCCCGGCCCACTAGCCATGTCTACGCGGGCCTGAGCCATCTTCAGGCCCGGCCCGGCCCGGTTTTGTCGAAATGCCAAGCGTTTGGCATTCAATGTTTTCGCGCCGGAAAAATTTTTGGATAGGTTTGTATTTTTAGTATATCAAGTTCTACAATAGTTTATTACTTTATAGTACTTTTTTGTATATATGTTATAATATAAGGTCCAAATTAAAACATATAATACATATAGGATAGTTCTTAGCAGATTTTAGCACACTACAGAGGCGGTAAGATCAAAGGAAAATTTCCAGCTCGCGCCCTAACCGGGCTTTTACCGGGCCGGGCCGGGCCGGGCCTGATTTCTACCGGGCCGGGCCGGGCCGGGCCTGATTTCTACCGGGCCGGGCCGGGCCGGGCCTGCAAAATTTTGAACCGGGCCGGGCCGGGCCTGGGATTTTGCCGGGCCGGGCCCCGGGCCTGAAATTTGGAAAAAGAGGCCCGTTTGCCACCCCTGCTGCACGGTGCACTTTGTCAAACAAAAATTTTGCACTGTGCACTTTTTAGAGAACCCTAAATTTCGACTGCACAGTGCAATAAACTTGTTTTCGTAAAACGCACCGTGCAAAAAGAAAAATATTTTTATTGCACCGTGCAGTAAAAAAAAGTAAAAATTTTCTTTCTGCACGGTGCAATTAATGCAAAAATATATACGGTCAATATTTTATTTGAATCACACAGTGCTAATAAAGGTTAAAAAATTCTTTCAAAATTAAAAATTTTTTTGAAAAAAAAACTTTTCTTACCATCATCAAATCATAGATGACATGCCCTCCAAACAGCGGGTAGTCACTTGTTTCCAAAAACGCGTTTAGCGCATAAAATTGCACCATAACATTGGCCAAGTGGAAGAACTTTATGAACATGTAGACCAGACAGACGTAGGCCCCGTAAACTTTTCCCATGTTGACCAAGGCGAAGATGAAAACACTTTTATTTTTGCTTCCGAAATCCCGCTGATATTGGAGGGCTTCGTCGATATGTCGAGTTAGGACGTCCACGGTTTTTTCGCGAATATCCGGATCAATGTTTGTGTCTTGGCAAGCGGTTTGGAGGACCAGCCCGACGTTTAGACCTAAAATAATATTAATTTTTATGTTACTACAAAAAATTTTATAGATTTTTCATTTCCAAAAAATGTAAATTTTTATTCTACACAATGCGACATTTGCTTCTCTAAAATGCGATTTTTATTTCTATACAGCGCGATTTTCAATTCTATAAAATGCGATTTTTGTTTCTATACAGTGCGTTTTTAAATCAAAAATTCTGTAAAATGCGATTTTTATTTCTGTAAAGTGCGATTTTCAATTCTATAAAATACAATTTTTATTTCTATAAAATGCGATTTTTTAATTAAAAATTATGTAAAATGCGATTTTTATTTCTATATAACGCGATTTTTATTTCTATAAAATGCGATTTTTGTCTCCTTACAATGCGATTTTATAACAAAAAATTCTGTAAAGCCGCTATTTTTATTTCTATATAGCGCGATTTTCAACTCTGTAAAACGCGATTTTAACTTTTGCACAGTGCGGAAATTTTTCATCTTTTTTATTGCACTGTGCGAAGGTTTTTTTTCTTCGCTTTTCTCTTCCGCACTGTGCAAAAAAAAATTTTTTGCACAGTGCAATTTTTAAAAAAATTTAAAAATAAAAAAAATTTTCGAAAATTTTAAAAATTTATTTTTAGTAAATATATATATTTACCACCCACCCGACTGATTCGACAGCATTCTCCACATGGACGCGGGCATATGAAACATGAGCGCCGCGATGGACAAGACAAACGGAACCCATTGATAGTATCCGATCTGCCGCTTCTCCCGCTCCTCGATTCGATGCGGAATATGGTCGTGGAATGGGATGAAGAAGGTGTTCTGGACCCAGCAATAGTTCTCCGAATACTGCTCCATGGCGTGGGTGAACTGGGCCGGAACGAAACATTCAATCGGATGACCAACTAAAATAAGGTCAAAATTTTGGGAAAACTCTTCAATTACGTAGTATATCTATACTACATCTTGTAGAAAAAATTTTTTTTCAACGCACAGTGCAAGAAAAAGAAAATGCAAAAAAAATTTTTTTCATGCACAGTGCAGTCGAAAACTGAAAATTGTTTATTTTTTTCGCACAGTGCAGTCAAAAATTTTGATGTCTGCACGGTGCAAAAAATATGATGAGAAAATTCTTCTGCACTGTGCGTTTTGAAGCAAAACAAAAATATCTTTGCACTGTGCAAGAAAATATTTTTGTTTGATTGCACTGTGCGGGCAATATTTTTTTTTGTTTTTTAGCGCACTGTGCAAAAAAACAGTAATATAAATTGCACAGTGCAAAAAATTTGGTAAATTGCACAGTGCAATAAATAAAAATTATTTTGTTTTGCACAGTGCGACTTACGACTTATTGGATGCACAGTGCAAAAAATTAGTAAATTGCACCGTGCAATCAAAAAATAAAATAAAAAAATCGGTTGTTGCACAGTGCGACTTGCGACTTCTCAGACTGCACAGTGCAAAAAATTTGGTAAATTGCACAGTGCAAAAAAAAATATTGAATTGCACTGTGCATCAAAAAAAAAAAGAAAATAAAAAAAATTTTTGTTGCACAGTGCAAATATTAAATTGCACAGTGCAACAAAAAATAAAAATTTCGCACAGTGCAAAATTTTCGAAAAGGAGTGTCTGCACAGTGCAAAAAATTTGGTAAATTGCACAGTGCAAAAAATATTGAATTGCACTGTTCATCAAAAAAAAAAATTTTTTTGTTGCACAGTGCAAAAAATTTTGTCAATTTTGCACAGTGCGAAGTTTTCGATAAAGGATATCTGCACTGTGCAAAAAATTTGGTAAATTGCACCGTGAAATCGAAAAAAAGAAAAAAAAGTTTTTTTTTGCACAGTGCAATTTACGGCTTCTTGGAATGCACAGTGCAAAAAAAATATTGAATTGCACTGTGCATCAAAAAAAAAAAAAAATTTTTTTTTGTTGCACAGTGCAAAAAATTTTGTCAATTTTGCACAGTGCAAAATTTTCGAAAAAGGATATCTGCACTGTGCAAAAAATTTTTTTACTCATGTCAAAGAGAGCGTTCCCACAGACATTTATAGTCCAAAAAACAAAAAAAAACAGCTTCTTACCATACTGTTTCGCGGACACGAGCAGTGCGAACATCAACAACAATATGGAGGTGTACAGGTAGTGCATTCGATCCACAATGTCATCGTCGACGCGGGGCTCCAACAGGCGAAGGGCCGAGGTCAGGAAGTGGAGCCCCACCCGTGAGCCCGCCACCATCCCGGTTGTTGATCGTAAGTTGGCTGGAATGAGGTGAAAAGTCGGAGAAAATTGTGGGGAAATCGTCAACACCTTGCCGAAACTTTGATCTCTAATCAATGATGACGAAAAATTTTTTGGTCCCGATCAGATTTGGGATCGGTTATTGGACGGATAAATCGTCGGGAAACCGGAAAAGACAGGTGTTTTCGATTGGGGCGGGTAATGGAGTGATTAAACGGCCAATTTCATGTCATTTGAGGTGAATTATTTTGGCGATAATGACCAGTTTTTTGCCTCTGACAATTGCAGAGTAAAATATGTTCTGACTTTATGAAATTTTCAACAAAAAATTGAATTTTTTTGGTCAAAATTTCGAAAATAAAAAAAAATTGCCTCAGGCAAGATCCTCGGATTTCCCTCAAATTTGGCATGACCACTCTTGAGACATCACAGATCAACCCATAAAAATTTTAGCTATGAATATCAAGGGGCGGCCGAGATATTCAACAATCTTTTTTCGAGAGAGCACGGAAAATGAGGAGTGCGTTAGAGAAAAAATTCTTTTTTTGTCTATATCTGTGCGGATTTCGCGTAGAAAGAGATGATTTTTTGTAGAAATATTCTAATAAATATAAGAAATGAAACGCCAAATTTTCTTTTTTAAATTCAAAAAAAAAATTTTTTTTGAATATTTTCATTTTTTTCAAAAATCTCCATAATTTTTGCAAATTGCCAGCTAAAACCCTGGATATAGCCTTAGAAAAACGTCTTCTAAATTTTTGCCAAGTTTCAGCAAAATTACAACAGGAAACTTCCAAAAAATCCCCTAATTTCTAATCCATGATGACAAAAAAATTTCAAAAAATTTTTAAAATCTTCAAAAACCTCATTATCTAAAAATTCCGGCCTTCCCAAAAGTTTGGACTCTCTTTACAATCCGAGAGAAATAAAAAGTAATGGAGAAAAACAGAAATTAAAAGTGGCCGGGATATTATTTTTTCTTGGTCTTGATCAAGAAGCGAGAAAAAAGTTTTTGGCTTTTCCATTGTCAATAACGTTCGGCCAAGATAAATTGTGTAAAAAATAGGTGATTTTTTCGGAGCAAGACTTCTTAAAAAACAAAAAAGATTTTTTGCACTGTGCAATTTCAAAAATTGTTTCCACTGCACAGTGCGGTCCATAAAATTTATGTATATATATTTGATTTGCACGGTGCGGTTTGGGGTTATCGAAATTTTTTTACGGTGCGATGACGCCTTTTTCTTTCCTGCACTGTGCAGTGGGAAAAATATGAAAACTGCACAGTGCAGTTGAGAAAATCGCCTTTTTTCCAGTCCGCACAGTGCGAAAATTTTTTTTTGGAATTTTGCACTGTGCAGTTTAAAAATTGTTTCAACTGCACTGTGCAGTTCAGAACTGCATCGCCTTTTTTTGCAGACCGCACAGTGCAAAATTTTTTTTTGGCATTTTGCACTGTGCAGTTTAAAAAATTGTTTGGATTGCACGGTGCAAAAGAAAAATTTGCTTTCCTTATCGCACTGTGCGAAAGACCTTTTTTCCAGACTGCCTGTGCAATTTCAAAATCAGATTCCACTGCACTGTGCAGTGGGAAAAATATAAAAACTGCACAGTGCAGTTGAGAAAATCGCCTTTTTTCCAGACCGCACAGTGCGAAAAACATTTTTTCCGGACTGCACTGTGCAATTTCAAGAATTGTTTCGACTGCACTGTGCAGTTCAGAAAATTGACCTTATTTGCTGACCGCACAGTGCGAAACGTAATTGTTTATCCGACTGCACTGTGCAGTTTAAAAAATTACTTGGATTGCACGGTGCAAAAGAAAAATTTGCTTTCCATATTGCACCGTGCATTAAGTTTTTTGCCAGGTTGCACTGTGCAGTCTCAAAAATCGTCTCTATGGCACAGTGCAGTTGAGAAAATCGCCTTTTTCCCAGGCCGCACTGTGCGAAAAACATTTTTTTCCAGACTGCACTGTGCAATTTCAAAAACAGTTTTGACTGCACTGTGCAGCTCAGAAAATTAAATTTTTTTCCAGACTGCACAGTGCGAAAAGTAATTGTTTATCCGACTGCACTGTGCAATTTCAAGAATTGTTTCGAGTGCACTGTGCAGTTCGGAAAATTGACCTTATTTGCTGACCGCACAGTGCGAAAATTATTTTTCGCCAGACTGCACTGTGCAATTTCAAAATCAGATTCCACTGCACTGTGCAGTGGAAAAAAACTAGCTTTCCATTTTGCACAGTGCGAGCAAAATTTTTTTTTTGAATGTTTGCACAGTGCGGAATAAAATTTGAAAATTTTGCACAGTGCAGTAAAAATTACATTCATTTTGGAGTGCACAGTGCAAAAATCAAAAAAAAAATTTTTGCACAGTGCGCCAGAAATTCTTTTTTTTTGTAAAAACGCACAGTGCAATGACAAAATTTAGGCTGTGCATCGTCTAAAATATTCTAAAAAAAATTTTGGGCTCTTAAAACTAGTAAGAAAAAAGGTTTAAAATTCGCGGTAGAAAGGAACGAAAAAATTACATCTCGAATATTAATATATCCAAAAAAGGAATCTTCCCCGTCCTCCCTCAAATATACAAACCTTGGAGAAGACGTTTCCCTTTCACTTTTCTCATTTCGAACTAAAGACCCTCAGGACGTCAGCTGGTCAGTGTTACGCGAGTCTATAGACTCAATCTTGAAAAAAAATATTTCAAAATTTTCCGCATTTATTTTTTTTTGGGGACAAGAAACATGAGTGATTTTGACAAGTTGAGCGAAAATTGCAAGGTAATAAAAAATTGAAGTCAAAGAAAAAATTTTTTTAAAATTAATAAAAATGTTGATGAAATTTGGGAAAAATTAAGATTAGAATTTTGTAATGGTATATCTGCGAATTTTAACTTGCGTTTTGCAGAAATTATAGGATTTTTTGATAAAAAAAATCATCAAATTTCAAAAAAAAAAAAAAAAAAAAAAAATTTTTTTTTTTTTTTTTATTTTCAAGACTAAAAATTGGCATTTTAGCATTTTATTTCCCTCTCCTGAACTTTCCCACAAAAAAAATCAATTTTTCCCAGCCTAATTCGCAAAAATACCGCCAAAAACCGAGTATTTTCTCTGACCGCTCTCCTCATTCCCCGCACTCTCTCGCCCGCAAAGGCCGTATCTCGGTTCCCGCTGAAACTTGCAAACTAAAACTTTCACAGGTTAAATTTTGCTCCATAAAAGATAATTATGCAAAATTTCAGGCAAATCCGATCATTGTGCCTCAGGCAAATTAAGTTTTAAAATCATCAACCAGGTAAAAATCGTGTAAAAAAAGTTTCTATGAGCCGTTTCCGTCCTGGATTTGGGAGGCAAAGTGGCTTTGGATCTGCGGAACAAGTGTTTTGAGTGATTTGATATCTACTTTTTGACAAGTTCCTGGCATTTTTGGGGGATTAAATTCTCCATGAGGGAAGAATCAGGGTCAAATTTCTTCTAATCATCGATTTTTTTGTGTTTTATTGGGGAAAAAAGCATTTTTAAAGGTCTAAAATGAGAGAATTTCATTGGATACGTATTTAAAAAAAATTTTTTTTTTACAATTTTACATTTTTTTTATTTTTTTAACTTACAAAATCGTCGACAATACATTGACAAGGCTAAATCTAGCCAAATCCTTGCCAAAATATGTATAAAAAACAGCCCAAATATTAGAAATACTCCAAAAAAGCGGCTAATCACGGAGTATGAAGGGCATTTCGGATATTAAAATCCTCGAAAACTTTTTTATTTTAATGAATTCTGAGGCGGACATGTAAAGAAACGGCCTCTAAACTTCACAAGGACATCATTTACAGGACTTGCAATGAGATTTGAAACCTCAGAAAAACAAGTTTTTATATTGTTTTAGATAGCTGTGGCGCGAAATAAAAAACTTACCGGAACTTTTAGACCGATGGGCCGAATTGGCCATGAACCCGAATTCTCAAGCAATGGGGTCGACTGTAAATAGAGTGAAATGCAATCCGCACCTGAGGGCCGGAGAAATCACAATTTGCGGCCGCAAACCCGTCAAACCCATCAAAACGGACGAAATGTCACGTTTTCCCGAAAAAATCGGATTGATCGGCGAAAAACAAATCGAAATCGGAATGGAAAATAAAAGTAGAGGTCTGTTACTGTATATCCTTTACGGTTTCAGTCATTTTACCTCAGGGAATTACGGGTTTTCAAGGGAAAAATCGAAATGTCTTGGATGAAAATAGTGTTTTAGATAAATTTTCTGAATTTTATATAAATTTGGGTTGTAATTTGATTTAAAATCGGGTTTGTAGACGATTTACGGTGCTGTGAAAACTACCATAACTAATTCGAAGCGACTTCCCTGATTTTCAGTAATTTTGGCATTCTGCATCAAGCCAAATTTTTCGGCGAATTTTCTCAATTCTCTCAATTTAGCCCTCTAAAACAAGGAAAACCCCGTCAATTTTTTGCTGTAAAATTGTAAAAACCTTTATTCTTGATTTTAAAACATTAATTTCACCTTTTTGCAGCCATGAAGTCCCTCAATTCCATCAAAAAGCCGCCAAAGGCAAAGAAAGTCAAGTCGGAGAGGGAAGAAGACGGTTCGGCTGGCTCAAGTAAACTGCCCGACACGCCGGACCACATTCAGGACGGCCAACATGGCTACATGGTCAAGTTGAGACTGTTAAATCCGAACTTGACGTGCGGTCTGTGCGAGGGTTACCTGATAGATGCGATCACCATCATGGATTGTCTTCATTCGTTCTGCAAGAGCTGTTTATTGATGTATTTTGAAGGTAAGGTGTTTTACATTTGTTCTTCTTGAATTTAGGAAGCTTTTCCTTGAAAAACTAGCGAGGAATTTTGAGAAATCGCGGAGGTTTTGATCGAAATATTATTCATGGTTGAGCTTTATTGGCTTGTCAAATTTTTTGGTATTTTTTGATGTCTAATGAAGTAGTTAGGTAGAATAAGTTTCTCACAGCTTCTTTTTGATGTTGTATATATTTTCACCGCAAAAAATGCGATAAATTTGAGGAAATCGCTGAGTTTTACATCAAAATATTATCCATGATATATGTGCAAGTTCTTGGCCAATTTCTTTTATGTTAAGTGGGCTTATTAGATAAAATAAGACTGCCAATGCGTTTTTCTTGAGTTTAAGAACATTTCCAGCAAAAATATTGCTATAAAATTTCAAGAATTATCCGAGTTTCGTCTAAAAATATTATCCATGGTGTATTTTTGACAGTTTCATCAATCGTTTGTCTTTTTTGGCCTCAATATCTTTCATTTTAGATAATAAAGACTGTCCAAAGTGTCACTTTGTAATTCATCAATCCCATCCCACTCATTACGTCACGTACGATCGGACATTACAAGAAATTGTCTATAAACTAGTCCCAGGCCTTCTGGAAGCCGAACAAAAGCGAAGAAAGCTCTTCTACGAAGAACGAAAACGTCTGGGGATCATTGACGGTGAAGACGAGGAAGAGAGCGATCATGTGCTCAAAAAGGACGAACAGGGTATGTTATTCTTGACCTTCTTTGGTATCTGATGTTTAGAGTACGAAAATGGAGTTGTGCCGCTAAAAAGCAATGGAATATGTTGCGAAGAGGCCGAAACACATCTGGCACATAATAGAGCAGGTGATAAGGATGCGGTTTGTCTCACACCGGCCGACGATTCACCGAAATTAAAGCATATTATAATAGCTTTATCTCGTAGGTTAACGACCCAAAATTTTGATGTCCTATTTTTCGCAGCGCTTGCCACAATTACCTCGCTGAAACGGCTGATCTCCTACTACCTCTACGACGGCGATATCTCACATTACAACGAGTTCGACATCTTCTGCAACGACGAATTGATGGGCCGCGATTATTCGGTCGTTTTCATCCGTAAAACCCGCCTCAGGCAGTTGGATCCGGACGAGCCGATTCATTTGGTGTACAAGAAACATGTGGAATTTTGATTTTTTTCATTTTTTTGCAATTTTTTAAAAATTTTTTGATAATTTTTTAAAATTTTTTATCAATTTAACTATTATTTATTGAATTTCATAGCTATTTACCAATTTTATAACTCATTTCAAGTCGTTGCAACCAGTTTTAACTAAACTTTTTATTTATTTTTATATTATACTAGACATTGAGCTGGAAAAATCGAATAAACGGGTCATTTTTTATAAATTTTTTGAACTGCTTTGACTTTTTTGCAAGTGTTTAGACATTTTTCAAATATTTTCTGCAATTTTTATTTTGTTTTTTTAGAATTTCCGCTGCAAAAATAAGTTTACTCTGAGAGTTTCTGCTTTTTCTCGAGTTTCTCTCGTTTTGCGGCCTATTTCTGGTCTCGGGTTTGTTTGTAGAGCGATTTCGAAAGCCAGAATGGCTTGAGCAGCAGCTTATCAGTGATTTACGAAAGGTATTTTTTGTTCTTTCACTGAATTTGAGCTTGTTCAACAGAAATTTTGGATTTTTGAGGTGACCCAAAAAATGCGTCATTATGACAGGTTAAAATGATTCGATTTTTTTCAAATTTTGAGTGAATATTCTTTAGAGGGGAAGTGTTGATCCCTGAAAAATTGAGATTATTCGGTGCAAAGGTGGCTGAGATATTGAACGATTTTTGGAGAGAAACGGTGGGAAAATGAGGAGGTACAGGAAGAGAAAAGTTTTTTTTTTCAATATCTCTTTGAATTTTGCGAGGAAAGAAGTGATTTTTTGCACAAATTGTGTACTTATCAGTCTCATCAAAAGGGCGTTACAAAAAATTTTTTGGGTCGACGATACTATGGATCGCCTCGGTTTGTCCTTGAATGCATGGGGAGGCTAGAAGAAGGCTCATTTAGTATAAATAATAAGATTGATTGGGTCCTAGGATAGCTCACCACCTATTTTGAGGCAATTTACATGCACTCACATCAATAATATCAAGATAAAAGTTACGGATCTTCGTTTTTTGCCGCAAATTTTGGTCTTTTATATGTTACAATAATTCAGGGTAAAGAAAAGCAACGTTTGTAATAGCTAAAATTAGAAAAAGTGGGCATATTTCAAGCCTTCGACAAGTCTTCGCCGAGCCTTCGCCGATAATTCAGTGGCCTTGCCAGGCCTCGTAGGCACTTCCAACAACCTTTTTTTGGGTATCCACCTACCTTTACGCCTCATATCGATCGGTTTTGTGCTGACCCGAACTGTCGGGACGCGAAAAAATTCATTCATTGTTCTTAAAAATCCCATTTTTTCATTCAAATTCACTTTGAAATCACCACAAAAAACTCTCCGTCACATGTCGTAAAAAACAATATTGATCCCAGGTCATGCTCAAGTTTTTTTGCAAGTTATTTATTTGCCAATCACTGGGAAGACGCTGAGCGTCTGTTTCCACGTGCAATTTCGGCCAAAACAAGAGTCTAAAAATACTGTGTCTGTTTCTAAAAATTCCCCTCTTTATCCAATTTTTCGTGCGAAAAATGAATTCGTAGGTCCGATGGCTCGAGGGGCTTTTTGAAGCAGAAAAAGGAGCGTACTTTGGCCAAGACCGACGTTTTTTCCGACAGAGATCACTTTCTCCGGAATTTGAATATCTTAGTGGGAAAAAAAAGATAAATTGATACACTTAAAGCTTAAAATGTTGATGAAACTTGACACCAATTAAGAGGAATTTTTTTGGGGCATTTCCGACAAATTTAGCTAGCGTTTTGCATAAATTATCGGGATTTTTCGATGGAAATTTGACAAAAATTCGAAATTAAAAAAAACTTGAGCATGATCAATATTGTTTTCTACGACATGTGACGGAGAGTTTTTTTGTGATGATTTCAAACTGAATTTGAATAAAAAAAATGGGATTTTTAACAACAATGAATAATTTTTTCGCGTCCCGACTTTTCGGGTCAATACAAAATCGATCGATACGGGGCGTAGGGCAGGTGGATACCCAAAATAAGGTTGTAGGAAGTGCCTACGAGGCCTGGCAAAGCCGTTGGATGGTCGGCGAAGGCTCGGCGAAGACTTGGCGAAGGCTTGAAATATCTCCACTTTTTCTAATTTTAGCTATTACTAACGTTAGTTTTCTTTACCCTCAGTTATTGTGACATATAAAAGACCAAAATTTGCGGCAAAAAACGAAGATCCATAGCTTTTATCTAGATATTATTGATGCGAGTACATGTAAATTGCCTCAAAATAGGTGACAAGCTATCCTAGGACTCGATCAATCTTATTATTTCTGCTAACTAAGCCTTCTCCTAGCCTCTCCCATGCATACAACGACGAACCGACCGATCCATGGTATCGTTGACCCGAGCTGTCGCTGACCCTAAAAGTGTAACGCCGGCATTTATAATTTAATTAAAAATTGGCTGAATCTATTCTTACGCTGATGCAAGGGATGTTGTTGAAGATTACATCAGAATAAACAGATTAGATGTGAGTGTAATTTATGGCTCTGGATTTGCAAAAGCTTGTCCAGAAAATGTGTCACGATGACACCCGTTTAAATTATGTTAGTCAGTCACTGACATGTTTTAACCGGTGTCATCGTGACACATTTTCTGGACACACGAAGCTTTGCAAATCCAGAGCCGTAAATTTCACTCGCATCTAATCTGTTTATTTTGATGTAATCTTCAGTAACATCCCTTGCATCGGAGTAAAAATAGCTTCTAATTTTGTTTTCAACCGCAAATACACTTTGCTTTATTGTTTACAACGACCGAAATTTGTCTAAATTTACCTACCGTAGTTGTTGAAAGCCGTTTTTGTTTTGGCGGGAAAAATGTTTTGAATGAAAAGGCGAAGTGTTTGGGTGCGTTTTTGTAACCCATTTTAAAAAATATTTTTTCGATATTTTACAATTAGACAGTTTAATGATCTTTGAAATAGGATTTGAAATGATAAAAAAAAAGTTGGTTACGGTAAAAATATTGGAAAATAACAAAATCGCACAGTGCAGAAATTTGGAAAAGTTTTTTGACAGGAAAAATAAAAAAATCCAATTTAAAGACGAAAAATTTTTTGAAAATTTTTGTTTTTTTTTGTAGAAAATCCTCGGTCGACGTTTACTACAATATTCGAATTTTTTATCCAGAAAATCCCAAAAAAGTTTCAAATTTTTGCTATTTTTTGGCCTAAAAATCTCGGCGTTTTCTGTAAAACGCGACAAGTTTTTATCCATGTCAGTCTGTCGGGAAAATAATGAACACAATTTCGCTGCGCCAATCGTGTCGCTGAAGTGAAAAGCAACTTGGTTATTTTCTTTATATTCATTTTCTCGCCGGCGATGCGATTTTCGATGCGACAGAGTGCTCATTATTTCCCCGACAGACTGACATTGATAAAACTTGTCGCGTTTTACAGAAAACGCCGAGATTTTTAGGCCAAAAAATTGCAAAAATTTAAAATCTTTTTTGGGATTTTTTGAATAAAAAAATTCGCGTATTTTGCTAAACGTCGAGCGAGGATTTTCCACAAAGAAAAATAAAAATTTTCGAAAAATTTTTCCTCGCCAAATTGGATTTTTTTTTTCCTGTCAAAAAAATTTTCCAAGATTCTGAACTATGCGATTTTTTATTTTCTAACATTTTTACCGAAAAAAATCGAATTTTTATTATCACTTTTTTTTGCAAATTTTTTAAATTTAAAATTTGATTCCAAAATCATAGGATTTCCATTTTCTATCTCCATAAAATTTCGTTTTCACCCCCTTTTTGAATGTTGTTTACGTCCGAAAAGACCTCGTGTTTCCTTTTTTTCCGCCGATTCATCTGCAAAACAAGAGAGAGGGCCGTTAAAAAAAAGTATGAAAAAACTTTGTTTTGCACTTTTCGCAGGGAAAATGATCATTTTGAAACATGTTGTAAAAAAAATTAAATTTATGGACGGCAGATTAAACGGATCGAAACGAAATGTTTTGAATTTTAAAGACAAAATAGTTGATTTGAATTCAATCTCATATGATACTTACCGCAAAAAATTAGAAATTGAATTTTTTCAAGACATGTTTGAGGTTTTTACATGGCTTTACAGTAACCATCGGCATTTTTTTGTCGAAAAATTGACAAAAAATATTTTAACTCAACTTATTTTTCTCAAAATTTCATTTTTACAGTACTTTTTCACTTGATTTTCTTAATTAATCTTCAATTCGTCCAATCGGGTTCGAATCCTTCTAAATTGTAATTTTCCCGTCGATTGCCGAAATTTTCTGTTCGAACAAGAAGGAAGTGTTGTGTAATGGTTCATAAATCGCTGTCCGGTTGGACAAATGTGAGCGCCACGTGTTTTGGGAGACCGGGAGGGGAGAGAAAGTTCGAAAAACAGGCTCTTTGAGAAGTTTTCTTGGGGATTTGGTTCTCAAATATAAACAGTTGGCCAAAAAGTGCATTTTGAGCCAAAAAATCTCAAAAATAATATTGGATTTACTGTGGATTCTCAGTTTGAGATGGGCTCGATTACTGTAAACAGGATTTTTGGACATCCTAATTTTAGTGTTTACTAAAAATTCCGCTACGTTTGTTACAACGAAAAAGGTGCAATTCTGGTAGAGGAAGGGTCCAGGAGAAAATTTATTACACAAAAATAAAAATGAGGGTGTTATTTTGGGCAGAAATATCAATTTGTCGGAAAAATAATGAACGTAATGTCGCTGCACCAATCGCTTTTGACCAACTACAGTGGCAGACCTGATCCAGTCGCAAAAAACGTATCATTTTGCATCCGGGAAGTATAAAAAATGTGGCAAAATGTCTCACTCTCTAAGTGAAAAAACTCCGTTTTCAAGGGCTCCCTCACGAAAAGAGCGGGCGTGCTTTTGAAATTGGAGTTTTTTCACTTGGAGAGGGAGGTATTTTACTACATTTTTTATGCTTCCCGGATGCAAAATAATACGTTTTTTGCGACTGGATCAGGTCTGCCACTGTAGTTGGTCAAAAGCGATTGGTGCAGCGACATTGCGCTCATTATTTTCTTGAGACTGATATTTCCGCCCAAAATAACACCCTCATTTTTATTTTTGTGTAATAGATTTTATCCTGGACCCTTCTTCGACCAGAATTTCACCTTTTTCGTTGTAGCAAACGTAGTGGAATTTTTAGTAAACACTAATTTTAGATTGCCCAAAAATCCTGTTTACAGTAATCGAGCCCATCTCATGCTGAAAATCCAACGTACTTTTTGGCTAACTGTTTATCTTTGAGAACTAATTCCCCGAGAAAAATTCCCATTGAGCCTGTTTTTCGAACTTCTTCTCCCCTCCCGGTCTCCCAAAACACGTGGCGCTCACATTTGTCCAACGGACAATAAATTTTCTCCTGGACCCTTCTTTGAATAGGCCCACCGCTGTATTTATCTTTAAAATACAGTTGGTTGTTTTTTGGATACTTTTTGATACCTTTTGAGCAGTGAAGAAGTTATTTTCGATCTTTGGTCGCTACAACTTTAATTATAGTGGTATTTGCGATACCACTATCTTATCAATGCATCAACCGCTTCCTGTACAGTCATTTGTATTTCTTGTATTTTTCAATTTCCTCAAACTTGTTGTTGTTCATTTTGTCTCCCTTATCGACTACCATAGACTTGGTAAACCCTTTAATCTTATCGAAAATACATTTCGCCCATTCGAAAATTGATGGAAACCGCGTGCTGGCAAGGCCGTTTACACAACTGATAAAAAAACTTTTTTTCCCTTGCGTACACATCAGATAGCAAATATAGCGCTGGTATTTGCGAAAACAATCTTTACACTAAATATTCTATTATGAAAGGGTTGTAAAAAAGATTTGATGATAATGAAGGGGTATTAAGATTGAGAGAAAAAGTAATTGGACGATTAACGAAAAGTAACAAAAAAAAACAAAAAAATTTGGAAGCAAAACACGTTTTTGTGTGGGAAAATGAAACAATTTTACAGCGCGAGTTGTAATGCTTAACAAAAGCTGTGAAAAGAAGCCGAAATAAATCGAAAATATGATTGGACCCGAAGAGGGCACCTGGAAAAGAAAGGATAAGATCGTGCTAGGCAGGGATATCCTTTGATTTTTAGGTCGAAAATTGGCCGACACCCAATATTTTTTCGAGATTTTTGGCCGAACAATTTGCGTTCCCTTTCTAAAATGCTGTACAATATTCCAACAGAAAATCAATTTTTTCCACGCCAAATTCGCAAAGATAGAGCTGAAAACATTTTTTCTCTTCCCGTCTCTTCATTTTCAGCACTTCGTCGTTAAGATCGTTGAATATCTCTGCTCTCACTGCAAGGAACAAGCTGAAACTTACAGACATTGAAATGTGGCCTAGCTAGGGCATGTAAGCCAAATTTGAAGAAAATCGAAGCCTTGACCCTCGAGATATTTTCGAGTTGGCCCAGGGCACCCAACTTTTTCGAAGAGGCAACTGGGCGAAGATGTTACCTTGAAAGTAATATGGTAAAGGGGACCAAGGATTTTTTTACATTCTTTAAGAATCTTTCTTGGTCCCCTCTTAACTTATCTTTTTTCCTCAAGGTGCCATCTTCGCCCAGGTGCCCTCTTCGAAAAAATTTGTTGCTCTCTACCAAATCGAAAATATCGCGAAGGTCAAGGCTTGGATTTTCTTCAAATTTGGTCTACATAGCCTAGACAGGCCACATTTCAATGTCTGAAAGTTTCAGCTTGCTCTTTGCGCTGAGAGCCGAGATATTCAACGATCTTAACGAGAAAGTGCTGAAAATGAAGAGACGGGGAGAGAAAAAATTTCTTCAGCTATATCTTTGCGAATTTGGCTTTGAAAAAATTGATTTTCTGTTGGAATGTTGTAAAACATTTTGGGAAGGGAATGTAAATTTTTTGGCCTAAAAATCCCAAAAAAAATATTTAATGTCGGCCAATTTTCGACCTAAAAATCAAAAGATATCCCTGTCTAGCATGATTGAAAACCGATTTTCTTACTGTAGCTTGCATTGTTTTTCGTTCATTTTTTTGCAAGCTCAAGATCTTTCTTTACTTTTCCTAACCCTTCCTCGGAATGACCTAGGCGAGCTGAAAACAGCCATTTGTCACGCCGCCAATCATTAAAGATTGTGCCGAGGGACAGCTGAGGGCCAGCTTTTACTAAGAGTGCAAGTTCTGCAAGTGTGACGCTCATATTTTGACGGAACTTGGCACAAATTTAGAATTTGTTTTTTTAACCTCCGAAAAAATCTGACATTTCTTGGTGATTTTCAACCGGAAAAATCCGAAATTTCTCGATCATTTTCATCCGAAAAACACGGGTTTTTGGGGGTAAAAGGACCATACTTCAAAAGGTCGTAAAGACCTCACGTTGCACTTTAAAATGTTGTTATTTCGTAGACAAAAATTAATGTCGCTTAAAAATACATATTCCAAAAACGAAGTCTCTGCGCCGCCTCCGCCGAAAGTTATAGCCTCCGAGTTTCCTTCATGTTTCTTGAAGGACCCTGTAACTGAGCAGATTTTTTGGGCCAAATCATGAAAAATTAGATAAAAAATGTGGATTTTGTATTTTCTATCCAATTAAAAATAGTTTCTCCAATTTCTCGTGACATTTGTATGTTTCTAATGAGACATTCAATATTCTCCGCTGTCCGTAGAAGGGAAGCGAACGGGACTTGTTTTCCCCCTTTTTTGGCCACATGACTTTGAAAAAAAAATTGAATGGAAGGCCGGGCTTGCGACTAAATTTGGGCCCAGAAAAGGGCTATAAACAACAATCGAATCAAAAACAGGACGAATTTTGCTTTCAAATGCATTTGAATCGCATTTTAACTGTAAAACAATGGAATTGAAGGTGAAAAAAGGATTAGAGGAGTGTTCCAATGGAGATGCTCGGATTTCCTTCAAATTTTGGACACGGACTGTGCATAGGCCACATATCATTTGCTGAAAATTTTAGCTCGCGCTTTGCAGGGAGAGCCGATATATTCAACGATCTTTGCGGCCGAGAGAGTACGCAAAACGAGGAGGGCGGACAAAGTGGAAAACATTTTTGGTCATATCTTTGTTAAATCAATCTCAATATCACTACTACATAGTAGGCAATGAAATTGATAAAGATATGACCAAAAATGTCTTCCTCTTTGTCCGCCCTCCTCGTTTTTCGTACTCTCTCGGCCACAAAGATTGTTGAATATCTCGGCTCTCCCTGCAAAGCGCGAGCTAAAATTTTCAGCAATTGATATGTGGTCTACAGTCTCTGTCCAAAATTTGAAGGAAATCTGAGCGTCGCACTTGGAACACTCCTCTAATTCTTTTTTCACCTCCAATTCCATTGTTTTACCGTTAAAATGCGATTCAAATGCATTTGAACGCAAAGTTCGCCCTGCTTTTGGTTCGATTGTTGTTTATAGCCCTTTTCTGGGCCTAAATTTAGCCGCGAGCCCGGCCTTCCAAAATTTGAAGGAAATCTGAGCGTCGCAATTGAGACATCTCCTCCTTGTTGACTATAAATCAATGCTCTCCGAAACACCCACAATTCCAAACAGTAATCAAAAAAATTTTTTTGACAAACTCATTAACAAGTTGCGTCATGCTATGTTCACTTGTTTTCGACCCACTTTTTTCCCATCTTACGGTATTCATTTCCCAAGCAAGCCGTAAAAAATGCAGTAATCAACATGTTTACGAAGAAGAAATTTATTAGTTTATTTTCGGAACGTTTGGATATTCTCTTGTAATGTACAAGTAACCGTTGGTTGTAAAATATTTTTAAGAGGTTACCATTTTAAAACAATGATTTTGTGGAGTTCAAATAGATAGACTAACTACAATATTGAACAAATAGACGGGAAAAAGAGAACTACCATATTTTATACTGGGGCAAGTGGTTTTAAAATTTCAAAATTAGGATAGTGGAGTCTTGGGGACAAAATTTTTTTTAATTTTGAAAAATCGAAAAAATTCAAAAAAATTAGAAATTTTAAGTTTTTTTTATTTTTTTTTTATTTTCCTAAAAAATCAGAAAAAATTTAAAAAATCTAAAAATCCAAAAAAAAATTTTTTTATCCCAAAATTCCACCCAAAAACTCCAAAATTATACTATACTAATAATTACACTACTATGTACACGTAGAAAGATTATATGCACCGTCCTCTCGACTTATTGCTCCTCCAGAATCCGCTTCTGGCGCTTCATAAACTCCTTGAAGTCCACGTTCTCGGTGATCGAAGACTTTCGCTGAGTGGAGCCGTCGGATTCGGAGAGCGACGCCTTCCGATGGAATGGGCCGGTGAACATTTCGGTGAATGAGAAGCGACGGCCGGTGCTGGAGGCGTTCGGCGAGTCTTCGCTGGCGTTGGAATCGACGCTGATGGTGCGGACGCGGGCTGAAAATAAAAAAAATGTGAAAAAAATAAAAAAAAAAAATTTTTTTTTAATTTGCTTTAAAATTTTCATATTTTGAAAAAGCAGATTTTTTAAAAATTTTTGGTCGAAAAATTGCAAAAAATCTCGTTTAAAAAACCAAAAAAATCCAAAAAATTTTAAAAAAATCTCAAATTTTTTTAAATTTTCCAAAAAAAACTATATTTACTCACCCACTGGCGGCTTCCAGAGCACATCGGTATCGAAATCGGGGCGAATTCGGAGCGGTTTGTCTTGCATTTTTAGTAAATAATGTCGAGCGACCAAAGTTTCTTCGAACAGCTTGTACTGCCTTTAGAATCCCGTTCTGGGCTTTGTTTTCACCATTTTTCCGGCTATTTATACGCTACTCCCTCTAATAAAAAAAAGTGGGCGGGGCCGTGGGATCAAAACAAATTTCGCCAAAACATTTGCCGCACCGTGCAACGGGGCGGTCTCATCGCACCGTGCAGTCTCTATTTTCTGTCGCACCGTGCAGTCTCTATTTTCTGTCGCACTGTGCACTCTCTTTTTGTCGCACCAAGTCTCTTTTTCAATGCACCGTGCAGTCTCTATTTTCTGTCGCACCGTGCAGTCTCTTCTTTTTTCCGCACTGTGCAGTCTCTGCTTTTTTCCGCACTGTGCAGTCTCTTCTTTTTGTCGCACCAAGTCTCTTTTTCCAATTGCACTGTGCAGTCTCTTCTTTTTTCCGCACTGTGCAGTCTCTTCTTTTTGTCGCACCAAGTCTCTTTTTTCAATGCACCGTGCAGTCTCTTTTTCTATTGCACCGTGCAGTCTCTTCTTTTTTCCGCACCGTGCAGTCTCTTCTTTTTGTCGCACCAAGTCTCTTCTTTCCATTGCACCGTGCAATGTCTCCCCTTTTGTCGCTTTCGTTTTATCTCCGCACTGTGCAGTCTCCCCCTTCCCTTGTCGCGCCCCTTTCTTCTCCGCACCGTGCAGTCCCCCCATTTCCTTTGTCGCGCTCCTTTCATCTCCGCACTGTGCAATGTCTCCCGTTTGTCTTCCTCTCCGCACTGTGCGCTCTCCTTCTCCTCTGTTTTCATTAACTCCCGTCCACTGTCTCGTAAATGCTCCAAAAGAAATTCCAAAGATCCCTCACGACTCCTCCCTCCAATTTTTGCAGCTTCTTCGGGCCGAAACTAAGCTTGTTTACGACGAACGGACGGAGAGATTGCGTATGATCGCACTGTGCACGGAAATATTGATGTTGACACGGATAAATAGGATGAAAAGATATTTCGGATGAGGTGGGAGGCTTCTGGAAGAAATTGGAGAGTGAAACGAGTGCGATTCGTTAAGAAAACAGCAGACTTTTGGATGATATTGTATTTAATGATGACAAAAAAGAGAAATCTCTCCAAAAAAGTCTGTTTTTCAAAAAAAAAAAAAAAAAAAAAAAAAAACGATAAAAATTAGATTTACATATACTAGCAGACAATTTAAAGTAACTACCCAACATACCACTTCAAAATACATTGAAAAAATAAAAAAAAATCGAAAAAATCCGAAATTTTTGATTTTTTCGTATATTGCTCCGTTGACACAGTAAAAATCCTTTATTTCCCACAATATTCAAACACAATATTACTGATACAAGTCTGTCAGACACACACTGGTTTTAATTTGCATATCGTCCTCGGACAGGACGATATTGTAATCGTCTTTCCAGCCGGCATCCAGAGTGTAATACTTGCGACAAACCCCATCGCAGGCGTGGTAACTGAAAATTTATGGTTTATAGAGAGCCCAAAGTCTTTCAAATTAAAGGTAGCGACGAGTCATTTGATTGCTTACATCTCCAACCATGCATAGACGATCTTTCCTTGAGTACTGCATTGAATGTCAAAGGATCCGTCCGGCTTCACAGTCTGCCTTCCACAAAACGGATGGCCGTGAAAGGCGTTGATGAACATTTGCATTTTCTGAAAACGCAACGTGAGCTATGCATTCGGAGAAGCGCCGTTTTTTAGCGCTAAAGTGATAAAATGGTCGCATTTTCGACATTTTTGACCAAAAAATCGTGGTAATTTTTTCAAAACGTGATTCGAAAACTTCGAATATATGTTAAAAACTTTGAATTTTAATTCTTGCCAAATTTCATCAAAATCCGTGCAATAATACTTTAAAAAATTCAAAATTCCCGCCATTTTTGGCATTCTGTTCAACTTTCAAAAATCGGTCGAAAAAAGTGGATACCACAAAATTACGTCGTACAAATGCTATATACTTACTGAAGATGTCTCAAATTGCAATTTGAGACTTAAGAATTCAAAATTCCCGCCAATTTTGGCATTCTGCACAATCTTCAAAAATCGGTCGAGAAACGTATAAACTAACAAAATCACGTCGTTTAAAGGCTATATACTTACTAAAATGCTTCACATTGCAATTTGAAACTTCAAAATTCATAATTCCCGCCATTTTTGGCATTCTGTTCAACTTTCAAAAATCGGTCGAAAAACGTACACACTAACAAAATCACGTTGTATAAATGCCATATGCTTTATTAAAATGTCTAATATTGCAACTTGAGACTTGAAAATTCAAAATTCCCGCCATTTTTGGCATTCTGTTCAACTTTCAAAAAGCGGTCAATAAACTAATGGAAATAAATAAAAACCGTATTTTAGGAGATCAAAATCACTTTTTTCGAAAAAAATACTCGATATATCGAATCAAAACGGACTTACAATCTCTCGTTTGCCATGAAGACTCTCGCTCCCGCGACAACTCACGCGTCCCTTGGCCAGAAGTTCGGTGTGTTCGGCCGAAATAACCGAAATGATCCCCAAGATCACAGTGATAATCCACAGCGGGAAACGCCGCATTTTCGTGGGCAAAAGCGAACGAAAAAAGAGACGCTGACTTTAAACTGTATTTTTTTATTTTTGTTTCTAACAAAAACGAAACATAGCCGCCTTGAAAAAGAAGCTGCTTCTCTGTGTGTCATTTCGGCTTGATTCAACCGGACATTGAAAATTTTTTGATGCTTTGATATTGCAGTAGATGGCATTTTTGTTTGAGCCGAATTGATCTGCATTGTGCAATACCCATTGAAGTGTGCATGGTGCAAATTTTTGGAAATAAAAAACATCCCATTTACTGCACAGTGAAATCATCACATTTCATTTTTCTGCACTGTGCCGCTGAATAAAACATTTTTCTTTTTTGACTGCACAGTGCAAAAAAACTAAAAATTTGCACTGTGCAATACCCATTGAATTGTGCAAAGTGCAAATTTTTAAAAATAAAAAACATCCCTTTTGCTGCACAATGTAACCATCAGTTTTCATTTTTCTGCACTGTGCAGCGCAAAAAACATCCTTCTTTTTGGACTGCACAGTGCAGAAAAACTAAAAATTTGAACTGTGCAATACCGATTGAGTTGTGCACGGTGCATATTTTTGAAAACAAAAAACATCCCTTTTACTGCGCAGTGAAATCACCACATTTCATTTTTCTGCACTGTGCAGCTCAAAAAACATTTTTCTTTTTTGACTGCACAGTGCAGAAAAACCAAAAATTTGCACCGCCCTTTACGGCGTTTACCCACTTTTTTCCTCCCAGAACTTCATAGATCTCTCATGAATGATCACATTTTTTCAGCCGGCAAAGTGACGATAGGGCCAGAAACCTTTCATATCCGTTCTCGTTGGTCCCTCTCCTGTTTACGACGGCTTTCTCTGTTGATGCACTTGACAAGAGGGTCGTTTATATGTATTTGGAGCAACGCAAATTTAAAACGGGCCGGGCCGGCCGGAACCCTTCAGGCCAGGATTTTCGGCCCGGGCCGGCCGACGAGCCATGTCTATGTCAGAGTACACTTGATTACATTAATAAAAAGGCAGAGCAAACATTAATTTTTTCCAAGGCGCATGCTAGACTTCTAGCTCGCGCTTTGCAGAAATGGCCGAGATTTTACATCGAAATTCGACGAAAATGTGACATTTTTTGCGAATTTGGACACAAAGTTTCGTGGCTGTTTCCACCATAGAGAGTGATGTTGAAAATCAAAAAAAAAATTTTTTTTCTAAAGCAAGCAATCTCATCTGTGTGTATTCAAATAATTTATTTCCACTCTTCAATAAATAAAAACTTAAATTCTCCCCCAAAACGGCCTTAGGCAATCCGCTTCTTGGCGCGCTCGAACACCTCCTTGTCGGAGGGGAATTCCCGGCGGTTGAAGAGGAACTCGCAGCGGATGGTGAACGTGATCTGCGACTGTCTGCAGTTCTTGTCTCTCCACAGGAACCAATCGTCGCCGCGCCGCTCCAGCCGATGCGTGTAGAAGACGAAGCAGGAGCGGTGGACTTGCGGGTCGCGTTTGATCAGGTAGACGGTGTCGGCGTGCGGACAATGGAGGTCGCAATAAGTGCGGGCGGTGCCGTTCACGGTCTCCTGAATTTTTTTCGAATTTTTACGACAATTTTTTTTTCGAATTTTGATTTTTTTTTATTTCAGGAAAGATTTTTTTTTATTTTATGACTGCACCGTGCATTGAAAGAAAACCAAATTTTGCACTGTGCAGTCGAAAACGAGCCTTGTTTTTCGGCTTGCACAGTGCAGAAAAACTAAAAATTTGCACTGTGCAATACCAATTGAATTGTGCACTGTGCAAATTTTCGAAAATAAAAAACTTCCCTTTTACTGCTCAGTGAAACTATCACATTTCATTTTTTTGCACTGTGCAGCTCAAAAAACATTTTTCTTTTTTGACTGCACAGTGCAGAAAAACTAAAAATTTGCACTGTGCGGTACCCATTGAATTGTGTACTGTGCGAATTTTTCAGTAGTAAAAATCTGTACTTTTAATGTACATTGCAAACATCAAATTGTATTTTTCTGCACTGTGCAGCTCAAAAAACGCTTTTCTTTTTTGACTGCACAGTGCAAAATACAAAATTTGTAATTTGTCAAAAAAGAGACAAATAAAAAATGTAACTCACATCAAAGCAGCCGGCTTCCTTCTCTCCCAATCGCCGAGTCCGATCAGTTTCAGTTTCACGAAGGGCAATCGTGCAGCTGGCCTTCTCCTTGCTGATCTTGTCGGGACCACTTCCTTCCTTCGTGGTGCAAATCAAGTCTCTCCATTCTGAAGAAAAACGATTTTACAAGAGTCCTTCTTTCTATTGGTATTAATTATCAACCGTATTTCACCTATATTTGGGAGATTTGTAATGAAAATCAAAAATTTTTGATCTCATGGATAATATAATTTTTTGTCTAGAAATTACCAATCGTCTAAGGGATGAAAAATTAGAACAATTTATCGTATTCTCACGACTAGTTCTCGCTTTTGAGAGTAATTTTGATTAGTTTAGGAGATATAAAACACAATGCCAAAAGTGGCGGGAATTCAAAAATTCAAATTCGAATTGATCTTGAAGGGCACTCTGTTGAATCTACAGTGAGTTCTGTGTGTTTTAAATGCCCTTTGGCTTGTTTCTAGCTAAATTAAACACTTCGGAACATAATGCCAAAAATGGCGGGAATTCAAAATTTTTGAAAATTTCTTGCGGTTCAATGACTGAAAATGCAAATTCAAGCCTCATAAAGGACTAATCTACTTTGGAATCTTGATTTTTTCCGCATAATTGACGTTTTTTCCCAGTTTTATATCAAATGGCTACTGCAATATCCAAATTTTCCCAAATCTCACTTACGCCAATGAACCGAAGATTCGGGGTTGGTCTGGCAGTAAACCAGCCCAATAGCCAACACACTCAACACAACAAACACCTTCATGACGCCGAATGACATCTTTTACCTCCAAATCCTCGCCCTTTATAAATCGTTGCGCAACGTCCGGGAAAACTGGCTTTCCTTCTAGATGGCTATCTAAATGTTTTTTCGAATGACTGATGAAGGGAGTGCCGAGATCCCAAGTCATGTTTCGACGGCGATGAGTGGGGATTTTGCTATTTTTTAAAAGTGTAAAGATCGAGGCGCATCCGTGTTGCGCAATCGGAGAAAATTGATGACATAAGAAGAAAAAACAGTGTGCAAAGTCATATTAGTATCAATTTATGGCCTGTAAGGACCATTCTTGGCAGATTTGAAGGAAATGTTTAGTACTTTTATAAAGAAAAAGTCATTTCTGCAATGATTTTTAGTCGTTTGAAATTTTTAAATTTCAAATTCCCGCCAATTTTGGCATTGTGTTTTAGACTTGTTCAGCGCTGTAAAAGGGTTTAAAAAAATTTTCTCGAATTTTGATGAAATTTGGCACAAATTAAAACCACAATTTTGCAAAAAATTACCTAAAATTTCTTCGGCCGTCTCTTCTTTTTTGTAGTCCATCCTCAGCAAAGAATGTTGAATATCGCCGTCGTCGCTGAAAGTTGCGAGCTAAAAATTTCAGCGATTGATTTATGGCCTGTAAGGACCATTCTTGACAGATTTCAAGGAAATGGGAAAATTATGCCTCGAGCAATTTAAGTTTTTTAATAAAATTACGAAAAAAATCCGGAGAAAAAAACGATTTCGCTGTAAAATAAACAAAGATGTTGTCCTAAAAACACTGAAAATTGCTTTAAAAATATGCAATGACAACTATTAGCACTTTCATAAAGTGCATGGACATTTGCCGCTCCCGCACCGTGCAGTTTCTATGCACTTTATGAAAATACTAAAAGTTGTCATTGCGTATTTTAAAAATAATTTTCCGTATTTTTATGCCAACATCTTTGTTGATTTTACAGCGAAATCGATTTTTTCTCCGGATTTTTCGTAATTTTATTAAAAAACTCAAATTGCTCGAGGCAAAATCCTCCGATTTCCTTCCAATCCGCCAAGAAAGGTCCTTACAGACCATAAATCAAGCGCTAAAATTTTTAGCTCGGAGCTTTCAGCGACGACGGCGATATTCAACATTCTCTGCCGACGATAAACTACGAAAAAGAAGAGACGGCAAAAGAAATTTTAGATAATTTTTTTGCAAAATTTTGATTTTAATTTATGCCAAATTTCACCAGAATGCGAGAAAACATTTTTTGAACCCTTTTACAGCGTTAAACAAGTCTAAAACACAATGCCAAAATTGGCGGGAATTTGAAATTTTTAAACTTCAAGTGACTAACAAGGGATCGGCAAAAGCGCGCATCCTGGTTTTTTCTTGAAACATATACCATTTGAAAGAGCGTAAAAAACTGGTCTAGGATCACATTTTTTTAGCTGCTATTTTTGCTCTACGCCTTCACTAGCGAGCATTCATTAGTTCTAGGCTTATCTCACCCTTTTTCCGAGGAAACAAATCCGAACGATTTCCAAAGCACAGCGCAGCAGTGCTTCGGTGGCCTAGTGGGGTAAGGCGCTGCATGAGGCGAACCTGCGAACCGGGTTCGAAACCTCTTTTGATTTTTTTTGATTTTCTTTATATTGCAAACCAAATAAAGCCTGGAAATAGTGTTTGAGTGTCGTATAGACATTTGTGGTATAATCGGAGTCGTTTTTTAAGAAAAAACGGAGATTTTTTAAATTCTTTAAAATTTGTAGTACTTGCTCTTGAAGTGGGTATCTTCTATGGCTGGAACTTTCAACGACTTTCAGATTTTTACGAATTAAGCCCAGTAACGGAAAGTACGTGAAAATTGAGTCTGAAAACGCTTTACATGTTTTCTACCCGCTATGTTGCATTGGGTTACACGACCTAAAAGATCGCGTGATCACACATTGTGAACATGGACTTGGGTATCTCAAGGTCGGAAAAAAGTGTGTATTCTTTGACATAGGGTGAAGCCTTGGACGTCATAGGTACGTATGGGACATATGAAAAGTAATTATTGAATCTTTTTAGCCGTTCAGAAGCAAAGAGTCGTGAAATCCAACCGGGATTTTTTTTTAAAATGCTCGCTAGCTAGGGCGTAGAGCAAAAATAGCAGCTAATAAAAGGTGATCGTAGACCAGTTTTTTACGCTCTTTCAAATGGTATATGTTTCAAGAAAAAACCAGGATGCGCGCTTTTGCCGATCCCTTGTAAATCAAATGGGAAATAACTTTTCTAGTCTGATCATATTTTATTTACCCTTTTTCACCTGAAAAACTACTCGATAAAAAAATTTTAGAGCCATTTTCCCACAACCTTCCTCAGACCCGCCTAAAACAATATAAAAATAGTCAAAAAAGTTAAATTATTTATCATATAACTCAAAAATAAGTTAGTACCAGGCACAATAGTTCCTTTTTACATACTTTCCTCAAAAAATTCATCGACTAACCGCGTTCACGAACTGATTTGCAAAGCTTTTTTGGGCGCGATGTCTTTGGATTTCGGCCAGAGTCTCGGCAACTCTTCGCATTGCTCGGCGATCGAAAAGTTTCTTCTAAACGATGTCTCATTTAATTTCGCATCCAAAATCCTTACTTCCAGTCGTTCTCTCGACCTTTCTCCTTCCGTTTTTTCGCGTTTTCTGGCCGTTCCATAATTTCGGTTGCCAAAAGTTTTGCGTTTCTTCTTCGACCGGTCGATTTGAAGGGGAATTCCGACGGCGGCTTCTACGTCTCGAACATATTCGAGTTCTTCTTGCTCGGCACGCCGTTTTATCTTTTCTTCCGCGTTTTTTAAGGCTTCCAACGCGCTAAAATCGGGATTTTTTGAGATTACTAGGCAAATTTTCACAAGGAAAGTGCTTCTATAGGGTAAAAAAAGTGTTTCTGGCCGGAAAATGACAAAATTTATTGAGTTTTAATGGTTTGAAGTGTCAAAAGATAGTTTATATTCTTATCATGACAGGGAAAGCCGGATGCTTGATGTTCTTTTCAAATTTTTCCCTGGCAATTTAAAAAAAAATCAAATTTTCACAAGGAAAGTGCTTCTATGGGGTATGGAGTTACAGGTCGAGACATATATCAAAAAAATCGCAAAATCTTTCTGATTCAGAATATGTAAAAATTAGCTGTCTAATTTTGGTTTGTAAGGGCGAAAAATCCTCAGAACTTTTCCCGCAACAACACGCAAATGCCTTTTTGATGAAGTATTTACCAAATCAAACGCTTGTTTTTGAGCTCAAGTAAACCCTGGTATCTTGACAAGCCTGATATCAAATTTGATTAATACACCTTAATTAGTAATTCCAATGTAAAAAAGGGGCATTTATTAAGGTGTTGTATTAATCAAATTTGATATTTTAAGGTTTGTCAAGACGCCAGGGTTTACTTTAGCTCCAAACAAAGCTTTTGATTTGGCAAAAACTTGGTCAAAAAGGCATTTTCGTGGTGTTGCGAGAAAAGTTCTGAGGATTTTTTCACCCTTACAAACCAAAAATAGGCTGCTAATTTTTACATATTCTGAATCAGAAAAGTTTTGGGAATTTTTTGATATATGTTTCGACCTGTAACTCCATACCCCATAGAAGTACTTTCCTTGTCAAAACTAAAATTTGTTTTTGAAATTTCGAGGAAAAAATTGAGAAAATCATCAAACATTTTTACCTTTCTGTGATGATAAGACCACAAACTATTTTTTTCAACAGTTATAATCATCAAAGCTCAATAAATTTTGTAACTTTTCCACCAGAAAAGACTTTTTTTGATATTTTTTTTGCAAATTTTCGATAAACTCTGATGCAAAATATATTCCAAATCATCCCATATGATATGAAATCTAAATTTTCATCATTTTTCTATCATATTCTTCAACATTTCCCCCAAAAATTCAGCCTTTTCCCCATTTTTCATCAAAAATCGTCTAAAACAATATAAATTCATCATCTCTTGTCCTCCACAGACCTTCAGGACCTTTGTAAATTCCTTTTCAGGCCCAATACACTGCTCTCTCTTCCATTTCCCATCAAAAACCCCACTTTTTATCTACTACAATATCCAAAATCCTCCAAAAACCCTTACTTTCTTCCCAGTTCATGAACAGGAAAGCCCATTTCGTCCCTTTCCACGATCGGGCCATGAAACGGGCATCGCTGCAGGTCCATTCGTGGACACAATTTCCCGTTATTCATGGGGAATCGGCAGCTTTTTTTGATTTCCGGCCGTTTCCCGATGAACAAAATTTCGCGCTCCGTGTAGACCTGTTCCGACTCCTTGGCCGTATCGCTCCCCGGATCATAGCCCTTCCAAAACCGATGTCCATCGTACAGATTGCGCTCCACAGCGGCCGGTTCGATCTTTTGGCCCCAATATTTGAGGTCGAGGCCATACCTTAATTTGGGGATTTTTGGAATTTCCCGCTCTGATTCAGACTTCTCCTTCTCCACATGCAGTTCAGAGGATGTCGAGGGCTTTTGCTCCTCATTTCCGGCGAATTCACCCACTTCTTCCTTCAATTCCATCTAAAATTTCGACCAAAAAATTCGAAAACACATACCACAGGACCCTCAAATCCCAGTAAAGCGGCTTCATCATCTTCCACATCAACAAAACCATCGGATTCGTCGTCTTCACTACCAGACCCAGGCTTGATTATTTTCAATCGATCACATCTGTTCAATTCTCGTTGGATTTGCCCTTTTAGATCGACAATATTCTTGATGAGAGCTTGATTTTGATCGCCGCCAACTTCAATCAATCGTTTCAGCCATTTCTGAAGAGTTGCCAACGATTTTCGGAGCAAAATCGCCGCATCTTTTAATGCGTTGACTAATATGCTGTTGTCCTCGGTCTCTTCAATCGTAACTTTGGCTGCAAATAGTTTAATATTAAACTATCTTGCTTTCTAAAGCAATTTTACTATCAAAAAAGTCGACTTTCCAACCAAGCGGATATTATTTTAGCTCACCTGATGTGATCTCAATCTGAAGCTCGGTATTGTTCTTATATCCATGCAACTTTTCAAATTCCGCTTTGGTCAGCTCGCTCGATGTTCCAGCCTTCTCCTCATCCCCATTTTGAAAGATATCGGGGTATAAAAGATCGATGGAATTGCGGCATTCGTTTATGGTCCTCTCAATATCGGATTTGCTCTCTGAGAGAACTCGACTAATCGCATCTCCACATTTCTTCGCTTGAACACGTTGTTTGAACTGCTCTTCCTCTGCTCGACGCCGTTCAATCTGCAATTCCCACCAATTTTGAGCTATTTCGACCTTATTTTAGCACCTAAACTTTGAAAAAAAGAAATAAAAAGGTTACCAGTAAATCCGCTCCAACTGAGTTGAAGTCAAAGTTTTTGTTGTCCTTGAGGAATTTCTCAGCTCCCTTTAGCTTCACGTAGCCCTCACCGAACTTTTCAATCCAACCTTTGACAATCTTTATCGACCACTTCTTCAAGTTCTTGGCGGCTGAAATTGGTCCCGGCAATGGGCATCGAACAGCGTCAGTTTCCAGAGTCAGCATCAAGAAGTCTTGTAGATGCTTTATCAACTCTAGGCGGAACTTATGCGACCGTTGGAAGAAGTAGTCGGTCAAAAGAACCGTTCCCAGTCTTCGATCACAATCATTCTTGTTCAACTCCTCGAAAATCTGAATGCAGAAGCCAAGCACGACACTATCATTCTTTTTGAGCACACTCTTGATCTCCCGAAGGTGTCTTTGATTCAATTCATTCGTTTTGAAGTCGAACTAAAGACAAGAAGGACGCTATTTGTCAAAATATTCACCTACCTGGCTTAAGATTGAATTTACAGCTCGCCGCACGATCCGTCCGTCTTGCTCCTCCATCACCGTAAAAATACAAGAACATACAGACCTTCACTTACTTGCATGTCGAGATTTCGAAACTCTCGCCTAGATTTTGTCAAAAAACCCTTTTTCCAGAGTTATTTATTTTCGTCTCACAGCGAAAAATTGAAATGCCAAACAGTCTTGGCATTCCGTGACAAGTGGATTTTCTTGGGTTTTCTCAATTTTTGTGGCAAATTTTGTTGTATACATGGTGGTACGATGAATTTCACAGCAAACGTGCTTCAAAAAGGGGGTCGAGCACGTCCTCTCAAGCCTCGGAAGGTCTATTATTCGGAAGTTATTCCATTGGCCGGCAAAAATGAAGTTACCGTGAAGAGACAGAAAGTTGCTGGTAAGTTGCTGTTTGGATATTGTTTCTTCTTGAATTTTAGACGTTTTACAAGCTTCGTGGACTCACTTGGCACAGAAACGTGACTTTTTTTGTCTCAAGAAGCCTAAAATAATATAATTTTAGGTTCATCTTGCACTCAGGAGCTTCAAGTTTTGTTCAGTTGTCTGAAGAAGTGGGAATTCGATAATCTTCCTTGTCAAGGCTTCCATGAGTCGTACATGCGATGTATCGATGAGTCTGAACGTCAGGCCGCCATTAATACCGAGGCCATTAAGAAAGGAACTCTTGGAGATGATTCTGGCGGTCCAACTCTGACCGCTGCTCAGTTGAACAACCTTATGAAGATTTATCCTCAACCTGATCTCGGAAAGCGACCTTACCGGTGGGTTTTTATATTATTTTCTTTGATTTTTAGGTTAGGGCCTCAGGTGTCAAGTATAATATGAAATTTTTGTCGCCATTGCAAAGTTGATGGGATTTTTTTGCAGATTGATGCAACGGCTACCCACCTACTCATATGCTGATGATATTTTCAACAGAAAAAACAAGCCTGGCAAGAAATCGTAAAGGATTTTAGATATTGTTGTTGTTGACCTTGTTTTAGGTAAATTTTACATAAATTTGGATGGAAATTGGTGAATTTTTAGTTGTTAGAGGTAAAATACGGGTTTTCTTTTGATAGGAGGTTTATTTTTAAACCGCATTCCGCATGATAAGATTGGAAAATATCGCATTTTATATTATTTATGGTCCATCGGCAAGTGGAGGTAATCCCATTGCTCTCATAGCTCCATTGAAGCTGGTATCTATCGGATATTGATTTCCTTGACCGTAGTTGTACCCAGGGGCTTGATTCGACGATAATTTAGTCTCTCCTTTGTTCAGCAAAGACAGTTTTTTATCGGTTTCTTTGGTGTGCACAACTTCCTCCTTACTGTCAGCCGATTTTGATGGTTTCGGCTGGGGCGCCGAATCTGAAACGGTTTGCGATGATAGATTAGGCTTGAATTTTACTTACAGAATTATGTTTAGAAAGAAATTGCGACATAACTCACCAGAAATTACCAAAATCATAGCTAAAACAACAAAAAACAGCTGAAATCTCATGGTTTCGAACAAATATTCGACTGTAAACCGGAACCGGACTAGGCTCCTTCCTTTTATATTCTCATTTATTTTTACACCGATTCGGATTGTTTTCGATTATTTATTATAAGGGCAACGGATCTTTGGGTATGATTTCAAAAGATCGGCAAGGTTGTTTGTCAAAAAATTCGTTGTTATTAGACGAGGCAAAGGGCAAGGATGACATAAGTGAGGTGCGAAACGCTGTATTTTACAGTAACACTAGTTATGGCAATATATTTGAGGACTCGGGAAGGCAATTTGAAGGGGAAAAAGGACCTTAAGGGATGAAAAATGCAGTTGGAGACTCGTTTTTCATTCATTTCTGGACTTTTTCCCGCTCCAAATCGCCAAAAATATCCCATTCACATTATGGTTCTGGACTCGGGAAGGCGATTTGAAGGGGAAAAAGGACCTTAAGGGATGAAAAATGCAGTTGGAGACTCGTTTTTCATTCATGTCTGGACTTTTTCCCGCTCCAAATCGCCAAAAAATCCCATTCACATTGCAGTGCGGGGCTTGGGAAGGCGATTTGAAGGGGAAAAAGGACCTTAAGGGATGAAAAATGCAGTTGGAGACTCGTTTTTCATCCATTTCTGGACTTTTTCCCGCTCCAAATCGCCAAAAAATCCCATTCACATTATAGTGCAGGACTTCTTTTTCCGTCGGCCGAACATTTTCTCGTACTCGTTTGCCCGCTTCTTCTCCTTTTTGTCGAATTTTCGGACTGCTCGCACTACTTCGTAGAAGGCGTCATCAACGCCTTGTCGGGTTTTGGCCGACGTCTCAACGTAGGCGCAATTCAGGGCCTGCGAAAGCTCCTCGATTTGCGATGGCGTCACGGCGCGATAGGGGAGATCACTCTTGTTTCCGACAATGACTATTGGGACCTAAAAAGAGCGGGTTTTATGTTGTAGTAGGCAGCTTTGGTTGGGTGAAAAAGTAGTGATAGATTTTGATGATAATTGGGAAAAATTAAAAATGGATTTTTAAGGCTATTACGAAATTTTTAGCTCGTGCTTTGCAAAAAAATCGAGATTTTTGGTAAATTGCAAGCTAAAAGTTTCGGATATGCCTTCAAAAATTTGATTCTCCCTAATTTCATCAAAACTTGACGCAAAAAATAGAAAAAAATATTTTCCTTACCTCATCCGAATCCTTGGCCCTTCGGACCTTCTCTCTAAATTTTCGTATGTTCATAAACGATGAATAATCGTTCAATGCGAATACCAAGAGAAAACCGTGGCCATTATGAGCGTAATGATCATGCATTGCGTCATATTCTTCCTGCCCAGCCGTATCCAAAATGTCCAAAACACAAACTTTGTCGTCGATAACTACCTAAAATTGTGAGTAACTGTGCGGAAAATAAGAAAAAAAATTTTATATTTTTTTTGAAAAAAGGTTCGATATTTTTTAGCACAGTGCGGTAATTTGGCGAATTTTATTGCACTGTGCAGTCTAAAAAAACTTTTTCGTTTTTTTAGGAACTGGGACGATTGGGGAAAAAGACGATTGGGGAAAGGAACGATTGGGGAAAAAGACGATTGGGGAAATCGAAAAGTATTACTTTTTTTGATGAAAATGTCGAAATTAGAATAATCGAGGGTGCTCATTTCGAAAGTAACATTCATTTTTTTGATTCTTACTTTTTTTCTTGGGCGCACAGTGCAGAAAAATTTCCAATTGCACAGTGCAAAAAGTCTGGTTTTCTGCACTGTGCGGAATTTTTTTTCGTTTTGGGCGCACAGTGCAGACAACGCATTTTAAAAATTCAATTTTTTTGCACTGTGCGAAAGTCCAATTTTTCCACTGCACAGTGCACTGTGCTGTTTTATTCATTTTGGACGCACAGTGCAGAAAAATTTCCAATTGCACAGTGCAAAGAAATGAAAAATCGACCCACCTGTTTGCGATAACTATCCTCCAGCGTTGGGTCGTAATCGGTGATAAAGGTGTTTTGCACAAACTGAATTGTCAACGCACTCTTTCCCACTCCTCCATCGCCAAACACCACCACATTATGCGTCTTTTCGGCCATTTTGGAAGTAGCGAAAAAACTTTTTTGAGAGTTTCGGGCCTTCGCACAGAAGATTTATGGGTTTTCGAATAAACACGTCAAATCAATCGACTCAAGTTGGAAAAGAGAAGATGAACTTGCGATTGGAAAATCCATTCGCGAACGGATTTTTGGGAGAGATTTTTTTTGATTTTTGGAGGGAAAATATGAGGTGGAAAATTGGTGAAGATCAGCCGTAAAGAACTGGTATAAATTGAAAATTATTTTCAAGATTTTTAAAAGCCGTTTAGTGCAAAAAATCGGGATTTATTTTGGCCGCACTGTGCAGTCTTATCGAAATTTTTCGCACAGTGCGGAAAATTTGGGTGAACAGTGCAGAAAAGAGCCGCACGGTGCGGACGAAAGTTTTTCTATGCACTGTGCGAAGACTGAAAATTGTGTGCGACAAAAATTTTTACGTTTCTTGCACAGTGCGACAAAAATTTCGGAAAATTTGCACGGTGCAGACAAAAACTTTTCTTGCACAGTGCAAAAAATAAAAAAATGCACAGTGCAATAAAGAACCTTCCGACTGCACTGTGCAAAAAACAAAGCGCTGCTATTTTTTTGCTACGTGCGATAAAAAAACATAAATGCGATAAAAAAACAAAGCATAGTGTGATTTTTTGATAATTGAAAAAAATCGCACTGTGCAGTCGAAATCTTTTTTTGCACAGTGCAAAAAGTCAAAATAAATGCACTGTGCGGTAAAAATTTTTCCGACTGCACTCTGCAAAAAAGTCAGAAACTTATACCTACATGTCTCCAGAATCACCAAAATCTCGAAAAAATTTACTTTCCCCTTCCCGAAACAAGCAATATGTGATAAAAACGGAGTACAAGTATATTCTTCCCATTGAAGCAAAAACCAATTTGTCCGCCCGGAAGGTTTAAAAATTCGAAAAAAAGATACGAGAAAAAATTGAGATAGATGAATCTGTTTTCAATCACTTTTTTTGACTTCATCATTTAGAAAAAATAAAAAAAATGAGCGGAAAATTGCGTCTCAAAAAACCGAAAAGCCGAAATAAACGGAAAACGATTACTGATTAGTGGCTAGAACGTTGACTGTGGGTTAATCATAAGCCTGGTTATGGCTGGGGAAGGTCATTTTTTTGTAGGACGGGTAAAAAATTACAAAAAGATCAAAAAAATTTTTTTTCGACTGATTTTTTTGTAGAAAAATTGTTGGTTTTGACAAGGAAAAACTTAAAATTTTTTTCTTCAAAAAATAAGTAAAATAAAAACAAATAGAAAAAGAAAATATTTATTGCCAATAAATACATTATTTATAATACAACAGCGATCATTCAATTACTTTTTAAAAACCGCATGGCCATAGCTTTTGATGACATCCTTGTCCTCCATGTTGATGGCATTGTCCCTCAACGTGTAGATGTTCACTCTTTTCGGGCATGGGCAGTAGGCCGCATCCTCTCCAGGCGATCCCGGCTCGCCTTGAGGGCCTACTCCGCCGTCCTCGCCGTCCAGTCCCGGTCCGCCCGCCGGGCCTTCAGGGCCTTCGGGGCCGACTGCGCCGGGTTTTCCGGGGGCACCCGGTTCGCCGGGAACTCCGGGCTGTCCGCGCATTCCGGGAGGGCCTTTGGCGCCGGGAACGCCCGCTTGCACCACCATTGATTTGCCTTTCTTTCCGGGCGGGCCGGGAGGGCCGTTCTCGCCGGGCGGTCCTGGATCGCCTTGCGGTCCGACCGGACCGGGCGGGCCCACCGAACTGGACAGTTTGTCGCCGGCTGTGCCGGGTGGACCGGTCGGTCCGGGGAAGCCGGGCTCTCCGTCCGGACCCTTGGGGCCCGGAGGGCCGGCTGGGCATTTGATGCAGATGCCAGTGGAGAGGCCGCAGTTCCGGTTGTACGTGTCGGGAGCGTCGTGTCCGGGAGGGCCTGAAACGAAGAGATAGACGCAAAACATTGCCTCCATGTCCTGCATACAGTGGCGGACCTGATCCAGTGGCAAAAAAACATACCATTTTGTATCCCGGAAGCGTCAAAAATGTGGCAAAATGCCTCCATTTCCAAGTGAAAGACTCCGATTTCGAAAGCGCACCGTCAGTTTTTCTGAGGGAGCCCTTCAAAACGGGTTTTTTCACTTGGAAATGGAGGTATTTTGCTGCATTTTCAATACTTCCCTGATGCGAAATGGTACGTTTTTTGCCACTGGATACGGTCTTCTGTACGTTGAAGTTTTGCGATTTTTTTTTGTTTTTTGATTACTTGAGAAAAGGTCTGTCGGGAAAATAGTGAGTGCCCTGTCGCAGCGCCAATCACATCGCTGAATTTAAATTTTGAAGCGATATATTTGACCTGAGAATTCGATATGTTGGTTTCATGAGCGTGTTTTAAAAATTTTCAATCTTCCAGCCATATCAAACCTATGAAGACTTACCAGAAATCCCCGGGAATCCGTCCTCTCCCGGTAATCCCGGCGGGCCAGGAGGGCCGGGTGGACAAGTCGGGATGACTCCACAATTACAATGCTCTCCCAATGTTTTGGCGGCATGCGCCTTAGGCGCTCTTTTGGATCTTGAGATTCGAACAAAGGGATTGATCAAAATTCCGTCGTGTTTTAGGGTGAATTCCTGTTGAACCAACATCAAATCCACCCACGCTTTGTCCGTATTCATCTGAAATTTTTTTTTGAGGCATTATTATATTGTTGTAGGCATCAAAAAACTTTTTTCGAAAGCAAAAATTATCCAAAGGTATCAAAAAAATCACCTTGAAATCTTCGACAGACATCATGACGTCACCATAAATTTGCCTCATCTCCAAATACATTGAAGGCAACGCGATCAAACATAGGATTAAGGCGATTGTGCACATGGATAAGGTCGAAAGCAGCCATATTCGGAGGGTTGAGATCTTCATTGATCTGAAAATACGTTTGAATTGTAAAATACGTTTTGATTTTTTAGTAAAAACATGATAAAATCAAAAAAAAAATATAATTTCAAATGCATTACGCACAGTGCAAAAAGAAAAAAGTTTTCTACCGCACTGTGCAGTTGACAAAGAACTTGATATTGCACAGTGCAAAGACTCTTTTACTTGTCGCGTCATCCGCACAGTGCAAACAGATTTTTTTCTGACTGCACCGTGCAAAAATATAATTTTTGTCGCGTATTGACTGCACTGTGCAATTGACAAAGAACTCGATGATTGCACAGTGCAAAAAGCCTTTCCTTGTCGCGTCATCCGCACAGTGCAAACAGATTTTTTTGACTTCACTGTGCAAAAAGAAAAAATTTTATAGACTGCACAGTGCAAAAAAAATTTTGTCGCGGAAGTTGCACTGTGCAAAAATCAATGATTTATTGACTGCACTGTGCAAATCCAGTTCAGTTGACAAAGAACTTGGTGATTGCACAGTGCAAAGACCCATTTCCTTGTCGCGTCATCCGCACTGTGCGAAAAGATTTTTTTCTGACCGCACCGTGCAAAAATTAATGATTTTTCGACTGCACTGTGCAAAAAATTTTGTCTCGAAAGTTGCACCGTGCAAGAAACAATGATTTCTTGACTGCACTGTGCAGTTGACAAAGAACTTGGTGATTGCACTGTGCAAAGACCCTTTTCCTTGTCGCGTCATCCGCACTGTGCGAAAAGATGTTCTTGCCTGCACTGTGCAAAAATTAATGATTTTCCGACTGCACTGTGCAGTTGACAAAGAACTTGATGATTGCACAGTGCAAAGACCCTTTTCTTTGTCGCGTCATCCGCACAGTGCAAAGCGATTTTTTCTGCCTGCACTGTGCAAAAAAAAAAAAATTTTGTCGCGGAAATTGCACTGTGAAAAAAAATTAATAGGCGATATGTTGCATCGAAATCAGGGGACGCAAAATATATAAAAAATAAATAAGTTTTATTAGGTTTCATAACCCATACTACAATATATTATAATTACTCCTAATAATTGCATGACTAACAAGGAAAGTACTTCTATGGGGTGTGGAATTACCGGTCGAGATATATATCAAAAAATTCGCAAAAATTTTCTGATTCAGAATATATATAAATTAGCTGCCTAATTTTGGTCTAATGACATGTTTTTGTCCTCAGAAGTTTTCTCGCGACACCATGTAAGTGTCTTTTTGACCGTGTTTTTACCAATAAAAAATTTTGTTTTGTGCTAAAATGAATTCTGAGGCCTTGACAAGCCTTAAAATATCAAATTGGATTACAACTACACCTTAAAAGCAGTCTCAATGTAAAAAATGGGTTCTAGTGTGGCAAAAGGAATCGAACCCGTTCCCCTCGGATCCCCAATCTAGCGCTCTAACCACTCGGCCACACCGCTCTCTTCCGAAGGAAGAGACCGAGCGCGCTTTTGTTGCCGCAGATTTTTTTCCTCGAGAAAAACATTTATTGAAAAAACTCGCTGATAGACCAAAATTAGGCAGCTAATTTTTATATATTCTGAATCAGAAAATTTTTGCGAATTTTTTGATATATATCTCGACCGGTAATTCCACACCCCATAGAAGTACTTTCCTTGTAAGAAATCTCGGCGAGAATGCAAAAGAAATCTCAAAAAAGCGAGACAAAAATTGGAAAACAAGCCAGATTCAGACCGGTTCCTCCGATTTCTGGCGCCATTCAGGTACGAAAATGAAAAACCGAATACACGATTCAATGAGCCGTCATATAACGTCGTCATCTTTTTCGAGGAATGGCAAAAAAGGGGAGATGAAGGTGCGATTAATTCAGCGATATCTTCTGGAAAAGGAGATTGGATTGTGCAAAAAATTGGGTGTTTGCCGTAAAAATTGATTGGGAGAAAATCCGCACAGTGCAAGTGGAATTTCGCCGAAAATTAGGGATGTTGTCGACGAGCGATGACCTGAAATTTTTGAAATTTTGCAGAAATGGTCGCTTAGAGCTAGATATTAAAATCCTAAAGTTCTGCTTTCAGCTTTTCAGCAAGAATCGAGCTGTTGAACTATTTGCACAGTGCAAGTGGAATTGCAGCCAAAAATGGGAAATTGCTTGGGGCGCTAAGGTCAGAACCGCTTGAAATTTTGGTTGAAAAATGTTTGGTGGTCGTAAATTAATTGTAAAAAAATTCAGCTGCTTCTGTGAAGTTCGAGCCGAGATATTCAACAATTTTTGCGAAGAAAGCCAAAAATTTCCCAAAAAAATAATTTGTCCGTATCTTTCGGCATTTATCGCGGAAAAAATCGATTTTTTAGGGAAAAAATACACTCTCCATTTCGAACAAAATATCGATGTTTTAAATTGAAAATCACAAAAAATTTTTATTTCCGAAATTCTTTCGATCTAAAAATCTCAGCGTATTGCGCAAGATTAATAATTTCCTATTTGTTTTTGAAAGTTTAAAACGGACTTTTTTACAAAGTGAAGCATGGCCCGGACATTGTTGCGGTGACCATCACCGAATTTCTTCAAATTTGGCTCATAGAACACCCACAAGGCATACATCAAAAGCGTCAAACGTTTTCCCAAAATTTGCATTATTTCGGGATTACTGTAAAATTTTGTGTTTTATAAAGCGGCCGTTGTCGTGGACCAGGTGATCGCCCTACGGGTTCGAAACTTCTTGTCTGTATGTTTTCGAACATGGCCAACATTTTTCTAATTGAAACTTTTTTTGTATCTTTTCGTCTTTCGGTAGTACCGTAATCGTCATGATACCATATCGATTACTGCCGAAAATTGGAAAGAGTGTAACAAGTTTTCAAACCGGATTATAAAAGTTGGACACCCTTCCCGTAAAATAAAACAAAAAAATCAAAAATAAAAATATAAGTTTTTGAGATATAAGCGTTCAAAGTTGCTATGTTCGGTTACTGTAGGACCAAAATAGAGACGATCAATTTTTAAACTTTTCCATTAATCTCTACGGTTCACATATTAATAGATCAGCCTGAGAAAAATATTTTCAGGTCAAAAAATAAATATTTGAGGCTTTTTTTCAGGCTTTATACGATGGTTACTGTAGTTTCTAACTTTTATTAATTTCGCTAACAAATTTATTGGAATGACGAATTTAGACAAGCTATCCGGGTCAGAAACGCGCATACATCATGGAAGGCAAAAATCAGAATCGTAATACTACCCATTCCTGAAATAGTGGGAGATTACGGTAGCCGTACCCACTTTTTTCGCTGTTTGGCCGCGGCATTCTTTGGAGCTGCGAGTGTAACAACTTTTGAAGCCTGAAATACATCCCCGATGCTCTAGAAAGTACCTATGTAAAAAAGCCCGAGAATAAAAATATAAGTTTTTGAGAAAATCCAGGATTACGGTCATTTTAGGGGGTTTTTGGGCCGTTTGGCCGCGGCATTCTTTGGAGCTGCGAGTGTAACAACTTTTGAGGCCTGAAATTCATTCATGATGGATAGAAGAGCATTTCAGCAAAAAATCGCGAAAATAAAAATATAAGTTTTTGAGAAAATCCAGGATTACGGTCATTTTAGGGGGTTTTTGGGCCGTTTGGCCGCGGCATTCTTTGGAGCTGCGAGTGTAACAACTTTTAAGGCCTGAAATTCATTCAGGATGGATAGAAGAGCATTTCAGCAAAAAATCGCGAAAATAAAAATATAAGTTTTTGAGAAAATCCAGGATTACGGTCATTTTAGGGGGTTTCCTCTCCTAAACTACCGTAATCCGGGATTTTCTCAAAAACTTATATTTTTATTCTCGGGCTTTTTTACATAGGTACTTTCTAGAGCATCGGGGATGTACAGGGTCTTTCAAGAAATGTGCAGGAAAGTAGGAGGCTATAACTTTCGGCGGAGGCGGCGCAGAGAGTTCGTTTTTGGAATATGTATTTTTCAGTGACATTATTTTTTGCCTACGAAATAACAAGCTTTTAGAGTGCAAACTGAGGTCGCTACGACCTTCTGAAGTAAAGGCATCTCTACCCCGAAAACCAGGTTTTTTCGGTTGAAAATGATCGAGAAATTTCGGTCTTTTTCGGTTGAAAATCACCAAGAAATGTCGGATTTTTTCAGGGGTTCCGATAGAGTTGACGTTGAAAAAAGGGAAGGATGTTGCCAACACGTTGGAAATTTAGCAAATATTCGGCTAGCCTCAACTTGGGGCAGATTTCGGGTTTATTTTTCGGTATCTTCCGCGAAGAAGCGTGACATCATTTAGGGATTTGAGGAACCTGGAATCGGCTAGCCAAGGCACCAGAATGGCTGTGAAGTCTTATAAAAACTAGTCAAAGGGTGTAATGGGCGTCAAAGGACAGGAATGACAACCAAACTTTTAAACTGCTAACAAAAACTGGTTGGCTAGCCAAAGTGTCAGAATGAGAGCAGCCGAATATTTGCTTAATTTTCAACGTGTTGGCAATTCCCTTCCCTGTTTTCAACGTCAGCTCTATCGAAACCCCCCAAAAAACCCGACATTTCTCGCTGATTTTCGACCGAAAAACTCTGAAATTTCTCGATCATTTTCAACCGAAAAACCCTGGTTTTCGGGGTAGAGATGCCTTTACTTCAGAAGGTCGTAGCGACCTCAGTTTGCACTCGAAAAGCGTGTTATTTCGTAGGCAAAAAATAATGTCACTGAAAAATACATATTCCAAAAACGAACTCTCTGCGCCGCCTCCGCCGAAAGTTATAGCCTCCTACTTTCCTGCACATTTCTTGAAAGACCCTGTATTTCAGGCTTCAAAAGTTGTTACACTCGCAGCTCCAAAGAATGCCGCGGCCAAACGGCCCAAAAACCCCCTAAAATGACCGTAATCCTGGATTTTCTCAAAAACTTATATTTTTATTTTCGCGATTTTTTGCTGAAATGCTCTTCTATCCATCATGAATGAATTTCAGGCCTCAAAAGTTGTTACACTCGCAGCTCCAAAGAATGCCGCGGCCAAACAGCGAAAAAAGTGGGTACGGCTACCGTAATCTCCCACTATTTCAGGAATGGGTAGTATTACGATTCTGATTTTTGCCTTCCATGATGTATGCGCGCTTCTGACCCGGATAGCTTGTCTAAATTCGTCATTCCAATAAATTTGTTAGCGAAATTAACAAAAGTTAGAAACTACAGTAACCATCGTATAAAGCCTGAAAAAAAGCCTCAAATATTTATTTTTTGACCTGAAAATATTTTTCTAAGGCTGACCTATTAATGGGTGAGGCGTGGCAATCAATCGTACCGTTTGAAAATTGATCATCTCCTTTTCGGTCCTACAGTAACCGAACATGGCAACTTTGAACGCTTATATCTCAAAAATTTATATTTTTATTTTTGATTTTTTTGTTTTATTTTACGGGAAGGGTGTCCAACTTTTATAATCCGGTTTGAAAACTTGTTACACTCTTTCCAATTTTCGGCAGTAATCGATATGGTATCATGACGATTACGGTACTACCGAAAGACGAAAAGATACAAAAAAAGTTTCAATTAGAAAAATGTTGGCCATGTTCGAAAACATACAGACAAGAAGTCTCAGCCCCGTAGGGCGATCGCCCGGTCCGTGACAACGGCTGCTTTACAAAACCCAAATTGTTACAGTAATCGCGGACTGGTTGAAATTTCGCGAAACCCTTCTTCGCTTTTCATCAGCATGCTCAGGCCCTTCTACTGGCCAAGTTTCAAGAAATTTGGTGATGGTCGTTGCAACAATGTCCGGGCCCCTTGGAGGGAAGCTTCAGTTTGTAAAAAACTCTCTTTTAAAAGGATGTTTGAGCCTACAGGGGTAGTACTCCAAGTGCGACGCTCAGATTTTCTTTAAATTTTGCCCACACGCCGGGTATGGACTAAATATCAATTCCTGAAAGTGTTAGCTCGCGCTTTGCGGGCGCCGCCGAGATATCGAACGATTCTTGCCGCCGAGAGAGCACGCTAAACGTGGAGAGCGGTCAGAGAGAAAAACGCTTTCTGGCCATAACTTTGGCAGTTTCGGGCGGAAAATTTTGATTTTTTGTAGGAACATTTTCCTTTACGGTACAAATAGCCATGAAACTTTTTGTGTCGAAATTCGGCAAAAAGTCCTAAATTTTCGCCGACTTTCGATCTCAAAATCTCGGTTGTTTCTGCAAAGCGCGAGCTAGGATTCTCGCATATATTTTTGAAAAAATTATTCCAAATTTGTGCCAAGTTTCATCAAAATCTGAGCGTCGCACTTGGAGTACTTCCCCTATGAAAAAAAATATTTTTCTGCTTTCCTGTCCAAGATTTTCAAATAATGTAAAATTTTACTTGACATTATTAAAAATTGGCCAAATTTTTTTTGATTTTTTCGTTTTTTTACCAAAAAATGAATTTATTTTTTGCAAAAATAAAATTGTTGATTTAATTTACGGATATGTATGGACGTATTTTACCATCAAAATCTAGAATTTTCCCCTCCAAAACGAGCAAAGGTTTCATCAAAATCTGAGCGTCGCACTTGGAGTACTTCCCCTATTAGATTTATTCAAATCTGAAGGTTGTAGTTCGAGAAATTGGAGTATTTTTTGAAATTGCACAGTGCGTCGCAATATCTAGTCTATTTTTTACATTGCACAGTGCAAAAAAAAAAAAAAAAAAAAAAAAATTGGCCGCACAGTGCGAATAAAATTATTTTTTTGACGCACTGTGCAATTATAAAAAATAAAAAAATACTTTTTTTTGTCTTGAAAAAAAAGTAAATATAAAAATAAAAAAAAATAAAAAAACCACAAACCCTCCACCCAACCGTGAGAAAAAATGGAAAGTAAACCGGCTATTATTGCGTCACTTATCCGCAAAAAACCTTTTCGTATCTTGTTTTGGATCCGAAAACCTTCGCTTTTATTTATTCCCCCCCTCCTTTTGTGGTATTAATTATAAATACTTGAGAGGACCTCTTCCCATTTCTGATCCGGAAAACAAGGGGATCAGAGTCAAATCCAATTTATATTTTCAACACAACTGAGAGATTTTAATTAATTTCCTATCGTGAAATTGATGGATCTTAATTTCGACGAAAAATTTGGAAAAAACTGCCGGAAATCAATGGGAAAAGTGCCGTTTGAGGGGTGAAGGATGGCTGGGAAAATGATTTTTTTTTTCAAAAATCGTTCAAAAATTATAAAAAAATGTTGCACAGTGCAACGAAATATTCAGATTTTTTGGAAAAATAAAAAAAAATTATATAAAAATTCATATTTCTCACATAAATAATTTACCGAGATATGACGTATTTCTTGAATTTCGCATAATGTGATATATTGTACTGATTTATTGCCGAAACATCTCAGAGCTGAGTATATACAGGGTGCGCCAATAAAATCTGGACAAAACTAAATTCCATATAGCCTTTTTCGGATGGCCTGAGAACGGAAACTTTTAGCACTTTTAGAAAGGATAACAACCGTGCTATACAGCAACGGTAATGACCAGGTCGATGCCTATTGCAAGACTGAAAAAATAATCAAAACTTTTTGGAGGTGCAGAAATTTTTTTTCCAGATGATGACTGGGATATTAATTCTGCCATTATTTCTGCTAATAGTCACTGACGTTCTTCAAATTTATTGTATATAAAGTACGTGCTGTTGTCTTTGTAACAGCCTACGGAAGCAGGGTTGGTGGCCGATCTGGCGGCGCTGGTGGCGGAAACAAAAAAATACCCAAAAATTTGGATTTTTGTGTTTTTAAGGATCTCAACGCCAGATTATAGCTCGTGTTGCCCTAAAATTCCGTGATTACAGAGCGTATACATAGCCAAATTTTATAGTGTAAAAGAAAATCCGCACATACAAGGGGACCGTTTTTGCATAAATAAAAGTTCATGGGGGGAATTCAAGGCACGGTCATTCGGAACTTGAAACGTTTTGGCAGTTTGCAACAAGTATGAAAGGCCTTGAGCGTAAAAATCAACATAGAGTTGTATACTGGATACATGCTGATGTAGCCAAATCATTTTTAGAAATATCTAGTCCAAGATCACTCGAATACCGAGCATATAGTAAATTATGCCACTACAGCCACTATTTCATCCCCAGAGGCAGCAGATGGAAAAATCCTTTTTGAAAGGCGACTAGGCTGACTCTGGTTATCCTTGCAAAAGTAGTTCTGGTGCTTAACATGTTTGGAATCACACAGGGAAACTTCTACATAAAAATCTTTGATTCAACGGAAGTTCTCGGGAAAAAGGGCCCGTTTTTAAGCCAACTTTGGCGAGCTGTAAAAAGCATAATTCTCATAATGAGGCGAAATCAATTTCAGTGCATAAAAACCAACCGGAGCTCTATCAGAAAAAGTAAATTTCAATCCATAGCATAAAACGGTAAAGGTAGCGCAACCATTTTTTGACCAATTTGGGGTCCGTGTTTCAGGCGCCTTAGTTGTAAGCACTTATAATGGCAAAACAAGTGTCGTAGACGATTATTTTGTCTGAAACTTTAAAGATAGCTTCTTGGACGTATTACACGTATCCACAATCGCCCACTTTGTTCTCGTACTGTTACAGCCCGCAGGGCAAGCAAAAACATTAGTCCAGATTTTATTGGCGCACCCTGTATACGTTATTGGCCATGCTGAACAACTTTGTAATTGACCGGAAGTTTGTCAGGTTACTGCAACATACCGTAACGCCCATGCTCAATCAAAAAATCTCGATTTTCTCGATTTTTTTCAATATTTTTCTCGGATTTTTTTTTTTATTTTTGGAATCAGCATCAAATTCTGCATTGGATAGGCTATATGCGCATCTCCAGATAGGGGTACAAAAATGTCGTGGCGCAACCGGTAGTGGGTCGGACTACCATTCAAAAGGTCCCGGGTTCGAGTCCGGGTGGAAGCATAAATGCTCAAACGCGCTGGGAATTGTTCCAAAACAGTTTTAATCTATTGGAACTGTGGTAAAAATAAATAATAATTAACATTTTTCCCTAAAAAGGCAAATGTGATCAGTTAAGACAAAAAAAGAATGATTTTCGTTGCGTTTATTACTCAAAATGCCAAGAACAAGTTCACAGTGTTGAAAAAAATTTCGTAGTTTAGAGGATAGCAGCCTCGGGCATTTCCGTGATTCCAATGGTGTTATTTCCGCGGTAAACACGGAAGTAGCCCTGTTCTCCATACCCGTCCCCCCATGAATTCTTGACAATCCAGTATGGAACGTCCTTCTCCACTCCGTAGCCAACCACCAGAACAGCATGACTAAGATGCCACTCTTGATGTTCGACCGAAATAATACCGCCATTGTAGAATTGAACGAAACGTCCGTCAATCGCTGAAAAGGTAAAAAATCTTGGTTGTGGAAATATATATATCTATTATATATATGTATATATATATAATATATAACCTACCAACAGTGACAGGCCCAATGCTGTAGACGGCCTTCTGCAACTCAACATCGCTGAATCTTGTGATGTTCTTGACACTAGTCAACGTAGCTACTTTTGGCTCTTTCTGGCATGCTCCCATGTTGTGCCATTCAGGATCGTATGGCCAATGTTTTTCATCAGTGATTCCATTGTCGATTACGTATCGAAATACCCCATCCAACAAGCCTCCTTGACAGCCTCCATAATCTCCGTACTTGGGGTTGTTGTAGGTGCATTCCAGAATCTGTTCTATGCTCAAGTCGAGACTTTTGTTTCTCTTGATCCGCCACTGACTTTCGATGGCGCCGACAGTGCCAAAGGCGAAGCAGGCTCCACAATCGCCTTGGTTCTTGACGCTGGAGACTCCGTTCAATTTCCGCCAATCATGTCCTTTCGGCAGATCTTCTTCGGATATATCCAGTTGAAGAAAGTCTAAAACATTATGATCACTGATGGCTTTGTTATGTTATGCTTGCCTTGTTCTTCGTCCTCATTTCTTGCTGGGACTTTAAGGTTGGCGATTCGACCGAATTCTTCCTCGGAAAGATCCGCCATTTTGGTCAATCCGAATTGGGCGGTTGGACTTTGCTTTTGTAACTCAGCGATTCTCTTCAACGATTTCTCGATGATTTCAAATCGTTGGGCAACTTCTTGCTCATCCTTGTATTCCCGCTCGAACCTGAAAGTACCAATTCAGACTCATCCAATTTCTCTGAGCCTACTTGACAATGAAGTCGGTGAACTGGCCGTAGACGTCCTCCTTTCCTTCTCCCAAGCCCCTTCGCATTTCAGCGGCCATTTTCAGGGTTCTTTCGACACCAGCGGAGACTTTCAAGTTATCCACAAGAACATAGCCAAAGGCAGAAATTGCCAGAAGGCAAGGTAGAAGAAGGAACTTCATTATCGATAAAGTGAGGATTCAGACCGCGCTGGGGCTTATATAGTTTATTGTGGCCTTTGCAATTGATCTCTGACATTTCAAACGCATTCAGAAAATAAGATTTCATTGGAGTTGCAAGATGACCGGAATTGAAACGGAAATCGCGGCATTGTTAATGTTAACCTCCGGCAACAAATTCCATTGACAGTAATGAGGTTCCGGTCCAGCTCAACTTCCAATAATTATGGCATTTTGTTTTTCCATTGCAGTCGGAAGGTGAGTAATCAACCGTAAAGGGCAGTGAGAACTAAACAAACCCTCAGCGCCTCCACAATTATCTTTAGGAGTCAAGATTGGAAAATGGCCGCTGGAATGCGACAGAGCTTGAAAGAAGGACAGGCGGATGTCTACATTGTACACCCGGTTCACCGATTTCATTGTGAAGCAAGCTAACGGTAAATTAGTAGAAACTTAATTGTGACTTTTAGGTCCTTGCCAGATAAGTTTAATTGCCCAGTTTAGATCGCCTAAAATGGTCGATCCCTTTGAAAAAAAACTCGGTCGTACAGCCGATTTCACCAAGGACGTGCGATTGATTGATTTTGGATTGATTGCCCGTTGTATGGAGGCCCGGGGAATGCAGTAGCGTATACTGCATTAAATATGGCTGATCAAGAGAAACAAAAGCCTCGACTTATTAATTGTGGAGTGGCCATAAAATTCAAAAAAATTATTCCCCAATTACCCACTTTCCCAAATCTCTTTCTCGCAAATAGTCTAGGTTCCAAACAAAACCTCAAAAATCGATTTATGCTGTTTGGAGCCTCAAAAGCCCCCACAATTCTCACAGAAATTAGCATAAACCAACTCATATAAAAGCTATGTCTCGTCACCAATTAGGGGATTAATCTCATTTATCTTTCTTCGTGTGCGGTGGTCTCAATAAACCTAATCCTAAATCTTGTGTCTACTAGCTTCTACCTATCTACGTTTCATCATACACCACATATGCCATAAACTTCAGAAAACAGCGACAAATATTATATTGTGACTATAACTTAAAAACTTTGATGTAAAATAGTATGAACAAGTAAGCGATTAAACTTGCGATAGGGAAAGGAAAAGTGTGGTAGTTGGTCAGTCCCTCCAGAGTCGTTGTTGGATTGAGGCGAGCTTTGTTATCGTCCACACAGGCCAAAATCACTTGTCCTCTCTTCGCCCTACTCATCCCCATTAGCAGTCTCCTCACATCTGGATAACAAAGCCATTCTAAATCAGATTGTAGAATGAATCCTTCGCCTCTGGTTCTGACAAAGATCACGAACTCCGTTTCCAGGCTGATGCTTCTGTCGAAAGTGTAGCACTTGTGGGCATGACCACAAGTGGCTCTTGGGCATATAACATCTATCGGCACAGATGACAACCGAAGGATGCGTTATTTTTTTACTAGTTTGTCAGTAGAATCGATATAAGAGTTATAAAAATGGTAGACTTACCGAAAGGCCGTTTGAGTGGGTTGCGTTGCAACTTCCAATTTCCAAGAGAGAGACATTGTGTTTTTCTGCTTTATCAATATCAATAGTAGAATATACAATTTATAAAAATGGCAGACTTACGCCGTCACTCTTTCATTTTGATTGGTTCTGTTCCAATGTCCTCAAGCGTCACATTGTGCCGATGACGCACGTGCTTCATTAGGTTTTTACTGGTGGCGTACACCTTCTTACAAATTTGTAAAACTACATTTTAAAAACGAATTGTCAAACATTTACATGTCTCGAATGTGTATACACTCTTCCGGCATAGAGGGCATCGGTGACCCAAAATATATTTTGCCATGCTTTTTGTCGATAGCATAGCGGTTGGCGGACGGCATTTTGTGGCAACTGCACAGGTGAGGGCTGCACTGGTGTGGGGGGGGGGGATTTGAGTGTCTTAGCATAGTAGGCAAAATGTAGCTTTTACCTACTTTTAGGTGGGCGAACGGTTTACTACGCCTACATACGCGGTTTTTTTTGTACTAAACTCACGACCATTTTGTAGGCTAAAGAATGACTTAGAACACTTACTTCAGTCATGTCCAGGTAAAACAAGCACATGTTTAACACGTCCGCCACGTAATCTGGAAACTTCGGATGCGCTGTGGTGACGGCCTGTTCAAAAGTCATTGTCATTGGCCATGGATTGTTGTACTGGACGTGGAGAGCTAGTAAAAGGGTTGGTTGCTACACAATCACTTGTTTCGCGCCTTCTGGCAGGGTGTTGCCGGGCTCGGGGGCGCTCATAGATTCGAAATCTTACTTTTTTTGGGTGTTCTATATTCGCGCAACGGCTCGGCGGTAAACTGCAAAAGACAATTCATTTGAAAAAATAAGTAGGTGAAAACGTCTTCCAGCCTGCATATACATAGGAAGCAAGGTATTTTGAAAAAAAATAAGTAGGTGAAAACGTCTTTCAGCCTGCATATACATAGGAAGGAAGGTATTTTGAAAGAAAAAATAAGTAGGCGAAAACGTCTTTCAACCTGCATATATTTTCGGGAGTCGCGCTCCGCGCAGCGGGCCGCCCCCTCCCCCCTTTTTTGTTCGTATTTTGACAATAACAGTAAAATTTAATGGTGGTGCAATGGGTTTACGTGGCAATGAGGCAAATTGAAATGATACAATAAAATGCCTATGCCTAACAGCCTGCTTTTGCGGCGGAAACAGTTTGAGGGGGAAAGTCAAAACATAAGTAGGGAAAAAGTGTTTCCAGCCTGCTTACCTTCCGTAACATTAAAGATGTTTCCGTCATTTCCAACCTTGTGCCGGCCGCCTTTCTCAGCTCGACGTATGAGTGACTTCGGATGAATGGTTTACATCGGAGCTCAATTCCGATGCCAGTCCGGGTCAGTTGAAACGCGTGATGCGAGAAGATGTTGTTGGGAATCGCAGGGACAGATTCGGATGCTTCTCGGAACGCCCACAGAGGAATGGTATCCATGATTGTAGAGACACCACAGCTCTTCACAACGTCCTTCATTTGATGCGTTGTTGTAATGTCCGTGCTGTTCAGTTTCTCACGGACCACCGAGAATCTTCGATCGAGCTGAAAACATTTCTAGTCAAAGTAACGAACTGCATGCCTACCTCGTTATGAGTATGGCCTACCGCCAAATAAAACAAAGTCACTGTTGAAAGCTCGGGGATGGCGAGCATCATCATCAAAATTCCATACAAAATCGTCTTAGACTTATTCGATGGAGCGTTATCCAAATTTACGATTATATTCGGCGGAAGCACATCGAGGTTTGAAAGGGTCACCAAAAGAAGGCTCAAGATGTGGTCGGCCCCAGTTGAAGACGGCAGAAGGTATGCGTCCAGATATCCCATCGTGTCCTGCAAGAACTGGTACGGTTCCACTGAAATAAAAAAAAATATAAGAAGGCTAACAGCGATATAGCATACAATTTTTGTATACCTTACCTTCCCTTCGCCTACAAACTATAGCCATGTGCAGTTGGTATGGCATTCGAGAGTGGAGCGCCGACAAGTTCTTGGCGTTTTTTCCATGTAACAATGGAAGAGCAGTTGCCTCCTTCGACATTGCATCCATCTTGATCAAAACGGAGTGATTAGGCCTACAAACGGATACCACTTCTTCCGATGCAATGTAGTCTCTGTCCAAGCCCACGTTCCGCAGATGACCTGCCAGCAGTTCGCCATTTGTGTACCGCCGTCCATCGATTATGTTTACATCCTCTCGATCATTTCCAAGTGCAACACAACGGTTGCATTTCGTGAGTGTATTTCCTCTCCGGAATTTCAATCCAAGTGGACCCCTGGACACCTTGGACAGCAATCGCTTTGTAGTTCTGGATCCGATCTTTTGTGGAAACGACAACTTTCCAGCAGGGTCTGCCACCAGCATAGCTTCTTGAACATACCGGGCATGCGACAAGTGGGCCGGCGCCATCAGCACATCTGTCCGCGTGGGGTCGTAATCGGCTCGGTCCAAAGTCATGGCCATGAGCAAATAAAAACGGGCCTTCGACAGTGCATGATTTCGACGCACCACCATGGAACACCCATCCAGTGCGAAAAACGAGCTTCCAGTCCGGATAGAGTCCAGCAAAGACTGAGCTCTAAAAACACATGTTTCCGCATTTTTTAAAACTTTTTGTAAAAATATGCGGTTAGGCCAATCGGCCTACCAAAAAAATCAGAAAAATTCCCCCAAGTTTTTTATAAGTCCAGAGAATAGAGAATTTTATAAGTTTTTGTAAAGGTATGCAGTTAGGCTAACCGGCCTACCAAAAAAATCTGAAAAATTAGATTTCGAATCTATGAGCGCCCCCGAGCCCGGCAACACCCTGCCAGAAGGCAAATTCCCTTCTTTCTACCTGCAAAGTCTTCTTCCACCTGATGCTACAGCATCCCCACCCTCGAAAAGTGATCTCAAACCTCCTTATTCCTATATTGGTCTTATTTCTATGGCCATTCTGAGCAATCCGGAGAGGAAAATGCTTTTATCCCAGATTTACAATTGGATCGCCATGGAATACCCGTATTTTAGGTGAGGAAATATTGATGGTGAATATAAAATACGATTCAGAAGTCGGGGAAATGGATGGAAAAATTCGGTGACACACAATCTCTCGCTAAACGAATGCTTTATTAAAGCTGGGAGAGCAGCCAATGGAAAGGGACATTTTTGGACAATCCATCCGGCCAATTTGGCCGACTTTTTGAAGGGCGATTATCGAAGAAGGAAGATCAAGTGCCATCATCAGCATCTCCCTCTCCTCGATCCTATACCAAATAATTTTTTCTGTAATCCTCTTGCTTTCCAACTTCTGTTCCAACTGTTGTTGAATCAAGAATTACAATTTAGCCAAACAACTTTAAATCCCAGCTTCGGAACCCAATAATCTTTTTAATTTTGTTTCAAAATTTGCCCCGACCCAGATTTAATCAGCAAAATGAGTAGTTATACAAATAAATTGACATCAACTTAGCTATTTTATCTGTAAATACGTTCATATGACGTAACTCAAAATACGAAAAAAAGGGGGGAGGGGGCGGCCCGAGCGCGACTCCCGAAAATATATGCAGGCTGAAAGACGTTTTCGCCTACTTATTTTTTCTTTCAAAATACCTTCCTTCCTATGTATATGCAGGCTGAAAGACGTTTTCACCTACTTATTTTTTTTCAAAATACCTTGCTTCCTATGTATATGCAGGCTGGAAGACGTTTTCACCTACTTATTTTTTTCAAATGAATTGTCTTTTGCAGTTTACCGCCGAGCCGTTGCCTGAACCAAGACAAATCAAGTTGGACTTGACGGAGGCGTCAATCGCCGTGGACACGATGTTCCAAAGCTTGAGTTTAATCAGTCCGGGAGCAGCGGATAGCTTGTCTGCGTATTTAACGGAGGTAGAGAGATACGAAACAGGTAGGCGGATTAATGAAGTTGACCATATATTTTTTTTTCAGAACCCCTAAATCAGATGTTTGAGCGAATTCGATCAAAGGCGTCGCTCAACGGGCACATTGGAAACAGTATTCCCGTCATAGATCCAAACGAAGCAATTTTGGGTAGAGTTATGTCAAAGAAGAACTTTTTGGCTTCCAATCACACCCTGGACCAGTTGAGAGCTAAACTCGCGGGCTTGGTGAGTTTGAAATGTGTACAATGTTATGATGAATATACGATTTTCAGCTAAAACGAAGTGTATTTCACAAAAATCCCCGACGATACACCAAGGAAATATCGAATTTGCGCTCCGTGATCAGGAAACTCATCAAAAGAAGGAAGATTTGGAGAAACCACTTCGACCCAAATTGGGACGAAGTCACGAAGGAGGCATGGGAAAATGAACCAAGATCAATCCAAGAAATAGAGGATCACATCTTGGCTGAAACGATGGAAGAGCTGACACCCGGGGATGCGGCTTCGCTGGCGACATACGAGCTGATTTCAAGAAAGAAGCCTGCAGATCTGGCGGCGAGGTTGGTCCGAGCACTAGGCGAAGAAGACCTCAAGGAATTCGCGAAATGTGGACTGAAGAGAAAAGTGAAGGACATTTGGCGTCCTGAGTCCAACAAAACGATGATTCAGGGAATACCAGAGGATGGCGACGAAACCAAAGACGCCGCAGAGGAAGAGGAGCGTTATCTTCACGAGGTGGAAGCCGCTTACGGACCCGAGATCGGCCTACTTGTTCTGGACAATGATGTGGAGCAACCTGGACCTTCCCATGCTCCCCCCTCCCAACGAAGAGGTCGACCAAGACGTGTGGCTGCTTCACAGCAGCAAAATTCGCAGCGCGCACGCGCAACACGAGGACGTCCAAATCCACAATCTCAAGCACCCCGTCTTTTCGAGGAAGTTGAGACCCAGAATGAAACGGATGATGTGGAATCGGTTGTGAGCTCGATGCGAAGTTCGCGAAGGGCGATCAACAGGCCCGGCAGATACTCGCCGGACCCGTATTAATCATTTTAAATAGGCGGAGAGCGTTTTCCGCATACCATTAAGTAGGGAAAACATAGATTTTGAGCTATTAGCTATTCCAATTTTTCCTTTAATTTGTTACGTTTATCGTTTGAATATGAATATTTTATTGTTTGCTATAAATCCATTGTTTATAATTATCGCGCTAGGTAGATGCATCTTGCGCATGGGTTACAAACCCCAATTATCTGACCGAACAATTGTTCGATTTAAATTTCAGCCTTATTCAGGTGCAATTTTGTTAGCGGCCACATACAGCCTGACGTTCAAAATCACCCGGAATGGAGAACACGGATAATGGTGAGCCTACAAAATTTTTTCAGAAAAAAATTTTTCTGAAAAAATTTTGTATGCCGTACTGTGTAAAAAAAATATGCCAATTGCCACTTGGCCTACCTAGAGGTGGCAATCGGGCCGCGGGCCGAAGGTGACCAGGCCGGCCCTGGGCTTTTTCAAACTTGCTTAAGCCCGGCCCGGCCCGGCCCAATGAAAGCCCAGGCCGGCCCGGCCCGGCCCTGTTCGGCCCGCTAATACAAAAAGGTTCGATAAAAGTCTGTGCACTATCTACTGGAAGTTTTTACGCTTTCCAGAAGGTTTTTACGAGTGTATGAGTGAAATTAAAACGTCTAGTCGGATGACTGGAACAGCCGAACAGGAACCTAAAAGTAAGGCAAAAATTTGGATTGTGTCGAATTTTTTTATCCTATAGGAAGTAAGCTATATAAAGATATGGAGGTTATAAGGCTACATGCTTAATAAAAAAACTGTTTAAACACTTTCATCATCACGGCCTCAGAGTACAGTCAAATTTTTCAGTCCATCATCAAAAAATTAGAAGATTTTTGCCTGACACTTGCATATTTGGGTGGGATTTTACATATACATAAAGAGCTTTAGCAGGTGGTAAAACAGTCAAAAAGTTCAAAAAGTTTTCATTTAATATCCACCCATCAACCTGCAAAGCATTTGTGCTTTATTTTGCTGGTTTAGTATTAATTTTTTTACTTATCCACCTTTCGGGCCGGGCCGGGCCGGCACTTTCGGGGCCGAAGCGGCCAGGCTGGCCCGGGGCTTTTTCAAATCTGCTCAGGCCCGGCCCGATTGCCACCTCTAGGCCTACCACGTCTCTGCATACTTGGTTCATAAATATGCGACGGAATTTTTTTGGCACCCCCCCCTGCCGCCAGATATAAATCACCCTGCTTATATGATCATATTATATTAAATAAAAAATACTGTATTATATCACATATTATATATAAATATTATACTAGTCCTTCCGTAAAGTCGTTGGAATGATTTCGGCGACGCGCACTGTGCAAGAAAACTCAGGGTGCGAGCGACAGCTCGAAAAAGCTTATTGCACAGTGCAAAAAGCCAAAAATTGCACAGTGCAAAGTGAACTTTCGTTTTCGCGGAGTGCATGTCGCCGAAAACATTCCAGCGACTTTACGGAAGGACTAGTATATAATATGTTGCAAATATTATATTATATTGTATTATAACAAATTTACAAAATCAATATATATGTATATAAGAGAGAAGAAAGCTCGTTTCATGGATCGAAAAGCAGTGTTTTCCATCCCAAAATTAAATTCTCTACGCTAAAGTGCCACTGCGCGTTGTTTTACGGGGTTTTACGATTTCCTCGTTTGTTACGAATTCCCATAAAACGGATCGCGCACAAAAGGCATGCCTAAACTGTGGATTTCAGCGCGGATACACGGGTCTTTTTGCAACCTCCCGTCCTCACTGATGTGAAATCCTTGTGTTTTAGGTAAGCCAAATTTGCAATAAAGAAATTTTCAGTTTGTCGGGAAAATAGTGAGGGCTCTGTCGCTGAGCCAGTCGCGCCGCTCAAATGAAAAGCAATTTAATTTTGTCGCGACACAATTTTTTTAATTTTCTTGGCGGCGACGCGATTTTTGATGCGATAGAGTGGGCATTATTTTCCCGACAGACTGGCTTTTGTATTTTCATAAAACATTTTTTTGAGTGAAATAAAATCTGTAAAAATATTTATTATTATTTTTAATACAATTTTTAAACACTTTTCATTGCAATCAAACAACAAATGATAGTAACAGTAATCATCAAGGAGATCAAAACATATGGTGCTGCTGGAGTCGCTGCATTTTTTGATCTAAAAAAATATTTAGAACTTTTTTCATTGCACTGTGCAAAAACTAATCGTTTAGTTCACTGTGCACTGTGCGGCAAAAATTTTTTTCTATTTGTTTGCACTGTGCAAAAAGAAAGTTTTTTCACCGCACAGTGCAGTTTGGGCGACAAACAGGATCGTTTTTTTTGCACTGTGCCAACAAAAGGGATTTTCCTGTGTGTTGCACAGTGCAGTCAAAAAAATAATTTTTATCTTGCACAGTGCGCAATTTATTCCTCTGCACTGTGCGGCAAATTTTTTTTATTTGTCTGCACTGTGCGAAAGAAACCTTTTTCGCCGCACAGTGCAACTTGGGCGACAAAGACGGTCGTTTTTTTGCACTGTGCGAACGAACGTTTCTTTGCATAGTGCAGTCGAAAATAATTTTTCTCTTGCACAGTGCGCAATTTTGGGCCATATTCTGCGAGGAAAAGTTTTGTTTACCGCACGGTGCGGGAAGCAAATAAATAATTTTCATTGCACTGTGCAAGCAACTGAGCCTCCGAGGAAGCCTGCACCGTGCAATCAAAAAAATTTTCTTTTGCACAGTGCAGATTTCAAAATAATCGTTTCGCACTGTGCAGACAAAAAAGAGTTTTGTTTGTCTGCACTGTGCGAAAGAATCTTTTTTTCACCGCACAGTGCAGTTTGAGCGACAAAAAGGATCGTTTTTTTTGCACTGTGCCAACAAAAGGGATTTTCCGGTGTGTTGCACAGTGCAGATTTCAAAAAATTTCCGTTGCACTGTGCGGCCAAAAAACATTTATTTTTCGCACGGTGCGCCAAAAAAATTATTTTTCGCACCGTGCAAAGAATAAAACCTTATCTTCATCACTGTGCAGTCGCCTCCAAAAATCATATAAATTAAAAATAACGTCAGCAGATAGAATTTTATTAACATAATAAAGCACAGCTGTGTTCGCAACATTATTTTAGCTACCTAATTTGGTTTTGGCATTGTTCACCGGTAAAGCCTTCATCGCAGATACACGTAGGATTCTGAATCGTATGGCCGAGATGGCACTCGTCGGGGATTGTAATCTCTTTTGTTGAGCAGCGCCCGTTGTTATTGCAGTGGGACTCTCGACATCTGAAAAAAAAAAATTTTGGAGAAAATTTTTTTTTGCATTTTTAATTTTTTTGGGGAAAAATTAAGAGCTGATAATGTGGAATCTGTTTTGAAAAAGTTATAATATAATTATATAATTTTTTGTCTAATTTTTTGAAAATTAAAAAATTTTTTTTTGCACTGTGCAAAAATTTGTGTTCAATTTTTTTACCGGTTGTAAAAATTTAATAAAATTTTTTTTTGCAATGCTGAAAATTCAGTATATTTTTCATAGAAATCAAAAAAAAAAAAAAAAAATTTTTTTTGATTGCACAGTGCAGTCAAAAAAAATTTTTTTGCACTGTGCAGAAATTTGCGTTAATTTTTTTACTAAGTGTAAAAATTTAATAAAAAAATTTTTTTGCAATGCTGAAAATTCAGTATAGAAATCAAAAAAAAAAAAAAAAAAAATTTTTGCACTGTGCGAAAAGTACATTTCTTTTTATCTTGCAAATTAATGCAAGACAAAAACATACGCCCCCAAATTCTTCATACAAACCAAAAAAACTCACTTTTTCGCTTTCCTCTTCACTTCCGTCGCGAACGGTCCCAACTGGTTCTTGAGGTACTCTTCCAGCCCATTGCATCTCTGTTTCATCCGATAACTGCTGCTCCAAATAATCACTGCCTCCACACCGAGCTCCATGGGATACTTGATTGAGGCGCACAAATCGTTCTTACTGTAGAAATCCGCATCCACCGAGTCGGAGGGCGAATACTCGATTTTGATGTACGGAATGATCCGCAAATTTTTGTTGAACTTTGCCGCATAATTGTAGGTTTGTTTTAAGCGGGCATACGCGTGCTTCAGACGGCCTTCGGATGGATCGTCGCCGTAGAAGTAGATCGATGGATAGAGAGCGTCCGCGTTCTCGGGGATATAGGACAGTCTAAAAAAAATCTTTTTTTCTGTGCACCGTGCAATGATGCATTCAAAAAAATTTTAATCGCACTGTGCAAAAAAAATTTTTTTTTTCACAAATCCGCACTGTGCAATCAAAAATTTTTTTTTTGTTTTTGTAACGCACTGTGCAAAAAAATTTTTTTTTCACAAATCCGCACAGTGCAATCAAAAAAAATTTTTTTGCACTGTGCAATTTTCACAATTTTGTTTTTGTAACGCACTGTGCAAAAAATATTGCCCTTTCCTGTCACCCGCACCGTGCAAGCAGACCATTTTTCTTGATTGCACCGTGCGAAATCAAAAAAACTTTTTTCGCACTGTGCGATTAAAAATGAAATTATTTATATTGCACAGTGCAAAAATCATTTTTATTGCAACGCACTGTGCAAACCTGTTTCTAATTTTTGGCTGGCACAGTGCGAATCGAAGCAACCAACAGGAATTTGCACTGTGCGACAAAACAAAGAGATTGGATTGCACTGTGCAAAACATTGTTTGTCGCGGAAATTGCACTGTGCAGAATGTTTTTTGCCGCGGAAATTGCACCGTGCAAAACATTTTTCTAGTCGCTAAAACTGCACTGTGCAAAAAATTTTTTTTGTCGCTGAGCTTGCACAGCGCAAAACACCTTTTTTGTCGCTGAATTTGCACCGTGCAAAACGCTTTTTTGTCGCTGGAAATGCACGGTGCAAAACGCTTTTTTTGTCACTGAAATTGCACTGTGCAAAGATTTTCTTGTCGCTGAACTTGCACAGTGCAAAACAATTTTTTTGTCGCTGAAATTGCACTGTGCAAAACATTTTTTCGTCGCCGAAATTGCACCGTGCAAAACACTTTTTTTTTGTCGCTGGAATTGCACAGTGCAAAAAACTTTTTTTGTCGCTGAAAATGCACCGTGCAAAACGCGTTTTTTGTCGCTGGAAATGCACTGTGCAAAACGTTTTTTCTAGTCGATAAAATTGCGCTGTGCAAAACATTTTTTTGCGCGCTGAACTTGCACAGTGCAAAACACTTTTTTTTCGCTGAAGTTGCACTGTGCAAAATGTTTTTTCTAGTCGCTGAAATTGCACTGTGCAAGAATGAATATTTTGTTTGCACAGTGCGGAGAATAAAGAAACAAAAAGAATCGAACGTACTGTGCATTGTAGTCATCATAGTAGGCCAGGCACTCCGACTGGTTGTAACCAGCCGAGTAATCGCACAATGGATACTCCCAGAATCCCCATTTTCCTTTGGGCCGCATTTTCTTGGCCAATTTTAGCGTTTCGACCATAAACTCTCTGAAAAATGTGTGAAATTTGAGTTTTCTGGATTCAAAATGCCATTTCACGGCAGGAAAAGCTGTTTGAAGCCATCTGAGGATGTCTGTATGTCTGCTATTTCCAAGACCATCGTATCCTGCTTACCTTGCGGCCGTATCGAACGTCTCCCTCGCCAGATGTTCCAATTCATGAGGGTTCATCTTCGCATGGTCACGTTCCAGCAACGTCCTCGAATAGCGTTGATAGATTCGTCGAGAACTCCAGTTTAGATCGTAGAGTGGACGCCACGCTTCGTAGTCGATTACTCCGTAGCCGTCAAAATTGGGGTCGGGAATCGCGCTCTCCAGATCTTTTGCCGCTTTTTCCAGGTGCGCCGAGAGATTTGCGGCCTGAAAATTTTGAAAAAAGCAGTCTTTATGTTGTCAAATACGAGGCTGAAAAGAATTGGGAAATTTTGCAAAGTTTTGAGTCCCACAACGAAAACTTGAAAAATTTTGGCATTCTGCAACAAGCTTTAAATATGAAAAATTTTGAGTTTGAATAACATTGAAACAGTTTGGCTGTGAAATCTTGTGTTTTTTGGATGAATTTGATCCCACCACGGAAACTTGAAAATTTTTGGCATTCTGCAACAAGTTGTAAAAATGTAAAATTTCAAATATTGGTAGATCCTAAACACCCTTGAGAGCCAAATTTTAATGGTTTTGGAACTTTGGGTCACACCGCGAAATCCTGAAATTTTTTGGCATTCTGCAACAAGCTGTAAAAATATGAAATTTCAAGTATTGAAAGATCCTAAACCCATTTGAGCGCCAAATTTTATGGGTTTTGGAACTTTGGGTCCCACCGCGAAATCCTGAATTTTTTTAGCATTCTGCAACAAGCCGTAAAAATATGAAATTTCAAGTATTGAAAGATCCTAAATCCCTTCGAGTGACAAATTTGATGAATTTTGGAACTTAGGGTTCCACCGCAAAGTCCTGAAATTCTTTTGGTATTCTGCAACAACTTTAAAAATGTAAAGTTCTGAATATTGAAGGATCCTAAACCTTTTTGAGAGCCAAATTTTATAGGTCTCGGAAATTTGGGTCCCACCGCGAAATCCTGAAATTTTTGGCATTCTGCAACAAGTCGTAAAAATATAAAATTTCAAGTATTGAAAGACCCTAAACCCATTTGAGAGTAAAATTTTATGGGTTTCGGCACTTTGGGTCCCACCGCGAAATCCTGAATTTTTTTTGGCATTCTGCAACAAGTTGTAAAAAAGTAAAATTTCAAATATTAAAGGATCCTAAACCCCCTTGAGAGCCAAATTTTAATGGTTTTGGAACTTTGGGTCCCACCGCGAAATCCTGATTTTTTTGGCATTCTGCAACAAGCCGTAAAAATATGAAATTTCAAGTATTGAAAGATCCTAAACCCATTTGAGTGCCAAATTTTATGAGTTTGGGACTGTGGGTCCCACCACGAAAATTTGAAAATTTTTGGCATTCTGCAACAACCTTTAAAAATGCACAGTTTTGAATATTGAAGGATCCTAAACCCATTTGAGTGCCAAATTTTATGAGTTTGGGACTTTGGGTCCCACCACAAAAATTTGAAAATTTTTGGCATTCTGCAACAAAATGCAAGGTCGGCGAGAAACAGAAATACACCAATCCATCAACATGAAAAAGTCTCCAAACTCACCTGAGGAACCCCTCCATTCACTGGAATACACTCCGGCTTCTTTTCGCCCACCTTCTGCTCCGAAGCACAAAAGGGGAACAGACCGAAAGTCTCATAAAGAAGAACAACTTTGTCTCCCCAAAAATTGTTGAATTGGTTGACAGTTACATTGTACTCACTCGGGTTGACATTTTTACATTGTTTACTGGGGATGTTCCAGATTACCTAGAACGAATTTTTGATTCAAAGTAGTTTCAAATTGCACTGTGCGAAGAGACCTTTTTTCAGACTGCACAGTGCAAAAAGAATTTTTCGAATTCATATTGCACAGTGCAGAAAAAATATCGTTTTCTTAGGATTGCACAATGCAAAAAAAAATCAAATTCAAATTGCACAGTGCAGAGAGTTCTTTTTCATTTTTTTCAGACTGCATGGTGCAGAAAAGATATTGTTTTTTTTGGATTGCACAGTGCAAAAAAATCAAATTCAAATTGCACAGTGCAGAAATTTTTTTTTTCAGACTGCACGGTGCAGAAAAGATATTGTTTTTTTAGACTGCACAGTGCAAAAAATTCTTTTTTGGATTGCACAGTGCAGAAAGTTTTTTTTTCAGACTGCACGGTGCAGAAAAAATTTGTCTTTTTTGGATTGCACAGTGCAAAAAAAAGTCGAATTCAAATTGCACAGTGCAAAAAAATCTTATTCAAATTGCACAGTGCAGAGAGTTCTTTGTCAGACTGCACAGTGCAGAAAAAAATATTGTTTTTTTGGATTGCACAGTGCAAAAAAAGTCGAATTCAAATTGCACAGTGCAAAAAGTCGTTTTTTCAGACTGCACAGTGCAGAAAAATAATGTTTTTTTTAGACTGCACAGTGCAAAAAATTCTTTTTTAAATGGATTGCACAGTGCAAAAAAATCAAATTCAAATTGCACAGTGCAGAGAACTCTTTTTTAGGCTGTACGTCGCAGAAAAAAATATTGTTTTTTCAGACAGCACAGTGCAAAAAATTCTTTTTTTTTTGAGTGCACAGTGCAAAAAAAGTCGAATTCCAATTCCACAGTGCAGAAAAACTGTGTTTCTAATATTGCACAGTGCACAGCAAATTCAAATTCTCATTGCACAGTGCGAAGGCTAAAAACAAAAAAAAAATTTACCTCAAATCCCACTGCATAACAAATGCAAAGACATAGTAATACCACAACTCTGCTCATCTCAAAACCTCAAATTCTCATCCATTCCACAGCTTATAAGTAATAACAGGATCTGAAAAAAAACTGCAAATACTCAAAAATCAGACAAAAATTTTCAAAAGACTTGTGGGATCGTCACCTTTCGGGGACAATGGGATATTTGTAATCCGTATCAGCGATAATTTAGTCAAACAAAAAAAGTCGCGTTAAGCAAACCCACTCCATGAATGGGCCCTTTTTTGTTGTATTTTATTGTTATTTATGCTCGCACTTCAAATTATTACGTTTGGGGATAGGCTTTTAGCTTTTTTTCGAATAAAAATGGGATCATTGGAGGGGGGAGTGGTCCCGGAAAAGGGTCAAATTGAGACCAAAAATGGAGGTTTTTTTGGGTAATTACTTTTTTGGGAAAAATTTCATTTTTTTATTTTCAAATCGGAGTTGGACGATTGGGGAAAAGTACGATTGGGGAAACCGAAAAGTATTACTTTTTTTGATGCAAATGTCGAAGTTTGAATAATCGAGGATGCTCATTTGGAAAGTGACATTCATTTTTTTGCTTTTTTTCTTAAAACAGCTTTTTTGTAAGGGTCGAGCTAGCTGTGCGCATGAAACAGGATGTCACAGTAGAGCCATGAAACACTAACCATATGTTACCCTTACCGCGGGTACTAAATTTCAGAAAATTTTTTTTGATTATTGGCCTACTGCAGGTTTTCGAAGGTGCTGGTCTCGAAAATCATGTTAACTTTTTCCCCAGTACTAATTAGTACTATCTGATACTATGTAGCACCAGCACCTTCGAAAACCCCTGAATCCAGTATTTTTGGAAAATTTTCAAAAAATTACTACTTCACAGTACTACTTAAGAAAAAAGTAACAACTAGAAAAAATGAACATGATTTTCGAAATCAGCACCCTCGAAAACCCCTAAATCGAGTATTTATTTAAAAAAATCAAAAATTACTATTTTACAGTACTACTTAAGAAAAAAAGTAAGAATCAAAAAAAAAAAAATGAATGTCACTTTCGAAATGACCACTCTCGATTATTCTAACTTCGACATTTGCATCAAAAAAGTAATACTTTTCGGTTTCCCCAATCGTCCCAGTTCCTTTTCAAATGGGGCTGAGATTTTGATCAAACTTGACACAAATTTAGGCCAATTTTTTCTAAAAAATATGTGAAACTCTTGGCTCGCGCTTTGCTAAAACGACCGAGATTTTTAGGTCAAAATTTGGCAAAAAATGCAAAATTTTTTTGCGAATTTTTAGGCGAAAAGTTGTATGCTTATTTCTACTGTAGAGTGTAATGTTTCTACCAAAAATGTTCAAAATTCAACAGTTCACTTTTCACCGTGCAACCGTGCCCTTGTTGAAAAAATGATTACAATTCAGCCACGCCTGTAGCCTGAGGCAGCAGTGGCTTTATCAGGTTATCAAAAATAAGGGAAACGACAGGAAATGGGAGGCTAGATGATAAATATAAATCAGTCACCGAAAAGGTGCGCTACCATCGCCAATTAATACAGAATTATGATGTAATCTTATTTATTTTAGCGATAAAACTCCTGTAAAGTTAAAAAATAAACAAGCAATGGTAATATGTACTTGAGGTTGTAATACTTGTAAACCGAAGTTGGTCAATAAACAAGGGAAGGGTATTAAGTGCGACACACTTTTTTTTTTTTTTAATTTTGCACACTTCTTGGACATAAAATACATATTATAAAACAGAATTCTTGAAGGGTTTAGCTCGCGCTTTGCAGGCACAGCCGAGATATTCAACGATCCTTGCGGCCGAGAGATCACACGCAGCGCGGAGAGCGGAGAGAAAAAACGGTTTTGGCCATATCTTTGCTAGCTTTGCGAGAAAAAAATAGATTTTTTTTGTGGAAACATTACCCTCAGCGGTAAAAATAGGGACATTACTTTTAGTCCCAAAAAAAAAAAAAAAAATGCCACGAATTTTTTCCAACTTTCAACCAAAAAATCTCGGTCATTTCTGTAAAAAAAACTAAAGCCGGGTTAAATGAGCAGCCGCTTTTGTACAGTTTTTATTAGTCCGTCGGGAAAATAATGGCGTATTTTCGTACCAAAATGTTTTGTCTTGTCGAAAAAACAGCCCAATCGCGCATCAAACCTCCAGCTTTGGCTAGCGACGATTGACGATTGCAAGGTGCTACGACGCCATTATTTTCCCGACAGACTGATAAATTTTTTTGGAGTTTTGAGCTTGAAAATACCAACTTTTATTATAATAGTAGAATAATAAAAGCTGGCTATAGGGAGCATAGCCAAAGCCGGAGAAAAATTGCTAGCTCCTTACGACCAGACGTGGTCAGCGGATTTTTTTGGATTTTCGGCCCACGGCCCGGCCTCCCGCCCGTGCAGGGGCCAATGCGCTAACTGAAAGTTTGCGGAAAAGTTAGCTGAAAATGGTGGGGCGCAGCTAGGAAAACAGAAAAAAAAAGAAAAAAAAAATCCGCAGCTCACCGGAGCCAAGTTTCAGCTTGTTTTGAGCTGCGCCCAAGACGCGAGCTGCGCCCGTGAAAGTTCTCCGAGCTGCGCCCTATGATTTGCAGCAAACTTTCAGTTAGCGCATTGGCCCTAGGCCTTTTTATAGAGGACTCTGTGAGGCTCCAATCCTTTATATAGAGGACTTTGCGAGGCCCTAGGCCTTGTTATAGAGGACTCTGCGAGGCCCCAGGTCTCTTTAAATAGGACTCTGCGAGGCCCTGGGCCTTGTTATAGAGGACTCTGCGAGCCCCAGGCCTTTTTATAGAAGACTCTGCGATGCCCCAGGCCTTTTTACAGAGGACTCTGCGAGGCCCCAGGCCTTTTTATAGAAGACTCTGCGAACCGCGCCCAACCTTTGTTGCTAGAATTAAGCAAAATAGACGTTGATCTAGCTGGTGAAGGATTAATATTATAAATAGGGCCCGAGACCCCTCGTCTAGACTGCCGGCATTTGGGGTTGAAAAAACGAAAGCATTCCCCCTTTGAATGGCTGGGACGTCTGATACTTCCCGCATTTCCCGAGTTCCCTCTATTTGAACTACTCCGAATTTCGACGGAATTACGTTATTAATTTTAATAACCTTTCGACTTTGATTCTTTCAAACAAATTTCGCTTTGAATTGGGGTGATATTTCCGGTGAAAAATCAAAAAAACATCCAAAAATAAAAGTCCAATTGTACGGTTTGGAATTTGAAACCAGAATTTCGAACGCTCTTCAAAGATCGAACATTGATTTTGAGACGAAAAAATATAGATTTTAACAACTTACCATAGCAATATTGTCTCCGTTTCAAGCCAGAAATGCACTCCAACAAATGCTCGCCAATGTGGTCGAAACAGGCTTTCCCTCGTTCTAATCGCATTATACACTTTTTACGTTTTGCTTTTGTTATTCTTTTTGCGTCGGAAATGGTGGCGTTGCGCAACGTCAAAGGGCAGTTATTACGTCAGGATTTATTGCAGACTGGGGCCAATGCGTTATCTGAAAGTTTGCTGAAAGTTAGCTGAAAATGGTTGGGCGCAGCTCGGAAAATTTGCATGGGCGCAGCTCGCGTCTTGGGCGCAGCTCGAAAACAAGCAGAAACTTAGCTCCGGCGAGCTGCGAAACGTTGTTTTCCGAGCTGCGCCCTACCATTTTCAGCTAACTTTCAGCAAACTTTCAGATAGCGCATTGGCCCCTGTTTGGGGAGTATTGCCCGAAAAGCGGGCTCCCGAGGGACAAGGGAAGTGTCAGTTTGTCGGGAAAATAATGAGCACTCTGTCGCATCGAAAGCCCCATGAGAAAATGAATTACAGAGTGTGGCAAAAAACGTGAAGGTAAGTTGGATGTTATAAAGGGTGACCCAAAAAATGGGCATTTTTCTTTTTTCGATTTCTCTTGACTTTGAATGTTACTCGGAAAAAGATACATATGGTACGAAACCACTGTGTTATGTGTACATACTCATTGCAAAAATTGGCCACCAACTGCAAAAGTTGCCGACATATGGTTGCTTAAAGTTGCCGGGTCAGCGAAGTATTAGTTTGGCCCGTATCAACCGGTCAGCGAAAATATTCTGAAAACTGAAATGGGTATCACGAAGCAGGACAGCTGACAATTATAAAACGATTTTTCTTTCCACCGACTACGGTATTCGTGGTGGGATACACCGACTTCAAAATTTGTCCATTTTTTTCAATCACTCTGTAATTTACGGCGATGGCAGCGAAGAGACTTTGTTTTTGGAATATGTATTTTTAAGCGAAATTAACTTTTGCTTGTGAAACAACAAGATTTCAAACTGCGAACTGAGGTCGCCACGACCTTTTGAAGTAGGAGCATTTTTGCTACAAAAACCAGTGTTTTTCGATTGATTTGCTATCGCAAGGTCCCCCAGTACGCCAAACATACAGGGGAAGTACCTCAAGTGCGACGCTCAGATTTTTATGAAAATTGGTACAAATTTGGAATAATTTTTTTTAATATATATGCGAGAATCCTGGCTCGCGCTTTGCAGAAACAACCGAGATTTTTAGATCCAAAGCCGGCCAAAATTTAGGACTTTTTGCCGAATTTCGGCACAAAAAGTTTCATGGCTATTTCTACCGTAAAGGATAATGTTCCTACAAAAAATCAAATTTTTTCCGCACAAAACTGCCAAAGTTATGGCCAAAAAGCGCTTTTCTCTCTGTCCGCTCTCCACGTCTGGCGTGCTCTCTCGGCGGCAAAAATCGTTCGATATCTCGGCGGCGCCCGCAAAGCGCGAGCTAAAACTTTCAGGAATTGATATTTAGCCCATACGCGACGTGTGTGCAAAATTTAAAGAAAGTCTGAGTGTCGCACTTGGAGTACTTCCCCTGTAAGTGAAATCGATTATCATGAGTCTATTGCCGTTGTCTCCTATTTTAGCTGGGACTGTATAGTTGTAGGTTATTGGTGGTCAGGGGGAGTCAATGACTACTACTCTCGCAGGCAAGTTAGGGGCCTCACAATCCTCGACCTACAGTTAGGTCTTGACAACAGGGTCTTACAAAAAACGTGAAGGCTATAATTTCCGGCGGAGGCGGCGCAAAGATTTCGCTTTTGGAATATGTATTTTAAAGGGAAATTAATTTTTGCTTATGAAACAACAAGATTTCAAAGTGCAAACTGAGGTCGCTACGACCTTTTGAAGTAGGAGCATTTTTACTACGAAAACCAATGTTTTTCGATTTATATGTTATTACAGGATCCACGGGCACATCAAATCAGGATTGACCCGAATAGACACTGCGGTATTAGTTTCTTACAGTTCGTCTTGGTTTTACATACAGAGAGGACAGAGAAAATATACAAAAAGTACTCTCTCGTCCCAAAATTTCCCCATTTCTTTCCCCGACAAAAAGATCCAATTCCGAGCAGTGACAAGATATTCGTATCGACAAACACACAGTAATACGTATGTAATCCTCGGCTCTCCGAGTATCTCGTATCTCGAATACCCAACATCACATATTCGTTGCACTCCCAAACCCCGTCCTGGCACCGGGTGCACGTGGGAAAGTGCGTGAAATTTCAAGTCGCTCGTCCGCTTCGAACGACACATTCCTATCTTTGTTATGGAAGAGAAAAATCGAACATTTAAGGTGCTGTTTCCGCACGAATTTCCGGCCGTCTCCAACACTTGCTCCAACTTTCCGCATCTGCGCAGCTCGCCGCGTTGCCCGTATCCGGGCCTGATTGTGGAGGTGGGTTGTTCGTCTGGAAAAGGGCAGTCTTTTTTTTTTTTTTTTTTATTGTAGGGGGAGCAAATGCACTTTTATGAAAATGCTAATATCAGTTTGATGGGAAAGTAATGAGCACTCTGTCACATCAAAAATCGCGTCGATTATTTTTCGTACAGTGCGGCGATCAAAACAAGATTTTGCGTGACGCTGCACTGTGCATTAAAACTTTTTCAAAATTTGGAATGCACAGTGCAAAAAGAAATTTTTTATCGTGCAAAGTGAACGGTGCGGAAAGTTCCTTATTCTGGCCACAAAAGGGTACTCCGCGAACTGCGCCCAAGCTTGGGCACTAAAGTTAGGAAAAAACGCTTTGATATAAGTTACAATGAATTGCTATAACAGCTCTAAAGTTTTAAGGGTACCTACGAAGGCTATGACGACTCATTTAGTCCTATACGGAGGCAATAAGTTTAGTTCAGGACATGTTTCATCGTATAAAATGTAAAATCGCAGGCTGCAGCCGTTTTCGAAGGGTGGAACGTAAAAAAAGAAGGTACCTCACTAACTAAATCCACTGTCCGGGCATTGACAACGATGAATTGAGCGTGCACGCTAAATTTGGGCTAATTCTGACCAGTTTCCGCAAAGTTATAAGTTGTGGCCAGAATAGGGAACTTTTACCCACGGTGCTTGGAAATACGACATTTTCGACTTTTTCAGCCATTTTTTTGTTCGAAATCGCTAATAATCGGTCGTAACAGTTTGCCGGGAAAATAATGAGCACTCCGTCGCATGGAAAATCGCATTTCCGCCGAGAAAATAAATTGTGTCGCGACAAAAGCAAATTTCTTTTTATTACTTCAGCGACGCGATTGGCAATGCGCCATAGTGCTCATTACTTCCCCGACGGACTGATAACCGCTTACCGGTCCGTTCGCAAAGCCGCTGGAGTGATTTGTTTTGCGTTGCACCGCGCAATATCTTGTTTTTTGCACCGTGAAACCCCCGACTTTATAAGTCCATCGGGAAAATATTCGCGCCATTGCCCATCATCGGCTTTGCAACGGCAAACTGGGGGTTTGGTGCGCGGCTGCGATTAGTACATTTTTTGATACTTCTCGGATGCAAAATGGTACGTTTTTTGCCACTGGATCAGGTCCGCCACTGTTAGTATCTCACTGGCGCCAATCCCCACATCAAATACTTCTTTTGTTCGTACTAGTAAAGACACGGTAACGGACCTGATCCAGTGGCAAAAAACTGTGCTATTTTGCATCCGGGAAGCATCAAAAAATGTGGCAAAATGTCTCCCTCTCCAACTAGAAAACTCTTTTTTGAAGGTCCTCTACAAAAGTACGGGCGCACTTTTGAAATCGGATTTTTTTCACTTGGAGAGGGAGGTATTTTGCCACATTTTTTGATACTTCCCGGATGCAAAATGGTACGTTTTTGCCGCCGGATCAGGTCCGTCACTGTAGTAAATACTAGTCGCGGAAAAAAGTCCTGGGATTTTCTCGCGCCCCCCAAACTCCATCGCACTCCGAAAAGTTGATTTGTCGCGGGAAACGCGCGCGACAATAAGCCAAAATCAACAAAATTGCACTGTGCAAATGCACTTTTCGGGTTCATGCACAGTGCAGAGTCGAAATCCCAGGACTTTTTTCCGCGACTAGTATGATTACCGCCGCTCCTTTAGATCCTCATCGCCATCGCCGACAGCATCAACGTGCCAATCGAGGAGGTTTTGGTGGAAGATGACGTGAATCAGGATGGGAATTTGGTCCTGGGGACTGTGGTAAGTTCGCTGTCGCCTCAATTTTATAATACATACATCGACAGGACGGAAACAACGTGTCGGGTCTGTTGCGCTACGTGCATGAAGGGATTGTGGATACGATCGCGTATCCGATTCAGAAGACGATCGTGCGCAGCCAGTACATGGACTTCTCGGAGGCCCTGTACCAGGTGTGGTTGGAAAATATTTATGCGATAATATATATTTATATTATACCAAGCTGTCGAGTGTTTTTTTCTGTACAGCTTTTTGAATATAAGTTTCTGAATCTTCACATAACATCTAAATATACATACATATCATTGCAGTCCGAGCTCAACATTCTTCGCCGTCGCGTCGACATATCCGAAGAGAGTCTGTGGTCGTTCTTCACGATCTACGACAAGCCCAGCTATGTTGTGATGGCCGTCATTCTTTCGCTGCAAGCCTTGTTCTATTTGATTAACGAATTTTGCGCCGAGGAGTTGCAGAGGATCGGGTTCCGACATATCCGGGCGATGAGGAGGCATTCTGAGGTATGTGGAGAGGGCAAAAAGTAATGGAAATTTTCTCGGTGTGATATTGAGTTGAGCCCGAACTTTCCCCTTTTTTTGAACATCCCCCCAATCCGAACTCTCCCCCTATTCTCAACTCTCTCCCAATTCGAACTCTCCCCTTTTTGAACACTCCCCTTCATTTTTTAAATTGAGAAAAATTAGGTGTGACATGTTATACCATTAAAAATTTTTTAAAAATTCATAGAATGAGGCGTGACATGTTATACGATTGAAAAATTATTTGAAATTGAGAAAAATTAGACGTGACATGTTATACGATGAAAAATTTTTTCAACTTGAGAAAAATGAGGTGTGACATGTTATACGATGAAAAATTTTTCAAATTGAGAAAAATTAGGCGTGACATGTTATACGATTAAAAATTCATAAAATGAGGCGTGACATGTTATACGATTAAAAAATTATTTGAAATTGAGAAAAATTAGATGTGACATGTTATACGATCGAAAAATTAGGCGTGACATGTTATACGATTGAAAAATTTTTTCAAATTGAGAAAAATTAGATGTGGCATGTTATACGATGAAATTTTTTTTAAAGTAAGAAAAATTAGGTGTGACATGTTATACGATGAAAAAATTTTTCAAATTGAGAAAAATTAGGTGTAACATGTTATACGATGAAATTTTTTTTAAAGTGAGAAAAATTAGGTGTGACATGTTATACGATGAAAAAATTTTTCAAATTGAGAAAAATTAGGTGTGACATGTTATACGATGAAAAAATTTTTTAAATTGAGGAAGATTAGGTGTGACATGGTATACGATGAAAAAATTTTTTTTAATTGAGAAAAATTAGATGTGACATGTTATACGATCGAAGTTTTTTTTCAAATTGAGAAAAATTAGGTGTGACATGTTATACGATGAAATTTTTTTTAAAGTGAGAAAAATTAGGTGTGACATGTTATACGATGAAAAAATTTTTCAAATTGAGAAAAATTAGGTGTGACATGTTATACGATGAAAAAATTTTTTAAATTGAGGAAGATTAGGTGTGACATGGTATACGATGAAAAAATTTTTTTTAATTGAGAAAAATTAGATGTGACATGTTATACGATCGAAGTTTTTTTTCAAATTGAGAAAAATTAGGTGTGACATGTTATACGATGAAAATTTTTTTTTAATTGAGAAAAATTAGGTGTGACATGTTATACGACTGAAAATCTTAGTTCGTACTAGCCGTTCCAGAAAGTACGTAGACTTTGTTTGAGTTCATTTTTTTGGTCGTTTTTTCGGCTCTTTGGCGTGTGTGAAAATCGTCAGAAAAATGACTTTTTTGCGAATTTTGTCGTGAGAAGTTTTACGCTTGTTGCAGCCGTAGAGAATACCGTTTCCACAAATAAAATGCGATCATTTCGTACGTTCCTGGCCGCAAAGATGGTTGAATATCTTGACCGCCGCTGACAGGGATGAGCTTAAACGTTCAGCAATTTATAAAGTACTTTCCTTGTGAGATGAATTTCAGTCGCTCTGGAACGCCGTAAAATTGCAACTGGGGATGCCAATCGAAGTGTCATGGCGCAGTTACGGAGGTAACCCCCGATTCCCCTCGAAAAATCTCGTTTTCAGCCAAATTCAACATGGTTTTCGTCTCCATCTTCCAAGGCGTCATATTGATGGGCGTTTATAGTAGTTGGATATTGACGCAAAAGTACGCCAACGACATCGTCAACGACTTGCAGACCAACAACGATCTGATTCGACAGGTCGCGGCGGGAAGGAGGTATTTCGCGGATGCGACCGGGAATCATTGGTTTTTTGAGGCCATAAATCACAGTACAATGTTCCCATATGCCGACTTGCGATTGGCGATGAGGAGTGAGTGGGATTTTGGCGGGTTTTAGAGGGATTTTTGAGTGTTTTCAGAATGATTTTTTGTCGGAAAATTTTTGAAAAAAGATAATTTTAGCCCTAAAATATCAGATTCTGCCCAATTTTTTCGTGGAAAAATGGCCGATTTTTTGTCGGAAAAATTTTGAAAAACGATAATTTTTGCCCTAAAATATCACATTCTAATCGATTTTTTCATTGAAAAATTCTAAAATTCGATTATTTTCCGACAGATTTTTTCAGTGAAAAATTTAGAAAAAAGATAATTTTAGGGCTAAAGTATCACTTTCTAATAGATTTTTTTTCGATGAAAAATTTCTAAAATTTTATTTTTTCAGAATGATTTTTTGTCGGAAAAATTTTGAAAAAAGATAATTTTAGCCCTAAAATATCACATTCTAATCGATTTTTCATTGAAAAATTCTAAAATTCGATTATTTTCCGACAGATTTTTTGTCGCAAAAATTTTTAAAAACAATAATTTTTGCCCTAAAATATCAGATTCTGACCATTTTTTTTTGAAAAATTCGAAAATTCCATTTTTTCAGACCGATTTTTTATCAGAAAAATTTAGAAAAAAGATGATTTTAGCAGGAATTACCACTTTCTGACCAATTTTTTTCTTTGAAAAGTTCTAAAATTCCATTTTTTCCGACAGATTTTTATCAGAAAAATTTTGAAAAATGATAATTTTAGCCCTAAAATATCAGATAATTTAGAAAAAGATAATTTTGTCTCGAAATACCACTTTTTGACCGATTTTTCTTTGGAAATGCCCAACATTCGATTTTTTCTGACCAATTTTTTGTCGGAAAATTTGAAAAAAAAAATATTTTCTCTCAAAATTCCCTTTTAAAAGCGATTTTCAGCACTTTCTCGAGGCTATATACAATTTTTACACCGATTGTTTATCAGAAAAACTGCAAAAGCTTGCTTTCAGAGACCCCAATGGAGATTACTGGAAGCAGTAAGAATGCACTGGATCTGGCGTCGCACGGCTCCGCATTGGTCGCGATTATGGATGACGAGTTGGTGAGCCTCAGGGCGAAGAAGTATTGCAAGTAAGAGCTGTAACTTTTACCCCGAATTAAGAGTTTGTCGGGGAAAAACGAGCACTTTGTAGTAGCGAAAATCGCGCACAGTGCGGCGATCGAAGCAAAATTTTTCTTTTTACGGTCAATGAAATCGCTAAATAATCGGTGATATCAGTCCGTCGGGAAAATAATGAGCACTCTGTCGCAACGAAAATCGCATCGCCTCCAGGAACATGAAATTTGACGCGACAAAATCAAACTCCTTTTCACTTCGCGATCGACCCCGCAACATTATGCTCATTATTTTCCCAGCAGACTGATACAGTGAATTTGCCAACCGGATCCATTGGCAAAAAACGTATAATTTTGCATCCGGGAAGTATCAAAAATGTGGCAAAATGCCTCCCTCTCCAACTAAAAAAACCCCATTTTAACGGGCTCTCTCATAAAAAGAGCGGGCGCGCTTTTGAAATCGGAGTCTTTTTTTATTGTAATGGGAGGTATCTTGCCACATTTTTTGATGCTTCCCGGATCCAAAATGGCGTGTTTTTTGCCACTGGATCAAGTCCCTTGATCTTTTATTGTACAGTGAGGGATCTGATCCATTGGCAATGAACGGGTAATTTTGCCTCCGGGAAGTATCAAAAATGTGGCAGAATACCTCCCATTATGATAAAAAAGACTCCGTTTTGAAAATTTCCCTCATAAAAAGAGCGGGCGCGCTTTTGAAATCGGAGCTTTTTTCACTTGGAGAGGGAGGTATTTTGCCACATTTTTGATACTTCCCGGATCTATAATGGTGCTTTTTTTGCCACTGTAATTGCGTCGCATCAAGATCAAATTTAAGTATCAAAAATGCAGCAAAATACAGGGTGGGCCACTAAAACCTTCCGTCCTCTTATATTTGCAAAATACTGTTGTAAAAACTAATTTATTTAACAAGAAAGTATCAAAAATGCAGCAAAATACTTCCTTCTCCAAGTGAAAAAACTCCGATTTCAAAAGCGGGCGCGCTCTTTTTATGAGGGAAATTTTCAAAACGGAGTCTTTTTTTGTTGTAATGGGAGGTATCTTGCCATATTTTTTGATGCTTCCCGGATCCATAATGGCACATTTTTTGCCACTGGATCAGGTCCACCACTGCTAGCATAATATTTGCAAAACTCTTTCAGCCTCATCCCCATGGACCATCCCATGGCGGTGGTGACGGCGCACCTCGTCTTCGCCAAGAACAACTCTCTGCTGCCGCTGATCGACGAAGCCATTCGAATCAATCAGCTGCAGTTCCAGCGGATCGTCCGCCGGTACCTCGACTACGGCTATCGGGTCCACAAAAGCTGTGTGAGCGATGGGATGCACACGAAGGCGCCGTATTTCGGGTTGTGTCTGGTGTGGTTGGCCTTAGTGGCGTGCGCATTCGGCCTGTTTCTCGCCGAATTGTCGACGTACTGGCTGTGCATGAAGGTGCAATTGTTGCGGAATACCAAATAAAAACTGTAAAGGTTGTCACTACTTCGCGTGCGAATTTGCATATTCCCACGGAATGACCGACAAATTGGTATAAAAGGAAGAGAAATCGCCAATTATTATGATTATTTTGTGTTTGTTTTTCCCGGTTGGATGTTATAATAAATTGTATTGTCTATTTGTCTATTTGATTGGTCTATGGTCAGCTCTGGTGAAGTTGGTTCCTCAAGTATTGTGAGTTCATTTGTGAAGTTGTTGCCTAGGGCATAATTAGTTGTATTGTCGTTTGTATAGTCGTTGTCGTTGTATTCGCATAGAGCTTGGGATCTTAGGTAGAACTAGATTAGGGACCCTTACTACTTGACCTATACCAAGGTCTTGACAAAATAAAAAAACGGTATATTTCAAGTAAAAATAAAGAAATAATGGGTTTCAAATTACTTTTTATTCATCAAAAATACAGTAAATCCAGAAAAAAATGAAATTTTTAAATCCAAAAATTTCAAAAAATGATGACAAATCGAAAAAAAATCAAAATTCAGAGCTTCTTTATTATCCCGTATTGGCTGATTTCGGCTGGAAAAAGACAGAAATGATATTTACAAGGTAAAATACGACCATATAGAGTGACAATGCAAGAAAAAGACCGAGAAAACTCTCTTTGACGCGGAAAAAGAGCTGTAAAACGCAATTTGGACTAGAAAATGTATGGCAAATGGACTGGCAAAAAGTCTGCATACGAAATACAACTTTTTCAACCCCATGCAGTATCCTATACAATGCTCACGAGCGGTTGGGAGCCTCTTCTTTCGTCGAGGAACGAGTTTTCGCGCGAGTCCGGCAGCGTCGGCTCGAACGAGACCGCCGGCCGTTGGCGGCCCGCTTCCTGCTTCATTAGCGCTGATGTTCTGAAAATTGGATTGTAATCGAATAAGTGATGCTTCTACTATATTATTTCCGAATTTCAGGTCATCAGAATGTCTGGGATTACGTGTTACAGTAATTCTAAGCCCTTTTCTGTTAAGATCTCTTATCTACGGGTCATTAAAGTTCCTTAGATTACCGTAACATGTCTTTTTACATTTTGCTGTTTTTGATTTTTCGAGATTTTTTGAGATTTTTGGAAAAAAACGGAAAAATTCAAAAAATCGATCTGTTACAGTAAGTCTAAGCCGTGTGATGCCTGAATTTCTTATCAACTTGTCACTAAAGGTCCTTAGATTACTGTAACATGTCTTTTTACATTTTGCTATTCTCTATTTTTCGAGATTTTTTGGCTTTTCTTCACCCAACTCCATGATCGCAAGCCTCTAAAAAGATGCCAAATTACAGTATCCCTAGACCCTAGAACCCTTCTAAAAACGAGTTTACCTAAATCCATTGGGTCCATATTCCGACACCAAGTTCTTCGGGTAGCCATTCTGACCCGGCGACGAGGCGGAACTCAGGCTTTTTTCGGTCTGATTGTCCAACAATCGCTCCTTCGTCAAGTCATTCTCCTTCGAGCCTCGGTAGCCAACGCCGGTGGACGCGGTGGCCGCGCTATGGCCGTCGTCCGAGCCCTGGCCGAACAGCGAGGAGGCGCGCTTGAAACGGGTTTCAATCCGGTAAATGTAGCCCACAAAGAGGAAGATCAGGAAGGTGCAGATCAGCTGGAGCGTGGAGAAGATCATGTTTCTAAAAATGAGAAGGTAATGGTTGAGAGTAAAGTAAGTGGAGTTATGGGGATAAAAGATGAATTTTGTCGGAAAGATTAGGTTTTGTGGGCCCTAAATCATGAAGGTCACCAGAACGAAGAAGACAAAGAGGCCCCCTTTTTTACTGATTTTGATTTTTTTTTTGAAAAGAGGCCTCTTTGGTTTGGAGTTTCTTCATTTTTGGGGCCTCTTCGTTTTAGGGGCCTTTTCGTTTAGGGGGATTCTTCGATCGGGGGACCTCTTTGTTTTGGGGGTCTCTTCGTTTTGGGGGACTCTCCGTTTTGGGGGTGGGGCTTCTTCGTTTGGGGGACGTATTCGTTTAGGGGCCCCCTCATTTTGGGGGCCTTTTAGTTTTGGGGACCTTTTCGTTTTGGGGGTTTCTTCGATTGAGGGATCTCTTTATTTTGGGGATTCTTCGATTGAGGGACCTCTTTGTTTTGGGGGTCTCTTCGTTTTGGGGGACTCTCCGTTTTGGGGTGGGGCTTCTTCGTTTTGGGGACCTTTTCGTTTAGGGACCTCTTCATTTTGGGGGCTTTTTCGTTTTGGGGGGGGGGGGTCTCTCTTTTTTGGGAGCCTTTTCGTTTGGGGGATATCTTCGTTTTGGAGACTTCTTCGCTCTCAATCCAAAAAAATCGCTAGAATTCCCCGCTATTTACCTTAAAAATCCGTGTTTCTCGAAGAACAGCACCGCATCCCCGTAGAAGACGAGCATAACCAACACCGACGCGCCTGCCGCATGACTCAGATCGTATAGCAAGTTCTCCTTGCGCTCAATGTAACGCGTCGCCATCACCACTCTTCCACCATAGTAGAAGGCATAGGCGCCATAGCCCATGGCAATGCCCATGTACAGAATGAGAGGGACCAAGAAGGAGGTGGCGAAACTGACGGAGAGCGGGTGCAGAACGGGCTGTTTTGTGATGACGTGGGTGAAAATTGGGGTGTTGTAGCTCCACACAATGAAACAGGAGAGCGAGGGGAGAACTGAAAACGAGGAAATTTAGAATTTTCAAATTTTTTCCAAAATTTAGGAAATTTAGAATATTCAAATTTTTTCAAAATTTAGGAAATTTAGAATATTCAAATTTTTTTAAAAATTTTTGGAAATTTAGAATATTCAATTTTTTCCAAAATTAAACAAATTTAGAAAATTCAAATTTTCTCCAAAATTTAGAAAATTTAGAATATTGCAATTTTTTTCCAAAATTTAGGAAGTTTAGAATATTCAAATTTTTTCAAAAATCCAGGAAATTTAAAATATTAAAATTTTTCCAAAATTTAGGAAATTTTGAATATTCTATTTTTCTCCAAAATTTCAACCCAAAATATGCACTTACTAAAAATTTAGAAAATTTAGAATATTCAAATTTTTTCGAAAATTTATAAAATTTAGAATTTTTCAAAAATTCAGGAAATATAGAATATTGAAATTTTTTCCAAAATTTAGGAAACTTAAAATATTCAAATTTTTCCAAAATTTAGGAAATTTAGAATATTCAAATTTTTTCCAAAATTTAGGAAATTTAGAATTTTTCAAAAATCTAGGAAATTTAAAATATTCAAATTTTTCCAAAATTTAAGAAATTTAGAATATTCAAATTTTTTTCAAAATTTAGGAAATTTAGAATATTCAAATTTTTTTCAAAATTTAGGAAATTTAGAATATTCAAATTTTTTTCAAAATTCAGGAAATTTTGAATATTCAAATTTTCTCCAAAATTTCAACCCAAAATATGCACTTACTAATCGCGAACAATGAAATCAAAACAATCCGAACACAAGTATGCGCTCCCTCCTGGAACTCGCTCTCCAATTCCACAATCTTCGCATACACCGAGGAATTGATCAGCGCGATTAAAGCCCCGACCGACAGCATCGCAAATTGCAGCGCAAAGTAGATGGGCTGATCCAAGTGGCGGATGTTGAAGAAGTTCGGAGCGACCAGAACGAACAAGTGCGCGGAATGCACCACCAGAACCATGAACAGGAACACGCACAGTGCGGGGTCGGAGGCTCTGAAAATGGGATTTTTTGAGGGGATTTCGGGGGTTTTTGGGGAAATTTTGGATTTTTTGGGGCTCTAAAATACAAACTAAAAAAATTTTTTTTTTGATTTTTTAAATTTTTTCTCCAAAAAAACTCACTTTTGGCAGATCGAAATCAGCAACAAAAACATGGTCACAATCACAGCCACGAAGGAGGTGACAATCGGCAAGATGTTCATGACATCGTTGATGACGTCACTTTTGCTGTTGAATAAGTGCTCCGGAAGCAGCGTAAAGACGCCGAAATGAGTGGTCTCACACAAAACCATGCCGTCTTCGAAGTTGCGCGACAACACCGTCACTCCATCGATACTCCATCCGCCGAATTTCTGGTCGAAAAACGCGCACGTGTAGTTGAAGCTGGGCTGGAAGTAATTTGGCGCCATCGGCCTGAGAGCAATCAACGTTTTGTCGCTCCCCGAGATCAGTGGGTCATTTGCGTCGCCGCTTTCGATCACAAGCGCCGGGATTTGAGCTGTGGTGGTGGCCTCGGGGATGCTGTAGATTGTGTTGTTCTTCATGCAGACGAACAACGTGGTGGCGGAGCGCACCGCACGCGGCAAATGAATATAGCATTTGTCCCCCATTTTCGTGGGAAACGTCTCCGCGCCCGCGATCCAGTGCTGCGAACGCATTTGCAGCCCGTTTTGCGGCGATTCCAGCGAGTAGGGCGTGGGCAGCCTGCGCCCGAAGTTGGTGAGAAAAGTCTGCAGACGAATGCGGGATTGCGTGACATTGCCTGGAAATGAGTTTTTGAGGGGGTTTTTGAGATGAAAAAAGAGATTTTTTATGAAAAAAATTTGGAAATTTTTCCGAAAAAAGTCTCAAAAATGCCTTAAAAAGGCTTAAAAACAACTTTTAAGCCTTAAAAAAGAGTTTTTCTATTAAAAAAGGGTTTTTGGAGGGTTATTTTCGATAAAAAAATGATTTATCGGTTGTCCTAAAACCTCGAAAAAGCCTGAAAAAAGACTTGAAAGCAATTTTTAAGCCTTAAAAAAGTGTTTTTTATACTTTTTTTCCATTAAAAAATCCAAATTTCGAAATTTTTCCGAGCAAAAATCGGTCGTCAAAAAATCTAAAAAATGCCTTAACAAGGGCTTGAAAACAATTTTTATGCCTTAAAAAAGTGTTTCTCCCTTAAAAAATCCAAATTTCGAAAGTTTTCCGAGAAAAATTGGTCGTTAAAAACCTCAAAAATGCTTTTAGACAGCTTGAAAACAATTTTTAAGCCCTAAAAAAGTTTTTTTATGCTTTTTTCCATTAAAAAATCTAAATTTCGAAAGTTTTCCGAGAAAAAATCGGTCGTTAAAAATTTCAAAAAATGCCTTAAAAAGGCTTGAAAACAAATTTTAAACCCTGAAAAGTGTTTTTTTTACATTTTTTTCATTAAAACATCGAAATTTCCAAATTTCTCCGAGAAAAAATCGGTCATCAAAAGTCCCAAAATTACCTGGCAAATCCCCCAAATTCTTGCTGAGCATGCTGTCCAGCACCTGAATCGTGTGTTCAGCGATTTTCTCGTCGAAATGCGATGACGTCACATTCTTCTGGAAGGCGGGGAATCTTAAAATGGAGTCCAAAAATCGCTGGACTGCGTTGAATCCGGCCGAGGTTTGATCGGGACGCTGTACATAGTTGGCCAACACACCCAAATGGACCAAAATCGAGGACTGTTTCTTGCACACCTCGTTGTAGGAGACGTTTTCCCAGCGGGCCAGTGTGTTGTCCCAGGTGCATTTGCGCTCCAACTGTGTTCCATCCGCGTTGTAGGGGCACAAGATCGCGGCCGACTGGTTCACCGCCGTGGAGGGCCAGTCCACACTGCCGAAGGTCTCGATGGAGCGCTCGGCGGTGCATTTCTCCACCACGTCGCATTGGTGGCCGCTGAACCCGTCGTAGCAGAGGCAGTGGGGTCCGTTGATGTCGGTGAACTGGACGATTTTGTGCTCTCGCCCGTAGTAGCACATTGGGCGACCGCCGTCCGCGCAGCGCCCGCGACACAGGAGATCTGAAGCAGCGGTTTATATTACATATTAGTATTTTCATAAAGTGCATGGACATTTTTCATTTTTTATTTCTTTTTTATATTTTTTTTCTTTTGCACAGTGCATCTTGAACTTTTTCCTACGCTTGTCGCCAACGCACGGTGCATTTTTTCTTTTTCGCACAGTGCAAAAAACACAGAAAGGCCGTTTGCACAGTGCATCTTGAACTTTTTCCCGCGCTTGTCGCCAATGCACAGTGCATTTTGGACCTTTTTCCCACGCTTGTCGCCAGCGCACAGTGCATTTTCTCTTTTTTGCACAGTGCAAAAACAAAAAATTAAAATGCACAGTGCATTTTGAACTTTTTCCCACGCTTGTCGCCAACGCACAGTGCATTTTTTCTTTACGCACCGTGCAAAAACCAAAAAAGCCGTTTGCACAGTGCATCCTGAGCCAATTTCCCACGCTTGTCGCCAGCGCACAGTGCATTTTCTCTTTTTCGCACCGTGCAAAAACCAAAAAGGCCGTTTGCACAGTGCATTTTGAACTTTTTCCCACGCGTGTCGCAACGCACGGTGCATTGTTTTTCCGCACGGTGCAGATCGCTGGAACGTTTTTCGCGACATGCACTGTGCAAAAACAGAGGTTTTCTTTGCACTGTGCAGTTTGTCGCGGGTGTCGCGCGAGAAAAGTGGCAAGCTCGCGCGAAAGTGCATGTCGCTAGTGCAAAAACGGGGAATTGCCGCGACGGGTCCGAAAGAAAACATAAATGCACTGTGCAAATTTCTCAGGACTTTATGTCGCCACTAGTATCGCAACAAAAGTTTTTATATTTTATTTTTTTTTTATATTTTCTACTCACCATCCTCCAACAAGTTGAATTTGTACGGTTCGGCCGGGGTGTGTCCATTGCTGTCCACGGCGGCCACAATGACCCGGTATTCGGGGCCGACTTGGAAGTTGGCCCGACTCAGCGCCACATTCTCTTCCCCATCCACCTCAAATGTGTGCATGACGTCATTGCCGCGATGGATTTCGATCCGGATGCTTTGGGGGACGCCGAATTCGGGGGCATCCCACTCGAAGATTTGATAAATCCGATTGGCGATATTTACGCGGACATTGCGCGGCGCCGACACTGAGACCGGAATTACTGTGAGTTTCGCGACACTGAACAGTTGAGGACTCCCATAGTCGAAGGCGACAAGTTTTAGCTCATAATTCTTGTAGAGTTTCAACCCCGATTTCATCGACTTCCGCACATTCAAACTCCCGTTCTTGTGAAGCGCCCAATAATTGGCCAAGCTCGGATCCGAATCCATCGGAATTACGGTGAGTTGGAGCTGAGAGTTGTAGATGATTGGGTCGTTGTCCGTCACCACCACTCGCCCAACCTCAAGGCCCGGCCGCAGCGACACGGGCGCGTAGAATTTGTAGTGATCGGACGAGAATTTGGGAGGATGTCGATTCCGACGGGTGACGTGAAGCGAAAAGGTCAAGGAACGCATCTGAAAAGGGGAAAAATTACAAAATTACAATTTGGAGCGAGTTTTTGAAAGAAAAATCAAATTTTTTTCGAAGGTTTTGACGCACTGTGCAATAAAAAAAGTTGTGTTTTTTTGCACTGTGCAAAAGAAATTTTCAAATTTTGGCGTTTGCACAGTGCAGTCCAAAAAAATTTTTGTTTTCTCCGCACTGTGCAATACAAAAGAAATGTTTCTTGCACTGTGCAAAAGAAATTTTCAAATTTTTGATTGCACTGTGCAGTCCAAAAAATATTTATTTGTTGTTTTCTCCGCACTGTGCAATAAAAAAGAAACGTTTTTTTTGCACTGTGCAAAGGAAATTTTCAAATTTTTGATTGCACTGTGCAGTTCAAAGAAATTTTTCTGTGATTGCACTGTGCAATTTTAGCGAAAAAATATTGCACTGTGCAGTCCAAAAAATTTTTTTGTTTTCTCCGCACTGTGCAATAAAAAAGTTGTGTTTTTTTTTGCACTGTGCAGTCCAAAGAAATTTTTCTGCAATTGCACTGTGCAATTTTAGCAAAAAATATTGCACTGTGCAAAAGAAATTTTCAAATTTTTGATTGCACTGTGCAGTCCGAAAAGATTTTTTTTTGTTTTCTCGCACTGTGCAATTTTAGCGACCGAAAAGTTTGGAGATTCTGCACGGTGCGGCAAAACGCGAAATCCGCAGCCCGCACTGTGCGATATTTCGAGAAAACCGACATTGCACAGTGCAAAGAAAACTTCGGCATTTGCACAGTGCAAAAAACAAAAGTTTTCTTGCACAGTGCAAAAAATAAATTTTTCTCGGCGAAAAAGAGAATTTGCACCGTGCGAAAATTTTTTTATCGCACTGTGCAATAAAAAATCTTTAAATTTTTGACTGCACAGTGCAAAAAACTAAATTTTGAAAAAACAAAAAAAAAATATTTTTTTAAATTTTTTTTTTCCAAAAAAAAATCATTTCTTACCATATTTGAAGCACACATCAAATGCAATGTTCCATATTGCATGGGCGCGGCGGAGCTGGGCACCTCTTTTGTTGTCATAAATATCAGCAAAGAGGTGTCGAACTCGATCCAATCAACGTCGCTGTCCAGCTGGGCAAAGCAATTTTTCATATCGCGCAGCACACGATCGAAGGCTTCGTTTAGGGTGGCTTTCGTGCCTGGAGGGGCGTTTTCGTATATCCGAATTTCGTAGACTTCTGAAATGAGTTTTTTGAGACTTTTTAAATGGGAATTGGTCAAAATATTTAAAATTTTTTTTCGAATTTTTAAAAATTTTTTTTTTTAATTTTCTGGGGCCTGTTTCACGAACGCAAAATAAAGAAAATAGAAATATGAGTGAGCGAGGGAACAGAGGAAATGCATGCGAAACGGGAGAGACGGCAGGAAAATGAGGATTGCGCCAATTCTCAATCGGAGTGACTTTTTACGTCCAAAATTACGGGTTGGCGGTAGTATTTGAGCCATAACTTTCCTCTACTTGGGCCTACAAGCACCCTCCAAAAATTCAAATAATGCTGAGACTTCGGGCTATGTAGATCTATAAAAATTTTTGCTCTACCGCCAATGACAAAGTTACCATAGGCGTTGTAGTGTTGAATTCTTCCACTTTATAACGCTAAAAGGCCTTTTTTCGCGTTAATTGAAACAGTAAAAAATTCTAATTAATGTCAGTCGATAGACAATTTAATTCTCTACAAAACATTTTTAGAGGGCCAACTGTAAGTCATTTTTTGGCTGAGTAATGACTGATTTACTTCGACAATCCCTCGATTTTGATCACAAAAAATCTTTCGAAAGAGCCCTCAAATCAAAAGAAGAGAGAAATGTTACGGTAAAAAATGGGATGCGGCTAGACTAAATCACCCATAACTTTATCAGTTGGTGAGATATAGACGCCCCTCTAAAAAAATAAGGTAGCCAAGACAATTTTCTTTACAATTATATAAAATTTTATACTAATATTTTATTATTTGGAACAAAAACCTATTTTTATTCTGAAAAAAATGAAAAAATTTTGCAAACTGCTGCACTACTATAAATTTGTTGGTGCCGTAGATCGCCAAACATCCTAAAAAATTACATTACTGTAAACCGCGGACTCAGGTCTACATGATTTTTTTTAAAAGGTGTCGATCCGACCATTTTGGGCGATGTTATGAGGGAATTAAGCTAGAATTGCAAAAATTTTTTAGAAAATAGAAATATGCGCATTACTACTGCTATTTTCGAGCGAGTTTTTGCAACAGTGCAACGAAACTTGCACACATGACAGTCCAAACAGTTAGCATTATTCGAAATTTTGAAGGGTGATTCTACGCCCATGGAGGGGAAAGTTATGGCCGAAATACTACCGCCAACCCTGGTTTTGGACGTAAAAAGTCACTCCGATTTAGAAGTGGCGAAATCCTAATTTTTCTGCCGTCTCTCCCGTTTCGCATGCATTTCCTTTGTTCCCTCGCTCAATCATATTTCTATTTTCTTTAGAAATATGAGTTTTTGCGTTCGTGAAACAGGCCCCTGGATTGTAGTATAGGCTTTTTATTTGCATTTCAGAGCGATATTTTCAAAAAAAAGCATTATTTTTTCCGGGCAAAATATAAAAAGGAACGCCAAAAAAAATTTTTTTTTTTTTTGTAATATCTCAAGCCGACTTGCAAAGCATCAGCTGAAATTTTCAGAAATTGACACGTGCCCCAGAGAGATCATTTCCTGAAATTTTCATCCCGAAAATCGCAAAAAAAAATTTTTCAATTTCGGCCGGTTTCGGCCGAAAAATCCAAAATTTTTTTGCAAAGCACCAGCTAAAAATTTTTCACACCTTTCAAAAAATTTTTCTCTTTAAATTTCTCCCTTTATCTCATCAAATCCGCATGTTTCATTTTTCCCTCTAAACTACAGTACCCAAAATTACAGTATTTACTTTATAAAAAACAAAAAATTTTTACCACCGCCCCTCTTACCGGTCGTATTGTCGGTCTGTTTGAAGGCCAACGTCTCTGTGATGAGCATGACGGCCACCGTCAGCATTTCCAGCCACCATTTTATCTTCACAGTCCCCATTTGGCTTCGAAATTTTTGTTTCTCTCGCGTCTCTTCAAGTAGCCCACTCTCTCTTCGCGAAATGTTTGGGAAATTGGCGGAAATCCCGGAAAGGGCGCTGAAAAACAAAGGATTTGTTGAGAGAAGTTTTGCCGGGCTTCCTGTCCGAGCAATTCTTTTATACGCGACATTGTAAAGGTAGAAAGTACATATAATATGTACTATATATAGTAAAGCGTTTAAAAATAGGTAAAGCGAAGTGATTTTTGAAGTAAAATACGAAGTAAAGACTTTCTTGGAAAAGGAAAATGGGGTTTTAACAATAAAAATAAGGAAAAAATTCAAAATTCAAATTTCCCGCCATTTTTGGCATTCTGTTTTAGCGGTCGATAAGGACGACATAGTGCTCTAAAAACCTGTAAGAACATGTTAAATTACGCTAGCTGTCGTAACGTCATCGTTTTCGCCAAAAAACACACAATTTCAATGAAGAATTTATATTACACATGATGATTAATGTAAAAAAGTAAAAATTTTCACGGATATCTCAATCAAAAAAGATGGAAAATAGCAAATAAACAACTAAATATACGTCATACTATCAAAGAACCGCATTTTTGGCAAGTTGAAACATCAAAAATTCAAATTTCCCGCCATTTTTGGCATTCTGTTTCAAGCGTTGGAGACGGTTGGAAAATGTAACTATTCTAAAAAAACGCTCGTCTACGACGAAAAAAGACGTATTTTACCCCTAAGTTGAGTCATTCCCCCATTTCGGACGTTAATTTATATTACACTTGACATCTGATCCCGCGAATCCACAAAATCTCCCCGAAAAATCCCAAGCCCTCCCAAAAGCATGCCCTCGGGGCTTTGGCAGAAAATTTCTGAAGATTTTCCGGCCTGAAATTCCTTTGGTCCGCAAATAAAAACAAAGTTTTTCGGCGTGCAAGGCCAATTCGCCGCGAGGCGCTCTACCTGTTTCTTTTCACCAATCACAAGTGGAGCGTTATTCGCGGTGCAAAAGTCAGTGGCCGTACGCGGCCACAGAGGGGTTTTTGAAACGGTTTTTGGCCGGGAAATTGTAGAAATAGTAGTCACTTTTATGGAGATGAACTGTAAAAAAATGTGTAAAAAGTAGAAAAATAGAGACAAAAATATTAAAATTTAGCCTTCGAAGTTGTCAAAAAAATTTTTTTTAATTACAATTTTTCCACGTCATTATGTAAATCGCACTGTGCGATCTTTATTTTCCCGCTGCACCGTGCAGCAAGCTTATTTCAGCCGCACCGTGCGGTTTGTCAACCTGCACAGTGCGAAAATCGCTAAAATTGATCGCACAGTGCTAAAAACAAATTTCGATTTCGCACTGTGCACAAACTTGTCGCTTTTCCCACCGCACTGTGCGCTCTTTTTGACTGCACAGTGCGACCCTTACCGCAGCCGCACCGTGCGTTTTCCCCATCTGCACAGTGCAAAAAGTCGCTAAAATTGATCGCACAGTGCTAAAAACAAATTTTGATTTTGCACTGTGCACAAACTTGTCGCTTTTCCCACCGCACAGTGCGCTCTTTCCCCACTGCACCGTGCAAGAAGCTTATTTCAGCCGCACTGTGCGTTTGATGTTCTTGCACAGTGCGAAAAGTTGCTAAAATTGATCGCACTGTGCTGAAAACAAATTTCGATTTTGCACTGTGCACAAACTTGTCGCTTTTCCCACCGCACAGTGCGCTCTTTTTGACTGCACAGTGCGGTCAATTTTTTGATTTTTCACTGCATAGTGCGACTCCAAAAAATCTTAAAATACCAAAAATGGTAATTTCAGCCCACGAGCAACTTATATTTAACTAAAAACTCAGATTGATCTCTAATTCCCCCCTATAAACACCTATTTATATTACTTTACCCACTAAAACCCATTTTCCCCAAAATCGCCTCAGGGCACGGTATGACAAAAGCGAAATTAGCCGAAAATGTAAAGCGGGAAATGTGTGTTATACGGCGGCGATAAAGCGTGCATGAGTAAATGCACTTAGGGCCGCCGGTAAACAGGAAAACGGCCAGGTTTTGATGACCGGCCCCTTAATTGGCACCTTTGAATTTTCGCGAGTGCAATGAGGGAGAAACGCCTTGAGGAAAATTAAGAAAGATGAAAGATGGTGTGGTGGGTGATATACAAAGTTGAAATATTACAATTTTTGAGATAAAATTTGAAAAAAATCAAAAAATTTCAAAAATTTTTTTTTATATTTTTTTTTTTTTGAAAAATGATGGTAAATGGTGAAAAATTAGTCAAGAATAACTCTAAAATATATTTTAAATAATTTTACATTGAAATTTATCAAAAAAATTGACTGCACAGTGCGAAAAAATAAAATTTTTTTTGCACTGTGCAGTCAGCTTTTGATAAAAAAATTTCGCCAAAAATGGATTTTTACAAATTTTCAATAAATTTCAGTTCTTGTAGATACATTATAAATCGCTAAAAAAATTTTTTTTGACCTCAAAAAAGACAAAATTTTCCAAAAAAATATCCCGTTTTTATGACTAAAACAATATAAAAGCCCATTAAAATCGCAAACCATCCTCTATCCCAGCAAATCCGCTTGTTGCTATGTGCAAAACGAGCGTAAACAACGCTCCGTTGGGTAATAAATCATCATCCCAAATCGAGATGTTTATCAGTCCGCTTATAAGGTCATGACCTTATGTGCAGCTTTTGGGACTCGAAACAGAATTTCGGAGGTAAAAGAAAATAAAAAACGGCGAGTTGAGAGGAATATGCAAATCAGCAGAGAGGGGGGAATGCGCGGGAAAATCAAAGAAAATTTGGGGAAATTTGGATCGAAATTAGCGGAGTAATGGCCAAAAGGGCAGGTAGAGGGGAGGGGAGAGACGTGGGAGAAAGTAAAATACGAAAAAAAGAACCCTTTAATCCTCAAAAAAGGATAGATTTTGCACCGTGCGGATTTTTAAAACGCACAGTGCGACAGAATTTTTTGCATTGTGCAAAAAAAGAATTATTTTTTGCACCGTGCAGAGTTGCGACAGCAGAAAAAATTGGTTGCACAGTGCGATTCCGAGGACATACTAGTCGCGGAAAAAAGTCCTTAGAATTTTTCGCGGCCCCCAAATCTCGTCGCACCTCGAAATGTTGATTTGTCGCGGGAATCGCGCGCGACAATAAGGCAAAAACAAGAAAATTGCACAGTGCAAAAGCACTTTTCGGGTTCATGCACAGTGCAGAGTCGCAGAAAATTCTAAGGACTTTTTTCCGCGACTAGTATCAGTCTGGCCCACAGCATTCCGAACTTTTTTCGCCACCGATCGGTGTCGAAAAAAATTGAAAAATCGAGAGAGGGGTATGCATTTTTTTGTGTTGCCGGCTAGCAAAGGCAGGTATTGCAAAATTTGAAAAGGTGTTTGATACTCTGAAGATTACTCATTCTAATTATACAAAAATTGTCACCATGCACTTTGTAACCCCCGAGAAAATCGCATTCAAAAAAATGAAAATTTCAGATATAAACGCAATGAAAATGCACTTTCTAGTTGACTACTGAAGAAAAAAAAGATGCTATCGTGTAGAGAATTTTGAGTACTTCCTAATACGTATATTTTTTCCGTTGTTTTCTAACAGTTTTAGAGCTACCGTGCAAAAACGCCTTTTTTTGCACTTTTTGCGACTTATCTGCACTTTAAATGCAAAAATGCAAAATCTTCCGAGCAATTATCATTTTTGGCATCCTTGTGGATATACATGCCAAATTTCCAATTTCTGCGATGCTTCTGTCTGCTGATATATCGAAATCATTACGAAACCTTGACAACTTATTAACGCGCCTTGAAATATAAATTTTGTGACATTTTCGATAAAAAGTCGTTATATGCACTCTATTTGTGAATTTGAAGGTATTAGCTTGCGTTTGGACTGCATTAACGGGAATAGAAAAAGCTGCGTTTGTGTATGAAATCAACATTTTTCATGATGACATGAAGCTGTCTCATAAACTGTACGAATAACATTCGGGGTTGGCAAAATACATTTTAGGAAGAAATAAGGCTATCCTACAGTAAAAACAGCAAGTTTTCTATGTTTTTCTTCGGGAACTTAAGTTGTCAAGGTTTCGTAATTATATCGATATAACAGGAGACGGGAGCGTCGTAGAAATTTGAAATTTGGCATGTATATCCACAAGGATGCCAAGAATGATAATTGCTCGGAAGATTTTGCATTTTTGCATTTAAAGTGCAGATAAGTCGGAAAAAGTGCAAAAAATGGCGTTTTTGCACGGTAGCTCTAAAACTGTTAGAAAACAACGGAAAAAAATATACGTATTAGGAAGTACTCAAAATTCTCTACACGATAGCATCTTTTTTTTCTTCAGTAGTCAACTAGAAAGTGCATTTTCATTGCATTTAAATCTGAAATTTTCATTTTTTTGAATGCGATTTTCTCGGGGGTTACAAAGTGAATGGTGACAATATTTGTATAATTAGAATGAGTAATCTTCAGAGTATCAAACACCTTTTCAAATTTTGCAATACCTGCCTTTGCTAGCCGGCAACACAAAAAAATGCATACCCCTCTCTCGATTTTTCAATTTTTTTTCGACACCGATCGGTGGCGAAAAAAGTTCGGAATGCTGTGTGGCCGAAAAAGAATTTCACCCCCCTCCGCACAAAAATCGCAACCCGAAAATCCAAACCTGCGCGCGACATCGGAGATTTTCCGCGACGAAAGGGAAAAATCGCTAAAATTTGGTGAATGCACAGTGCAAATGAACAAAAACAACGGTTTGCACTGTGCAAAACAGGCCCGAAACCCCGATTTCGTGCGTGCGACACGTCGCTTTCTTCGTTTTTTCGGCGACATGCCCCAAATTTCTCCGCGATGCAAATTGGTGTTTGGAGTGCGTGCGACGGAGGGGTTCGGGGTGCGAAATTCTTTTTCGGCCAGACTGATAACGCCGCACCGTGCACCCCAAAACGTGTGTTGCACAGTGCAATAATCTTTTTTG